TTACATCCCCCCCCCCCCCCCCCCCCCCTTCTTCTTTAAAAAAAAAAATTTAATATCCTGTGCTCTGTGTTGCCTTACCTTGCCTTACCTTGCCTTGCCTTGTCACTGACTCGAGTTCCCTTATTACCCGGAGCATTCGGATTCAACGTTGCACAACCAAAGTCTGTTCGTCGCGGGAGATTGATCATGTCCAACCCTGTATCCCAAAATCCTGTGTTCGCGGGTATCACGCAACACACTGCCCAAGTGAGAGATCTGAAACTCCCCACATCCAGGATCTGAATCCTATTACTCGGTTTATCTATTTTTTTCATGATTGTGACCCTGGAAAGTTTTGGGCTTGAGCCGCTCAGCCTCCTCCCACCCCACCAACGTTGCATCACCAGTACAGACAGTACTGATTACCCTCCCCTCACCTCCCTCAGGACATTTTGGAGTAAGCAGCAGCATTGGGTGGCCGTGTATTGGTTGGTTGGCCGTACTGGCCTGCGCATTCCCAAGCTTAACTCATCCTAACTTTCAACTCTTGTTGTAATGTCCCAACTCACTCTTGCAGTTTGGGCGGCTTTGTCGAATCTGTCCCCATTCATTATTGTCGCTACAATACGATCTATGGTATGGTACAAGGTCTCCCAACTTTTGTCCGTCGTCATAATACAGCCCCAACACCATGAATCATCCCGTTCACCTCTCGCGTTTCCGTGGTGCGCTTCTGATGATATTATCCACTCTCAACAGCAACTGCAAATAACATATTAGCATCCTCATTCGGCAGGGAAACGAGAAGCGGAGGTAAAAGGGTAGGAATAAAAGTTGACATACCTCTGCAGCCTCACTCGCCGAACTGACCACTGCCCTCTTCAATTTATAACTCTCAACTACACCCAGTTCCCTCATATCCGCAATCCCACCACCGGGAGTCAATAAATCCAACCCGTACGTCGTCATCCCATCGTAGATTGCCGTCCTCAGCTTCGCCACAAGATCACTGGAATCATACCCTGCATTATCCGCCAATATCGTAGGTAACTGCCTTAAAGCTGTCGCGAAAGAAGAGACTGCGATTTGCTTCTTGCCGTCAACTTTGAGGGCTGCGCCTTCAACCGCCTTTGCCATCAGCATCTCGGCACAGCCGCCACCAAGGGTTGTGCGGGGCTCTTTGACGGTTTGGGAGAGGACGGCGAGCGCATCATGGAGGGACCGCTCTGCCTCGTCGAGGAGTTGTTCGGTTGCTCCTCGCAAAACAATGGTGCATGCCTGACCTGCCGCTACTCCTGAGAATTTGATAAGGGTGTCTTCGCCAATGATGACTTCCTCAATGAGATCACAGTGGCCGAGCTTGACTTGCTCTGGGTGGTCGAAGGTTGAGGTGATCTCACCACCAGTGACGAGAGCTAGGCGTTCAATGCCATCGAAATCAGCATGCTCGATCGACATGATGCCTGCGTCTGCGAATAGTTGCTCGGGCCAGTTGTAGATTAGTTGGCGATTAATGAAACAGTTTATGCCGTGGGCCTTGATCTTATCCACTTTGGCCTTCATCTTCTCTTTCTCTGCCTTCTCCAGCTCGGCCAGCTTGCCTGTAGAACCGACCTTGACTCGAGCGCCAAAGATCTTGATCTTGTCGGTGTCCATTGCTGTGTTTGCCACAAGAATCTTAGCCTTCTCTAACCGCTTAGGTTGGTTGACGCCGATCTTCTTGTCAAGGATAAAGCCTTCATCAAGGTACGAGTCGTTGAGCTTTCCGCCAGCTTTCTTGATGATTTGGATATGGCTGAGATCTGAGGAACCCTTCATCCGCAACACGGCCTCGCATGCCAGCTCCGCAAAGTGATTTCGATCCTGCGACAACACCTTAGAGCTCAGGGTCGTCCGTGCTATGGCCAAGAGATCTTTCTTGAAAGCATCCAAATTTTGGCTGTGATCCACCGCAGATTTCTCCAGAGCTGCCAGCGCAGCCTGACTCGCTATTCTGTAGCCTTCAATAATCGTCTGGGGGTGGATCTTCTTGTCGACCAGCTTCTCTGCTTCTCTGAGCAGCTCTGCTGCCAAGACTGTGACAGATGTGGTTCCGTCTCCAACTTCATCGTCTTGAACCTTGGAGATGTTTACAAGGACTTTAGCTGCGGCGTTGTCGAGGGCGATGGATTTGAGGATGGTAGCTCCGTCGTTCGTGACCATTATCTCTCCAGTCGAAGCACTTTGTAAGATCTTATCCATACCCTTAGGTCCCAGAGTGCTCTTGACTACAGCTATGTCAGCTGTTGCTTTGTTGAACTGGAAGAGGTGAAATACCTAAGTCCCCAACCGCAATAGCCCCAACGAAGGCGGAGAGACGAGCATTCTCGCCCTTCTCCTCGGTCGTACCATCATCAAAGATCTGAGTCGGATTGAAGGACGCCATGATGCTGTTGATCTAGATGCGTTTTGGTAAAAAGTTCAAATTGCCCTGATACCTCGTCGTCACGCGAAGGGGTCTTCAAGAAATCGCGTCGAAAAGACGCTAGCCCTCGCCAAACTTTCTGCCTCGCCCACACCACGAGGTTCGTTGAATCTGCATCGCGGAAAGACAACGATCGCCAGTCTCCGTTCCTTTCCTCTCTACTGCAGCTATTCGCAGTGATATCACCTTTGTCTCTGCCGCTCGTTTTTGTCGTCCAAAGCGTCTAAACCCGCTTTCAACAACCAAAACGCAGCGAGGTGGGGTGAAAATCTATCAGCGCCCCCACAAAACATCTGAAATATTCTACGACGGCACAACAGCACAGCACTAAGCGCGATACAAAAGACAGCCAGGAAGACCTGAGTAAAAGTAGCCGCAATCATGGCGCCGAGCTTTGATCATCTCCCAGACCCGGAGGACGATGAGTTCGATGAGGATGAGCTGGACTTTTCGGACCTTCGAGAAAGATTTGAAGTCCAGCTTGAGCAAGGACTGGATACATTTGTGGTCATCGACGGACTGCCAGAAGTCACGGAGGAAACGAAGCCCAAGTTGATCAAGTTCTTATTGAGAAAGTTGAACGCAGTTGGAAGAACGCGCGAGGATTCTATATTCATGCCCATTGGCGACGATGGAAAATCACACAAGTAAGCTGCAATGTGTGCGACCTCTTTTTCAATACTGACTTTTGGTAGATTCGCTTTCGTTGAATACTCCACTCCCGCAGAGGCGCTCGCTGCTTGCAAAAGCCTCGACGGTGTTCCGCTCGACAAGAAGCACACCCTCCGAGTCAACAAATTGACGGATATTGATCGATTTGGGCGGGAGGGTCGTATTGACGAACACTACACTCCTCCAAAGATCGAGGAGTTCCAAGAGAAGGAGCATCTGAGATCATGGTTGGCGGATCCTAGCGGCCGTGGACGCGACCAGTTTGTCATGTACACCGACGACAGAGTGCGAGTTTTCTGGAACAATGAGAAGGACCCACCCGAGCCGATTGTTGACCGCCAACACTGGACTGAGTCTTTTGTGCAATGGTCCCCACAAGGAACGTATCTGACATCCATGCATCAGCAGGGTGTGCAGCTCTGGGGTGGACCATCATGGACTCGACAGAAGCGTTTCGCGCATCCTTTCGTCAACCTGGTCGATTTCTCACCTGGAGAGAAGTATTTGACAACATGGTCAAATCGACCTATCTCGATTCCCGAAGAGGGTCATCCAGCATTGTCAGTCGATGATGATGGCAAGAACTACGTTATCTGGGATATCGAGACTGGCAAACCACTTCGATCCTTTGCAAATATCGACCTCCCAAGTAACGCCAATGATGAAGCAGGTCAGCCTATAAAGAGAAAGATCGTATGGCCAGCTTTCAAATGGTCAGCCGACGACAAATATGTTGCACGTTTGACACAAGGCACCTCTATTTCGGTTTACGAGCTTCCTCGTATGAACCTTCTAGACAAGACCACAATTAAGATTGAGGGTGTTATGGATTTCGAATGGGCTCCAGCTACACCCCACCGAGAAGGTGTCAAGACCTACGAGCAACTGTTCTGCTATTGGACTCCCGAGATTGGCAGCAATCCCGCAAAGGTCGGTCTGATGAGCATCCCCTCCAAGGAAGTTGTCAGAACCTTGAACTTGTTCAGTGTTACGGATGCAAAGCTTCACTGGCAGTCAGAAGCGTCGTACTTGTGTGTAAAGGTTGATCGCCATTCAAAATCCAAGAAATCCTTGGCTACCAGTCTTGAAATTTTCCGAATTCGAGAGAAGGGAGTACCTGTCGAAGTCGTTGATTCCATCAAGGATACCGTTATAAACTTCGCTTGGGAGCCAAAGGGTGACCGATTCGTAATCATCACTACAGCTGAGGTCGTTGCACCTACAGCTGTTCCTCCTAAGACATCCGTTTCTTTCTACTGCCCAGAAAAGGTCAAGGGCCCTGGTGTTGGCAACTTTAAGCACATCCGAACATACGACAAGAAGAACAGCAATGCCATCTACTGGTCACCAAGAGGTCGTTTTGTCATTGTTGCTACCGTTCACTCGCAGCAAAGCTTCGATATGGAGTTCTTCGATATGGACTTCGAGGGCGAGAAGCCGGAGAGCGACAAGGATTTGACCGCCAACCTCCAGCTCATGAACACCGCTGAACACTACGGTGTCACCGACATCGACTGGGATCCCACTGGACGATTCGTCGCCACCAGTGCCAGTATCTGGAAGCATACCGTAAGGCAAACTGATCCCCCTTACTACAAAACAATACTAATCATAGAATAGATGGAAAACGGCTACCACCTGTACGACTTCAAGGGTGAGCAACTGCGCGAAGAGCCCGTCGAGAAATTCAAGCAGTGGCTCTGGCGCCCACGCCCACCCACGCTCCTTACCAAGGAAGAGCAGAAGCAGATCCGCAAGAACCTCCGTGAATACAGCAAGATCTTCGAGCAAGAGGATGCTGACCGCGGCGCCTCGGCTGACTTGGCTGTCGTTGAACACAGGAGGAGACTGTTGGAGGAGTGGATGTCATGGCGCGCAAGCATCGAGGAGGAAGTCAAGGAGGAGCGCGCAGCTCGGGGACTCCCACTCGATCCGCTCGAGGGTATCATCAAGAAGACCACCGAGGGCGAGGACCAGATCATCGAGGAGATCGTCGAGGAGATCGTCGAGGAGACCGAAGAGATCGTGCCGTGAATTTAGTTGGGAGCCGATGTATAACGAGAGGATTTTCCATAGTTTCCATAGCCGTTGGGGAGTTAAAGTTGCTTATTGCATATACGCATGGTTTCTATGGCCGATCATCTTGTTCCCCAGATTGATCGAGGCATGGTGATGGATGGGTTGACCGAGTGGTTGATTGATTGATCGGCACAAAAATTCCTTGCATAGACGAGAACGAATAAAAGCATATCAAGATCTCCCTTCTCTATCATAGCAAGCAATTCCTATGGGGCATATGTAGCGTTCAATACCTGCGAAAGTGAGAAAACTGTACCCTCTGTACCTCTAGAACGTTCCTATGCCAGCTTGCTGGTACCAGCCTTGATATTCCCTAAATCTCTGACTGTCTATATTTCCATCTTGCAAAAACCAAGCTCCATTCGATGAGGGGAGAATCAATTTATTAGCTAAGTTAGAAACCTTTAGCTAAGTAAGTAGCAAAGTGAATAGTAAAGCATCATTCCCCAATGTACGTGTGTGCATCCCGCATAAAACCCCTTGTCCCCGACTCCAAACAAAGAAACCGACGACCTAGGGGGTATCAATCAATATCTCAAAGTCCCAAATCAGCAAGCAAACGAGCAAGTTCCAGTCCAGCCATCTAACATCAGTTGATGCCACAGCCAATACCATGCACTTTATCCTTGCTTAACTATTCCTCCGAGTCACCATCATCGTCATCATCGCTCTGAACTTGGAATCTGGCTCTACGCTCGGCGCGCGCACGCTGCAACGTCTCGCTGAGCGGGCCTCCGCGCATAAGCTCCGTGAGACGCTGGGTGTCCTGGCGAAATGGGTTGGGCTGCGAGGCTGCGATGCTCTCCGGGTGGTAGATGCAGGTGCGTGCGTGGACGGTGCCGCCGTAGCGATGGCCGCTGTTCCAGGGGGCGAGGCAGACCCAGCACCATTCTTCACCGCAGACGCCTAGATATTAGCCGTTAGTAAGACGATCCGATCTAAGAGAGCCGGGGGAGATGGGGCTGGGATAGTGACTCACATTCAATGTGATCACAGCCGTGGTCTTTGGTGATGCACTGCTTGCATGAAGGGCAGATCTTTGAGATCTTGGCGAGGAGCTTAGCGGTTGCTTCTTCCTCCATAAGACGATCGACTTGTGATTCAAGAGCGTCGAACTCGGCGCAGGTCATTCCCTTGTGCCAGGGTAGCTTGTGGAAGGTGCAGGTTTTGAACTGGCATGCGTTGCAGACCATCATGACTTCGCCCTCTGCGGGAAGTTGACCGGAGTTACAGTTGGGGGATAAGCACATGACATATGTAGCTGGCATGGACTTTCGGGAGACCAGGTATTCATATCTGGAGGGTTCTGTTAGTAGGAGTTCTTCCTTGTATCGAGGAGACTTAGTTACCGTTCGAAAATCTTTTCGGAGGCGTATTTCTTGATATCGCCATGCGAAAGCTTCTCGGCACATACAGGGCACTGTATATGGCTTATCGCACCTCCATCAACCGAGACTTTGATATAGTTACCCAGGCACTCAAGGCAAATAGTAGCCGGGTGCTCGCAGGTAGATGTGATTTTGGTTGATGGGAATTCGGTGGAGTGGCGTTTGTCTCTGCAGACGACACAGACACGCTTATGCTTGCGCGAAATAGATCCAGGAGTACCTTCATCGAGATCCATATCTGAGTCAGTAGAGCCAGAAGAGTCGGATGAACTGTCGGAATAGTTTCTTGAATAGTATTCCTTGCCCTCTTCATCGAGCTCACTGTCGGCCTCGTTGTTAGTAACACCCATGTTTGTATCTCCGCCGATTTGGCCGTCTGCCTCATCAGCGTCACCAGGAGTAGCTTCGTCGAGATCCATGTTCGAGTCAGTAGAGCCAGAAGAGTTGGATGAGTTGTCGGAATAGTTTCTTGAATAGTATTCCTTGCCCTCTTCATCGAGCTCACTGTCGGCATCGTTGTTAGTAACACTCATGTTTGTATCTCCGTCGATTTGGCCATCTGCCTCATCAGTGTCACCAGGAGTGCTATCCTCTGAAGCTTCTCCATCGTCATCGGCGTTATAGCTCGCGTCTTCGTCTTCATCGCTCTGCGCGTACCAAGATCTAATAATCTCAATCTCGTTCGCGTCTGCGTCTCTAACAAGTGACAAGAGCGCGGACCATAGAGCCACGCGATCATCGTGTTGAGAAGGCAATCTCTCAAAGCTCACTAGGACCTCTTGCATCAGACGGGTATCATGCTGCTCGAAAGTCAGGCCGAAAACCGTCACCTCTGGAGTAGTAGGTGACGATGACGACATCTTGCGTGGGTTTCTCGTGAAGAGACAAATAGAGTTGGTAGAAGATCTGTGTGAGGGTAAAGGTTGAATGAAGGGGTATTGAGTAGAAGGTTATCGCGATCTGTCGAGGCGTAACGCGCTCTGGCAGATCAGGAAGTGTAGGGGCGCGTTGCACAAAGGCGGATCCGAATCCACTCTTTGTGTCTGTACCGAAAGGTATTCAACTCGAAGGACCAAGTCCCGGAAGGACGAGGCGTACTTGTCAATCGAATTGGTGTGTGGTGTGTGTTGTTGTGGGTTGGTGTGTGTTGGTGTCCAGATGTGGATAGATAAATTGAGGGAGAAGGTATCCGTCCAAAAAGCGGGTCCAAGTGGTGAATAATTCTGTCCTTGTTGCTGTCTGAGGATAGCAATTCGATGTCTTTTTCGTCCCGGAATTGGGGCAGGTTGTAGACGAAAGGGGAAACGGGAGGGGAAACAAAAGGGGAACGAAAGGGGAAACGAAAGGGGAACGAAAAGGGAATGAAAAGGGAAACGAAAGCGGAAACGAAAGCAGAACGAAAAGGTATGATAGCTGGACAACAAATAACCCGAAATAAATAGCACGGAATCAACTGGCACAGTCCTTTACAACAGGCATATGGCAGTTAATTGTGTTTTCGATAAGACAAACGGAAATGCTGTAGGGGTAATGGGCACAAAGCTAGAGGTCCATTAACTCATCAAGGCTTCCTTTGATTCCATTAGCAAACAACACATGAATATAAAGTTGAGTCTATGATTTGTCCTATCTTGAGTCGAATGCACTTACATTGCGCTCAAGACAACACTCACAGATAATCCTAATCAGATTTCTGGGTTATTTGGAAAAGATGTCAGCGTGGAAGATGCAAGCTTGTGCTTCAATTGGCAAGAAGGCCACCACACTCATCCGCCGGCAGTTGTAGCTGTGCACTCTAAACCTGATCTGGAGAAATAGTATATTTCCACATTCGTAGTCCGCCCAGGTCCATGACTCCCGAGAGAGTCGAAGCCTCCATACAATGACTTGGTCTCTCAAAGCTTACCCATATCTGGCTGTAAGCTTAGGTCACTGGTCCATATTCTTGATACTCTGTTCCACCTTGGCATAAGCTTCCTGCCCAGCACAACTTGGCTTCTAGAAGAGGTAAGTATCTCAAAAGCACTATCGTAGTTTGCGCCACAGCCAGCCGTCTATTCTGTCCGTGTAAGCCAAGGAGATCTCTTGCCGACGACACTTGTATGCGGGACCTGGGTATAAATCTTCGTCTAGAACTCGATGGAGCCGCTAATTCGGCCTCTCGAACGGCTCGTATTGGTCCTTTGTGACCCAAACACCCTGTCCTCTTGGCAGGGTTAATGTACGATCAATCTCCTCCATCTTCGTCTCTTTTGGCCATTGGCTCCTCACACTCTGATTTCCCATCATCAACCTTTCCATATTGAGCCTTGTAGAGTATACAATCTGGCCCGTCTCGGCAACCTCCCGGAAGCCTCCGCGCGCCTTAGACGTATCTTCACGGTCCGAGTCTTTTGCTGTCACGCCTGCTGCCTTGTGCGTGCCTATGAGCGTCGGATATGGAGCAAAACATTTGAAACCCATGAAGCGGCTGTTGCAGATCCGCTGTAGCGCACGATCCGACACTGCAGCGTGTCCGCTGATTGATTGATGGTAGAGTAGTCGTTGAGCCCCCCTAAGAGAGAGTGCGTAGCCAAACATGCAGAGGCCACGAACGGGAGAATAAACAACCCGTGAATTCTGCCCCCGTAAAGCCGCAGGCGTCAGGTTTGGTTGCCGGCGAGGGTAGCCCCACAGGTGCTGTGGAACTGCTGTGGGATCGTCGTGGATCACATAGTATTTCTGATCTTCGTCTTCCCGATTTCGAGTCCCGCAGTGCCCCAGCCACAGAAGATCCCAGTCATCGCCGTATGGAGAGGTCGGTTCTGAACCTCCTGATCTTGAAAGATCAGATTGCGTGCTGGATTCTTGAAGGAAGCGTGTCCCACGGGCAAACTCAATGAGTTGGGACTTCAAGGTCACGTCCCAGTCAGCATCATCTTCTAAAATAAGAGCGCTGCTGATCTGCTCCTTAACTATCCTACATTCAATGTGGTGTCAGAGATGGGAATAACCTTTGGAAGTGGATCTAAGAGGACTTGCGTTTGTACTGCGTTCATATGGCCGCGCCAGCACCCCAATGTGTGTGGAGTTTCATCTTTTGGCCAGCCCTTAGCGGACCCGTATCAGCCAATGTAAGCTTGCTCTCGCTGCATATCCAAGTATCGAGTCTCGAGTCATTGTGTTCCCTGCCTCGTCAACTTACCTCCGGTATAGCTTTCTCCGGTATCAGCTCCCCATTCACTCCATCGATCCAGTCAAACTTTATACCCGTGAGTGATGCGGCAAGTGACATAGCATCTCTCTTATCAGTCCGGTCTGGGAGTGCAACCACAAAGACTCTGGAAAACTGATGTCGCGCGCAAGATCAGTCGCAGTTCGGCCAATGACACCATTAAGGATAAAAGAGATGCATACTCCTAGAGTTTCATTTTGAACATCAAGGATTCGTCCAGAAAGGTCATGAGCCTTTCTTCCCGGTAGCCTCTTCTTTCCCAAGGGGAAGTTAAGAAGCAAGAAACAGATCGCAAGCAAGAAACAGACAGCTAAATAGGGAGTGAAAGGTTTTCGGGACATTGGAGATTTAAGAAAGTGAGTGAACAGTGATGACAAAGGATGCACCAGGAACGACAACGAGTACTGAGGAAGAAAGCAAGTATGGAGTTGGAGTTGTTTGACAGGGCGAATCGCGATACTTATCGAGCGCGTTAATAACGCGTCAGCTAATACTTCGCCAGGGGAAACTTCTCAGAAGGGTTTAATCCTTTCTGCATGGTAGTTCAGCGATTTGAATCCTACTGATCATCATCGAATCCTACCACTGTACTGATGATAACAGTGATCCGCAGTGGAAACATGAGACTCGGGAAGGTAACTAGAATGCGGCTTTGCTGTATGCGGTTAAGACAGGTTGATCTTCCGTAAAGCTTGTTTTACCGCTTTCTACTGTAGGTATTCACCTAGACAATCAATTCGGTGGGTTTCTACTGCAATATCCAGAGTGGTAGAACGCACCTCTACACATCGTATGTTTATGCTGACAGGTAAAGCAGTCATCTAATGAATCCTCCTGGATCGAATGGAAATGATCCTTCTAATCACGTGATACGCTCGCTTACATGACTCGCTCGCTTAGGTATTTCTCCGAGTTTCAACGTCCTGATCCAAAAAAGGCATCTGGTCACATGACGAAAAAACCCCCCCCATTTTTGCACCGTCCCCATTTGGGAAACGCGATCCCGTTACGCACGAGGTATACAAGTATCAAACCCCAAGATCTTTATGAATCTTTTTCTATTATTTTACTTTCATTTACCTGTTTATTCATATATTTCCTCAAGTAGGGAAAAATTGGGGATCTAGGATCTCATTTCTGAACGTGAACAAACGAAAGAGGGGTTGATGACTAGGGTTTTTGGTGCTGAGTCACGATACCTAGGTACTGTACTGGGATTTATACTTCTGGTTTAGTTGGATTTGGATTTGTATATTGATTTGTGTTTCACTAAAAGAAAGAAAGAGGAGTAGGAGAGGAGAGAAAAGGCAGTCGGGAATAGGTAGAGATGGAAATGAGTTGTTCTTGGATTGTTTGGGGGGTTGCAGCGGGGTTAATATTGGCTGTGGTGCATTTTGGGGGGGTATACATAAGGGGAGGCGTAAGTGAGCGGTCGAGAGCCGTTGAGAAGGTATGTTGCCGAATGATTCTAGTTCTGTTTGGTTGATATGATGCTCTTTTGACATCATTACATGAGCTGTCACCTGTGGTTATCAAAGGAGATTATTGGGCTCTCTATCTTCAGAATCTCTTTCTCTACTCTGGGTCGAATACTACTAACTCGATATCAGAGGACAATCTCACAGCCTGCACAAGCATCTGATGAGAAAACCAAAGATCCGACGACAGAGATTATCCCTCTACCAGATTTCGACTGGCGAACTACAGAACCACTAAAGATCCGACCTTTCAAACCCAAGTATCACTTAACCATGGGTAAGTAACAAGTCAGCGCTCTTCGATATCATATCCCAGATGAACCCATCTATCAGACAGAGCACATAAATAAACCCCATCAATCAAACTACCTAAGCTAACCAATTATCAAAGGCCTAACAAACTGCCCTCCCTCAGAGCTCATAGAAATCGACAAGAATTACGTCGACCGACTCACGCTACGCAAACAAATCATGCAAGAGCACCAATCCACGGTTCTACAAGCGCAGCCTATCATCCAGCCCGCCATAAACGAGCTCTACACCTACCTAACCTCCATCTACCTACCCCAGCGCTTCCCCACGATCTTCCAGCTCTCCCCGGGGGGGCAGCAGCTGCACAACCTCGCCACCTCATGTACGCTCCCTCTCGAGCCGCCCGCGGATCCGATACAGACCCTTGCGCTGTTGGGCGCTAATCTCGAGGATGATTTCTTGTTCCTGCTCCCTGCGGATGATGGCGATGGGTACGTGCTCCGCGGCTTCGTGACGTGTTTCCCGAGCGGTTTCGATACAAGGGAAAAGCTAGGTTTGAAATTGAGGGAGATTCATAAGCCGGTGCCGGGGTATAAGGAGAAGTTGGAGTTGAGCATGGATCGGTTCTTTGATAGGTTGGAGGTGGGGAGGTTGGTTAGGAGGGTTAATGTATAGGTCCCCCTTTCCCTTTTTTTTGTTCACCCCCCCTCTTTCTCTCTTTATGTTCCTGTTTTGAGAAGAACACCCAGCTAACACACTCTTCCCTCCCCAACAGTGGTCAATAACCACGACCCCGACCCTCTTCACCCCCAGCGGCACCCATCTCTACACCGACTCCCCCCTCCCTCCTCCCCTTCCCCTCTCCCCCTCTTCCCCCTCATCCCCCCCCATCGACATCAACCAAACCCATCTCCGCTGCGAGCGTCAAATCCTGCATCGACTCCCCCAAACCAAAGCCTTAGTATTCTCATTCAAAACATACATGTATCCGATCCGACAGATCAAGGAGGAGGGGCTGGGCGAAGAGTTGGCAGAAGCGATTGATGGGTTGAGGGAGGGCAGTGTGCCACGCATGTATTGGTATAAGAGGGGTGTTGTGTGGGGCGAGGGGGTTAAGGAGTTTTTGAGGAGTTAGATTTTTGGTTGGGGAGGGGGAGGGGAGGGGGGGAGGGGTATTATAATGCAGATGCAAATGCAAATGCAATATAGAAGTAAGCAAATAAAGATTTTAACATTTTACACTCCGGCTCGATGTAACCCAACATGACCAGATATAAGAAATAATGGGCCATGCCTTGCTTTAGGTATTGATAAGCTGTATTGAATTGTATGGGTCCATCCACGACTTGTATTACACTATGATAGGTATACATACATACATACGTATATAATACACAAGCGAGCAAACGCACCAGACATGCCTAGTATAGTATTCACCAAACCCCAAAGCCAGCCAGCCACCCATTCAACCGCTTCTTCGGAAAAGAAGCAAGAGGAGGAAGACAAGAAAGCAAGCAAGCAGACTATCTTATCTATCTTTCTTCAGTGCTGAATTCAACATTGATCGATACTCCTGATAGCTTTCCACAGTCCTTAGGCGATCTGCGAGAACTTATAGCCGTTCAGATACTTGCTATCTCTCTTTTTCTTCTCCTCCATCGCTAGATCCTTGCCCGCGACACGGCTCCGATCTTTACCGGCTGCTGCTGCCTTCTCCTTCTCCGGCTGCTGCTGCTGCTGCTGCGAGGAGCTGGTGGGAGGGTAGGGCTTGCTGCTCACTTGGGAGGAAGTGCGCGCCATGCGCGCCACGTCGGCTGCGAGCTCGTTCCGGATGTTCTGGACCTCCGAGTCGCTATCCTCGTCGTCGCTGCTCCCGGATTCGGAATCTGAGTCTGGGAGGGGGATGGATTGGGCGTGTGTGAGTTGGGCTGCGAATGCGGCTGCCTTTTCGCCGTCGGATGATTCGTCCGAGGAGGATTCCTCGTCTTCAGTCTCTTCTTCGTCGTCGGATTTCAGCTGCCATCTGCCATTCGCCATCGTTCCGGTTGTCCCGGGTTGACTGCTACTCTTTCCATTTGAAGAAAGGTTCTTGCTCTTCTCGTTCAGACTCTGGAGACTAGCACCGATCTTAAATGTTGGTCTGATGCTACTGGTTGGAACCTGTGTTGGCGGCGGGCTCTTGACAGCTTCCTGCGAGGCGGAAGAAGAGTGCACTTCATACATAGAAGAGGTTAGTTGGTAATCGATCTCGTCTTGGGTGTTTGATTCATCATCGCTGGGGATGAGTTGGTTCTTACGTTGTTTCTGGCTCCCTAAAGGCCTAGCAGGTTGGGAGTTCGCGTGGGGGAGTTCGAGAGAGGATCGTGGGATTTGAATCGTGTTCTTCTCTTCAGTCTCTTCCTCATCCTCATCTTTCTCATCGGATGACGTTTCTTTTTCATCCTCATCCACCTCTTCTTCGTCTTCGCCCGACGAAGAATCACTTCCGGATTCCATCTCAACGTCTTCCGCGGACTTCGGGAGTTCAAGAGCTGCTGCCGGTTTCAAAGGAGTGATATGCTGGTTGAAGATGACAGGCGATCGACTCTCCCGAGGCGACGAATGGCTGCTTGCCATCTCTACATCTTCGTCTTGCTCTTCTGCGTCCTTCATTTCTTCGTCCTGCCCTTCAGGTTCTGGTTGAGGTTTGGCAACTGCGGGCTGGGATTGTTTGCCAGATAGGAGTGAATCGTTAAGGAGTTTGGCTGGGTCGACCCTCGCAGGGATATCTTCGTCCGATCCCGAATCATCAGAGTCATCGGATGAGACATCAATCGTTGGAGTCGGAGCGGGGTCCGGTTCCACGGATCTGGATTTTTCTATTGAGATGTTAGAGGTACAGGAGTTCAAATATACTGAGTAATAGGGTGTATCTCCAGAAATTCTAGAATAGCTGCCGGATGATAGGAGGTGGGGTAGCTAGGAGTACTGTCCACATACCTTTGGCTGATCTTGAACTAGGAGCTTCGCTCTTCTTCGACGGGGGAGTGGGTTTAGGGGAGGGACCCTTTGCAACAACCTTTGGCGAGGGGGTTGTAGTTGGGGTTTTGGCTGCAGCGCCCTGATTTGGCGGGAGGATTGACTGTCTCAACGGCGTAGAATTCTTAAGCCTGTTCATATTTGGTGGTAGAATTGGAGTTTGCGATCGTTTCTCCAGCGGCACTTCCTGCAATTTCCCAGATTTTCGTGACGGGGTCACAGTCTTGGACTCTGTCGGTGATTCGTTGATATTGAAAGAGACACGTCTAGTTGTGCCATTTGCTACCTGAGACAATCGAGGATCATCAGGCGGCGAACTCTGGTGCATCGGCGAGGAGCTTCTCAAGGCTTGGGAGGATTTTAGAGCTGACTTTCGGCCATTGGGGATAAAAGGAGTAGAGGATTGAGGCTTGCTGGAGGAACCTGGGCGAATGGGTGTCTCTGATTTTGCAGATTCCACTGATGCTGAAGATGGTCTCCTCTCTGCTGCCGCAGTCTTCTTCTTTCCCTTCCCCTTTTTGGGCTCAGCCGTAGCGGATTCCATAGCGCCTTTCTGCTTCTCTTCCTCCCGTAATCTTTCGGCTTCGGCGTCAGCCTTAGCCTTCTCCTTTTCGACCCTCTCTGCTTCCTGTTTTTCTTTCTGGACTCTTGTCTGTTCCTCTTGCTTCAGTCTCTCAGCTTGCTCCTTTTCTTCCCTTTCTTTCTCGATTCTGGCCTGTTCCCGCCGCTTCTCCTCGGCCTGTCGTTCTTCTTCAGCTTTCTTATCCGCCTCGATCTTCTTGAGCCTCTCATTTTCTAACTGTGCAGCCTTAGCCATCACTGCAGCCCGCTTCTCCTGTTCTTTTCTTTCTTCTTCCTCTCTTTTCAGCCGAGCCTCTTCCGCGATCCTGGCTTCTTCGGCTTGGCGCGCCTCTTCAGCCTCACGCTTCCTTTGCTCAGAGGCTTCTCGTCTTCGCTGTTCCGCCGCTGCGGCGGCAGCCTTCTGCGCTTTCCTGGCTTCATCTTCTTGCTGCTTCTGTAACCTTTTCTCCTCGCGCTGCTTACTGCCCGGGGTCAGGGGTAGCTCAGACGCAGAAGGAGAAGCAGAGGCGGCCTGTTCTTGAGAGCGAGAATTGCGACGCTTTCCGCTTGGAGGAGTATTGAACTGATTAGACCATTCTAATCCCGGTAATCCACTCCGGGGACTATTCTTGCTCTTCCTCAAGGAAGCCTTTGTCTTGTTCAGAATTGCGGCGGGACTTTCACTATCAGATTCAATGTTCTCGTAGATCGTGTCCTCGTTAGGTGACCCCGAGGGAGCCTTCCCATTAACTGTGACTTTTGAGGCTGGATCTAACACGTTATTCCTCCTTGCAGATGCTCGATTCCCAGGAGTATGTTGAACGCCCAACAATGGGGTAATAGCCGCAGTTGAAACAGATGTGCCTCCATCGGTAGCTCGTCTTGTATTATCGTTCGCGCTCGCAGTCGGAGGGAAACGGTTTGGTGGCAGGATTGGCGATTGTTCAACTGTGCTTGGCATGTTGGACTTTTCGCCCTTCTTATTAGCTAAGCCATCCTCATTGTTCAGAGTCGCAGGAGGAGGAGACGGTGATATAGAATTGGCAATCTCAGTTCTTACATGATGTGGCAGCAGCCCATTCTGCGTGCTCTGCTGCGAATCGGGGATAGCGCTCCCACTCCGCGTAGCCTGATCCTCAGGAATAACATCTAGCTCTCTCTCGAGCGAAGGAAGAGGTTGGTCCGGATCGGGGACTCTTTGCCTCTTATTCGGTTTCCATGAACTCGGCGGCACGCCGTTCGGCTGAGCGCTCCCTTCCCTCTGCCTCTTGCCATTCGTATTGAGCTCTGGATTGTATCGAAGAGCTGAGTTGGGCGGCACAGAATCGCGCATGCCAGGGGCATTTGAAGCTTGTATAACCCGTACCGTAGCTAGAGACGGGAACACGGTCCCCACGATCTCAGCCTGGGTCACATCAAACCCTTGATCGTCCTGGATCTTCTTGATCGCAATCTGTCTGCACACGAAAGATCGTCAGAGGAGCCCTCGGCGCGTTGATGATGATAGCACACAACTTACTCTCCATAGTTGATCCTGTGTATCCTTGACGCCTCGGCGCAGAACTCGCTCACTGTGACATCTGGGCTGGTCACGACGCGAAAACATCGGATCGGTTTGTCATCCTCTCCATACGCGGTGGGCGAGAAGAGCTGGACTCGGAGTGAGAAGCCCGGCAGGACTGGCGGACCTATCGGGGTCGCCATCTGGATTATCTCCTCTGTCTGACCGGTTACTGGAACAAGGAAAGCTTTCTCTGCAGTGCAAATAGTCGGGGCGAAACAGTGGAAAGCATTGGGAGCGTAGATCGAGAGGTTGGGGAGTTGCTAATGGAGTGGGGGGGAGAGCGAAGAGATCGTGTCTGGACTTCAAAATTCACGCTTCCGTTTACGCGACCCGCGACGGACGGAAGATCTATAAATACCTGATGAGAGGAACTCTCACCACGGCAAGATGATTCCTGAGGCAATGCACGTTGAAGAAGAGAATAATCGAGGCATTTCCACGTCTTGAAAGATATTGAAGAGACTTTCCCTTTCAGGTTCTCATGAGAAAGGCTGCAGGGTCTATTTCTTAGAAGATTTCGTCCATTGACGAGATCCATACATACCTATTTTGGATACATATCGTCGGCACAGACCAGACCCTCTCCATCTCACGTATCTGAACTCCTATTACAAGGAGTTCGATCACATAATTCTATAAAATGCCATCCTCATCAGTCGTGAGATCCCATCCTGAACTCTTTCCCCAAGCTCCAGATACCCCCGAACTCCAACCCCCAAAAATGAACCCGTAATCCAACACAAGATCATATATCAGAAGCCCAAAATACCGCGCGCGCCACCTCATCCACACACGCTCCCTAACCCATACACCATCCATTCTCCCTCTCCCTCTCCCTCTCTCCCACCGCTCCTCAATTCCACACCAGCGAGGCCAAAAAATACAGCATCCACTTCGCCATAACCCAAGCTCCGACGACCGCCGAGGCCGCAATACCCACCAGCGCATAGAGCACCCATTTGCGCACGCGGAACGCGTCCGAGATCTCGGCTTTCATCTGCTGCCGCTGCTTGGAATGCCAATGCCAGGACTCCTCCTCGCGATCCGTCTCGCCGCTGGTGGCCCTGGCCCGGCCCCCCTCCTTCGCATCGCGGGCCGCGGGCGAGTTGAGATACGCGTAGGGCGAGGAGTCCGGGATCGGTTTGTATACCAGGTTGTGGATGAAGCCGCTGATGCGGCCCAGGAAGGTGGCGGCCGCGGGCGTGTGTTGGTAGCGGAGGTTGTGGTTGCGGGAATCGATGAGCGCGAGGGAGAGGAGGAAGGAGATGAAGGTTAGAGGTGCGATGAGGAGCTGCGCGTGTGGGTTAGTGAAAGCGGTTCACGAGAGCAATTCAAACAAAACGTACTCTGTCTATGACGCTCTCTTCTTGTGGGGGTGGTGGAGGGGGAGGGGAACGTGGAGGTGGCGAGGACGGATGGTTGGAGGCGGCGCGTGGTCGTGATGCCATTGTGGAAGTTTTTTTATGAGGGTTATTTACTTATTTAGTCATGTAATTGCTTGGGAAACGGGTTGTTTGGAAGAGATATCGGAGACATTGCCAAGAGAATGAGAGCGTTGTGTCATGAATATATAGGTATTGGCTGCTATATAGATTCTTACAAGGCCAAACGATTTTCGCGGTAGAAGCTCTGTAAGCGACCACTACTCGCTCCGAGACTCCGAAGCGTCGTCGCAGGGCTGAACCGAGGCGTGCGTGCGTGCGATGTATCGAGTTGAGCCGGGCTGGGCAGAAGAGGTTCGCAAGCAGTGAAGGATCAATTATTACAGTAGGTAGATTAAATGCGCGCGAAGAGATCAAACACGAAGTACATATCATACAATGATAAAGATGATCAGCTCTTCGGAATGCAATCGATTTGCTGGAACTTGGCGCTGCCCCCAATAATTGCCGGGGGCCAGGGTTCTCGCCACCCCTCGACAAGGCTGATCGGAGCTGATTCTTCGAGGCTGAGGATCTCAAGGCTACCAACGCCCACACCGCAATCCCTCAAACCAAGTCTATTCAAGCTGCCCAAACCCATGATCTACCCAGAACTTATTTGCCTACCAAATTCAAATGCGATTTTCTCTCGATCTGTCTAATTATGCACCTAGCCGGCCCTGGTGTTCACGATATCTAGCACCAGGATATCCGTCGCACCAACCGACGTCAATTCGTCCATGACCGTCGCGATCTTCTTCTTCTCAACCATGGAGCTTACAGCTACCCAGCCCTCTTCTTCTAATGCGTTGATTGTGGGTGCACGCTTTCCTGGTGTGATTTTGGTTGCTGCGGGAAGGTTTGAGCGGTGAACATTGTATTGGCAGAGCACGTATTGTTGCGCCGCTGAAAGATGTTAGTGAGGAACAATGTTCGGAATGGGGGACGTACTGATGACTCCTCTGATACGGGATGCGATAAGGTCGACCAGTGCCGGGTTCGTGGGGTTCTTGGATTTGATGAGGACGGCTGTACTTGATACCACCGTATCAATTGCCTTCAGGCCAGCGGCCTTCATCGTCTCACCGGATTCTGCATCTAGTCAGCCGCGCTCTTTCCAGGTAAGAGTGATACCCACCAACAAGATCCACGATACCATCTGCAACACCAAGTGCGCAGGCAGCCTCCACACTCCCACTCAACTCAATGATCTTGGTCCTCAACTTCCCTTTCGGCGCTCCAGTCGCAGCATCCTGTTCTCTCTCCAGCGCCGCGAAGTAGTCCTCGGTCAGATGGACGAAGCTTGTACCGACATTCTTCCCAATCAGATCCGAAGGTTTGACATATTGTCCCTTTTCCGGAACCTGGACTTGTAGCCTGCAGGAGCCGAAGCTCAAATCCATAACTTCCTCGCAGCCAGCGATTCCATCGTCGACCGGCGTCGATTTCCCACTTTCGGCTCGTGCCCGACGAGCTTGTTCTACTCCGGAGGCATGTTCGGCGACAGTGTCCCGCCCCGTTATCCCCAGGGAGACTCGCCCTTCTCCAACGAAGGTGGGGATATCCGCTGCGGGTAAGAAGATGAGAGCAATGGGAAGGTTCTTCACGAGCGCAATATCAAGCCTCGATTCTCTCCGGAATTGGATGTCTGCGCCTTCGAGCAGGTTGAGCGCAGCTTGTAATAAGCGCCCCTCTGAAATTGATCAGCTCTGCGTTGAGAAGCGTGGCAGACGTATGAGTAACTCACTCTTGGGAACAGCGAACAATAACCTCCCCTCTAAGCTTTCCGGGTCATTAGCAAAGATTTCACGGAGCACGTCTTCTCTAGACAGCGCGCATTCGCGATTGTAGACTTACTGATTGACCAAATCCATCGTTGCAACGTGGGTGACTGTATCCTATGCAAGCCCACTCGCAGGCTACTTCCGATCGCGGGGTATTCTTGGAGCTGAAATGCCTTGTCGTCGGGTCACAATCAAGAGGAGATAAATCTGCTGGAGCTGCAGTACAACTATGCTGTCGCAGAGGAGGTTCACCTGAGGGAATATATGGCCTCAATGGACGACGTATGTCGGGGGCAGCGAGCAAGTGTTGTCTTCACAGTTGATGGTCTCCCAGAACAAATTCTCACGAATGATGACTCTCGTCGGGGGCACGGAGCATGGAGCCCGCCAATCGGAGAGGCACTATTCCGTATCAGGACTAGTGGGCTCTCAATCAAAATCGAGTATGCTGAGCTTAGCGAACCCTACTGGAAACAGCACCATAGAATTTCGCAAATTGATATTTCCAACGTCAGCGACAGCAACCTCAGTCAACACGCAACACTCGAGCCCGAACATGAAGCCCGAAGATTGAGATAAGAATGGCGTCGTTGGCGAAGGGAAAGGATTTACTTTGACACGTGAATTGCCTGTGGGACTGCGTGTATTTCGAGATTGGGCGATACTGGCCGGGAAGGCGCCAAGGCACTTTCGCATCGAAGGATCAATAGATCTTGACCACCATCTGGACGTGGATTTGTGGGCGTGACGAAATACAACGAGGGGCTCTTTGGATTTGTGGATGCGTTCTGCCACGATGAAAGACTGGATCAAATGCTGGAAAATGGGGATGGCAAGCGGCTGGGACTTTCACGAGGGGATCATCATCAGAGGCCGCCTGCCTCGATATGCACTGCACTCTGAACTCCTTGATCCAGGCCCTCCAGCGCTTCACCCTCCATTCTCCCCATGGGTGGAGAATCCACCCTTTGCACTCTCCTCAAAGCTCAGGCTATCTCCCCTTCCCATCTTCCCCCTCCACAATCCCGCTCCTCTTCCCCCGTCCCATCACCAGAACACGATATTGTAGCAAGCATTCCCCGAGTCCTGCTAAAACCCAACCTGAAACTCTGATGGCCGAAGAGCGGGGATCCCGCAGCATGCCTCGGGCTCCTGGACCAGCATAGGAGCAGAGCGGTGAGTGATAAGATAGGAGACTTATCCGTGCACGGGGGAAGGGAAAAGGTAAGGGAGCATGTAAAGAATACAAACAATTGCAGAAGTGAGAGTGAGTGAGTGTGCGAGGGACGTAGATCTGTAAAGCAAGGCAGCAATCCTCTCCACGAGTACAGGAATGTCGCCCTCAGGCCTCAGCACACGATGAATCAATCCACAGCCCCTTTCACACTCTGCATTCCTCCCTCTCGCCGTATTCCACGTGGCGAGTTTTGCAGGACGATCTACCTACCTAGGTCCCTTATTCCTTGAATGCTGGCCCTCTTCTGCTTGGACGGGCTGCCAAGTATGGAGAAGCAGACGGTGTCTGAAACGGAACCAGAGAGGGGGATGGAGTCGCGAGGGGAGAGGACCCACGATCAGCAACTACCTTATGGAGAGCGGTTCCCTTGCGGTGCCATGGGAGAGGGATCACGTGGGAGACGCGCTGTGGGGTTGCGACTGAGAGACATGGTGAATCGGCGATAAGGCCATACCGCAACGGTTTCTAAAAATAACAATGATGATGGGACACGGAGCAGAAGCTTTCAGGGGGGGTGCTTAGGGAGAAAAGGGAAGAAGAGGAAAAAGGAGGAAAAGAGGAACAGAAAAGAAGAAAAAGAGGCTGGTGACTTGGTACGAGAGCCGTAGCTCTGTAAGTCTGTAGCTCTCCCCCCTTCCTGCTCGCATCGACAGCCAATGAGGAGACGGCAGAATTATGGAGCCGGTTCGTTTCAGGATGGGTTCTGTTCCTGGATCGGGGCGCTAGGCCCAGATGGGGCAGCGGGCGCAGTGGACCGGCGGACAGAGTGGGAACCGTGGCTTCAGGGGCGTGAAGGGCGATACGAGGGAGAAGAGAAGGAAGGGGAAAAGAGAGGGAGAAGAAGAGAGAAAAGAAGGATAAAGAAGAGAAAAAAGAGAAAAAGAGAGGCAGATCAAGACAAAGGAAAGGGGAAAAGGAGAAACACAAATCTTCTTTGATCATCCCGTGCCTGATCCCCACTTCTTTCTCCATGCGTTCTCATCATCTCTCATCTCTCATCTCTCCCCTCTCTCCCATTCTCCCCTTTCAACCGTTTCATGCGCTTCTCTGGTTCTGGTTCTTTGTAAGGTAAAGCCAACGACATCCCTATCGCCCTTAGCCCACACCGCCTGGGCAAGGAACATGTCAATCATTGCCCATGTGATCCCACCAGCGTCTTCATTGGTCGCGTAGAAAGAAAGTCGTCGTCGTCAGTCGTCTATCGATAACTCTCCCTCTCTCCCTCTCCATCTCCCTGCGCGCGCCCTCTCCCGACCGCATCGCAGGACCGTGAAGCTGTATATTGCCCGCGCCAATTGCACAGCGTTATCACTCTTGGCTATCCATAATCCACCCTTTCGCTATCCCGGCTTCATTCTTCGATTCAACATCTCCATCTCCCAGATCCTCTCTCTCGCGCGCGCAAACAGGGGCCCTCCAACCCCTACACGCTTGGGACCCTGACGACTAAGCCCCTGTTGCCCGGACACTCAAGTCTCGCCGCCCTCGCCGGGGTTGACATCCTCGTGCCCCTCGCGCTCAATGCTCTGGACAGCGCCCTGCTGCTCTTGATTCGCTCTCCTCTTGATTCCCTCTCCTCGAATTCCAGACTTCCCAGCATCCCTTTGCCTGCAACAACGCGCATACGCAACGCGCAGTACGTACCCATTCCACCCAAAACCTCGCTCGCTCTGTTTCATCGCCTTTCGCCCGTCGCCCGGGAAGAGGCTCGAGGCCAGCTCCCAGTCAACACAAGAGTCCTGTGCCCAGATCGGAATAATCAACTCTGCGGTACCTCCCTTCACGAATCCCGTCTTCAACAACCTCTCCTCCTCCAACAACATAAGCCTTTCCGCCGTCCAGGGCCCCCATCTAGTCTAGCGATCCGCACGTCCCGGGGCCTTCTGCATTGTTCTCTGCACATCCGAAGTAGCCAAAAGTAAGCTCGCGTTGCAACTCGAGCATCATTGTGCCCTCTCCTCTCCCCCCCCCCCAGAGTTCCAAACACACCGCTTTGAACCCGTTGCCCTCCCCTCCCCTCCGCTCCGCTCTCCCACCCGTCGCCGCAATTGTCACCCGAGTCAGATACATACAGCTCCGCTACAGCATCAACACACAGACGGTGCGCCGCAGACGGGTCTCCCCAAAGTCGTTGTTCCTGCAACCTGCGGAGCCCGGGTTCTGAGGCCAAGCCCACGGGAGTCAAAGGGCCGCCAGACCTGCAGGGGCCCACGATGGCACGCAAGTCGACTCTCCAGCCGCTGACGCTGGGCGATCCAACAACCGTTCTGGCCGCCGACCACTACGATCTCGACAGTCCTAGAGCTCCGCTGAGCCCCAAGTCGCCGCGCTCCCCGAGATCCCCCTTCAAGTTCACCTCAACAAAGAAACCCCAATTGGACCAGAACGTGCCCTCACTGCAACCAGCCGCCGAGATACATACCTCCCGACCTTCCATTGCTTCCTCCCAGACCACCCCGTCGTTGTCGACCTTGCAAAACTCCACGGCTTCAATAGGCGACGAGAAGCAAGGTCACGGGAGGCAGGAACGAACCGTCCGTAGTGGCTTCTTCTCCAACTACAAGGCATCCAAGAGCTCGAGCCGCTTGCAGTCAGATACCGCCAGACCGGTCGAGGAGAACGGCATGTCCAGAGAGTCAGATCGCCCTGCTATGACAGGAAACGTTTCGGCACAGGCATCTACTAGACATGGTACGGTTCAACCTCGTTTCGTCCGTCCCCGATCATCAAGCGCTTGCTAATCATGCATTATGTACAATAGAAACTCCAGTTGACAAATCCTTAATCCGAAGACCTGTTGGCGGAGCCCCCAAGTCGGAGGCACCGACAGCGCCCGCATCAGACCAGCCGCGCGAAGCTGCTTCTGGTACCCTCACAAAGAAGAATAAGCCAAAGCCTTTCAGCCTGCTGAATAGGACCAAATCGATCCGGGATGAGCCGAGCCCGCGAGACCCATCCCCTCACAATAAACACTTAGATCCGGAGCGGATTCATGTGCAGCACGCGATCAAGACCGCGCCGCTGCGATCCGAGAACGACAGGTCGTTTAGGGACATGATGAACTCGAACGTCAGACAACATTCCGCGGACCGGCAGCCGACTGCGGCGCGGGATGACTCTCGATGGAAAGAGCATAGGGATAATGGCAAGACACCGAACTCATCCCTCCGTGAGGTCAGTGGACATGGGTTCCTCACAAACCTCAAGAACGGCGCATCAAAAGGTGCAGGTGCTCTAAGCAAGGGCCTGTTCGGAAAAGGACGAAGTTTCAGCACGAATGAGAGGGAGATGGTTGTGGACGATGAGCATTACCAGTTGAAGGTCATCAACAAGCCATTGATCGAGCAGACACGCCTTACCAGAATATCCAAGAGGTTAGAGGACTCGAGGGATAAGACGGAGTTCTGGATGCCGGCGTTCCCATGGAGAGCCATCGATTATCTGAACTACAAGGGCAGTGATGTTGAGGGTCTATACAGAGTACCTGGGAGTGGACCACAGATTAAGAAATGGCAGAGACGCTTTGATGAAGGTATGTAAGCTTCTCATCGGTGAAAGCTTGACCCGCTAACAATCGCCAGAACTCGATATCGACCTCTTCGAACAGGAGGATCTGTACGATATTAATATTATCGGCTCCATGCTCAAGGCCTGGCTGCGCGAACTTCCCGATGAGATTTTACCCAAAGCTACCCAAGACCGTATTTCCCGGGAGTGCAGCGGCGCTCAAACCGTTCCCGAACTCCTCATCGAGGAGCTCTCCAACCTGTCCCCCTTCAACTACTACCTCCTCTTCGCCATCACGTGCCACCTCTCCCTGCTACTCGCCCACTCCGAGAAGAACAAGATGGATTATCGAAACCTTTGTATCTGCTTCCAGCCTTGCATGAAGATTGACGCCTTCTGCTTCAAGTTCCTCGTCTGCGATTGGAGAGATTGCTGGAAGGGGTGCAAGACCGAAGCACACTATACCGAGTTGGAATACCAACTCTTCAAGGAACTGGAACGTCCACCCCCCAGTGCGGGGGCATTAAGTAGCACAGCCATTGAAAGTCATGCCGAGCGAAATATCAGCAGTTCGGACAGCAGCAAGCCATCGATCCTCAGTACTACGACGAACGATAAGGGCAACACTACGAACGAGAAGAGCAAGCGGGGCAAGGGCCAACACAAGAAGTTGCCGCCGAGCCTGAGCAGTGTCAGTTTGAACTCCCTGGCCGCGACGGTAACATCTGGTCATGAAACAACCCCACCGAAAAGAAGCCCAGAGATGCGCCCTCTGAGTCCTATTGCGCCATTGAGCCCTATTGGCTTCTGAAGAACTTTTGGAGTTGTCTTCTGAATCCCCTCTATCCTCCTGGGGTGAACTGCACGAATCGAATGGCATACATTGTCTACAATACGTTCTCGTCATCAAAACCAGGATTAATAGTCAAGAGCGGTCATCCGACTAGGTCGCTCTGCAATGGGATTGCGGTAATAAATCTATACCACGCTACCCTTTCCCCTCCCACTCCATTCGGAGAATACTACTACCAGAGCGCGTCTCCGGCATAATTCGATTCATACACGTGTCGTTTTTACACCGCATTTTCCTTCCTACTTTTCTATTTTCGGTGCCATGAATGAAACGAGGCTTATTCTTTGAGAGAGTTGAATACCCGAGCCTAGTTCCCTGCATTTATCGTCGTCGTTGCCCTCTTTTGCCTTTTTTTCGACGCAGTTCTTGCTTTTTGCACTTGCATGGGCGGCAGGCGGATCTTTTCTGATGACCTTTTTCCTTTCTTTCTGCTTTTGATCTTCTTTGTAATGGGTGGAGTGGGGTGTCTGCCGCAGGAGAAATGATACCTCTCTTTTCTCGCCTCCTGAGAACACTTGGATTTCGAGTGTCGGTGGGATCTGGTTTGCTTGTGGGGTGAGAGATGGTGCAGTAGTGAAGGAGCAGGCAATCCAGGGCCTTTGATTTGAAGGGGCACGCCCGAGTGTGAGCTGAGAGAACCACCACACAACGCATGGACGGATGGGCGGCGTTGTGAAGACTTGTACGATAGATAATAGTGCTGCGAGGGAACAGACAGACGGGAGGCAGGCGGTTTTCTGAAACAGCTGATGAATGAATGAACATATGAACGAGCCCCACGAGAAAGAATAAGTTAACTTATTTACCATACATAATTCGATTTATCTATAAACGATCCGTCTGTAGAGGTTGGGATATCTGGTTCATGGTGTTAGTTTGTATATAGGTACCTATGAAGGAATGAGTATGCTTTTTTATCCCCCCCGCGCCAAATGCATTTTTGATCTAGAAAACGCCTTCCCCAAAAGCAAGCAAGTACAGAAGCCCCCAACGCCATTCCTCATCCACATCCCCACACCCCACCCCTCACCCATCCTCTCTCCCCCCTCACACACACCCTTCTAATTCCCACCGCCCTTCCTACCCCTTCTCTCATTCCTCCTCATCAACCTCTCATTCCTCTTAACCCTCTCCCTCCTCTCCCTCCTTCCCGCCCCGCGGCCCCCATCCCCATCAACCTCCTTCTTCTCATCAACCTCGACTATCCACTGATCATCCTTCGCTTTGTTCGCGCCCTTGTAACCCCATTTCTTCTCCCATTCGCCGGTGTCAGGGTTGTATTGTAGGTTTTGCCGTGTCGCGGCGCTCTTGGGCTTGATGCCTTTCTTGGCTGCGAATTTTTGCCAGGTCGTTTGGGCCGCGGGCGTTGGGAGGGGCTGTGTGGGTGGGGTGTTAGTTATGGGTTTTTCTCATCTTTTTGATTTTGGGGAGGAGGGGGGGGAAAGACATACCTTCTCCCTAGGAATCCTAGACTCAATAGCAGGCAGCGACAGCAAAACCCCACTAGGCGTCGACGTAATCGGACACGTACTCAGCAACTGATTGATCAGCGCCTGCGCGCCATCTCGCGCCGTGGCCGCCAGGTCTTCTTCGAGCTGCGAAGCGGTGCTGAGTTGCAAAGGGTTGGGATCTTGGGCGAGGAGTAGCCCGAGATCGAAGGTGTAGGGGGTGGGTTTTTGGACTTGGACGGGGAGCCGAGAGGACCCTTCTGTGGTGGTTGCCATATTATTTCCTTCTCTGGGCTTTGAAAATCGAAAATGGAGTTATGAAGGTATAGAGTGGTGGTTTTATATACATGCAGTGAGAGAGTAGTTGATAAAATATCTCGGGAAACTTTTTTGGAAATGCGGCCGCATTTTAGCGTCCCCGGATCAAAGATTTGGAGTGTGAGACCTCGCTCCATCACCATCATCTCCTGCTGCTCCAAAGAGGTCACTCCAACAACGCAACAATCCACAATGGCGTCTTCAGGGTGCTGGAAGTGTCTCGCGCGGCCGTCCGGGTCCCTGACATCCCAATTGGCCCTCCGAACACCCGGCGTCTCAGCCGCGTTCTCGACGACGACCGCGCGGGCGGCCCTACCGATCAAGGCGAAGAAGCCCTCGCAGGCCCGGCCGGCGTTGAAGGCCAAGGGGTCGAAGACGCTGCGGATCAAGAAGAAGGCGCCGGCGAAGCCGTCGGGGAAGCCGCCCATGCCCGGGGAGCGGAAGGCGATGCGGAAGCGGATCGTGCTGAGCAACACGAATGCGCTGGAGGTGCCGATGATGGATTTCAATGAGCATATGGTGGCGGATCCGACGATGGCGGGGAAGGTCGTGGCGTTGCCCGGGGAGGTGGTGGATAGTTTGAGGGCCGTCGAGGCGTTCAAGGTTAATCAGGGATGGGGCCTCTTCAGGAAACCGGCGCTGTTGCTGAGGGAGGAGAGCGCGGTGTTGGGGCAGAAGATGGTGGCTGCGGAGAAGAACAAGGAGGCTGTGCGGTTGGTTATCGATGGGGAGAGGGGATCGGGCAAGAGTTTGATGCTATTGCATGCTCTTTCGGCGGCCTTTCTCAGGGGCTGGATCGTGCTCAGTATCCCAGAAGGTAAAGTCTTTTTCACCCTCTGTCCGTTTTGATCAACACCTACTAACACGACGACGGCAGCCCAAGATCTCTGCAATGCCTCAACCGAATACGCACCCCTCCCTGGCACGAACCCCACCATCTACACGCAAAACGTCTACACCGCCAACTTCCTCGCCCAGATCCAAAAATCCAACAGCGTCCTCCAAACCCTCCACGTAACCAAATCCCACAACCTCCCGATCCCGCTCCCGGAAAAGACGACGCTCGCGCGGCTCTGCGAGCTCGGCGCCCGCGACCCGGACATCTCGTGGCCCATCTTCCAAGCCTTCTGGGCCGAGATCACGGGGCCCGCGCGCCCACCCGTCCTCTTCACGCTCGACTCCCTCAGCTTCACCATGGGGCTCTCGGCCTACCGATCCGCATCCTACGAGCTGATCCACGCGCACGACCTCGCGCTCGTGCAGCACTTCGTCACGTATCTGTCAGGTGAGAAGCCGCTGCCCAACGGCGGCGCTATCCTCGGCGCCACGTCACGCAGCCACGCGCCCGTATCCGCGAGTCTGGAACTAGCTCTCAAACAAGCACTAGAGAAACAGCAACACGGCGAGATCATGACGAAAAAAGACCCATACGGTAAAAAATACGACACCAGAGCAGAAGACAAGTTGAAGAGTGTAGAAGTTCTGAAATTAAAGGGACTGAGTAAAGTAGAAGCTAGGGGACTGATGGAGTATTGGGCCCAGAGCGGTTTGTTGAGAAGTCGTGTGGATGAGAGACTTGTTACGGAGAAGTGGGCACTAGCGGGTAATGGGATTGTTGGGGAGATTGAGAGGGGGGTGTTGAGGATGAGGATTTAGGATTTAGATTTGATTAGAGGGGGGGGTGATTGATGGATGGATGGATGGATGGGGTGGGGGAGTGTAAAAAATGTAAAAAGGGGGGGCCATAAGGAGGGTGGGAGGGATGTGTGTATAGTAGATATGTGTGACTCTCATAAAGTATAAATAGATAAGTAACTCAAATGAACTGGTTTATCTTCATTTTCATTTTTATACCATTTCAATATTTCTACATACCTACCTACCAACATATATAACATCACCAACCCATCTCTCTTCCCGCACTCATTCATCATAAACCAACCATGATACAAAGGACCAGGATCGTGATGGAGAGGGTATATAGATTCGGTGAGAGACTGCAAAAGAACCAGCTTGTTAGTTTGTTTTCAGCTTAGAGAGAACACAAGGGGGGAGAGAGGGATCCTTACCGGAAAGAAGATGAATTCAGAGCCACGGCGTGGAGATCAGGGAAGTACTATATGAGTAGTTAGTTAGATGGATTGAACGGAAAGGAAGGTAAAGAAAAGAAAGGCATGCAAGCATGACGAAAAAACATACAGGTGTTCCAAAGCCCGACGCCGCATCCCAGCCCACGCCCGCTGGGAACCCAGCCATGCCACACCCCACCGCCGACCCATTCACCACATCCCTAAACGCCTTGTACCCGACCTTATAAAGCCACGGGTTCAAGAACCCCAGCACGGGTTTCCCAGCCGCGAGCAGCGCGTCGTTGACTAGTGAGATGACGGAGGCGGCGGTGGGCGTCGCGGCGCTGGTGCCGTCGAGGGGCGTGATGGTCCCGTTCCAGATGGTGAGGAAGTGGTAGCCTTGGGCCGAGATGTCGGGATAGCCGCGTCCCGAGGCGTTGTAGAGGGTGTGGAGTTGGGAGGGGAGAGTGGTGAGGTAAGGGGGGACGATGGGGTCTTGGTAGGAGGGGCGGGGGAAGTAGTTGCTGAAGCCGCCGCCGCTGGAGAATTTGTTGGAGGCGTCGAAGGCGACGATCTCGGGGTTGATGTTCCGGGTGGCGCCGACCGCGGTCACGTAGGGCTTGGGACGGGTTAGTTAGGATGGGGTTGAGTGACTAGGAGAAGGTTGGATGGCTTACGCAGGATGCGGGGAATACAGGGAGGAAGCTGGTGGTGTTTTTGCCATCATTGGTGAAGCAATCACCAGCCGCCCCGACACCGTTGTCCCCGCTTGCGAAGAGGACGGAAATTCCACGGGCCCCTAACTGGGCGAATCCTTTGCAAACGGACACGGCATAAGAATAAGGAACGGTTTGCTCGTCATCGCTGTAAGATGTGCTGATCACTTGAGGGATGTCCTTCTGTGCTAGGATGTACTGCAACCAGGTTAAATACGGCTCGTTTGTGTTATTGACAGTCAATGCATCCGGTGTATAAGGAGGACTTCCACCGGTGTTATACGCTGTGAGTGGCGTAGGCCAAGTCATCGCGAGAATTGTCTCGGCATCTAGATTACCCTCTGTGTCCTTTCCTGCAGTCAATTGAGTGGCGTTGTTGGGGGTCTGTTGGTCATCACCATCTGCGATAACCTGAACTGTGAAGTTGTACGCAGCTCCAGCAGCTTCGGGTCGGAATTGTTGAAGAAAGATGGCTACGTCTGATCGATTGTTCGCTTCTCCAAGATAATTCGTCAATGCGATTTGATTCGAATTAGATGACTGGACCGTGTAATCAAGAGTACCTAGATCGAGGTCAACTCTGTATGACAACCTTACCAATCTCACTGACCATATAATTTTCGGAGGCAGAGAGGTGTCACTGCGGTGGAATTGCATGCCTTGTCGAGGGGAGGGTCATTCGAGCTTTTGAGAGCATTCAGATCTGATTGACTGAAATGGAAATCAACAGAAGAGTCTTTGAGTGTTGATCTTTTAGGCCTGGCGCGGAAGAACGAGTTGGTAGGTTGAATGACTTCAATATGTTCATGAAGATCGAGAGGAAGCGACCATTGAGGGGTTCGAATGAGACGTGTTCCATCTGCGTGTTTAAACACAGAGTAGTGAGTATCTAGTAGGCGCTCCACAGATTCAATTGGCAATGTGACTTGAATCCAGTCCTTTGCAGAGCTATATTCCAAGCTCTCTGTTTCAATGCCATTGTCGAGGAGCCAGTCATGAACATTTTTCAGAGCTTCCTCGCTAGGTTTCACTAGTTCATTTACTTCTGCTGCAGAGAGATGCTGGCCGTATCGACGATGTGATGGATCGGAGACTGTTTACTTCGTATCAGTACAGCAACCGGATGCATTTCAGGAGACAGTTTAGTCATGTGACCACCAACGTATGCATATTTTAAATCTCTACTTACCTTCATATAAATGTCGTTCGAGTTCATTGAAATTACTCTGCTTTAATCCAATTTGCAATTGCACTAAGTGTTGTGCTGGAGCTGGTCCGAGTCGGGTCCATTGCCGTGGCACGCGATGGCTGTCTTTGACTGCATAGGGGGAACGAATTCGTAAATCAGAGGCTGTGATGCTAGTCGTACAGACCAGCATTGCCATCATGGCAATACAAGTAATAGATGGCATCATCTTGATGGTATATAACTCGAGCGAAATGGTTAAGATGCAACGCTGAAGGGGAGAATAGTGTTCATCTAGTCATATCTGTCAGCCTAGACCCTGAATCAACTGGAAGAGGTATTGCAAACGTAACTACCCCATTGATATCTTGGTTGACTCGTTTCTCCTGTCCCGGCTGCGAAACCAGGAAATCTCACCTAGTGACTGTGCCCATAATAGTAATGAAAAAGATCAAACACATCCGCTAGGAAAAAGTAAAGACCTATAATGAGTTAGAAGATATAGATAATCCTTATTGAAAAAAGAAGAAAGAGAAAAGTAAAAGAAGTCTCCGGAGAGTTTCCAACACGTCCTCTCACACGAGTCACACTCTTCAGGGCCCAACTGGCCGCGAGTGGGTCATGAATTTCAGATTAAATATGAACTCGGCCTACTCACTGAGCAAAGATTGTAATCAACACCTGACATGAGAAAATCATATATACATAACGAAGGAGTAAACGTTCTGGAGATCCAGAGCTGATGTTGTCGTTGAAACAAGAGCGGCGTTACCCAATCTAGAAGTTCGCTTCGCTTATCTAACCTAATAAGGAAGCTCACATTGCTATGCCCCTTTCCCATTGCCGAACCTTCCCCCCTGTCAAGGCTCGCACGGAAAAAAGATACTCCTCGCTGCATTTCATACCTTACATTTCCTTCCGTCAACTACCTATATGATATTCGAGGCTGGGCACTTGAACTTCGCGCCGATGGACGTAGGACAATGTGAGCCACGATGTCGACAGCTGGTGGGCAGTGCCAATATACCGTTGCAATGATCCCAGTACGTTGCGGCCACACTGTCGACCAGCTAACCATGAGCCTTCCATTCCCGAGAATATATCCGAATAGGCTGATGAAAGGCCGGTGGAAGCGCAAAACAATAAATGGGCGGGTTTGAGAGAAGACATGTTGGTTTGGTAGCATAGTTTGCGAAGTCGGGGTTAATGTTATAACAGATAATCGTTCGCGAGCCGTGGTGATGTGCTCAAAGATGTGAGCGGGCGGCAATAGCAACATGGTATACTCATTGGGTGGTGGCGGTAGTTGAAGAGGTAAGTAGTTTTGGTTAGAGACGAGTGGAGGTGGCTGAAAATATAGGTATTAGCAAATATTTGGCTTCAGGTAAAGTGAGATAGGTAAAGGGTGACTGACATGTGGGGAACGGATGAACCTTTGGGTGCGAGAGGCAGCAATACGCCGAGCGCGACGACGGAACTCGAGTTGGACATGAAGAGGTACTATATTCATGGTACTTGATAGTTGATACTGGTAAGAAGGCGAGAAGATGTTTGATGTGAATTATGTAATATCATGCTCGAATTCTAAGATGATAGAGATGAAGTACTGAAGTACTGAAGATACTGTTGATTGAAAGATGAAGAGCAGACTTAAAGAGCTTTATACCTACCAACTGGAAAGAAAGGGGGCTATAACAATCAATGGTCACCTACGTACCTACGACGAACGGTCGTCGTAGGTGTGGACGCCCTAGAAAACCATATGGCCTCCTCCCTCCCCCTTTTTAATGCTTATCGGCTCGCCTGATCTCTGACCCACCCTAGGATCTCATATGATGATGGTCCGCTCATCTACCTCCTCTCATTCAGGACAGCATCTCGAACCTTTTCTTGAATGTGGAGGAGATGTTGTTGCAGTATACCCTGTGGTAAAAGTGTGTACCATAGAGCCCTTGGGCTTGGAACAAAAAGCGGTGGGATTGAATTGCACTCTACTCTTTAACGACACGAACTCCCATCTCGTTTTCAAATGACTAACCCATACGCCACTCCAATAATTGCCCACCATCCTTCCTTCTTCTCCGAATTATCTACCGAATTACTCCATTTCATATTCAGCATCCCGCGCCATGTGCGCCGCTTCGGAAACAATAAAAAGAAGTCTCGTTCCATTGCGTGCCGTTTGCCAGATCTAAATCGCGTTAGAACACATCCCTAGGTAATGGGCTGGAGGGAGACTTACATCCAGATTCGTGTACTCATCCAAAGCAGCCAACCATTGGTCCCTCGTAAATCCCTTTGCAATAACACGCTCCTGGACCTTCTTCAAACTCAACTCCATACCCAGCGTTTCCTCATCATCCTCATCCGCATCCTCAGGCCTACACTGCCCACTTTCTGCCAGTGCTCTGACCATATTATAGATTCTCGAGGTGGGGGACATATCTTTCCGGTACCCATCCTGATCCGCGTATAAACTCTCCTTGCTAGCTTCAATTAAACGGAGCGCTTCATCGACATCATCCTGTACGACCTCTTGCGAAAATCGAAGTCTGGCAAGCGCCTGAGCAAGACGTACAATACCAAGGAGAGTACGTGGTGAGGTGTGAGAGAACTGCTTTTTGTTTTTCTCGTCCCGTGATTGTTGGTCACGCATTTTGACGTACGCCTTGACGATGTATTCTGATACGGGGGTGGGCAGGGTAGGATTGAAAGTACGGGCTTGAGCCACGTATTGACGGACTTCGTTGGGCGAAAAGACAACACCGTCAGTGTCGGGGTGTTTGTTGTTCATGTGGACGTAAGTTACATGGCGGGCGAGGAGGGCGTCGTTGTCTCTTGTAGGTGTGTCTAGAATTAGGAAAAGAACGTCGAAACGTGAAAGGAGAGCGGCTGGGAGGTTGATGTTTTCGACGGGTGAGATGCGTGGGTTATAGCGGCCGTAGAGGGGGTTGGCTGCTGCAAGGATTGACGTCCGTGCATTCAAGGTTGTTGAGATTCCGGCTTTGGAGATGGAGATTGTTTGCTGTTCCATGACTTCGTGGATAGCGGTTCGGTCACTATCATCCATTTTATCGAATTCATCGATGCAGCAGATCCCATTGTCTGCAAGGACCAACGCACCGCCCTCGAGGATCATCTCATCTGTGACGGGATCTTTCATGACCGCTGCCGTGAGACCGACACCACTGCTTCCTCGGCCTGTGGTGTAGACTCCACGAGGGGCCACTTTGGTAATGTACTTGAGTAGTTGAGACTTGGCCACACCGGGGTCGCCCATCAAGCAGATGTTGATATCTCCCCTGATTCGCATACCATCTCCCATCTGTTTCGTCGCACCACCGACCAACAAGAGCAGTAGAGCTTTCTTGACATCCAAATGACCATAAATTTCCGGAGCAATGGACTTTGCTAGGTATTCATAAACGTGACCAGACGCTCGGTATTGTTCGATACGCCTAAAAACTCTGTTGTCAATTGCAAGATCCTCGTAAGCCTTTTTGTGCTGGGTGACATGTTGAGCCTCGAGATAGGTGTCTGTAAGAAGACCAGCTCTGATTGCTTTGAACCCGGTGTAGGGCGTAGGCAAGAAGATGCCAGCAATATCAACGACATCTCCAGGGTTGATCCGGCGGACGAGAGCCCCATGGCAGAGGACCGTCAACATCCTAGGAATATGGCCAACGGGTACCTGTTCAGCCAATTCTTGAATCTTGACCTCCTGAAATGGCTGGAATTTGGAGGCTCGAGTCGAGTGATGAAGTTGGCCCTTGGACTGATTGGTCTTGCAATCTTGCGATGGGCACTCAATCAGTGGTCCAAAAGTCTTGGATCCAACGGGTTGGAAGATTTCGCATCCACAGCGGTCGCAGGTGTATGCATTGACCTCCACAGTTGGCTTGACGTCCGAAACTCTCGTTGTAATTCCTCTGACGGTGATTAAATGGCCGAGATGCTCTCCACGAACTTGACGCACTGCTAATGCCTTCTTGGGTTCATCACCTTGTGTTCGTGGCTTAAAGTTGAGGCTATATCGGCGAGTAAGTTCAGCAGGAAAAAGCTCTGGTTCAATCGCTGCGTCTGGTTGCTCTGCCGCCGCACGCATCAATGCATTGTTCCGCGCAGTTCGTTGAGACATTAGGACATCGAGGACATCGTCCTTATAACTACCGGATATTAGAGCTATTCTAGATCTGAAGAGGAAGACTTACTTGATGTCTCTTGTCGGGGCTGGCATTACTTTATCAACAGCTCTTGCCATGATATCCAGATAATGCTTCGCATTGGTCTCGATGGAAGATACCAGGTTCAGAGGAGTACCGCTCTGCTCTAATAATTCATCATACTATCAAGGGTTAGCAATATTCGTGGCTGATTTATGAGGATATTCTACTTTTGCCAGATCATCAAGATCAATCGTGATCTCGTCCTCATATCTATCTGCGACCTTCTGCAGCAACTCTACATACTTCAACTTCGGTTGCTTCGCCTGCGATCTTTCTTTCCTTCGCGCATCCCGGCCCTCCTCATCGTCATCGTCCATAAAATCGTACTCGTCACTGAAATCATCCTCGTCAATATTCATGTCACCCAGCGCATTTGCGAGGGCGGATGTCGGAGAAGTCTTGAAGGTTTGGAGGAACTCTTCGAAAGCCGCTGCAAAGAGTTAATCAGTACTCGGCAGCGTGCGATCCTCGAAAAGCATACCTTGGTGATCCTCATAGCTGACAGGCGCCCTGAATTGAAGAAGCGCCATCTTGCGCACGAGGACCCAGAATCCTCGCGAGTAGGTGCGAGCGGTAAACTGACAGGTCGGAGACGGAGACGATGATGGAGCGGTGCAGGGAGGATACAATTGAGCTTGGAACTGAGGTTGATGTTGCGTAGGACTCCAGTCGTTGACGTTGTTGAAGTTGTTGCAGAGTCTTGATCTTCCCAGGGGCTGGTCGTTGACTCGTTGGCGCTGGTTCCCCTGGCGCTTCCAAATTTCGTGTCGCGAACGCGTAAATTGGTGTTTAGCGTGAATTTTGGCGTTTGGCAGCCCTTACCCGATCTGCCCTAGCGTGCTCTTCATGTGCCGAGGCTGTCATGTCAGTCAGTGCCTGAAAAGAAGCAGGCTCAACACCAAGGTCCCGACTCACTCCCATGACTTCCTGTCGCAATCATGGCCCCCGACCCAAGGAGGCGTAATAGCCAAGCTATATCTGCGGAGATCTCGATTGTACATCTGAAGAATTGCTTGGCTAACCTCCCATCCTCTTTGTCCTCGTTATTGGCCAATATAAACACGGTACGTCCCGCAGTTCCCCCGCAGTAGGAAGATCGCTGACCTCTTCTTAGCCAGTGCAAAATGTTATTATAGAATTGAACTATCGAGTCCCTCCTCCTCCTGGCAGCGAGACGAAAACGCCAACGACTAGGTCAATCTTCGTAGGATGGACGGGGATGCAAAGCAAGCGCAGACTTGCGCCCATTGTGAACAGAGATGGGATAAGTGGAATAAGAGGCAACACATCAGGTCGAGAGCAAGAGGTGCCTCTGATAGAGATCGACGCAACTTTCGCACGCACATTGGGTATTTCCGACGGCCAGAAAGTTACAGCGAGCCTGCATGTGGATCCGCCCATTGCACACACTGTGCATATTGAGCCCTTAACACCCGAAGACTGGGAGATTATAGAGCTACATGCTACGTTTCTCGAGCTTAATCTGGTCGCTCAAATTCGCGCATTGCCCAATCCGAGCTACGTTCCTTCTGGTGGGTTGACAACGGCGGCGCATCCTCTAACTCTACACCTATCGCCGACATCGACTGCGAATATCACCATTACGTCTCTCGTCCCAGCACCGCCATCAAGTTCGCCATTTGCGAAACTGGCACCTGATGCAGAGGTGATTGTAGCTCCTAAATCGAGGTCGAAACCGTCACGCACATCCGGGGAGGATCGCAGTGTAACATCAGGAAAGAGTGTAGGCGGCAGAAGTGGCGCAAGCACAGTGCGGCGGAAGGGTGGTAGCAAAGAAGAAAAACGACCACCTATGTTCTTCAGAGGACTCGACCGAAGCATGTGCGAAGAATTTTTCGAAATTGGCAAAGATGTGGAAGATCAGGGTTTGAAAGCTTGGGTAGACAGAGATATCCTCATGTCAAAAGCCTTAAGGGGGGTTACTTGGGCTTGCATTACTGTTATCAAGCCTGCAAGCCTGCAGGCGCCGATTGATCCTCAAAAGCAGCAGCAAGAGGCTCAGAACTCTGGAGAGGCTGGCAAAATTACGTCAACGGTGGTAGCAAAGTTGATGGCATGGGATGACCCGCCCGATAGTCATCATATTGCATTATCATCATCGCTATGTGCATCGCTTGGTTGTGAAGGTATTGTTGGAGGCGTAGTAAAGCTGGAACCTGCGCCCCCACAAATATCGAAGTTTTCATCGCAAGCTTCAAAAGATCAGTCGACGCCAAAAACCGGACCTCCACAAATCAAGATCTACCCATTCGCTTCCAGCTCGGGCAAAGCAAAGGAGGGCCTGAAATTTGGTGGCGAATCAAAAACCGAAAGAGAAGAGGCCAGTAGGCGGATCTTGAAGATGTACAGCAGCCAAGGGGACGTTCCAGGTCTGTTAGATGGACCATTGACTGATGGCTCAGTTCTTGGAGTTCCAGCAAAAGGTGAACACGTTTCCGGCTGGGAAGGTGGTATTCTCCGGTTTGATCATCCCTCATCTGAAGGTGGCAAGCAATCCTGCAGTTGGTTTCTCGGGTCAGAACGAAGATATACTGTTGAGGTCCAAGCTGCGATACCACGACCATTGTCCATCACCAAAGGCAATGCCGTCGGAGATCCTCTACCTTCAGAGGCCCCCATACTTGTTGGTGTCGACAACCTGATTGAGCAATTGCGATCTAACCTGTCACATATGTCCTCAGTCCTGCTGACCGGAGCGCTTGGTGCAGGGAAAACATCTGTCGCACACCTTTTGGCTCATCGGTTACGATCAGAATTGCTCTTCCATACTATATATTTCTCATGTCGTAAGCTCGTTACAAACGAGACGTCACTTACAACGATCAAAGAAAGTCTCACTCGGGTATTCATGGGTGCTTCTTGGGGTGCCAGGCTCGGTGGAAAATCGGTTGTGATCTTGGATGATCTTGACAAGCTATGTCCAGTTGAGACTGAGCTCGAAGTAGGCATGCAGAATGGCCGTAGTAGGCAAATCAGTGAAGGAGTCTGTGCCATTGTGAGACAATATTGCGCTCGAGACAGTGGTGTCGTTCTCCTCGCCACCGCTCAAGCCAAGGAATCTCTCCATAATACTATTGTTGGGGGTCATATTGTTCGCGAAATTGTGGCGTTGAAAGCACCTAGCAAAGAAGGAAGACGAAGAGTCATGGAGATGGTAGTCCGACGCAACGCCAACGACGCCGAAGCCCATGAACTCAAACGCTCTCAAGACAGTCGTCCCACTACAGCCGATGGTAACGGCAGCGAAAATGATGGGGGTTGGATGGATGCAGGCAAATCCTCCCGTCGCGGGAGCTCATCAAGCAAAAATGATGGCTTTATCATAGATTCTTCTCTCGACTTCCTCGATCTCGCCGGCGAAACCGATGGCTACATGCCAGGTGACCTCGTCCTTCTCGTCGCACGCGCTCGAAGCGAAGCATTAATCCGCTCTGTATCACAAAGCACCAAATCCACGGACGGTTCCTCCATCTCCCTCAGCCGTGCAGATTTCGATTCGGCATTGAAAGGCTTCACACCCGCATCCCTACGAAATGTAACCCTGCAAACAAGCACAACAACATTCGACTCTATAGGAGGGCTGAAAGAAACACGCAAAATCCTCCTTGAAACTCTGCAGTACCCGACTACCTACGCCCCCATCTTCGCTCAATGTCCTCTGCGTCTCCGATCTGGATTACTACTATACGGGTTCCCAGGCTGCGGCAAGACCCTCCTCGCATCCGCTGTAGCAGGCGAATGCGGCCTCAACTTCATCTCCGTCAAAGGACCCGAAATCCTGAACAAATACATCGGTGCTTCGGAGAAATCGATCCGCGATCTCTTCGAACGTGCAGAGGCCGCTCGTCCCTGTATATTGTTCTTCGATGAATTCGACTCTATCGCCCCGAAACGTGGGCATGACAGCACCGGTGTCACGGACCGCGTCGTTAATCAACTACTCACACAGATGGATGGTGCGGAGGGGCTGTCAGGTGTCTATGTACTCGCGGCTACGAGTAGGCCTGATTTAATCGACCCGGCGTTGCTAAGACCAGGAAGACTGGATAAGAGTTTGATCTGCGACCTACCAGATCTGGAGGATAGGATCGACATTCTCCGCGCCTTAGGCAAGAAGCTCAAACTATCCGACGAAATCACTTCCGATTCCGAACATGGATTAAGGGAGATCGCACTCCGGACAGAAGGCTATTCAGGCGCGGATTTGCAAGCCGTCGTTTACAACGCGCACCTAGAAGCCATCCACGACGTGCTCGGCGACCATAATCCCCCTGAGCTAGGCGGAAAGAAAAACCAAGCAAAAACCAATGGCGTCCTTTCTTCATCAAAAAAGTTCCTCCAATTCCGCTACGGCGAAGAAGAAGACCGGGAGGATGCACGCTCGCGCGCCCTGCAGAACAAGAATAAGTTACTTGCAGAGCGGGCCGCCATCGCCCTCAAACTCGACGAGATCAAGCAGGCCAAGAAGCGGGCCAAGCTGCAACAGCGCGGGCTAGCTGACGTGCGGGAAGCCAAGGATGAGAAGTGGGCGAAGGAGGAGAAAGAGGAGAAGGAGGTGGTGATCAGTTGGAAACATCTAGAGCATAGTCTGCAGACCACGAGGGCGAGTATCTCGGCGGAGGAGAGACGCAGGTTGCAGGGTATATATCGCGAGTTTGATGGGCATCGGAATGGGGAGATGCCGTCCGGCGAGGGGGCGAGGGATGTGGGTGGGAGGACGAGCCTGATGTAAAAGTCTGGTGTAAAATGTATAGGTAGGTATGTAAGGTATATAAGGCAGGTACATTATCCTTGCATGCACTGCGGAGTGTAGGTAGATGCACATATATACATACATGGGAGTAATTCACACACAAACGGGCTCTAAAGCGATAATAAAGTATCATTGCACGCTAAGTATGAATAAAGTAGTGATCCAATAACTAACAATAAAGGCGAGCATATTCCCATACCCCGTATAAATAGACTCCATCATGAAATTCATACCTCAATCATATCCTAAACTCGTGATCAGGAATCCGCAACAGCGCGATAGCTTAACACTAGCTTCTCGCCTTTGGGACCAGCCAGAACAGTGTCTTCCTGCTCGATCCCGTCGTCGTCGACGATGGTCGTTTCGAAATGCGTGTAGGTCGTTGCCGTGATGGCTTTCAATGCTATTTCCATGTCAGGGAAAGGGAGGGGAAAGAAGAAGAACTCTATTAAAAAGAAAGATGATTTAAGAGAGGGAGATGGAAAAGGGGGTAAGGAAAAAGGGGGGGGGGGGGGGAGGTATTAAATTACCATGCATAGCGAAATGACTCCCGATACACATCCTCCCCCCGCTTCCAAAAGCCCAGAACCAGGAATTCATCTGCGGCGGGCGGGAAGCAGCGAGCCAGCGCTCGGGCAGCCAGGATTCGGGCTCGGGAAACACGGATGGGTTGCGGTGGAGACAGTATGCGGAGGTGCCGATTTCGACGCCGCCGGGGATGGAGTAGCCGTCGATGACGGTCCCGCTGGGAGGGACGACGCGCATGCTGAGCGCGGGGGTGGGTGGATAGAGGCGCAGGGTTTCTTTGACGATGGCGTCGAGGAGGGGGAGGTTGCTGAGATCTTGGGGGTGCGGGAGGGGATGCGGGGATTGGGAGTTGGTGGGGTGGAAGGAGGGGGAGAGGGTGAGGAGCTCGGCGCGGAGGGAAGATTGGAGGGAGGGGCGGCGGGAAAGCTCCCATTGGATGTAGGTCAGGGTTACTCGGAAGGTTTCATGGGTTGCTAGGAGGTGGTCGAGCATTTCAGAGGCGGTGGCTTTGAGGTGGGATTTGTCGGATTCGGATGACGATTTGCAGAGGTGGGAGGAGAGTTCGGAGTACACGACTGGTTGGGTATTGGGAGTGGAAGTTGGTGATTTCTCGTCGGGGACCTGGGATCTTTCCGCGGCCTGGCATAAGGATAGGACGAAAGCTTCTACCTCTTGCGTTGCTTTCATCCGTTGCTCTTTTGTGGCCGCTAAACTCCCGTATAAGCCTCTCATTTTCGTTCGTATATTATTCATGTATTCTCGGCGGGTACGAATGTCGCGAATGAAATCGGTGGAATTTGCAAGACCAAAAAGATAGGCCGAAGTGAAGTCCATGCCCAAAGCTTCGTTGAGGGCATGGACCTCTAATGGAGTACTACTGCTTGCAACAGACTGGAGGCATGGTAAGAGCCTATCGAAGAGAAGCACGGACGATAGAGTCTGCACGTCCTTGGAATTCAGCACGTAAGACTTGGAATACACATGAGATATCATGCGCTTCTGTGTTGAATGTGACTTGTAGTCCAGCATAGAAACCAGATTAGGTGTACCGTAATTCATAAACTCCGCAAAGTGTTCTGGCTTCTCGAAGCCGCCTGTGTAGATCTGGCGCAGACCGTCCAGAGATGCTACGCTCACTTCATTCGGACTGATCTGCACCACTGGACCGCATTTCCTATGTGCCTCAAAGATGGCATGGATACCAGTTGCTCCATTGCGCTGCTTCCACTTGAGCCAGAAAGGAAGGATAGACGCGGTGAAGTGAGCCTTGGGTATCTTTGACAGAGGAGAGAGGAAAGTGGGGTAAATGACAAAACGATAAACCACAAGTAGGAGAAGAAGTGTGAACCCCACTAGAGACAATAAAGGCAGCATTGTAGCAGTGGAGATGATATTGATATGAAGTCTCAGGGGAGGCTGCTCGCTCTAGGTACCGTCTCTGAACATGCCCAGCTTTGGGGGTGAAGATGGTCCGTTTGAGGTACGGAGTAGAGGAGGGTTTCGCTGCTCACATGGCAGAATCAATCGCTTGCGGGTGCGGGCCGCAAGGTCTAATAACAGGCTTATCCTGGCGCAAACCAATCCAAGATGGTTTGTACATGTGGACAAGGTCTATTATTCAATTGGCCATTGGCTTGTGTTGTTATACAGCAAAGGGAATTTCGGATAGCTCTGAAAGCTGAAGCCCTCAAGTAGCTGAACGAATGTCGTCATACCTAAAGTCGGCCAAGGGGGGGCGATCATGTGATATAAACATAACCCGAGGACTCTAAAGAGCGCCTCTCATCGTAGTGAAAATATAATTGTGTAGATGATTATCAGATGGAATTGAGATTCTGTTTTCTTTTGTAACATGGCACCCGTTTCGGACCTCTAGATATAGCACATCACTAGGCCCCACAAATCCGCACGTGACACAAGCGGAGGAGAGGACGGGACATCCGGAGCTGACCAGGACGATCAAGGGCGAGCAATCGGGGCGGATCGAGGGCAAATTTTGCGACGTGCAACAAAAAGTGCACCTTCTTCTCTGAGCCCCGCCATTGGATAACAAGTGCAGGGCCGCTGTCCCCGGCGTGGCTGTTTGACATCAGCATGTTATTTCTCTGCCACTCTCCTTGCTCTCACCCCTAAGACATGATCAACAAGAACAGCAGGCCATGGGACAGAAGTGGCTTTTCTCTCGTATGAGTTTCGCAAATTGATAAAAATCACATGACTTGACTCACGTGATGGGCCTGGTCTTCTGAGAAGAGGAGTTTCAAGGGCTCGAGAAAGGGGGCTTGGGCTGGTGGACTCGGGAGATGTAGGATGTAATTCATTGAGATGCGTATTTGAGATGTTTTCGAACTGGGTCAAGGGATCTGGTGAAGAAGGAAAGGGAGGGTTGGTTTATACACCGTCATCTGTTTTCAACCTTTTGATAGGGTGTGAATATATATTGTTAGAAAGAAAAGGAGTCTGCATCCTGTATTGGGCATCCCCGAGAATCTCGCGATAGGCATGTAGGGAATGGAAATGGAAATGGAGTGGAATGGAAGTGTGCCAGAGCGAGTAATCTTCGGTATTTCAGAAAGCGGGGGGTGGACTAAAGATGATGATTGTTGCCCCAGATGAATGAAGAGAATACCTACGTATGCGTAAGCTTCATTTTTGCTCCTGTGTGCACATTCTCAAGCTCCACTGAATGGGCAGTGATAGAAACGGTGCATGTAGAAATGACCATCCTCAATGCCGTGAAACTTTCACGGACCAGCATGCAGGAGCACTGACTGAACTGGGCAAATCAGCAAATCAGTTATTAAAGTAACCCTATCCGGATTGATATCTCTGTACTGATGAGTGCTCAAAGCGTCCCTGCCCAACATGCAACCTTGCCACGCGTGATCAAGAACCCAGTGCGCCAAATGTATCTGTTCTACCGAATGCCATGTATGCCCCAGCTAGCCTTAGGACCTGGATGGTCAATAGCTCAATTGATCAACCTCATCCTCATCATCATTCTGGTCATACATGAGTCGTCCTCTGTGTGGCTCCGCTGGAGTCGTTCCCTTTGCCTTCCCATGCATATCTCCATATTTCGGCTTCTCGGGCGTGACGAATGATCCTCCATCATCACTACTCTCTCTGGTACCATCGATCCCCATGATTCTATCTCGGCGCCGTTTCTCCTTGTAGACTCTGATAGCTTCGTCGCCCACGTTCTCCATCGGCTCCCAAGAGTTGGCATAATCGCCCACCCAGTTGATCAGGTAGTAGAGAACACGCCTGCCGTCCTCCTTTCGGACTTGTTCGTCAAGGATAGCATTAACTTCGTACTCAGATTCTTCTCCTCCTTCATCTGGCTCTTCGCTCGATTCTTCATCTTGCTTCTTGTTCTGTTCATCATTTTGCTTCTGGTCTTGCTTCTCCTCTTCTGACTCCTCTTCTGGCTCCGGTTCAAGCTCAGACATCTTGGACACTGAGAGCGGGGACGGCTGAGTTCGAAGGGGGATTGAAAGGCTTGGCTTGGAGGGCTTATCGAAGATAGGGTAGAGCTTTCTCTTGAACGGGGATTTGGGGCTTCGAGAGAGTAATGCCGCGTCAGGATTCTTCTTCCGTTCCAGCTCCTCGTAGATTTTGAGTGCCTCTCGACTGGAGGTAGCTGCGACAGCACTCTGACCGTAGAGAGGCGACGCAGGTGAGGAGTCGCGTTCTGATCGCGTCGAGGTAGAGGTTTCCTCGCCGGGATCAAGTGACGCGCTGACAGATCGGGAAGACTGCGCCATGCTCGGAAGGCCTTTCAATTGGAGATCAAGGGCAAGATCTGTGTCTATGGATCCAATCTCCTCACTCTCTGAATCTAGAAGATTCCTGTTGACAAGTCTTCGGGATGGAGTTGACAAAGAAGGTTGCTGCTGAGAGTGTTGGGAGAGCCTGGGGGATGTAAACACAACCTCCTCCTCCTCAACCTGATGTCTCTGGCCGGGAGCACGGCGACCTGCAGCTTTGAGAGGCCCGGGAGGGCTTTCTTTAGGAGGGCTTCTCATTCTGATCCTGCGCAGTCTCGCTGTCTTTCTTGGTGCGTCGTCGTCGAAGATCCTCTTTCTCTTCAGTTTTCTACCATCAACCCCTTTGGCTGCACGTGACATCGCCTCCAACCGCTTCCGCCTCCTCTCCTCCTTGGCCAGAATTGCTGGCAACTCCTCCTCCTCCCGCCGTCTCTCTTCCGCCTCATAACTGTCCGACTCCCACTTCTCCAGCGCCCAGCGGGAAACCCAATCGAGGATATTCTGCGGCTGCACACTGACCCTCAGATGCGGCTGATCCTCATACCCAACAAGGTACCGTAGCTGCTTCTGGAACTGGACTTTGTTGATGATGAACCCGTCCCGGTCATGTACAGGTATGGCAGAGATGGGGGCTAGCGGTGGTCCAGAGCCCGGGATGTATTTAGGTCGTTCGGCAACCACAAAGTCGAAGCCGGACAGAGGGAGGCCATTTAGCCCGATATAGGTTTTCGGTCGCATTATCTCTTCGAGACAGTGATGGTTTAGAGGACCCTACCTCCCTAAGGGTAAGTAAAGGACACCGTCCTCGGTCTTTCGTAGGGTAACGTCGTTGTTAATAACACGCGTCGAGGTTAATCAAAGAAGGGTAGTACTAGAAACACGCGACTTGTAAAGGCTTATGTAACCTAGTCAACCCGCCTAACCAAATCCGGTCTTTAACACCTTTATTAGCCATTTTAGAAGACACCTTACTTAAGTAAGTATTTTCTTTAGAAAAGATCTAAGAATTACATTAAAAACAAACCTAAAGAAGAAAATAGAAGATTTTAAGAGATAGTCTAAAGTTAAAGCTAGCCAGCAAGTTTAACAATTTTAACAACTATAGCTTTACTATTAGAGGTTAAGGACTAAAGGTAAATGTTAGAATTTAGTAGAAATCTTCTATTCCTAGAATGTTCAATCTTTATTTATTAAAATCGACTTGATTTGCCACTCTATCACGTGCTATTATCACGTGACACTCTAATAGTGCTACCTTACCTATTTAGTATCGTTATACTAAAGCTTAGTAATCTCTACAAATACTTCTATTCTATACCTTAGATTAGATTGTTTTTGTTTACTTTAAGTTATTAACTTACTAGTAGTACCTAGGTATGTGATTCTTCTTATTATAAGAAAACTGGTGGCATAATGTTATTACTTATAACGTGGTAGTAGCGACAACTGTGCAAGTGCAAATTGTACAATTTTCCTAAGCTTTAGCCACTTTATTTATTTATTCAATTTTTAAAGTAGGGAGTTTAAAAGGAAGCCACCTACCTAAGCTTCTTATAGAAAGCAAGATAATCCTAAGTGACGACAAGAGAAATAACCTAATTGATATTCTCTACGCATTCTACTCCGGTTTCGTTGCGCAATTAAAATTGTTTACATTCCGTTGGTCGTGCGTACAAAGAATCGCCAGAAATTTGCTTAGTCATCAAAACATCTACGCTTTGCAGCTTCCGTGTAGCGACCCTGGTCTTTTACCTTGTATCTTTTACCGATTTTCTATTTACTCTTGTCTTGCTACGTTTTCTTATTTCTACACCAATAAGTACTAATATTTTCTAAAATAACTCAGCACTTTTCTTTCTAGTTGAATACTATAATCTTATGTATTAGTCTTTTCTGCTTTACTGTCTCGAAGTAGGAGCGCTGTTCGTGGCTGTGGTTAACATTTTCGAGATCATTGCCAGTGTCCATCAGACACCCCCTAAGGAATGTAAGTTCTTTCACCACTCTTTCTTTCTCTATTTTGATGTCCTACTCAGATCTGACGCGGCGTAATAAAAAAAAACGAACGGATTATGTAGTCGCTTTATAAGCTCTTGGTTTCTTGCCCAACGACCCGCTGGACCGGAGACACTCATGCCGGGAAGATGTGGTATGAGATTACTTAGAAGGAGAGTCATCGCTAAAAGAGAAAGAGGGACAGACCGTAAACCGTTATTAGGTTATATGGCTTCCCTCTGTCCGTCTTTAACTTTGTGGTCGCCGAACGACCTAAGTACATCCGAGGATCTGGACTACCGCTAAGTACTGTCTCCGCGATAGCTGCAAGAGACATTGCGAGAGGAGTGAGACAGTGGGAAGGATTTTGGATTTGTTTTTTGGATTTGTGGATAGGGAATAGTTGTACTAAGTATGCAGAATACATACTATTTTTCTACACATATCCTGACTTCTTGTTAGTATCGGCAGTGCCGTCATGAGTTCAGAGTTACTTGTTACACGGGAGGGATCGGACAGAGGATAATGACTTGATTAAAGTAAACAGAAGGGTAACTAACTACTCTATATACTCAAAAAGGAGAATGCTATTAACAATTGCAGGCGCGATATCCTCTGAATATTGATATAGGTACCTGAGAGCCTAAATATCCAAAACAAGGCTACCTAGGTATTGAACGCGGGAATATCAATCCCTGTAAAGCTAGCTACATTCGACAACTACTATCCCTATCATGAAGCAAGAGAACAGAGCGGCAAGTCAATCGAAGCAAACGAATTGAGAAGATCACGATGGAGACCAGAGAAAGGTCTGATAAAGAACAACTAGAATTGACGCAAGTCAGGAAGGTAAGGTAGAAAGGTGTACTGTTTTCGAGCCAGTTATTAGGCGTGTAAGGAGGCGGGGTACTGAACGCGGGGGAGGAGGGCAGTAGTGGCGAGTAAAAGAGGATTCGATTTGCGGCAGTTTGAATAGCCTCAGGTTGGCAAGAGTGCCGCAGGCATAGAGCATATAGATATACTCTTTAAGAGCTAAATCCTGTGGTACTGACAGGTTTATGTTGTGCCCACCCCTTAAAGAGCTATTTCGACGGTGATATAGCACCCAAAAGCGGACTACGGCAGCTGCTCCCTTGAGTCCAGAATGGTTATCCCTTGCCTTAGAGGCAGCGTTAATAGCGGCTTCAATGTTAGCGTCTTTAGATGCTATATTGAGTGGTAAAAGAGTAGTAGTGGTGGTGGTAGGGGATCGGATTTGCGTATTGCTGGTTTTTGCGTATTGCCCTCCCTCACCCAATACAGTGAGTGATTAACCGAGTATTGTATTGGGTAGGCCTACCGAACGATTACTGCAAGCAAGTAAATTTGACGTATCCAAAAATGTCAAAGCCTCTGTCATCCTCTCGTACCATTGACTCTCGAGATACTGAAGGCACAATTGATTTCTGCCTGAGCCGAGCAGTGAAGATTCGCACTGTGTCCAGTCGCATTGTTTCAAAGGCTCTGGACCAACGTGTGGCCAGTTATCAAGTAACTTTCCTTGGCTCGTATCGACCCAGTCGAATCTGATTCCTAATGTTTCGATGATGCTCCTGACACTTCTTCGTGAGGAAAGCATATGGCGAGTAGTGATCCCGCAGCAGTTCAAAATGGACCTGGCGGTTTTCGGCAGCAAGTTCGTTCTCGAAATCTGGTTTTCGTACATCCTGATTATATTCGTAGAAATATCCAATATGTATCGCGATATGATCCCGTAGAAATGCAGCATTGTCGGGAAGATCAATCCAGACGCCAATGAGCGTGTTGAGCAAGGTTGACAATGATGGGATGAAGTTGTCGACCTCGTTGACAGTCAGAGGAAGCTTGTAACGCCAATATTTGGCCGGAAGGAGTATCACACCCGGGGCGTTCACGTCGTCCCCCTTCGGTAGGTCTGCCATATCGTGGACAGCGCTCGCAGGTGTCTGGCCTAGGCGGGGAACATTGTGGCTCATCTGTGGAATATTATAGAATCTCGGATTTGGCGTAGTGCGGCTGAACCCGTGAGAAGCTAGCACTCGTGCCGCGCTTTCTGGATCGTGTACTAGAAGGAAGAGGTCGAACACAATTGTAGGAATATCGTAAGCTGTCAGAGCATGTTCACCCCATATGACGCAGGGAACGCCTGCTTCGTAAAGTATACAGCAGGGTGAAGATCTTGAGTTCTCCATGACAGATAGGTCGCTGAGGGAGTCGTCAAGTGATTTTGGTGGAGCTGCCATCTGATGAGGCTCATCATTCTTTCTCGAGAGCCAGCGCCAGAAGCGCGGGAGATTCCAGAGATAAGAAGGAGATCGAGACATGAAGGATGTGAAGTTGATATGGCCTAGTGTATCTGAAGAAATGCTTGTAACCTTTGGACTTATTATCGAGAAAGATTGGAGAGGATTGTACGTTGGACTTGGGAAGTTGGCGGTTAGAATGTGGGGTTGCGGCCGCTAGATCGCCATCAAAATCAATTCAACAACACTTACTACCTAGGTACTTGTCATCATACTCTCCCAAAGACCATTCATCTTGAAAGAAAGACTTCTCTGTCGACTGTCAAGCATGGCCTCCGCCATATTCCAGATCATGTCCGACCTCCATCTCGAAACACACCCTTCATATGATCACTTCGACCTTCAACAAACAGCTCCTTACCTTGCACTGTTGGGAGACATCGGTCACGTTGGAGATGAACGTCTCTTCAACTTCCTGGAGAAACAGCTAGAGCGATACTGGGTCGTGTATTTTCTACTCGGAAACCACGAACCGTATTTTATGTCGCTGGCCGTCGCAAAGGCCAAGGTTAATGCGTTCGCCGAGAAGATGAAGCGCCTAAATGCCAAATCAACGATCGGAAAGTTTGTCTTTCTTGATCAACTAGACATGACCTTACCGGAAAGCTCACGATTCTGGGATGCACGCTCTTTTCCAAGATAACTGACGATCAAGAAGACGCTGTAGCCGGGCGGCTAGTGGACTTCAAGGCTATTCTAAGGTGGATAGTTGACGATCACAACCTTGCTCACGAAACCGATCTCAGATGGCTCAATGAGCAAGTTGCAAAAGTAGAACGAGAAGAGCCAGAGCGAAAGATTGTCATCTTCACACATCACAGCCCTTGTGGTGACGCAAGGGCCAACAATCCCAAACACCAGGGAAGCGAAGTCAGTTCAGGCTTTGTAACTGATCCGAGAGGTGAAGTGTGTTGGAAAAGTTCTGCTGTGAGAATGTGGGCGTTTGGCCATACGCATTACAACTGCGATTTCGAGGAGGAAGTCACAGGCAAGAGGATTTTGGCCAACCAACAAGGGTATCTGATGATACCGGAGAAGACTTTCAACATGAAAGCCACTTATCGACTGGGCGAGTAGTTGAGAGAAGAAGGCGGCTTATCATTCCCCATCTTTCTTTTGGCGCTCACAACAATCACAACGATCAGTAGCATTCACAGTTTCATCCATGAAATACAATCTTCGTAGACCTCGCTTGCTGCGCCATCCGCTTGGTGAGCCATTTCTACCTAGGAATCTAGATTTTAGTGGCAGTCTGGATGAGGATAAAAGGGGGGGTTATCGGATCTCGCTTAGAGAGCCTCGGATCTCGTTTGGATGCACTATATTTGGGCAGGCCCCCTTCTCGCTACCCCTTTTCAACCCTGGACAGCACGCGTTGGATTTTCTTGGCAGTCTTTCAATGTTTTCATGCTTCAAGCTTTACCTAAGGTATGGAAGTCGCAACCTACATCTTGCCTTTAGAACCTCTTCTCCTCCATTCCGCTAGCTAGCTAGAGAGAACAAGACACATACCACCGACTTTACCACGTACATCGAGACGAGGCGAAAGGTGACAGGTCCCGTATCGTACCCTCATCAAGTTGTTGTTGTTGTTGTTGTCTTTGTTGTGATCGTTGTTTTCGCTGTGATCATATTTTCGTTGCGATCGTTATTTTTATTGTTATCGTGGTTTTCGTCTCCAAGAGAAGTAGTCCGTCTGACCCGCGAAAGTGATCTGGATCTCGAACCTACAAGACACCGTTCAATAAGAGGTCAATGGCAACTTTCGAACGCTCTGTAGATCTTCCGTTTTTTGGTTTGAGCTAGGAACCCAGCCATCTGAATTTATCAAATTTACCTTATCTGTAGTCTAAGATCTCGTTAAGGCGATAAAGTTCGTCAAATTCTAAATGAGTTCCTTCGAAAAGGGGTGGAGTGAGGTGGATGAGGTGCAAATAAGCAGGAAAAGCAGGAAAAGCAGTGAAGTGGGTTAACGTCCAGAGAAAGGTATATTTATCAAAGCTGTAGAACGCTAAATATCCTACATATAGACATATATAGATATCAGAAGCCAAATACCCATCTATTCATCTCTCTGCCTACCTACCTCCCTATCTATCTATCTAGGTGTCGACCATTCATCATTATTTAGACTAACCATTACTCTAACCCCTCAAAAGCCACTACTCACAACGAAAGAAACCCCGAATCCTGTGCTTGTGATACAGGGGTGTGTATTAATTATTAGAAAAGTTTATTAGTATAAGAAGGTTGATGGGTTCGTGGGGGCCAGATTGGTAGATCAATCGATGAATGTTTGTTCTATTCGAGAAGCGCGCGTTCTGAGACCACCCGGGATGCGGTTCATGGTTTTTATAAATGGTATACTAGATCAAGCCGCGAGCGGACTATTGCCTCTCGCCGTCTGGATTATGCTGTGCTGTGCATCAGGGTTGTGTCCGCGAACGGGAGGGGGTGGCTTACGTATAGATCAGATTTCCCAGGACGGCGGCGGTGACGACAACGAGGGCGATGCGCGCGATCACGATGCCGCTCCACCAGCTCTTCTCGGGAAAGGCGCGGAAGACGACGTCCGGGGCGGGTTCATACCCGGGCGGCTCTTCGGCCACTTCTTCAATTGTTAGCCGGCGATTCCGGTTGCTCGATCCTAAGACAGGGGCGGGGGCTGGTGGGGTGCTTAGGGTTGCGGGCGAGGGGTCGCCGATCGAGGCAGTGGGAGTGTTGTTGCTGCGGCGGTATACGGTGCTCTCGGCCATAGAGCGGGCTTCGAAAGAATTGGACCGGAGCCGGGAGGAAATTACGGAGTTGTCTTCCGCGCTGATTGTCTGCGTAGTATCGCCCGGGCCGTCGTGCCGGGTGAGGACGATTGAGGGGCGGTCGGCATGAGTTACACTACCGCTGCGGGAGACAGCGGGGGAGTAAACAACTCGCAGGGGGATAGAAGAAGGGTCAAGTGATGATGAGGAACCTTCTTGTCGTCCGTTTGCGAGGCCAAGGTCTACTTCCTCGAGGGTACCTTTTTCTTGTAAGGCGTCGGCATCCTGAGTCAAACGTTCACGACTAGATGAAGCTGGTGAAGCTGGTGGGTAGACGGTTAACAGGGGCGAGGATCTGGCATCCCGTGCTGACCGAGCATCGTCTTCTACGGAAGAGGTGATTATTGCTGGTAAAGGATCCCCATCTCTTTGGACGATATGCGTAGATCGTCGGTCTTCATATAGAATGAAGACATCACCGGGGGCGAGTGCACCTAGAAGCATGAGTAAATAAGATAATGAATAAATTAAGGGAACCTCTACCTGTGGCATTAGCAGTCCTGGCAGAATGTTTCTTCGACGTAAGGTAAAATAGGAGAGGTATGATAAAGTTGGTGCTCGACCCGAATATCAGTGACGTCCAGTTCATTACCACGAGTAACCAGCCCTGTACATGAGTTAGTCTGGTATGGAATTAGCTGCTAGAGGCATACTTTTGTCTGAAAAGGTATGATAAGAACCCAAGGCAGCCAACTTGCCCAAATCTTGGCATATCCTGAGGAGTTAGCTCAGTTATATCCATTGGGAGTTTACTTACTCTCAGAACAGACATTGCCTCTCACGAGATTGTAGCGAATTACAATAGCAAATACTGGAACCGATGTAACGAGAACAGAAACCGGGAAGAGAATATTGACTATAATTGTCAGAACCTTGTTTTCGTCCGCAGCTGCCAGTGTTGCGAGAATATCAGTTGAGCTGCTGGTCTTGAAGCTTGCAGCACCGAGCAGGCCAACTATCAAATACAGAACTACACATATGGCAATAGGATAGGAGATGACCCTGTGTATGGAAACCGTACGAGAAAGCTCGTTTATGAAAGAGGGTACAGTGGTAATCTAAAAGAGATAGTAGTCAGTAATTTGTGAAAGGCGCTGAATTTTCTAAACGTACAAAGGCAAAATTGTTGAGTACGAATCCGACAAGGCTGCTTTGATTATCACCAATTGCAGGAATACTTTGATTCAGGCCGTGTTTTACGAAGATGGCAATCCAGGAAATCATAACGAAGAAGAGGGCAGCAACAGAGGCAAGCTGGAACTTAATGTTCCCAACGAGAGTCATCATCGAGAGGGGAATGACCAGCACTGCGGATATCTATTTCAGTCAGTCATCCGAAATTCAACTATGGGCTCAAACTTACAACGTAACCAAGTGATACTAGGATATAGGAGTTGAAGGGTGAGCCACTTGGATTCATCTCGGAAACTACCTTTATCAGCTTACATCGACTCAGTATATTTCCGGGGTGCCTACCACAAATTGCGCCTTCAGTGAAACTGATAGCACAAGTCTTATGAAAGATTTTGATTAACAAGGAATCCATGGTCTATCAATCCGACCGTTAGTGATCTATCCCTACACAGATGCAAGGACCCACCTGTTCCGAAATGATGATGCTCGAAAGATTAACACTCTGTAGAGCGCAGAATAGAAGAATCTGCATTATAAAATGGGTTTTGTTCCCAAGGTATAGATGTGCAACCGTAGCATATTCGACCCGGGACTGGAAGGATTCGTTGCCGTGAATTGTGGACATGGTCTCGACGAGAAAGAGGGACACGAGGCCGGCGATTGCGCCGAAAACGAGGAATGCGAGAGTAGGACTGAAGGAGCGTTTATTAGCCAGTTTCTGATATATTTTGAGGGACCCGGAAACGCGAACGTAAACCATCCTGCCTCCTGAAAGAGAAGAGGGACTGCCACGCCGGTCAGCATTATGTCCTCAAGGGCTCGAAGTTCGGAATTCGGATGACGAACTTGTAGTCAGTCCAGGACCGGTGATGGAGCTGATCAGCAGGGCCATCCCACCCCAGAAACCGATGATTGCTGGAGAGTCCATCTCGCCGGCGAGAGGTACCAGCAGCGTGTTTTTACGGAATGAATGTTTAGGGAGGTGAAGAGGGTTGGAGCGTGCGAAGAATTATGGGTTTCTCAGCCTCGTGCACATGCCGTTGAGCGACCCGTGCACGCACCTCTGGATGTCACTTTTCACACACATCCACATTGCCTTGAATGTTTGCGAAATCATTGGCTTCAGAAACCAGCAAGAGATAAAGCTACGAAGATATAGATCTGCAAAAAACTATTCTTTGTACCAAATCAAGTATTTCTAAATTCTCTCTTCCATTTGTCTTTGTCTTATCATCTGATTGTGGACACTATTCCGTCTGTTCTCATTTGTCCTTGCTGCACATTTGAACCACAGTGATGCTTCTCCAAGGTGTAGCTCACCTACAACGAGTATTGCAGAGTGAGTTCTGCAGATGGTATAAGAGAAGATAATTTACCACTCACTGGTATCATCTCAACAACTTTCCGGCTTGAAACATTCGTGGTCCTTCCCTTTACCACATCCTCTCACAGAGTCTCACTCCATCAATTGCCAAGAACACAGTGATTGAAGTGCGGCCCTTGTTAGAGACATTTCAGAACTCGAATTACTGGAGAGGTTGTCTAGGCTGTTAACGGGATGGACAGCGTAGGGTGGATGGCTTAGAGCGCGGGGTGAGATAGAGAGATGGGTTGATATTGCGGGGAAGATGGAGTGTGGGGGGATTATGTGGATCGATTTGAAGGCCTTATTGGGGATAAAAGCAGTGCAAAGGCCACAATTATCCGGGTTCTCTGATAGTTGGCATCTTCCAGCTACTTGGCTATATCTCGAGCTCGGACAGGCAAGGGAATGGGATCCACAACCTCAACCATCACCTTACCGTGCAGTGCTTGAACTGATTCTTAATAAATGCCGGACAAGACTCCCCCTCCGGACTCCAAGGGTTGTAACCAATAATAGCGAATCGCATTACCGCCACAAGTCTTGGCAAAGCCTCTCAGAACCGCGAGGTCCCAACGAGGCTGGCATCCCATCTCATTGGTTCGCAAAAAAGCCGGCCAGCCACCAAGTCTAATTCCTCGGAAGCTGTAACCTCCAACCTCAACGTCCAGGGAGGTAATTTTTTTATTTCCAAATAATCAAACAAAATTCCTTCCACAATGTCCCTCGTATCTGGACCCGGCCGTGCCGGCCTCTCTACCGCTTCCCTCCCGACCGAGCTGCGGCTCTCGGTCGCTGCACATGTGAAATACATCCAAGCCCTGGACAACGTATCTCCCCCCTCCCCATTTCCTCCCACCAAGGCCAAACCTCACTAACGGCCCTCCTCGCAGCGCAAAGACGAGCTCGAATACCACCTCACGACACACCTTCGCCTCAACGGGGTATACTGGGGTCTCACAGCACTACATCTCCTTGGCCACCCCGACGCGCTGGACCGCTCGCAGGTCATCGATTTCGTGCTTCAATGCCAGGGTGAGAACGGGGGGTTCGGAGCCGCACCGGGCCACGACCCGCATCTGCTGTCCACAGTCAGCGCGGTGCAGGTGTTGGTTATGTGCGAGGGGCTCGGGGAGCTGGAGGCGCGGGGAAAGAACGGCGGCGGAGCGCTGGGCGTGGGGCGGTATCTGGCTGGCTTGCAGGATCGGAAGACGGGGACGTTCAGAGGAGATGAGTGGGGCGAGGAGGATACCAGGTTCTTGTATGCGGCAATGAATGCCCTGTCGTTGTTGGGTCTCCTGCATTTAATTGATGTGGAGAAGGCGGTAGCCTATATCGTCAGCTGTGCGAATTTTGATGGTGGGTATGGTGTTTCGCCGGGTGCCGAAAGCCATGCGGGTCAGATATTTGCATGTTTGGCGGCATTGAGCATTGCGGGCAGACTTGAAGTGGTAGATCAGGGAAAGCTGGGGAGGTGGTTGAGTGAGAGGCAAGTTGAAAGGGGTGGATTAAACGGTAGGCCAGAGAAGCTGGAGGATGTTTGTTATAGTTGGTGGGTGGCGAGTAGTCTGAAGATGATTGGGAAGTTGCATTGGATCCAGGGAGAGAAACTGACGAAGTTCATCCTGGAATGTCAGGTGAGTGGGAGAATTCCGGGGCAGACAAGGCAGAGGGGATGGACACTGAATGGTGCTGACGGGATGTTAACATAGGATACTGAACAAGGTGGCTTTGCGGATAGACCGGGGGATATGGTAGATGTTTTCCATACCGTTTTTGGGCTTGCAGGTTTGAGCTTATTGGGGTACCCCGGGTTGGAGGAAGTGGATGCTGTATAGTAAGTCTTTAAGCTCCCCGAGTTTGACCCCGGGCCGCTGACATTAGATATAGTTGTATGCCAAGGAAGGTCATCGAGCAAGTTCTTGGACCACGGGAGGAGATACCTATAGAGTAATTAATGCACGTTGCCCAAGAACGGGCATGCATCATAAGCCAGATCAAGTGAAGTCTGCACATCTAATGGTAACGCCCCCCTACTTTTCCTTGTAGATCTCATCATCCTTTCTCCCCTCAATCATTCGTCAATTCGAATCCCGAGTCGCGGGATACCTCCTGCCATCTAATAACCTACTACCGATACATCATGGTTGGAGGATACAAGGCAGGAGAAAAGAGAAGTCATCGGCCCATGAGGGTAAGCAGGCGTAGCAAGACCCTGACTACTTCAAATGCTGGTGATACAGGTGCGTTGCTTTGCTTCCTAGGTAGCTCGAGGGTACATTTTCTGTCTCTTTTTGGATGCTTCGCAAGTATAGATGTTGTTTAGAGAATTGAAAGCTCTGATCGGTCTCTCCTATTTTACCCTACCTATTCTCAACTGTTTAATCTGATTCGATTTCCCTACCCGCGTACTATTCGGTGAAGCGCATGCTAAGGGTACTCGGTTCGGTAACCGAGAGCCTCGATGAGGATATATTCTGTCGGCCTTTGTTGACGCGTCGACACGAAGACCGGAATTGATCTCTCCTGAATACATCATGTTGGACAATTGACAATTGACAATTGTTGGTGTTGTGTTGACTATTCTATCTGCCCCATCCCCATCCCTCCTTCCATTCCTCTTTCGTCGCGACTTCCCTTCTCCAGGTGAGTTCAGGGCCCCGCAGACCTCTACCCGACGTCGTCGACTTCTTCTCTCCATATTCCCGCTCTTCCTTTCCTCCTTTCCTCCTTCCACTCGCATCTCTCTCGTCTTCGTCTTCACCATCTCTCTTGCTTCAGAGCATTTGATTTGTCTTTGATTCGTGCAGAGCAGTCATCCTCGACTTGCTACGATTGCTCATTCCCAGCATCAGATCTCCAATCCCCATATCGTGCTCGACACCTCCAGACGTACCTTCTCGTGGCCACAGCACCTGAAAACCACTGCCATCGATACGTGGAGAGCTTCTGTATACTATTTACAAGGTACGTGATGCGTCTCAACTTGTCAATTGGGTGCGTTCTTCAGCGAGAGCAGCTCAATTGCGGCTACTCGTTCTCTGTTATTACCATGGGCTCTTGGGCACTCTGCAAGGAAGCGTCCCATAATGCTTCTCCTTTCACGCGTCACCCGAACCTCCAATGGCAGCTGGCTAATTGGTGCTGTTTCAGGTTATTCGATTTTCTTCTTCATCGCGTTCATACATCACTCTCAGCTATACTCTGCGCAGTGCAGCGGATACTTGATCAGTCTGCAAGGCAGTTTTTCCCCCGCCTCCTACGCTGATTTAGCACCTGCTTTATACTGTCACCTTTGCGTTGTCCCAAATCTTTGGACTTCGTGGATTGTGTCGTTCCTTCACACCTCCTGCAACACTGCCTTGCAGCTTTGCTTAATATTTGCTAACTGACAGGCGACTCTAGACAAAACGAACAACCTTGTTGCGGAAGGTCGGTAAAAAAGCCATTGATATCTGCGGAGTTCCATATTATATCCAAGGTAAGCACTATGTTGGAGCTTCAAATGGTAGTTTGATGTATCCACGAAGACACGGGATTTGCCTTGTGCCTCAACTTTCCCTAATATAGCTTTTGTCTTTGATACTCTGCTTCACTCCCTACTTCACTCCCTACTTCACTCCCTACTTCACTCCCTACTTCACTCCCTACTTCACTCCCTACTTCACTCCCTACTTCACTCCCTACTTCACTCCCTACTTCACTCCCTACTTCACTCCCTACTTCACTCCCTACTTCACTCCCTACTTCACTCCCTACTTCACTCCCTACTCCACTCCATACTCCAGTTTTTGCTAACATCTCCCATGATAAGGCTCTTCATCATGCCGAAGCCGAAGAATAACGATAGCTCGATCCAGCTACGATGCAGTCTTTGCCCGAAGATCCCTCACTTCTCTGATGTCTCCCATCTACTTACTCACATATCTTCAAAGTCACACCTCTCGCATCGTTTCAAGCTCCAGATCCGAGCCCAGTCAGAACACGGCGCTAGGCAGCAGCTCGATGACTTTGATCGTTGGTACAGTCTTAACAATCTCGATGTACTCCTCTCAGAGCGTATGGCTACCAAGGAGCAGAAGAAGACTGCAAAGGAGAGGAAGGCAGCAAAGACTAGGTCATCTGATATATTCGTAAGTTTCTTTTACTTTTCATTGATTGCCGATATTTACATCGGAGCTAGAGTTCGGCCAAAAGCCTAGTCGTCTAATTGCTGATCCTTCGTTGCATAGGTAAAGGACGAGTTGGAGGAAGGGGGCCTAGCATGCCAAAGATCCCTCGTGGTCACTCCAATCTTCCGAGCTCCTGTACCTCGCATGCACCTTTGGCCGACTGCAAAGCGATCATCTACGCCAAACTCTGATTGGGAACAGCTTCCACCTACATATTCTACACCAACGACTAGACGTCAACTTCCCAACTTTGCACGCGAGGAGACCCCAACTAACACCATTCCTGGCAGCTTGCTTGATCCTCAGTGGGACCCTCAAAATACCCATAGCAAGCTTTTACTAACCTTGAACCAGGCTTACTACTCCATGGAAGCCGGATGACGGGAAAGTTAACGAGAAGCTCTCCGACAGTACCAAATTGAAAGGTATCTTCTGGCCTGGCATGAACCTTTTTGACTCAGCCACTCCTGAAATGAAGCGTATGAGGAACCAGCGCAAAGATGGATCCATCCTGGAGCAGATGATAACAACGTCAACAGTTGTTGAGCCATTGGAATTTGTCTATAATGCGGATGGCGCATTGAGAAATACTAGGGATATTTTTGGTCCTCTCTCGATTGAGAATAGCCCAGTAAGTGAAGATCTCCCAGGGCCATAGTTGGCAGTCACAAATGCAAAAGAAGCATAAACTAACTAAGTACAGGAGAATATTAAAATACCAACTCCAAGAAAACGGAAGCGTCGCAGCCCCCGCAAGGCAACCTTCAACGATATGAGTGTCAATGTTCCTCGTACGAGAGCTACGCGTTCTAAGAACTTTTTTGCTGGAAGCCCTCGAAAGCGGCGGACTGCCTCTTCTCAATATCACAGTCCTTTGGGCCGCGTCTCGTACAAACAGAAATCAGCTCCGAATCCGCTGGCAGCCTTCGGTAATCGATATATGCCAACTGCCGAGGAGGACGAAGAGTTCCGAATGACTCTTGGGGAGATGAACAAGAAGCGTTCTTTTGGCATCTTTCAAGATGCCTCCGAAGTCAGCCCAGGTCGAACTGAGAGTCCACTAGAAGAACCAGAGTAAACGAGTCTATTTTCTTCGTGTAAACCATACTGACTAAACTTGTAGGTTCGACTTCCTCGGTCATGGCCTGTCAAAGTATCTGCCCAATATAAATCAAGCCAACCAAGGCTCTCCAACACCATTAGCTAAGCCAGCTCCTATGAGGATCTTTGGCAAAGAGAACAACCAACCCGAAATGTCAGCCCAGGCTCAGGACCACCGAACCGGATCTGCACCTCATGTTTTCCCACCGCAAGTATTCTACGATCCGACATTCAACCCGCTCTACAATCCACTCAATAGCTTTTATAACCGTCCCCCGGAATATGGCTACTCCTCGAACTATAACGAGGATACCAAGTCCGCAAATGGTTTTACTTCCGACTTTCACGGAGACTTCAGGCCACTTACTTCAATGGCTCGTTGCCCAAGTCAACAAGGATACGAAGCAGGTCCCAGCAATCACTCGGGAAACGGTATGCATTTTGAAATGTAACTCTTGGAGGGGATCAACTGAAGTGCGCTAAACATTCACAAACCTTGCTTCTATATTCATGGGTGTGCACCAGTCCTTGCTTGCGTTATCGGCCATTGCTATCTTGGTTTCCTTTGTTATCAAGCATATTTTCACGATGGAACGAACGGCTCTTCGAACGGCGCTATGGGTTAACGGGTATACTTGCATCGCTATCTGCTTAGGCCTCAACATGTTATTATTTCCTTTGTGTAGTAGAACTAGCTATAACTGCTCGATCCCGACAACAAGCTGCTCAAGTAGCTCATCGGAAGATCCACCGTCATTAGATAATACATTCGCGATGAACTTACTCAGTCCAACTAATTTCTTGGACTGGACATCCATCTCCATCTCTCGTGATTTCAGTGCCGCGGTTTCAAGGACAGGCTTGGGGACTCGGGCCAGACGAGCCACGTTTAAGCCGTAGCTGCGGTGTGCTACGCCTGAGCCAACCTCATATAAAAAAGTGATCTCCTCCTCGCCCTCCTCTTTCCCTTCCTGGGCAGAGAAGCGCATATGCACATTCTCCAACGCCGCCTTGCCATCTCCATCCCCCTCTTCCGCCTTGGCAGCGCCAGCCTCAGGCCCAAAACTCCTCGCCACATTCGCCAAGCTCTGATAATGCGTGATGAACAAGCACAGACAGCGGACGTCGCGGACGATATACTCGAGGACGGACTGGGCGATGGCGACGCCGTCGTGGGTGGAGGTGCCGCGGCCGAGCTCGTCGAGGATGACGAGCGAGCGGGGACTAGCGCTCTTGAGGATGTGGGCCGTCTCGGACAGCTCGACGGCGAAGGTGGACTGGTTGGTGAAGAGGGAGTCGTGGGCACCCATGCGGGTGTAAACGCCGTCGAGGAGGCCGAGGCGCGCGGAGGCGGCGGGCACGTATGAGCCGATCTGCGCGAGGATGCAGATGAGTGCGACTTGGCGGACGTAGGAGGATTTGCCGCCCATGTTGGGCCCCGTGATGAGCTGAGCACGCGTGCTGCCGGGGCGGGTCGAGAGCGAGGTGGAATTTGGGATGTAGCCGCTGCTGAGGAGCGTCTCGACCATAGGGTGGCGGCCGTCGACGATGTCGATGTGGGCGCTGGGGGAGGCGGAGAAGGTGGGCTTGCAGTAGCCCGGGAGGGAGGCAACGGTGCTGAGGGAGAGGAGGCAGTCGAGGGTCGCGAGGGCGGAGATGGCGTCGCGGAACGAGGCGTAGTGGGCGGAGATCTGGGCGAGGAGGGAGGTGAAAGCCACGTCGCAGGCGGCGCTGAGGGATTCTTTATGCTGATCCCTCTCGCGCAACATGCGGATCACGTCTGGGGTATGGAATCGTGATGCCTTCTTGGTGCCCGAGATCTTGGTCCATGATGCCGGGACGCGCTTCAGGTCGGTATTTGGCACTTCGATCAAGTACTCGATTCCGGAGACAGTGATGTACGTCACAGGGGCTTTCTTCCCCAACTTTGACGCCGCATCAGAGCGGTGCGAGTCCAGGTCATGCTCTACGGAAGCGATGCCCAGCTTGTGCTCTGTTATGGAGTCGCTCTCTTCGTCTTCGCGGAAGAAAGCATATTTGTCGTCCGCGCGAGCAGCTTCAGCGTTTATCTTGTCGAGGAAGGAGATCACGGCTTCGCCGATGGTGGGAAGCGATGCTATGGCTTCGTTAATCAGGGGTGAGGTAAAGCCAGCGTCCGAAGGGGTCTTGACGTGCGCATATTCAGTTGCTATCCTCTGCATGGTTTGAAGGACGGTCAAGAGCTCGGGTCGTGTGCACTTGCCGTAGTATATTCGGATCAGACTTCGCTCGAGGTCGGACTTGATGCCGCGGAGGAGAGTGTGTAACTTGTCTACCTTAGGCGTCTGATTGCCTTCCAGTAATTCTTCGACGGCTGCCACTCTCTCCTCCAGGCGTTCCTTGTCAAGAAGAGGTCTCCCAACCCACTTCCGTAGCAACCTCTGCCCGAACCGAGTGTGAGTCTTATCTAGAGTCCAGAATAAGCTTCCCTTCTCGGACTGATCAGTCTGATTGTGATAGATTTCGAGACTCGTCAAAGTATTTCCATTCAGCAGCATATGGGATCGGGCACTGAACGACTGGAAATACTTTGTCAGATCAAACACATGCTCGAGCCCATACTCGGTCAGGTGAGTGATCATAGAAGATAAGCAAATGGTGACGGGCTCAGAAAGCTTCAGGACTTTATCCAAAAGATTATGTTGTCTCTCATTATTGGTGTCTTCGTTGGTCTTCAACTTGTCGGCATAGAATTGTGCAACATGTGAGTACGCCTCAGCAGCCAGCGTCTTTCCCTTCTCGACCCTCTCCACGCGAATCCGGTCTCCGAAGACATTCGTGGAGCTCCCTGAAAGGTGCTGTACAAGCTTATCCGTGGCTTTGGTAAGTTCTCCTACAATTAAAAGCTCACACGGTGCGATGTGTAGCAACCGGGTTTCGATTTCATTTCGCATAAACCCGTCTTCAAAGGTATCGTATATGATATCACCGGTTGCTGGCTGAACAGCCAGAATTCCGATATCGACCTTCTCATCCGTTCCCCAGCCTTTGGACTTGGACTCCGTGATGCACAGGAGATATCCAGTTGCTGGAGCCCCACCCGATGGCGCATCTGTAGGTTGATCGAGACCCTCGATATCATCGATATATGTGCCTTTGGTGTAAACATTGGTGAGTTTTCGAATAAATGGTGTATTCCTATTATCTCCGGCCTTCTTCAGTGCTGCAGTTTCGATTTGCCTGACTACTCCAATCTTATGTCCAGCCGCAACAAGCCTTTTCGCGTGTACGGGTAGTCGATGAACCGGAATGCTTGCAGAAGCAAAGCGGTCGAGGTGTGCTTCTGAGGGATCTGAGATTTGTGAGACATGGTTGCATAAAGAGTGTGCGTGTAACCTTACGTTCATCATATCTGAATTTCCCAGGGATACATACTATGCTCAGCTCTTTGGCAGCAGTTCTGGCATCCTCGCCGAAGAATTTAAACTTATATCCCACCTCGACAATCAAGAGTGTATCCATATGCTTCCTCTTGATATCCAAAATCTGTAGCTCCAAAGGAGTCAACTTTCCCGTCTTGGCCCCTTTCTTCTTGGTCTTCGCTGGAGGTGGTGTTTCGTCTTCCCCATCGTCGCCCTCTCCATCTTCGTCCAATGCTGCAGTGTCTTCAACAATCTGCCAATTTCTCCGTTTTATCTGCGCAATGCTATCCGGATGCCCTAATTTCTTGACGAACTTTTTGTGCAAATGCTCTCTCCTGGCTTTGGCCTCAGCCTCTTCCTGGTCTTCCTCCGCTGCTACCTGACTAGGTACAGTATTGCCGGACGAGGTGTATACAAATCGTTCTGTCCGCGAGGATGCCTTCGACTTCTCGGAGGTCGTAGAGGTTGATTTGGGCCGTGTCGAGTTCGAAAATAATGTACTTGCCCCATCATCACTGTCACCTTTTGATCGCTTTGCGGGCCTCTCTGCAGAATCCTGGTCACTCTCGTCTTCTGCTAAAACTCTCTTCCCCACTCCATTTGGTCTAGACTTCAGAGGTGTTCGGGCATCTTCGTCACTATCAGCATCGGTGGCATCGGTGGCATCGGCGCGGTGATTTGAATCTTGACTCGTTGGTGGCGGTTTCTGGGCGACGCCGTTGACGGTCTTCTTCGTGAAGAAACTGGATATTGTTTGCTGGCTTAATGGTTGGCTAGACCGGCTGCCCTTCACTGGGGTGGGACTCGTCTTCTTCATCTTGGCGTTATAGATTCCGGACCACGAGGCTGACGTTGAATATGGTTCCGGGAGACGCGACGCGTTGAGTAGTTGCTGACTAAGCCTGAAGTATCCTGATTCTCAACGTCGTTGATCTCTTCCTGGGCATCACTTGTTTAATATCAGTATTCTTTGATATCACTAGGAATCGAGATGATTTTGAGAGAAAATTGGAAGGCTGTCAGTGCAGTTGATGGTTCCAGCACCCCGCGTATCAGCCTCAATATGGTGTTTTACACTGCCATACTTCCCCTGATCATTTTGGATCTTGGTACAGCAGCATAGTTGCTCCAGCATGCCTAGTTATTATCGTCGTGTCCCAGTATATGAAAGATCTTATTTGGTAAAACCTTTCGCTAGCCTGTGCGGTGAGATTGGTCACGCATGAATAGGTAATGAACTCGACTCAACCTTGCCATTGTTACACTGCGAGTGCAAAGATTGGAATCATTGTCAACATCTCTAACGCAGCTTAGTACCAGTGCCATTCTTAATGGGAGGTATGATTTGAATTGAAAACGCATTCTTTGCAAAGGGGTAACGCGAAACCAGAAGCCATTGAGCCTTATCCCCGTGTATCCCGCAAGGTTCAGTCAATTCTTGACACTGTAATAGATCGAAGATCTACATGATTGTTAGTGTCTCAACTTTGTAGGTTATCCCGGAAGGCTCCACTGATTTTCGTGATCTAAACAAGCATAGAATGTGTCAAATGAATTCCATGATCATGAACTACTTGTGCTGAAGTCTAGCTCTGAAGAGAACGCACATCCAATTATTCATGTGTCTCATTGCGGTATTCCTGTTCCTATACTTCAGCGAAGCGCCATATTGTGTTGTGTACATCTTTCCATTATTCATTGTCGTTCGGCCACCATCTAATCGCAACTTTACCCTCACACGCTTGGCGAAACCGGATACCTTTGCTCTTAGCTGTTTTCTTGCCTCCTTTCTTCTCTGTCTCTTCCGAATCAGCTTGGTTAAGACCTCGTTCAACATCCCGCCATCCTCAGCAACCCACACCCATTCGCTCTCCTGTGGCACATATCGTGGCGGGCGCTGGCTAACACCAAAAGTATCCCAATCCTGAAAGAGCAATTTAGCCTCGGAACCTAAGACCTCATTCGCCAGTTGGATTACATTATGATACAGGATCCGATCATCGAATGGTATGTATGCCAAGATGGGGACGTGGAGCATGACCTGGCGCAGCCCCTTGAGCCCTAGCAGGAAGTATATGAACGTCTCGAATAATTTCGAGGTTCGAACACTACTCCAAAAGCTGATAGCGCGGGTTTGCTCCTCGTAGGTGAGGGCCGCGATGTCCAGGCGATGTCGACAGTGTACACGTCCCTGGCGCCTCCAGAAGTTGACCTCGGGGTTGTTATAGACCTTCCAATAGTTGTATTCCTACGTCTTCCGAAGCATAAGGTTTTCGCCCTTATAATTATCTCTTCCTCGCGATCAGCGCCTTGCTTTTTATGTCAGGAACGATAATGGCCATGCATATTCAACCATGATCCTTCGATTCTTGATCGACATAACGGCTTTTTTGACATAACTTTGAATTGGAAGTTGTTAATTTTCGAGAGGATGAAGTAGTGCTCCATGTCTGGGAAAATCTTCATTGCCACCCCATATAGGTACGGTTCTGGTCGAACCGCTTTGATGTGTCTTGGCATAAACCCTGTCCATTCCTGCTCGAGACTCGAGTATGGGCTTGAATATTTGCTCGAGGAGTTCAAGGGTAGATTTGCCATTGCGCAAGTTGGGGGTATGGTAATTGTCTTGCAAGGTGTATCAATTAGTTGACGAATTGTCACTGCCCGGTGAGTCAAGCGACTAGAAGTTCTAAACTGAGCACGTTTTGTTATTGTCACGGGAACAAACAGGTGCGATAAGGTAGGTAAGGTAGCCTCGTGCTGGCTGTTTTGAATACTTAGGTTCTACTCCAGCTCATGATACTTTACTCAAAGCAACTTGACCATTTCACAATCTACGATAGTAATCTCTTCAGCATTCACAATCCTTTTGTTCAGTAATGCACGCTTGGGGTAGCTGCATGTGGGGGAAATGTGGCTCAGGGGCAAGTCACATGACTGGTATGCGGACTCATCGATACCTATATTTCTATACAAGTACACGATATCTTCTTTGGATTACTACCTATATCTCTATGAACTACCACATCCTCAATTATACGGTCTTTCTACTAATTGTAATTCAGCAAGCAGAGCCTTTTTTAGCCAGAAAGAAGTGAGCAATTTGCAACTAAACTATGTATAATCAACAGACTCCACAAACTCCACAAACTCCCCAAGTTATCTGGACGGCGCATTCACGGATCAACAAACCAAACTCTCCGAACTTTCTTCAAGAACTTTCCCTCCTTCGCCATCCAAATCCAAGTCCGTTCCCTCGGCTGCGACGTGCGCCAGCGCTCCTTCAGCTCCTCAATAACCGGCACCTCGAGCAACTTTGCCTTAGTTCCCAGGTCCCTATTCCCCGTCCTAATTGCCATCGGCAGAAGTTCATTATATGTGTCCCGGTACATGGTAGCTGGGAACATGACGGTCACCTTCTCCAGGCTCTTGAACAGCAGCAGGTACTGCGTGAAGATGCGGAAGAAGCACCGCGAGGGGGGCGGACTCCAATACGTCTCCACGCACTTGATGGTAACCTCGCGCACGTTAACCACGGAGGCGGCGGATGGGTTGCGGGGCCAGAACACGTAGGCTGGTGGGGAGTCGATCCTGAAAAAGAAATCAGCAATTGTTGGCTCGGAGCCGGGGTTGGGAAACTTACGAGACCAAGAGCTCGAGCTTTGTGATGCCCAGAATAGCGTTCTTCTTCATGTCCCCGAAACAATAGTCGTTGTCGCTGTGCAGGACAAACGTCTGTCTCAAGGAGAGAAACATGGCCAGAGCCCGGTAGTAGGCGGCGCCCTTCTCGGAACGGAGAGCGACGATTATAGGGGGCATGCGGTACTTGTATTGTCCCCTGAAACTCAGGTCCAGAAGTCCGAAGAACATGTCTTGGATTTCGTTTGGGAGGCGGTTGAGGATTGAGGTAGGCATTCTGTGAGTGGGATGTAGTGGTCAAGGAGGTTGGCCTGAAGATTGATGGAGAATTGGTTTGGTGTGATGTGAAGTATGGGATGTGAGATTGGAAATTGAGTTTTGTGAAGAAGAAGGTTGTGGTTGAGGAGAAAAGATAGGATGAGAGATAGAGGGAAAGAAGGTTTCTTTTTATATCAGGAATGAGATGCAAGTAACAGCTATCACCGTTTAAAGCCTTCATATTGTCCCCTCGACCTACTATTGTCGTCCCTATTATCTCCTACTCGCTCGATTGAAAGGGGGTGCAGAGAGGACGCTAACAATTGTATGCGCATTTCCCAATAGGAACAATAGGATGAAAACCATATTCAATATTCGACCTTGAAACGAAAACCAAATCCGCACAATAAACTGTAATACTCCATTGGGCAAAATCAACTCGCATTATAACGGTAAACTCGTCTACCATCCTCCCGATTCCTCGTCAATAGAGATGAAAACAGAGAGTAGTAAGAAAAAGCGGGGGATAATATCAAAATCCACGAATCTGGATCTGATCTTCAACCTCTCCCATCCTAATAGCTGAACAACAATAATCAAAACTAGTGAATACAGTATTGCATAATGGATGTGATTTTTGGATAATAAGATAAGATAACTTTGATCAACCCAGTACTTCTGTTCATACGTAGATTTTAAAGACAATATGTGGTGAATTTTGAGCGAACCCCCCTTTCTCTCCTTGTCATGCGGACCGGTCGATATAAATGCCAGTCTTTAGTCTAGGTAACTGAATTAAATATAAAAAATAAGAAGCATAATCTTATATTATCTGGGGATGATCACTATATTTCAAATAGGGACTTTGAGTCTGGGGAAACTGTGGTGTACCTGCCTTGCTGTTTGATGATGCGGAATAGAAATGAAAAGAATGTTTGATATAAATTAGAAATGTAAAGAAACTTGGTTACATGATTACAGCTGAGCTTTTGGCGATATTTGATGTTATGAAACTTGTGAAGATTGACGACTTTGTATAGTAGAATAGCTTGGTTGTCGAATTGCTTCAAATTGCATGAATGTCAAGGTCTCAATCCTCCTTTCATCTTTGAACAGCAGGCTACAGCAGGCTTTCTTCAAGACATCAGCTAAGATCGGAATGATCCTAGGTATTTGTAAAGCATCAAGCAAAAGAGAAGGGAAAACATTACAAAAATAGCTACCTCCCCACCTATTAGAATATGGATTTGCTATAGCAGAATCTGTTTGAATCTCGTGCACTTTCAACCAAGCATCAGATACCTGAGTATTTATCACTTCCTGTAAAGAATCTGCCTTATACTGGAACATGGACCGAATCCTACGATCTTATCTTCAATTCTCTCTCGTCCCTCTTATAAGACCGTTAACACCGTTAACACCGTCAAAACGCACCTCAACTTTGTCAGAGCGAGTATTGGTGTTCCCAAGGTGGGATTCGGGGTTCATGGACCATGGTAAGGAAATCACTCATTGACAATAGGAAAAACTTGCAGGCTTTGCCATCGAACTCAACCCGCTACGAATGGGCACGCTGGTAGTAGCACCAATCGCTGTGTCTGCCGGATGACCAATCGCTGTGCTTGCCGGGTGAGGGTCTGGAGATAGGTAGATGACGTTTTCAAAGTCCGGATTACTAGAACCGGATCTTCTGGGACTTTCGAAACCGTCGGTGAACAAGGCGCAAGCCATCGATCACATGCATGAGAGGCGCTTTTTTTTCGCCGGGCTTGAGGGGCAGAAAGGACCTTGAGGGGCAGAAAAGAGAAGAAAATGTCAAAAATTTCCCTAAAACGGCATTTCTCACGAGCCTGGATTCGCCGGACGGCATGTTCTGGGAGACCAATAATAGCATCGGGTTGGGCTAGCAGGATCGGCCACCAGCCACGATGGATCGGGCGTCGATCGATCCAATCTGACATCTGGCTACATCCGACTAGAATCAGGCCAACGCCAAAAGCACCACCAGGAACCACACCATCCGGGAAAGCTTACGGAGGCACAGAGAGGAACGCAGACAACGGACTTGTTCTCGGCGACAAGCGTTGGGAAACTCCGCCGCCAGGGGCACAATGGGCTGACGGCTTTGCGGCGATGGGAAAACAGTCCTCGAATCCTTTGCTCTTTTTCACCTCTCGGTCAGACGGTCGCCACACTTGTCTGTCTTATGTACAAGAAGAAATTTGTAGAAGAAATGCGCGAGCGCTCAAGCGCCGTCCGCCTCCGCCGCGCTCCTCCGATCCGACGGATGACTGTACTCCGCTCCGTAGAATACGGAATGCGAGCGCAGGGCGGAGTGGATTGGCGCACACCGGCGGAGCGATAGCGCCACCTCAAACATCGCGAGTGATTGTATAGCCAGGGAAGACAATAACGGACAGCTTTTACGCATTGAGCTGTTGTCAAAGCAACTTGCATCGTGACGAACAGGAGGTGAACACGATCTGACGTCTTGTTTCAACCCCTTCAGCTTCAGCCCCTTCAACAAGCACCGCACCCAATAACGTGGATAGCATCAGCCCTAGGAGTCTGGGCCTCAACCCCCCCGGCTGTCGAGACGACGCTTTTAGAAGCCCGGGGCCCAGACTTTTGGCACTGCCCGCCAATAGGGACGCCAAGCACAACAAAACCAACAATGCGCGAGCATAACTCCCGACTCCGACCTGTGGATACACGTTTACGGTGTGCAACACAACCTCAAGAAGCTTCTCGCTCTCGTCAGGCGCAAATCGCTCGCGGGCATACCGCAGTGTGCTTTCGCGGTGAATGAACTCCGAGCCCATCTCTTAGCCCTCTGCCTAGTGGCAGAGAAAAGGCTGCGTGGATCGTGGATCGTGGATGCGCCGCGCTGTGCAAGAGAGTGCTCACATTGGCGTCTCCTTCGCGTGGTTATTCGGGGTATCACCGCCACGCGCTGAGCCGCAACATGAGATGACCACTTCACGTACATACTTGGACCCTCTCTTGGAGGAATATGCCGACAAGATTAAAATCTCCAAACAATTGACAGGGTTATATCCGAGCCACGAGGGCGGCGGGGGAAGGGCGGGGAGGCGGGCTAGGATGGTTTCGACGGTGCCAAGCAGCTCATGCCTTTAGGGCAGGCCAGGAACCGCAAGTCTACACGGAACAGAGCCCGAGGAACCTTAAACGGGGGTGTCTTATTATTAGGCTGCTTGTTTCAAGACCCCCGTCGAGAAAGTGCCGCGCCATAACTGGAACTACTATCAGTCTATCACCGCTGCTCAGGCTTGCTTGACGGGGTGTATAAGATAAGTAGTGTGTGATCCCCTTCATCATGAATTAAGCAGAAGACGCAGCCTCAGCTCGTTTTGACTGTGGTCTCTCTGAATACTCTCTTTTTTTCCGTTTTCGTGTTTGTTCTGCAATGCTTTCTCTCTGCTTCCCCTTCCTGTTCTTGCTCCTGCTCGCAGCAGCACCCGAGATCCAAGCGTATCCAAATCCTGAGCCATGTAAGGGCGTTTGCGATTATGTCCACGATCCCACGGTGGTCCGCCGTGCCTCAGATGGAACCTACTTCCGCTTCGTGACCTTCGAAGATATCCAGATAGCTACCGCCCCAACCATGCAAGGTCCATGGGAAAACCAAGGCCCCGTACTCCCTAATGGCACCTCGATATTCATCGCTGGAGAAAACACAGACTCTACATGGGCGCCGGACGCACACTTGATTGGGGACACCTACTATCTCTACTACGCCGTCTCGAGTTCAGGGAGCCAGAATTCACAGATTGGGGTCGCGACTTCTCGCACCATGGAGCCTGGTAGCTGGACCGATCATGGCTCTCTCGGTATTCCGTAAGACCTCCTCCCCCTATCTCACCGCAACTCTACTTACACTGAACCCAGATCATCTCTCGCTTACAACCTCATCGATCCCAATCTCTATATCCTCAATGGCCCAACCGGGCCAAACTACTTTCTAACATTTGGTTCCTACTGGGACGGTAAGTACCATGCCCCACCTCCCTCCCACAAAAACTCCCCACTAAACCTTCTCCCAGGTATCTACCAAATCCCCATGACCGACCCCCTGACCATCGCCCCGCATGCCGACCCCCAAAACCTTGCCTTCAACCCCGACGGCATCCACCCCGTTGAAGGTTCCTACCAATTTTGGTGGCCCACCAACGGCATCCCCTACTACTACCTCTTCCTCTCCGTCGGAATTTGCTGCAACAAGCCGCCCAATCTCCCTCCCCCTGGCCAAGAATACCACATCACCGTCTGCCGCTCCATCTCGCCCACTGGCCCCTTTTATGACCGCAACGGCGACGACTGCCTTGCTGGCGGCGGCACCACCGTACTGGCCAGCCACGACGACGTCTACGCCCCGGGCGGCGAGGGCGTATTGTACGATCCCGAGGAGAACAGCATCGTGCTATATTACCACTACATTAATCCGAAAATCGGCTACGGAGTCGAGAATTATCAGTTTGGCTATAATTTCCTGACGATGGATGCCCTTGGCTGGCCTGTTCTGGTCTGATGTCACGCGCCTTTTAGGATCGTCGTCGCATTTGCATTTGATCGTCGTCGGGGTGGGTTTGTATATATGGGGTTCTTTTTCGGCATTGGAGAATTGGCGCTCCGGTTTTTTGCAGCAGCAGCATGCATGCATGGGGGATTACATTTCTAGACATAATATTGCTCGTTTTCTAAGCGATATCATTTCAGCAAGCAAGCAAGCGTCGGCGCTCTCTCTTGTCTTTTTAGGTAGTCGATTTACAAAAAAGTTTAACTTATAATAGAAATATATAAGTACCTACCTACCTACCTTACCTTACCTATCCACAAAAATCTCCTGTCCGGTTCCCACTCTACTCTATCAAACGAGCCGCAAGATTAGGACGTACAAATTCAATTTCCATACTCAAGCGAGTGGTTGTAAATCGTAACCCATTTTTTCTTTCCCCTTTCTCCTAAGGTAACTCACCGCTGATTATCGTGTTGTTCGTTCGTTTACTTTCGTATTTTTTTTGACGTCGTCGTCGTCGTTCGTTCCATTGTTATGATTCAGATTACGAAGATTATGTGGACGCGAGAGAGCGAAGAGATGTCGATCGTCGGACGCCTCACGAATCATGAATATGTAGATCACCATCCGACCTACCTTTCTCCTTCCCCGAATAGTAAGTCGTCCTAACGCCCGTTACCCCCCTTCTTCTTCTTCTGCTTCTTCATTCCCCACTGTCCCACACCAACACACCCGAGAGCCGCCCGCCCGCGTGCGCCCGCCCGGCAGTTAAAAACCCCCCCCTTACCCGGTAGATCAAAAACCGCTCCAAAATGCGCGCCAATTCTACAAGTCTGCCGGATCGACACGCCGATCCTTGACGATGTTCCCCCACGGACCGGTGTCTCCCGATCAAGGACGAACATCATGAATGAATTGACTTAGCGGACATCTGTGTGTGCATTCGGAGGTGCTAACTAGCTAGGTAGTAGTAGTAGGAGGACTATGTAAGGATTTCCGTCGCAGGTCACGGAGGGCGAAAATGGTGCATTATCTTGGAAGTTGGCCTATACTGTTACTGTGTGTGCTCTGACTACGGAACTGAGGAGGGAGACGCGAGATAAGGAGTCTGAGGTTAGTGTGGAGATTATGGAAGCGTTATACGCCCACTCTGAGTGGGGGAGAGAGAATGCAGGACGAGGAAGCCCCGAGAGGAGATACGGGGTAGTAAAGACTTTGACGCGGTATTCTTCGGGGAAACCGCTAGTGTTGGGGTCAGAGTATAGATCTGTAGGGTCGGAGCCGGAAACGAGCACACGCCCATTGAGGAGATTGATGGCTTCTGGGTGGTACATGCGCCGGATGCTGGTGTTGGCCATTGGAGTCATGTGGAGATGGACGGGTTTCGTGGGGTCGTAGAGCACGGCGTTGAAGTTTGCGGAGCTACCGAGATCAAAGCCCGCTGCGCCGTGGTGGGCGCGGTTGAGGAGGAGGTAGGTGCAGTATGGCGGTCTGGGATGGCGGCCATGCAGGACATGGCGCATGGTGAAGGCTTGGGTGGTTGGGTGGGACTCGTGGGAGAAACAGAATAGAGAAGGGGGGGGGGGAAGAATTGCAATTTTGCGAGGGTATATCATATACCATTCTCTCGATTGTTCATACTGAGTTTTGGGCCTTGAGTTGGATGGAAACACAATTGTCAAGGGCGTAATGGCCGCCTGGGGTTGATCCACCACAGATCAGGACAGTGAGAGGATCGGTATATGGGACATATTGTGGCATTAACGACATGCTGCCTTCGAGAGAATAAGTACGGCCTCCAGTGTCATCGTTCACAGCCCCCTAAAGAAATCAAATGTCAGTAAAACAGGAAAGACTTACTCCCCATATTACTTACAGGTGTGTTTGGTAGGGTTTTGGTAGTCTTACCAGTAACCTCGTCAAGAATCCGCGCTTCGATTGTAATATCCTATGAAGATATCTCCCGATGGCAGGTCCGCGAGAAACGGATACAGATTTTCAGGAGCCGTCCATTCCAGAAAGTCCAAATAGACAATTGCGTTGGAATTTCCACTGTATGCTGAAGGATCAGGGACCCCTATAGCTGGGATGAATTCGAGAGTTGGTTGCTGGACATTGTGCTTGGAAGTCTCCCCTTCGACCTAAAAAATATATACTCAGTATTGGGAGCGGGATTAGGCTTTGAACGAGGAAAGCAGCATCCAAGTATCAATATACATACTGTTAGAATGGATCCATTTGCCAGCTCATTGCGAAGGGATACCAGCGAGAAAGTAGTAGCGTTAGGTTCGTAGGATTCTCTTGCCACTGGTTGGTCCCATTCACCCCATCAGACCCGTCAGGAAGGTACAGACTCACCCCCCCATTTGGATTACCATTCCAGTCACCAACAGAGAGCTGTCTCCCACCCTTGTCTGGTAATGTTAGTCCTGCGGCACAGAAGACGTCAGTCGTCATTTTATCCCTATAAATTTTCGAGGTTAGCATTGGCTCTTCAACATGAATTGGCAGAGAGAGTGGCTGTCAGGAGAATAAACGTACATACATCTGTCTCCAAGCCACCAAATAACTATCTTCCTGATCGACGAGAGATAAGTCTGATTCATAAACCCCGTTCCACTAGAGAACCCCGTATCTGTCTTCTGAACAAACGAGGTCTTTCCCGTGAGCAGTCGAGAAGTGATAAGCGGAAGCCTCACGCCGCCAATCAAATACGAGTCTTCGCCTTCACTGGCACCCTCGGGGAAGTTGGCCGGAGCAAGCAACCGAGCATTTGGAGTCGTCGACGAGGGCGGGCGCTACTTGATCCGAGGCAATCAGAATATTCTCGACGTCGTCACAGTCTGGGGGAAATAGTTAGCGGTAAATGAGATCTCAGGACGGTAGACACTTACAATATTGGGTGCCGAGTTCTATCCCGGCAGCGTTGTAGTTATATGCTTGACAACGTGTGATGCAGCTGTACCGAAACGTGCTAATGCTTACCCGTATCATTATTTTCAGCCGACTTAGGTTTGGATCGGACTTGATCCCTATTTCATAGCATTCGCTCAAGATCAGTTGGCTATTTCACAAGCCCTCTAAACTTCAAGATAAAAATCCAGAGAATTAAAAGTAACGACAGTTGCCCTAAGGCAGACCCCGAGCTATAAAGCAAGCACTGATTGAGATATAGGACACGGACTCAGAGCGGAAAAGGAGAGAAAGCTCATGCCAATTATCATTCCACAGTATATCTATACAGCAGCTATAATCGGAGATGCTAAATACTTGCATCAAGACCATAGCTGGCCACGGTTAGAGATGATAGATAAGGTTGAGAGACTTCAAACCGGTTCTAACCAAGGTGCATCAGACGGACAAATTTAAACACCGATATATTTAAACACGCGAACAAAAAGCAAACAAACGGTAATGAAAGACTTTAAATACTTTCAAAGCGATGAGAACAAAGAAAGATAGATAGCTTCTGTGTGCTATATACCTACCTCTGTAGGCACGAGGTGACTTGTCACGGCCTGGAAAACCGACACCAACAAACTAACCTCTCAAGTTCATCGTCAGTGCCAGAACGCGCCCAGAAGCCAAGACGTATCAACCGCTTCTCCCAGAAATACAGTACAGAACCATGTAGAGCGGTCGCGGGCTGAGAGCGCTCGAATACCGAGTAAGGTAGTTGATAAGGTCAGGCATGTACGTCTACCTCTACCTAAGGTACGTACCTTATCTTAGCCGATGATTAGATAAAAAAAGGGGGACTTACCTAAGAAAGTACCCCAGGGATCCATCCATCCGTCCATCCACTCGCCCATTATCTATTCGTCCGAATAGATAAGGTATACCACCATCAACCGTCTTTTCAGCTCGTACCTTTCTGATTTGCGCCAGACTGCAGAACCAGATTTAACATGCAAAAAACTAATTGGGCAAAAAAGCATCTTTGCACTGTGCGAGAAGATTCGGCCATATTCCCTATACTCTCAGCAGTCGCTTCACAAGGTCACCTGTACTAGCCGTAAGTGTGCCGTGCGTGGTACTATACTGTGACTGTACGATTGGGAATATATGCTATGCTGTGCGAGATTCTATATATATGTATATCATACATCCAACCTTCCCAACCTCTCATATGACAGCAGTCTTCCCCCCCCCCCCCCCCCTTCCTCTCTCTAACTTAATCCATACTTACCCTTAAACCGCTACAACAGTATCAAACAATCATCACGGAACTGCCTCCTTAACTCTCATCTCACTAGGTATACTATAATCAACAAGTTAGTTCATGAATCTAGGGAGTTAATAGGTAGGCAGCAGCTCGCTAGCTGTGGTCCTGTGGAAGAACCTCCTGCGCGGGCAGCCAAGGAGCCTCGCAAGGGAAAGGGACGTTGGAAGAGGCACTAAATGATGAAGAAGAGAGCATGAGGTAGGTAGGTAGGTAGGTAGGTAGGTAGGTAGGTAGGTAGGTCTGTCTGAGTATGTACGGCGCCAGACCCCCCAAAAAGATAAAAGAAAATGAAAGAAATCAGCCCTTCCTTGCTCCCCTCCTCGTTCCCTCGCCCCCTCCCCCCTCCCCTCCTCCATCTCTCATCCGGGCGTGCAAAATCCGGGTATAAAACAAAGCCGTTGACATTGCAAAAAACCATGGCCACAAACTAGAATTCAATCGTAAGCTTCGTGATTTCTTTTTTTTTTTTCTCTCTCCGCGCTTGCTGCTATGCAGATATATGCTATGCAACTGTTTGCAACGCTCCCATGCGAACCGGTTCGTGAAAACAAGACTCCTCTTGCGCCTCTTGCTCAATGCAGTTCTCTCTACCACTTTTTATGGCCCGTCAATTCGTGGCGGGCTTCTGGATTTCTCGCCTTTGCGCGGGAAGGGGCTCGCGCTGCGGGACTCGTCTTGTCTGTGGAGAGAGTATATTGTTAGTTACTTCTGTTTGGTTCCGGGGCGGGGTATGATATGCTGGGGGAGGCTCACGATCTCCTCCTCTCGCCCTCCTTCCTAAACCCCTCGATGATCCTCAGCATCTCCTTCCTGCCTCCCGCCGCATCCACCAGCTTGCCCGCCATGCTCATGCTGACCTTCTCCTGCGCATTCGCAGACAGCAGCCTCTTGAGCAGCAGATGCCTCATTTGTATGCACACGTAAACTCCACAATCACTGCTATTCTCCTGCTGCGGGCTATCATCCAGGTTCCGGAACCTTAGTGGTTTTCCTAGTAGTCGCGAGAGTTGATATGTAGCCTTCTCCGCCTCGTGGTAATTCGACGGAGACAAGGAATCGTAGTGGAAAGCTATGCGATCAATGACAGACACAAGGAGCAAAGACCAGTGTGAACCGCCTTCTGCGACAGAGACATTGCGCGCGTCGTTTATCGGGAGGAAGATATGGGTAGTTTTGGAAAAGTTGGGGAGGGCTTCCTTGAGCGACAGAGGATCCGGTGTTTGCATGAGCATGAATGCCATGGAGGGACGCAGAAGGACGATGTGGGATGAGGGGTATTTGCGCAGCTCTTCGTGCTCGAGGTATCTGCTTTGTTAGCGGGTGGCAAGATCATATAAAGGACTTCCTACTCTTCCCAGAATGCTATGGTCTGTATTGTATCAGCAAAGCTCGCAGATCTGAGAGGGGGGCAGAAACATTATCTGTGAGCCAGTCATTCTTAAGCGTGTCAACATCCTCTTTTGTTACTGTGATTTACGTTAGGCCTAACCTCGTGTATAGGATTGTCGCAACATACATCGTATATCATAGTCTGCTCAATTGTCAGTCTCATCGCTCCGCACATGCTCAAGAGGACACTTACAGCTCAGATACGCATCATCAGGTGCCAACTGTTGCCATTTCCACCTGGTCAGCTTGTACTTCCAGCCTGGCAGGAAACCCATCGCTCAAGATCACCGTCGCATAGTTTGTTGGAGGAAGACGCACCGATTCTCTGAAACGCTTGCTCACTTTGCCTCCAAACGGGTGGAAGCCTTCGCCCGGCATGTCTTGAAACTTTGCTCTGATTCTGGCTGGACCCCCGTAACGTTCACGAAACACAATCACGCGCGCGGGGCGATCTAGGAAGTTCGGTAGGTGGCTAGAACGCTGATGGTACACAGGAGCAGCGCGCGCGGATTGACAATGACGCGGTGAACCAGAGTGAAGGGAGGCGTCTGATCTGAACGTCGCTGTCGTAACGTGTCGTTACTATTTGTCCTGTCGATCAAAGTTGGGGCAAATGGTGGGGATCTCGACAATCCTTAAATCCGGCTTGGTCGGGACGTCATCAATCTGCCGCTTCGCCGCTTTCCTCTTTTGATCCTTCAACACCAAATGTTGTACGTACCAGACTTCAATCACGATACTCCACAGTGCTGCTACTCGAACCTTATATTAGAAGCAATTGCAAAGCCATTCAAGATACAAATCTTTCCCAGAAACCACCATTACTCCAACTGACGGAGCACACCCACAGCTCATAAGCCAAACGCCTTCACTACACTCAGGCCTCGGCATTTCTTTATCATCATCCATACAACTGCCGAATTCAAAGGAATAGCCCTGGCATTATCTCCATCAATACAACAATCATTAGGCAATCATGCTGCGCTCTTCGCGTTAATCCTCATTTGCTTCGCCCGCAGCCAGCCTGCCCTGATCGATTCGCCGTTGGACCTCCTCCCGATCTTTCTTCCACTGCTTTTCCAGGCCGGCAACCGGGGATTTTTCGATGTTCTGTTTTGTTGTGTCCGCAAATCCCCTGGCATCTCTATATATTGAGATCATCTCCCTCTTGGTGTGGTTGAGATCTAGCAACATATCCGCTTTCTCCCCTTCACGCTTGTGCGCAAGCTTATCAAGGATCTTGTTTCCATTTTGCTTGTACTGAGTAACGAGGAGTTCCATAATATCTTCTTCCTTAGCAAGGCGAATTATGACCTCCTGTTTTCATTGTCAGCATATATTCGGGGCTTTGGCCAGCTGGGACTTACATCTGCAATGCGATGCATTGTCTCCGAGAGATTTTCATAGTGCGGCCTCAAAGCCAGATTCCACAGATTTTTCGCTCCACGCTTGTCAGACAAGGGAGATCTTGATTGCAACTCAGTGAGTGATTCGCGGGTACTGGCACTGGTCAGTTCAGGCGGAGAAGAAATGTCGGATTCTTGTAAGTTCTCGGCATCAGCAAAGGTCTGTTTAGTCTCATCTAACAACATCTCAGTAATCCTTTTCCCCAGACGACTGTTCCCCTTGATCTTCAAAGACTTGTTGACATGCTGTGGCAACCTTTCGGCACAAACAGGGGTTCTCTCTGAAAGTTGAGAGGTTATGCCTTTTCCCTGGTTACTTCCCGCGTTGGGGTTGTCACCTGCTTTTGAACAGCCAGCTAAGAGACGATTGGTAAAATCGCTCGAGCAGTTGGTGGGTTTATCAAGAAATGGATCCGCCAATGCAGTTTCGGGTACAACGAGCCCATTAGAATTAATGCCCTCATATGATCCGCTCTGGGTCTTCTTGTGGGCGATATAACGAGGGAGTGTTTCTTCTGGCGAGGATGGACGTGCCTTTGGTATGCTTGATAGACGAAGCTTGGGGCCGAATATCCCTGGAGATTGTTGAACCAGGAGCCCTCTATGTTGAGATGGCTCCGGGGCGTGCGACTCAACAGAACGATCTGCAAGGAGCCTTCGCTTCAGTTTGCTAATGCGATCGATCTGATGGCTTTTTAGAGCAATTGGGCTACCGTTTATGTCGACTCGCGAAGCCTGAGAACTGGGTTTCGAAACACGTCGGGAAGAGGTGCCTCCTTTTCTCCCAAAAGCAGTTACTTGCGACGCGGGCTCGATAAATGGCGGTACTGGAGGGCTGCTTGCAAAGCCATGGTCTTCCATGTTGGAGACAGTATCATCTTCGGGGCTAATACTCTGGCGCTTATTTGAAGGACTGGCCGTCTCCCGATCGCCTGCGACTTCTAATTTTCTCTTCCGGGAATGTACCGAATCTTCTCCCGATGGTGATATTCTGGGCCGTGCAACTAGCTGGGGACGTCTGGCCGAGCTCTTCAGTATACTAGACGGTCCCTGGTTTCTTGGCCCCTTTTCATTGAAACTGATAACGGGCGGCTTGCGAAAAATATGATCGTCGACCAGTACTTTAACGGATGGTACACTGTTCAAGATATCTGATGCAGCCATCGCCCGTGCTATCAATCGCGGGCTACGTCGTGTTGGCGGGGTAAGAGATTTTCTCTTGCTCTTGTGCGTATTCCAATCTCCATTGGGTTGCTTTTGCTGGGCAGATGCTCCGATTCTAGAGCTCCGACATGGAGTATATCGTTCGTTTTCTGCAACTTGATTCGACCTTCGACGTTTGCGAAGTGTGGACGTGATATCGGCGCTCTTGCGTTTCTTCCCTATGCTCGGAGTTGTCTGAATTTCGATTGAAGCACTTCTCGCCTCAGAATTCCTGTCGAGTGGCGACGAAACAATTTCAATGGTAGTTGGTAAAGCGGGCATGCTTTCTGTAACAGTTGTCTTGGAATTGTTCTTGGGGTTGTTTTCCTCGATTGGGTCTGGAAGAGATTCCTTTTTATTTGCAGGTGACAACTTCAGATCATTCGCGTCCTCGATGTTGGGCACAGCTGTTCCTTGTGCCTTCTCCCCTTTGGCCGAATTAGAAACAAGAGGAGATCTTCCAGCTTCCTCATCCTCGAGGTGCCCCAGCATATTGTCCATCTTAGATGCCATCTCTTCCAAGAGTTTGGAACCTTTCTTCGAAGTAGCATGGAAGTTCTTGTCTCGCTTCGTAGCCTGCAGAAACATCTTCTTTGCCATAGGTTTTCTAGGGCTGGCGTCGTACAAGTTGTCTGACTCCTGATTCGGAAATTTGTCGTGCATAAATACCAATGAGCGCCCATCATCTGGTTGCTGTCTTAATATCTCCGCATTTACAGGAAATTCAGGAATAATTGGTCCCACTTCTATCCCCTGATATACAGACTCGGATTGTTGTTGCTCTTCTGCAGTCGTAGGGTGCTCATGTTCCCCTCCAGAGTCTGGCTTGTCGCTCCTTGGGGTTGCCCCCTGGACCTCCTGGACCTCCACGTCGCTGTTATCCGTGTCCTTCAGCTTCTTGTTAGCCGTAGCAGCCGCCGATCTCCGACTTCTGGTTGCTGTAGAGGTGTGTTCGAGTGCGGCTGGCGCTGACTGTCGTTTCTTTTTATCAACTTTCGTCAATTTTGGCTTCACAGCGGCAGACTTCCGGGCAGATCTCGAAGGTTTAGCAAGCTTTGCACCTATTTTTGAACTGTTTTTGGGCCCAGTAGGCTGATATTCATCATCTTCTTCGATCGAAATCTCATAACAGTCATCGTCTTCATGTGTCTTGAATGTCCGATTGAGTGAATATTTCTTTGGGCTACCTTTCTTTGCACCCGTTAACTTTTTGTTCAGCTGCTCACTTCTGGTTTGAGTCTCTGTTATCGTCGGACCTAGTATATTGTTTGCACTTGTTGTGGATTTCTTCTTCTCAATTCCATTGGTAGCTGGCTTGAGAATCAATGTATCGGTGGCTTCAGGGTTTGCAGTTAGTTCTGAGCCAACTTGACCGTTAACTTTATCTGCGCGTACAATTGGCGAGCTTCGATCCTCAAATCTATCGTAAAGGTAGTCCGAGGCTTCTTGGTAATTGCCTTTAAAAGCAAGGACTGCAGCCCTTCGAGTCGGAGTATATGTGAAAGGAAATTCGTCGCCCAGTTTCTCCGTGTATTCCCTTAACTTCTCAACAGTGAGCTCCTTCGACAAAGTCTGAGCTGCTTTCACGCTTGCCAGCCCATCTAATGTTGGCGCAGGTCCTGAATCATCTTTCTTGGATTTCTGTGTCTGCCAAATTGGTGTCTTGGCCTTTGGTTTTGGCACAGATCTGCGCTTCCGTTCCCTCGTATTAGGCTTCTTAGGCGCACTAGCATGAGTCTGAGACTTTGAAATCTGCATCTTGGAAGCTTTGGATAGGCTGCCATCAGAAAGTTCGTCCAACTCCTCCTGTGGGCCATTTGCGTCGGAGCCTGCAATTCCAAGCTTTTCCTTCGATATAGTATCATCTTCTCCTTGAGTTTCAGGGATAGCTGCCGGGAAAGGTTTGGAAGCCTTGTTGTTCTGTGAGGCTAAGCGCTGAGGTTTGACCTGTGAGCTCCCATCGCCGTTGCAGAGTACTGCATCCTCGCTTCGACTGCTTCGTATACTCTCACGTTGGAATCCTTGCTGGCTGATCTGATTACCGGTCTCTTGCGACGAATCATAACTTTCCTCGATGACTTCTAAGTGGGAGTATAGCGCACACAGCTCATCTCTCATCTCAGTAACCGCTGATAATTGCAGTACCATACAAATCTGGTCCAAGGCATTACCAACGCAGTCAAGGTAGCAACAAAGGCCATCGCGGTTCTCGAGATAGAGATGGACGTTCACTATGCCGCTCAATTGAGACTCGGATCTCGTCTTAATGAGCATCTTCTTGATTGCCATTAATGGTATTTCGAGGCTTTGGTCGAAGATTTCCCTATCTGCGATAGCCGCTGACCAGATGAGCATCCTAGAACTCTCTAGGAGAACGATGATGTTATGATCTTCGGGGCCGAAGTTGTGCGAAGGTGTTGTAGAGACATTCTGGACAAAGTACATTTGTCCGATCCTTTCTTTCCGTTAGCAATTGATCACGATCTATGTTAGAATTCATCAACTCACGGGTCTCTGGGCTGCAGTATTTCGAATACATTGTCCATGTAGGTCTGGAATTGGCGATTCCATTTCCTGCTGCTTTGAGATACGGTGGGGAAGTTGGCATATAGTTGCTTGTCAACATCGACGGGCCAAAGATGCTCTGGGGGTAGTCCAGCTTGCATTACGCATGTGATCAGTTGACCGCAGATCACTCGGATGATTTCATTTGGCTCCTTGAGCACCAAGTCTCCATGCTTACGCCTGTGTACCAACGAGTCAAATGAAAGCCATACAGTCGTTGCTAAAGACCTTACCTGGCATATTCAGGACCCAGCTCAAATTTCTGGACATTACTATCACATTCTTGGAAAAGCTGCAGACACATTATACCGACCTCAAAGTTCAGTTAGCACTTGAACTCCAATTAGTTCTGTAGCTTACCCATTGTCTCATACAATCAGGCTTGCTATCGTCTATGAAGTAGTATAGTAGTGGATGCAAGCACTCGGCGCCAATCGCAGCCTTCTTGTTGGTACTGCGCTTCTTGGGTGATGAATTGGCATCGTAGTACAATGCAGCCTGGGGATGTCAGCAGTAAGAAGGCTTTGGACATGGTACATGCTTACCGCGAGAAGATACATGCCACGTTCGCCCTGGCGGCAGTCCTCTGACTCCAGAAGTATCTGTATGATAACGCTGTAAAGCTTCGCGTCAAGACGACTGCAGACCGTGTGGTTTTCGTGGTCCAGTTCAGATACAATGTCAATCACGCATGACCTGTCTATCTTCGTGGAGCTTTTGCGTTGGGCTCTCAGTGCTTCATTCACGGGGTTGATTGCGTCGGCATGGCTTCTGGAGATTAGTGTCAGTGGATTCGAGCGAGTTGTCCGGAGGCTTGGACTCACTTGATGTCTCCCTCCGCGTTCCTCGCCTCTCTGAGATATTGGTACAGGTTTGTCAAGGCAATTGATAGCTTTGATGCTGGTTGCGAGGGCCGCTGCGAGGGGCGTTGGGAAGCCTTCGACGCCATCTCGCATAGAACAGTTCTCTTGGAGATATTCGACGCGTTCTGTACCTAATTGGTGACCTCTTGGGAATTAGATCCTCAACAGGCGCGACTCTCTTCTCCCAAATCCTACCCCGTCTGACCAAGATGCGCAAGGCTGTTGGAGGGCAAAGGATAGAGACTCCCTACCGTTGTGATCAGCTTCTGCCTCACCACGAATCGATCATTCGAATGCATATCCAAGAACCAAACATCATCGCGCATACCAATCCTCATCCCTTCCTCCCTCCTCACCAAGCAATCTCAGGTGCCAAAAAGGGGGACAAAGCAAGCTATGTAGGTAGGTAGGTACTTACCACTAATCCATGGACTTACTTACCTGATCTCCTACCTCTCCTTACAATCCCCTACCAGAACCCATCAATCAATCGATGTACTCGTCGACACCAAATCAAGAAGAAAAACGACGTGTCGACCTTTTCTCAAAATTTCGCGTTCGACTCTCCAGCTGCGTCAAGAAAGGAAGGAAGGCACTCGGCTACCTAGTCCCCTCACGTGTCGTACAGCGTGACCTGATCCCGCCCCCTCCAATATCTTACCTGTGATCTTACTCAACTTTTTGATTGTATTTGTGATATGTATATCTGTATCTTTTGGGATGACGAGGTGGAAGGATAATTCTATATAGCTACCTTACCTATCTGGGTATCAACGAGAGTGCGGTTTTCGAAAGACGGACGACACGTGATTTTGGTTAGCGAGGTGGAAAAGGGGCTGGCTGTTTCGCCACCAGGTACAGGTAGGTACTTTTGGAGGGTTTAGGTTATTAGGTTGGTAACTAATTGGTTTCTAGACAAATATGTGTGACTTTGCCGCTCATGACTTATCAACGTCACATACGAAGATATCTTCGCGAGGGACCGCTAGATAGCGGACTGCATTGTACTGTGCTGTACTTCCTAGTGGCCTAGAACAAGCTAATCCGTAGTTCTCAACACTCATTGTCATAAGCTACATGTTTCAGACATAGCAGATTAATCATTAAGCATTCCCGTCATCTCACTAGTCCAGCGAACACTGAACACTGGATCAAAGAGTGTAGATGAAGTCCGGTCTCATATCACCCAACTTCTCCGCCTCCTTCTCAGTAAGTCCCTCAACCCAATGATCCCTCTTGCCTTCCCTCCGGAGCTTGTTCTCACGTATCAGGAGCAGCTCGAGTACGATACTGCCTCCGAGAAGGAAAAGAATCATGAAGGCCATAATCAACGAATGCCCGACGGTATACTTCGGGGGCTTGAAATAAATATTACTCGAGATGACACCGTTGAGGTTGCCCCAACCAATCACAAAACCGATGACGACGCCGCGCTTATACACGCCTTCGATGTTGTTCGAGATCCAGGAAATGGTGTTTGCGATACAGGGGTAGATACCGAGAGCACCGAGAAAGGTGCCGGCATATTTGACGCCTGGCTCTTGGGAGCCGAGGAGCATGGCGAAGCCCGCTATGCCGAGGAAGGAGACGCCAATGTTACAGAGACCTCTCTTACGGGTGCGATCGGCAATATATCCAATGGCGACAGTAAGTATAGCGGCTGCCGCGTAAGGGGGGACACTGAGCAGCTGGGCTCTGGTGGTGGTGTACCCGAGTTCAGAGATAATGGTCGGCAGGAAGAGAGAGAAGGCATATAGCGGCATGTCGCAGCCCATGTAGATAATCATTCCCAGCCACATCTTATAATCCTTGAGTGCGAGCCACACGTACTTCATTTTGAACTCTTCGTGCTCGGCTGAGCTCTGCTTGTCCAACTTCAGTCTTCTGATAACGCGCGCACGATCGACTTCGGAGAGGAAAGTAGCATCGTCAGGGAAATCGTGGACGGCCCAGAAACTGGCGACGCCAAAAAGGACGGTGAGAATCCCCTCGAGGATAAAGATCCAGGCCCACCCAGGACGACCTCCAAGCCCATTCATCTTTTCGATGGCGGCCGCGAGCAGGCCACCAAAAGAGCCAGAGACAGCAGCTGCGGAGAAGAAGATGGCGGCGCGGATACCAAGCTCGGAGCGTTTGTACCAGCAAGAGAGATAATAGTTGATTCCTGGGAAGAGGCCGGCTTCAGCGAGACCAAGAAACCAACGGGCGGCCATCAGGCCAGACCAATTCTTAACAAAGCCCATGAAGGTCATGGAAAGGCCCCAAATAACCCTGTGCACATCAGCAATTGATCACACATGGTGACGCGCAGAAGAGTCGACCTTACATTATGATGGGGATGAAGACCGAAGGACGAAGGCGCTTCAACAGGACATTGGTGAGAGGTTCAAAGACCGAATAGGAGACAAAGAAGATGGAGAGCGACGCATTGTATTTGCCTGTGCTCATATTATGTAAATCTTTCTGCAACCCATCAATCTTCGCATTTCCGACGTTGGTCCGGTCGAGGAAGGCCAGGAGGTAGAGGATACAGAGCTGTTGGTAGGTCAGCTTGGGGGGGAAGTCAAATCGCGGGGTTGGCGCTCACCCATGGAATCAGGGTCAGGTCGAGCTTCCAGAGTAGCCTGCGTTCCTGCGATTGTCAGTTGCAATCTTGGCTGCGCGAGCAGAATACGTACAACTCGAGCGCGCTCTTCAGGACTCATGTGTGCATCGGGGTCTGGGGGCAGATTGGCGATTTCACCAGCATCTTCAAGACCGCGGTCAATCTGGCCAACAGCGCCCTTCTCGTCGTCGCTCTTTTCGCTGTCATGCCTGGTTATAGCTTGGGGCTCCATCTTTTCCCGGTGCAGTATTGCCGCCTATCACCACAATTGTGGTAGAGAGAAAGACGGACGGACGGGGTATAAGAGGGCGAGAGAGGGGGAGATGCGAAGAAGGGATATGAAGAGGAAGACGGAGAAGACGGAGAAGGCGGACGAGAGGGGGGAGAAGAGAGGGAGAGAAGCGCGACGAGAGGAGAGCGCTCTAGCCTCTAACCAAGCCGGTCGTAGTCGGAGCATCCACCCAGGAGCAGCAGTGACACTCCACGAGGCGTGGTAGATAGCTAAGCAGTTTGTCAACGCGCTCGGCTACGAAGATCTTGTACAACTCTTAATGGAGCGTTTCTGTTCATTGGTGCCATTGGTGGTGAGGAGTCCGCTATCAAAGCTTGTCGAGTGACCCCGCGTCAACGGGCCGAACGGAGAATCCAATAGTGCGCCCCGTGGCTGGCGACATGCGCCTGTGGCTCCACCGCCAAACTCGGGTTAATTGTTTCGAGGTGGTGTAGATAGCCGTTACTGGCAATGGATTATTGATTGAGCCGAGGTAGGACGCAAGGGGGGAGACGTATCTATCTAGGTCCATATCTCCGGTACCTACCTAAGGTGTATAGATAGATTTATGAATGGATAAGGTAAATATATAAATGAATAAATAAATATCCAATATTGATATGTGGTGGAGATGTAGACCAGGTACCCCTCGTTTCCCCAACGCCGGCCCACCAAACGGCATTTAGGCGGTCTTACTCCGCACGGGGTAAGGTGGGGGTTCGCTGGGCAGGTGATCCTTTACCGGGGCCATCACGTGTTGAAACCCTGGAACTGTGCCCCGCAGGTTCGGACTCGGATTCCCCGTACGGCTTATAGAAAGTGTTCTATTCTACTTCTACTGAATCAGCATGGGAATCCAGAACAAGGCAAACTGGAAAGTCTAGACAGTGACAAACAATAAACACGTCGCCATGGAGATACAGACCTTGTGCCATGGTCCGTGATACCTCGCAGCCGCAGCCTTGTAACACACTGCAGTTCCGAACCTTGATTGCTCAGCTTCTACTCCAAGGTCCTCCGTTTCCCGAACATCCATTCTCCGATTCATGAATCATGACCAGCCACGCCCGCCAGATTAAGTCGATATCTGAGACAACTGGTGTATGTATATCACACCAAGTGTGTGATTGGATCATTCGTCAAGATTTTCAGACCCCTTTTTTTCCAAGATCTCTCCCTCGTCTTACCCGAACCTCATCATATCATTATTTCCAGCTCTGTCCCACCAGCTCCCCAATACCACAAATCGAATCAAACCTGTACACGCCCTCAGTATGTGCTTCGAACCACAAAAGATAAAATTAACCCAACTTCAACATGCATAATCTGGTTTGCATGACAGGCCCCAATAAAGCCAAGCAGGTAGGTCTCCAATGCACTGCAGTGCACCACGCAATCATTATTGTGTATCCTGATATCAAGATCATCATGGTCCTCTCGATGTGCAATTATAAAAGTAACCTTGACATTTCAGAGCTCAGGAAAGTAGGAAAGATCATCTACGCAATGAACAAGAACAACAATCAAATGAAAATATTGATTGCATATGTTGTCTTTACATCAAGACATCTGGCCACTCGGCGACTCGATGTCACCACAGCTGTTGATGAATTGATTATATGTTTATCGGAGAAACTTCTGATATGTTACGCTCAAACGTGGTTTGATCCTTGGTCACAAAAAGGAACGCTGCAGCTGCACTCAGGAGTCGAACCTGCAGGCAATTAAGCCGCGATCCGCATGTGTCTCCAAGCTCAGAGAGATCTAAATCAAGCATAAACTTACAACAGAAAAAATGTCAGATTTTTGACAGCTTATAGTTTCTTGAAAGAATGTGACGATATGCTGCGGAGCTGACTGATGTTGAGCTGAAATTCGAAATGAAGCACGATTGTGAGTGGCACGTGATAAACTCGGGTGTCCACCAATCAAGGGTTGTGTGGCTCTTCTTCCACTTTTTGGTGGCTGCATGTCGAAGTATCGGCTGGTCAGCACGACAGTCATTACAAAGAACCGTAGGTAGCCCGTTTGTGTTGGCCGGTAATCTGGAAACCATATATCAACCTTATTTTTGGATGCACTGCCCGACAATCCTTCTCCTCGGTCTCTGAAATCTGGCGAACCTCTTCCGGGCCTGTCCGAGGCTGATCTCCACGATGGCCGCCCGGGCAAAGACAGTATGCATCATTGGTACGCCCTCTCTGATGATATTGACACATATAACTGACATTCTAAGGTGCTGGACCATCCGGCCTCGTTGCCGCCAAGACCTTGGTTCACAACCACCCCAAGGATACTTTTCACGTGACCGTATTCGAACAAGCGGATCGAATAGGCGGGCTATGGCCAACGTCAAAGAAGGATGGCGGAATGGTCAATCCTGATATGTGTACGAACCAGAGCCTGTTTACTGTTAGCTTCAGTGATCAGACATGGCCCAATGGCACACCAGCTTTTCCCAAGGCATGGCAAGTTGGAGAGTATTTGCAACAATACATCCAGGATTATAGTGGTTATGATATACGTTCAGGCTGCAAGGTGGTTAAAACTACCTTGCAGAATGGGAAATGGACAGTCCATGTCCATGATAAACGCTCTTCGGATTTGGAAGTTCTTTCGTTTGATCACATGATCGTGGCTACGGGTTTCTTTGGTAAACCCAAGGTTCCTCCTATCCTTGAAGGATTTCCCACTCCAGTCTGGCATAGCTCGAAGTTTCGGAATATCGAGAGCCTCCTGACTAATGATGGCCAATCATCACCAAGTTCTGGTAGAAATATTGTGGTGGTTGGCGGACAGATGAGTGGGGTTGAAGTAGCAGCATCCGTCGCACTGCAACTTTCCTCTGAAGTCAACTCACCTGGATCGAACCGCCTTCCCAATGTCAAAGAATATTCAGTCACTCATATTGTCCAACAACCCCTCTGGATAATGCCACTATTCTTTCCAAATGATCCTTGCCTAGCTGGAGGCTCCCCTGAGCAGGATAAAGTAGGTTCTGTCAACTTCGTAACCCATTGTTTTCATATGCTCATTTACACTGCAGATTAACCCAGCGCCTACTTTCCTTCCCGTTGACCTCGTCACGTACAATCTCGGGTGGCGACCTCCCGGACCAGTCACAAATCGGTCAGGACATATAACACCAGAATCAGCTGCCCTAACCCATAGCTTCATGAACAAATATATCGGAAGTGACCAAAGCGAGCTAGGAGTTCCTGAACTAGCCATGGTGGGTGAAGTGCGGACGCAGCCTCCTTACCTTGGTATGAGTGATCAATACATCGAGTTCGTCAGATCTGGTAATATTAAGGTCATAAAGGGGAAGGTAACGGGCAGCTCGGCAGACCATTCAAATGCTGTCATCTCTGATGATGCCGGCAACAAGAAGATAGTTGGGGATGTGGCGGCTATCCTTTTTGCAACCGGATTTGATGCATCTCCTTCACTGGATTTCCTCCCGAATGAAATCCTTCAAACACTCCAATTCGATTCCTCGGGAGACGAGTTCCCACTGGCTTTGAATGTCCATGCTACAGTCAGCCGTGCCATTCCATCTCTTGGATTTGTTGGTTTCTATCGTAGTCCATACTGGGGTGTCATGGAAATGCAAGCGCGATTCCTTGGAAAACTTTGGAGCGGAGATGCACAAGCTGCAAAGGCCTTGGAAGAGGACACAACGATGGAGAACATGCTGAAGCTGAGAAATGATCCTCGGCATTCACAATTCCCAATGAGCGACTATGCATATCTCATGGAATCTTTTAGTGAGATTCTTGGCATCAAGCGCTTCGAGCCCGAAGGTACTGATGCCAGAACGGGACTTGTTTTCCCTCCTCGATATACCTACGACACAGCCAGTGAGAGGCAGAAGTCGCAGACAGAATCAGCTCTCACAAACTTTTACAATACTTTCGATCAATCAGAGAATCAGAGGAAGTTCCTTGCACGAGCCACGTCCCGGGCTCTGCAAGGAGACTGGAAACTTGAGCGTGAGATCACCAGCTTCATCGACTCATACCCTTCCGGGAAATTAATAGGCACGGCAAAGATGCTACCGCGTTTCCCAACCGCGGAAGGATTTGATATCGAGTATTTGTATCTTGAGCAAGGGGAGTTCACCACCACAACGGGATTGAAATTCACCGCAAAGAGAAGGTATGTTTCTCCATTCAAGGCCTCCAACCCAGTTAACTTTAAATAGCTACGTATACCGTTACCGCGAAGACACCGATAAACTCACAGCCTGGTTTACCAAGGACGACCACAAGACTGTCGACTATTTCTTCCACGAAATCGAATTCCTACCCAGAACCGGAGAGCCGGGCACTCGCGGCTGGCTGGCGAAATCGTCTCATTGGTGCTCGCCTGACCAATATGATGTTGAGTATGAGTTCAGATTCAAAGGCACGGCTCTGCAGGAATGGACTACGAGGTACAATGTCAAGGGCCCGGCAAAGGATTATATCCTCCACAACAAATATACGAGATAGAGGTAGGAGTGGAATGATAATGATTGAATGGTAGCATGAGGTTAGATTCTAAGCATGGGTTAGAAAGGGGGGGGTTAGAAGAGGCGTTTGGGCTTAGATTTTGGAGCAATGATGAGCCTTTACGCCGGGATGTAGATTACGAGACAATGAAGTGAGAAAACGATGATGGGCTACATAGGGCAAGCAGTAAAATATTGCCATATCTTCTATTTTACGTCTCGCTACCAATACTCTGAGAGTATGTAGTCAATTTATACTCTTTGCTTCATTCTATTGGTTGACCTGTTCCTGACACGTGAGATAAATCACCTGATATGAGAAACCACTGGTTATCGAATTGGTATTTCCTTGAATACAAGGTGACTTTTGACTATTTCCATTTAGCAATATCTGCCAAAGTTCAAGTCTTTCCACGTTTCAAAGTACCTAGATATGGTACAAGAGCACAGGCGGGATCTCACGTGACTAGACGCTCCTGAATAAGGTAGTGCTTACCTAAGGTATACGAGGTAGCAAATCAGCAGAACAATCAGCAATACGTACTGTCGCAGGCAGATCTTGCTGCCAAAACCCTGCGTTAGATTCTCTCCTTTATAAGCACCTCGTATAAGATACTATATTATACATAAGGGACCCGTAATCAGGTAGAAACTGTACTGGGTTATACGTACAACGTAATATTTCGGCTTGAAGACCGAATAACTACGCTAATTATTAACGATTACGACAAGGATATGAAAAGCGGCTGGTGTTCTTTCTTCTGCTCAGCGCGCACTTCCCACCTCACGACACCCCTCGTCCACCAGCACCTTGCGACACCACTCTCGTTTGGAAGTCGTTCGTTACCATCAATCCATCCTCGCATGTTGGTACAATCGGTGGAGGGTACCAGGACCGCAAGAAGGAACCTCGAGCCTCAGACTGAGTCCCAGTGTTGATTGCGGAGCGAGCGAGAGGAGAATCCCTGCAAGCACGACGATCGATCGGGCAGAAGGACGTCAATCCCATTGTTCACACAGCGAAACAAGTTGTCACCGACCTTAAACTTGGAGGTCTGGCCTGGAGTGTCGAGGTCGAGCGACGGTGTAAACGGTGACGAGGACGATATTATCGAGGTGTAGACCACAGTTTCACATCGACGCCGCATGACGCGATACCGACATTCTTTCTCGATCTACCACAAGGATTCATTGACTACAGTTCCTAAGATGCGTTTCTTTTCGACTTTCTTCCTGCTCTCTAGCAGCCTCCTTCCACTCGCCTCCGCCGTATCTCAAACCGGCCCTGCAGCGGCCGTGGCCTCGCCGGACGGTCTCATCGTTCCTTTTAGTACGAAATTGCCAGCTTGTGCTTCCCTTTGTGGAAAGCTTTTTGATGTGCAAGGCGCCTGCACACCTCCGAACATTGCCGCTGTTTCCCAATCATGTTTCTGCACTGATGGTCGTCTTACTCCCTTTCTCCAACCCGGCACAGCCGGAGTGAGTAGTGTGTGCGGACCCGAGAGTTGTCAGGATGCAACGAGTCTGGGCGAGATCCAGAGCTGGTACGAGGGTTATTGTAATGAAAAGTCCCCGAATCCGACGACAACGAGTTCGTCAACAACCAGTGGGGCTCCGACAGCCACGGGCACAGGTTCAGACTCGCAGGGGACACATGTTGCGCACTCAGGAGGTGGTTATACCTGGTATGTCCTCCCCCATTGTCTTGATATCCAGGTTTCGGAGAAGCAAGAGCTAACATGTCATGAGACAGGGTGGGCGCACATTACAGATGGATCATAATGATAATTGTTGTGGGCGTTGGCCTTATTCTAATTTGGATCGCTGCAATTCTTATTCGCCGCAGATATATCCGCAAGAAGGAGAAGGAGATTGAGATGAGGCCTCCTGTAGCTTGGGGCCCACACCAAATGCAAGGCATGACCGGTGGCTACGGTGATGGAATCATGGATATGAACCATATAGGACCAGTAGGTCCGGTCGTGGACGAATCCAAGATTATAGTCGCGGATGTGGCACCCACAAATAGCAATAGCGACCAGAGCAGTGGCAGTGGATTGAGGAAACACAGATCTTAAATCTTTGTTTTGTCGGAATAAGGATGGAGCAGGCGTTCAAAGGCAAATAATGGGTGAACATGTACTAAGCATCCAAATAGTAAAAGCAATGTTAATGTGGATATTCCTTTTCTCATCAGGCCGTCGTTTCAGTCATGCGGCTCGACAGTGGTCTAGTCATAGGTCATAGGAAAGTTAACCCTTGAACCCAGGTTCTCTGAATATTGGGGTGAATGAATCCCAGAGATAGTTCTCTGCTCTACTTGGACAATGACTAGGCGTTTAAACATGTCCCTTCTTTCAGAAATCCATTCAGTTCATGTGAACCTGTTGAATCACTCACTTTTCTTACCAAGACTATACCTTGATACCCGATTACTTATTAGTAGCAATGTCCTTACCTTTGACATTTTATCTTCCCCTTAGCCCTATCACTCTTATTCCCATCCTCACTTTCCATATCTACTATTTCATGCTCTACATCAGGGATACATACATACCACTTCCCCTCACGATCAAAGACCTAAAACCCATGAACAGTTTCTCTTTAATTTCTCCCCTAATTACCCTCTAAGCGGATATCTCCTCCTATACGGAGCACTGATATTCACCTCTCTTTCCCGCACCGCGTATTTCTTCCGCGTGTACATCAAGCGATTCGGTTCCTCTCGCGTCGTCTGAAGCAGTGATATTCACTTCTATTCCTGACGCCGCGTGTTCCTAGGTATTTCAAGCGCGCGCGCTATCCCTATCCTGTATATTCGACATCTCCTTGCACTGCACCAGACACTTTTCTTCAACCTCGATCTTACCGCTTGAGTTTTTTCATGCATCTCATATCTTGCATTGGTACTTGTGTAGTAGCGATTGCTTTGCATATGATCTTTCTTCCTCGTGAGGAATTCCAATTTCGATTTGACTTTGTGGAAGTGCTGGCTTTGCAATTACTACTCCTCTGCCTTCAAGATCATCTTCTTGCTTGGGGGTGGGAGATTTAATATTCAGCGATATTGATACGGGGGACCACGAGTTGCTAGGTGTTGGAGAGCAGTAAGTACTTGTTCGTCTTGGTATCTGGTAAGTCTTCCTAACGAGAAGATGTTTCAGCTTCTGGATGAGAGGCAACGACTTTCAATATCATTGTTGCAAGGAAGCAATCCTCGATCAGCATCTTACTCCCTCTGTGCTGAGAAGATATTCAGCTTCTGGAGAGACTTTCATATCATCATTGCAAGCCATCAATCCCTGGACCAGTGTCAGCTCATTCCCTCTGCATCTCACCCTCCAGCTCCCCCCTTCTTGGACGATCATCGTACATTCAATACATAATATCCGTCACTAATCAGAGATGTCAGACTCGATTCCACCCTCGCTGCTAGCAATCGAAGCTCTAGAGCCATATACTCTGACCAACTCTCCCAAACGGGTTCCTCAACTACCAAACAACCACCTGCAGTCTCACCCTCCAGCCACCAAACAACAAGGTTCCTCCCATTTCCCTCCCCAAGCATCTCTCTGCCCTGAGACCGGAGCTATGCAAAGCTATACGGAGAAATATACTGGGGGCAAGGAGCTGGCGACAGGAGCATACGAGAAAGAAGGGGACATGGAAGAATTGATCCTGCAATTGCGAATCCGGGTCGCAGTTCTAGAGAACGAACTAAAGCATAAGGAGCGTGAGAGGGATGAGGCAGTCAGTGCGTGTGGCACTGTTGTGCGGTATTTGGGCTCTAGTTCTGGCCTTATGAGTGGAAGTGGGGGGACCGTCATGGAAGATGAGATCCCTGCTCGAGATGACAAGTTGGAGAGGTTGGAACAGGAGGTTCAGAAATTGAAGAGAGAGAATGCCGTTCTTTGGGCGAGAATTGAGAGTCGAGAGCTGGGTCGAGATGTTGCTCATTTAGGTGCTGCAGTCCTGGGCTTGGAGACCACAGGACAAAGTTGTGTGAAGGAGGACTCAATCCCAAACCAGGTTTCAGGTGAAGCGAAAGGGAAGGGTAAGATGGTGGACGCAGATGGATGTTCTCGTAATATGGAACTCGTCAGCAGAGATCGAGCCTTCGGCCTCTCACCGCAACACCCCAAGAATCAAGGAGCGGAAACGATCTTGACAACACCAACGAAGCTAGAGAAAAGCACCTCTTCTTTTGATCGACAGAAGGTGCGATTTACCTCTGACGATGTCGACCTCGCAACAGCGGCCTGGGGTAAGAGTATGGTTTCCGGAAGCACCACGGTTCCCAACTCGCCTGTTCCTCCCGCAGTGAGTTCGTCCTATGCACCTTTCTCGTCCAAAGACGTAGGCTTTCAATCTCTGGATGAGATTCTTGGCCCTGAGGGATCAGACCAACCACCTCCCCCTGGTCCCATCACAGCTCCCATCCAAGCACCCCAGGTCTTGGAGGAGGGACCTGGTATTGATGAGGAAGTCGAGGAACAAATGAAAGCCATGACATCTCTTGAGGACCTTCCCATTCCAACCGTCTTGAAGACAGGCTTTGACTTGAAAGGAAGTTTCAGGGGTCAGGATTACGACTATTCTCTGGCCCCAAGGGATTATAAGAACTTCAACCGGTTTACTTCTAGCCATGATTCGAGATCCTCCCACAGCCGTCATATTTCTATGTCCAACTCGTCATTTGAGACGCCAAAAACTTTTAACGGTGTAGAAGACATCTGGTCCTCGCCAAAAGAACGCGAGGCAGCTATTAATATCTACCTCCGACACTCTGACCCGAGAGACCGCGGCAAATTCGCAGATTTCTTCCAATATGGCATCTGTTATGTACCTTCTGGAGCGGATTCGAACCATTTCCGCACTATCCTCATCTCCAACCTGCCCATGGATACAGAGTTGAGAGACGTCCTTGCCCGGGTCCGAGGAGGTGAGATTGTGAGCGCCAATCTCTTGGATACCGAGAAATTGACAGGCAGCAAGACAGCCCTGGTACAATTTCTAAACGATGACGCGGTGGAGGCGTATCTCTTCTATACCCAAACCCATGCAGTCCGTTTCGGTTCCTCGAAGCAAAAAGCCCATATCACGCTCGTGACAACACCAACCTGGCCACTCACAGCCGGCACGCTTCGTTGCATGATCCAACTGGGACAGACACGCTGTCTGGCAATCCCCAACTTCTCCTACTCCTCCTATTCGCTTGATGCTCTGAAGCGTGATCTCGAGTTCTATCCTGGCTTTCATGGACGAGCGATCGTGGATTTGTGGCTCGATGAGCAGCAGACTCTGCATCTGCAGTACGCGAGCGTGCGTACGGCAGGCTCTGCATATGGGATCCTATCGAGTTGGAACGTGTACCGCCAGCTGAAACTGGAGGTTTTCTTCACTCCTGATCCTTGCGCGGGATCGGTGGAGGAACTTGAGCTTCCTCTCCCGCAACGATCGCCTATGCTATTGTACACTGACTTGCCTTCCCCTGGAAATCTGCGGACTGAATCACGTTCTGAGAGACAGGGTGGAGAGCGCGTGAGCGAGGGAGTGCTCGGTGATGAGAGAAAGAAATCAGCAGCTCTCGCGAACCAAAGAGTTGAAATCCCTAGCTTCGCTGGTGAGCGATTCACATCCTCTTCATGGGCAGATGAGGTGATTGAAGAAGCGGAAGGTGATTCTGGGGATACTCTTCTCCCTCTCGACCAGCCTATCGAATATCCCGCCCTCCTTCCTAACACTTCTGCTCAGCCTTTTGGTGAAAAATGGAGTGCGCAAAATGCGGTAGGGCAGACGGTCATGATGGAAAACCTTAACCAGGTTATGGCTTCCAAGGAGCACGGTTTCCGCAAACCACCCATTGGGCTCGCGGGGTCCAAATACGCATCTCTCGTCCCGGGATTCGAGGATCTGCCGTCTGTTCCCCAGGCGAAGAAGCTTCCCATTGGTATGGCATTGAGCTCGGATTCTGAAGAGAGTCCCACTTCGAAGGATAATGAGAAATCCGACACAAAGAATGCTGGAGCAGCAGGTGTGCAACCACGAGCAGCATTCCCAAGATCTACTATCTCATCCTCACCAGTTGAGCAACAAGGTCAGACCGCCGAAGATTCGGGACTGCGAACCCCACCGCGAGTAAATCTCGAATCTCTCCTTCAGAGCTCGCCCTCCGCTTCCCTCCCCAGCCCCAGCAAGCCCTGGGCCTCCCAATTTTCTTCTTTCACTCACGGTATTCCCAAGCATCAAGCCTCCACCCTCTCTGTATCCAAGAAAGAAGAGCATCAGGGGACGCACAGATCTCATGCTGAATTGAACACCCGAGATATGTCGAAGGCTGGTCGTGTACCTGACGCAGATGTTCCAGAATTCACACTGCCCAGTCCGATTTCTCCCTTTGTCTCATCACGACGACCTACGGGCATGCACCCAGGAATGCATAATTCAAAGAATGAGCACTTCATCCTAGCCGTGCAGAAGCTAGAAGATCCTTTCACCGGCCCGTTTAATCACCCGAAGTTGGGTATGAATTCGAAGCAGGATGAGGTTGGGGTGCGTAATCCGGATGAGATTGCTCTCGATATGGATGGTGCTTGCGAATGATCATGGAGAATGAGTCTGGCTCAACATAATTGACCTATCTTCTTCTTCTTCTCCCCCCACAACGCAAAGTCCTACTTACATATGACTTCGGATCGATAATATGACCTGAGGATATTGCGAGGACAGGAGATTCTGATTCGAGACCGCAGAAGTTATTAGTCCGTCTCGGTGGTTTAGATTAGGTTTTCTGCTATTTTCCTTCTTTCTCAAAAAAGAAAAAAGAAAAAAAAAAGAGTAATTAGATTTGCTTTGGTTGCGGAGGATTTGTACCTCGTTAATAATAAACGATATTTTAAAACCTTCTCTTCTTTACACGTTCGTGGCCCCACGCAAGAAACCTGATGCTACGAGAAATGCTTGGTGGTATTAAGCTTTCTTTATGTATTAACAATATAACAATATCTAGGTAGATACAAAAGCGCTTGCTTAGACGCGTCCAGGAACTATCTTATTAGTAACGACGTCTCTTCTAAAAACCAAACAGCTGGTAGTCCTTGACCTTCTATTCATGATCACCAAAAAGAAACTTCAACAAAAGAAAATAGAAAACTCAGATAGATAGATAACCAAGATCTTTAATTATTTATTAAATAATAGTGTTTATGGTATTTTGCTGTACAAGCTCTTCTTGATTATAGGGTCCCAGGAAAGTAGGGTACTTAGGTAGGTACTACTTGAGATAAAATCAAGGAGAGTTTGAATTAACCTGGATGCTAGATTTAGATTAGGTTAAACTTGAAGGCAGTTGATATAGACAGAAAGATATATGACAGAGGTTTAGAAATACTAAACTTATAATACAAGTATAGTAATGAGTGTTCTCCTAAGAGTAGTAAAGAAGAAAGAAAACCTTGCCTTTTTAATAACCTATAATGTAAAGAATCTCACGTCAAGGATCTAATTAGGTAGTATTATAAAAAGAGCCTATATACCTACTCTACTAACATTTATAAATTAGGAAATAGTAAGTCATGTAGTAGAGCTAAGTTGGTGCTTACAGACGAAGATTCGAATAAGCTTTTGTATATCTAGTTCCCAAATTGAACATAAGGCAATAGTTCATATTTGAGAAGCAATAACTAATTTGGTATTAGTGATTTGATTTACGCATCAGGTTTTGAGAGAAAAGTACAGTAGTACAGTAGTAAGGTACCACGGATAAAGGGGACTGAAGTCTCCTCGACTCGCTCTATCACCTTCACTGATACGCTGCGCTAGTATAACTAAGAACATATTGTCTAGAGGTTTTCTCATCTTTCATTCAATTCCTAATGTGACTATTTATTTAGACACCTCTTCCTTCGATAGACACCGTTCGACTTCCTCCGAAATAGCAAGTATCCTTTCCTCCTCGAGCCTTCTTCCTACGATCTGCAAGCCAATCGGCACACCGTGAAAGATCTCGGGATCGTCTGTACATAGCATTTCATATCAGCAAAGACGCCCCATCTTTGGTTTGGTTAGGGAAATACATACACTGCTGCCAAACCAAAGTATCCAAATCACCGGCAGGGACGTACCCGTCAACCTTTGGATCTCGGTTTTTGTCGACTTTCGTAACCGGGACCACGACCACCGAGAAATCCAAAACGTTGAAGACGCCCGTGTATCCGAAATACAAACCATTCCCCGGTAGAAATGATGCCGTCGGCGCTGCCGGGGCGATTAGGGCGTCGACTGGCCTTCCTGGCTTGGTTAAGGTGGCGGTCGAGTTCCAGTAAGCTAGGTAGCGTGTTTGGTATTCGTACTTCCGACGCTGTAGTGCCCAGATATCGTTGATAGTGGGGATAGGGAGAGTACCTGCCACTTCTCCAAAGGAGGCTGAGAGTTGGGGGACGGGGGCCTCGCCGGAGAGTGAGAGTGTGGCGTGGATATCGGTGCCACCATCTGCGGCAAAGGTGTTCCACTTTTTCCCCATTCCGTTAGTTACTGGAAAATCTGGAGGAAGGGCAAGGGGACAATGAAGATTCTTACTAAGATTTCGAATGCTTCTTGATGCGCAGGCGGAGACCATTCAATAACCTAGATGATTTAATGATGGTTGATTATGACCTTGAGAGTCTGACAAACCTCGTGACCTTGGGCCTTCAATTTTGATATAGTCTCCTGAATGGCTCGCTGTACAGGGGGATGTGGCATGACAACACCATCCCATTTGATGACCCCAAACGTCAATCCACCTTCTTTTATGGACTCTCTGCCCTTCTCCTCTTCATCAGCTCGCCACGGCAGAGGTAGGACTTTAGGGTCATCGTGCCAAGGCTGAGTTTGGCATATGGACTTGAACAGGAAACGGAGGTCGGCAACGTTGTGGGCCAAGGGTCCGATGACTGAAGGGACGGTCTCCTGACCTTCCATCTGGACCAGTAATACTCAGTGACGACGATAAAAACAAGGTTGGGGAAAGCAGATTTACGCTGTTGGCAACACCAAGATACGGTAGTCGACCGTGTGAAGGCTTCAGTCCTGTCAGGCCGCTGACAGCAGAGGGAAGTCGGATAGAGGCACCTGGAGAGTGAGTGGATGAGAAACTTATACCAAATTAGAGACTAGATTTGGTAAAGTAATTACCGATGTCGCTCCCCAGTCCGATGATACTGCCTCGCAGAGCCAGCAGAGAAGCTTCTCCTGGCAAATGACGTCTGTTAGTCATCTCGCTCTTTGTTCTCCCCTTTTCCAAGGGTCTTCGTGGCCCAGATAATACAACACGTACCTCCTGATGAGCCGCCAGAAGAAAGCAAACGATTATAAGGATTCAACGTGTAGCCTATGATGTTGTTGTTCGTCTCGATGGCCTGTTTGAACAATTAGCACAAGTGTATTCTCCGTCATCGCCAACCTTCAAAAACCTACCATGAGACTTGTCGGAACGTTGGTCTTAACAAAGACAATGGCACCTAACTCCTTTAACCTCTTCACCAAAAAAGACTCGGTCTCATCCGTCTCCTTTTTGCCGAGCCAGGCAACGTAGCCCACCGATGTTTCCGCATCTTTGACACGGAATTGATCTTTCAACGAGATGGGAAGGCCGTGTAGAGGACCAACAGGCTTACCGTGAGCGCGCAGATAGTCGTCGAGCTCTGCGGCTCGGGTAATAGCTTGTGAAAAGAGAACCTCGCTGATACAGTTGACCTGAAGTGACGAACAACACGAATCAACTCGACTGTGAATATACTTGATCGGACTGGAATCCTTACCAGCTCATGCGCGATCGTAGCGCGGTGACAAAAGGCCTCGACGACTTGCACAGCGGTATACTCTCTGCGGGCAAGCTTGCCTACCAGCTCGCTCGCCGTGTACTGTGCGGTGATCTCTCTCTCCTTCTCAGAGAGAAAGGTCGCCGCGTAATTAGTAACGTCAGGAAGCTCCGAGACGGGGGGAATAAGCTTGGTGGTCTTCCACTTCTCAGGGAGGAGGGAATTAACTGCCTGTCGCTTCTCCTGAGCTATATCTTGCCATTTCTTTGACATGGTGGTCTGCACTGCGATTGGAAAGGTTCGTGATGTTACGAGTAAAAACAAGTACGCTCAGAAACTTTGATATACCGAAGAAGCCTTCGCGGTTTTCAGGCCGAGAAGAAAAGAGAAAGAAAGGAGAAAACAACATTTTATTGAGTAAAAAAGCTTCTGGGAAGATATTATTGCTCGAAAGACAATAATAATAGACCCGGTTGGACCTACATTGTTGATACAGACTACTTCGTTAGGAGTCTCCGAGTTGTCGTCGTCGTCATCCAGGATCATGATACACCAAGCCAGTTGAAAGGAGCTTAGAAGAAGAAGACAAGACGAGGGGAGTGAGCCGTCGATTACTGATCAGACGTTGAAACAGAGTGCTTAACAATCGAGAGATGATGTGATCATGGACCCAGGAGGATGAGCTAACATCGAGACGACCTTAGTGGTGGTAAGCGACAAGGATCTTACGTAACTGAAGGCAGCCGCACAGGTGTTTAGTAATTGACTATAAGCTACTAGCGGCAGTATACGCCCATTTACCGTATACCATGAGGATTTAAGGTGCAGGACTGCCGCGCTGGCGGGGCGGAAATGGTCAGTGCGACTCCGCATGAGCCTGCACTAGCACCATATAGGAAATCCGATGCTCAGCCCTGCCGCCCCCTGTCCGCCGTGCCGCCCCCGTTGCTAAGTTCCCGCCCCCTGTCAGAGCCCCCGCTCCATGCCCCGGCCAATGGCAGCCGCTTCCGCTCGCCGCTCCGCTCCCGCCGATTCCCCCGCGCGGGCGCTGTGTGTGACTCGCGGGTGCGCAGCCTTAGGTACCCCTATTGAGCGAGACATTGCTTTTTGTCAGCCGGTGACTTCTTCCCCCAAGTCGATTCGATCATGCTTGGACGCCACGTTGGCTATTTGGTAGGCTTTGGTAGGGGATGGGCCTAGTTGCTCGTACGTAATGCAAAATTGTAATTTGTGTAGCCTTTTGATCTGTAGGAGTAAGTCTCGTAGGAACTTAGGAAGTAAGCAGAGACGTCGCGATGATCCAAGCACGTATACGGTACCTTAGGTAAAACGAGGGAACTGTTTATGGGATTGTGGCGTGAATTTAGCTACGTCGAGCTTTACAGAGGTACAGCGCGTCCCCAAGTACCGTGAGGTTAGTATGTTAGTACGGACCAGGCTCCTGGTCTATCGTCTACCTTACTAGTTCCAAGGCATTTCAAGGGTGATTCGAGGATGATTACTTATTATTTCGCTTTGAATGTGTTACTACTAACCACGGTATAAGCAGGGCCTCCCCACTTGTCCGTACTAACAATACTTTGCGGAGTGCAGCCTGTGCAGTACCTTAGTAGGCGAACGAACTACTTGCTTTGAAATCATGTAGCCTTGTCAAGGGCAGGGCGTGGATTTGTTTACTTATAATTTATTTGACTGTGCCTGGCATCTGCCATTGATGACCTCTTTGACTGTCGCCCTCACTGCTACTCTCGATTCAATTGTTTGACTCAATTGTTTCCCATCATTGAAGGCGACCACTTCTCAGCTATCGGTCATGTCTGTTGTTCAACCCGCCGACCTTGAAAAGGACGCGCGCGATGACGCTTCTCCTTCTCCCGTCCAACCCAGTCCCGTCAGTACTATTCCCAATGGCGGTGTCATTGCATGGCTGCAAGTTGCTGGGGCTTTTACTTTATTCTTAAATTCATGGTACGTCTAAGAGAGCGATGGCAGATACTTTTCATTCCTGGCTAATTGTGCACTCTAGGGGAATTGTCAATACTTTTGGTGCCTATCAGACATATTATAAGTCAAGCTTCCTGGCCAATGAATCCGACTCGAATATCTCATGGATCGGCTCTATTCAGGCCTTCTTGCTGCTGATTATTGGAGTCGTGACGGGTCCAATCTACGACGCGGGATACTTCAATGTCCTTGTCGCCGTCGGCTCTTTCTTGGTCGTTTTTGGAATGTTCATGACGAGTATTTGCAAGACGTATTGGGAGTTAATGCTTGCGCAGGGTCTCTGTGTTGGCCTTGGTAGCGGGTGCTTATTTATCCCTAGTGTGGCCATTGTTTCGACATATTTTACAACTAAAAAGTCGTTTGCAACGGGCATCGCAGCAAGTGGCAGCAGTGTCGGTAAGTAGTAATTGACCAGGTAGACAACAAGTTGCTGATAACATTATCTGTGGATAGGAGGTGTCATTTATCCCATCATTTTCGCCCAGCTGCAACCGAAAATTGGCTTCGGCTGGGCAACTCGCGTTATTGCCTTCATCATGCTCGGAACCCTGCTTATTCCCTTGACGGTGATGAGAGTCAGAGTGAAGCCAGCACAGACACGGCGGCTGTTCGAGCTTGCCGCGTTCAAAGAAGTGCCCTTTACTATGTTCAGTGTCGGCGAGTTCTTTGGCTTTATGGGCCTTTATATACCGTTTTTCTACATTCAAAGCTATGTCATCAACAAAAATATTATGAGCAGCCATCTTGGGTTCTACATGCTCTCGATCCTCAACGCTGCGTCACTTTTTGGGCGAGTGATTCCAAACTTCCTTGCCGACAAGACTGGACCGTTCAATATGCTGGTGCCCTGCTCTTTGATCTCAGCCATCTTGGCTTTTGTCTGGATTGGCATTAAGAACACGGGCGGAATCATCGTCTTCTGCATTCTTTATGGCTTCTTCTCCGGAACCTTTGTGTCTCTGCCGCCGACGACTGTTGTGAGTCTGTCTCCTAACATGGGCGTGGTAGGAACGCGAATGGGAATGAGTTTCTCCTTTGCAGGCTTTGGGCTTTTGGTGGGGAATCCAGTGGCTGGAGCAATCTTGAAGTCGGGGAGTTGGGTCGGTGTGCAGGCCTTCTGTGGCGCTGCCGTTGCAATCGCCACTGTGACCATGGCCATAGCTCGCCTTTCCAAATCGGCCACGTTGATGAGCAAAGTGTAGTCGGTCCCTTTTTGGGGAAGGAAGGGAGGGGGGAGGCAAAGTCAAGGCAACGAGCCTCATCAACCGAGTTGTTATTCTCTCCAAATAACAAGTCCAGCAAACTGTATATAGTTCGCGCAATAGCAATTACCATACGAAGCCAAAGACACCCTTAGATAATAGAAAATATTAATCCTTTGCTCAGCTGGGAGTATCAAAAGAAATCCTTCCAACCATGTAGCAAGCATTTGAATCCTATCACACTTGTCATGCTCCTCGCACACAGCTTATAGTATCGACTAATTTGATCCGCCCAAGTCAGGGAAAAGCAGTCTAAACTTGGTCCAAAACCCGTTTGATGCTAATTCCTACTCGGTAAGCTTTTAGCGCCCCTGAATATCTGAACCGGGTGTTAAGCGAGATTCCGCTAGGGGATCACCACGGGCCGCCCCCTGCGAGACTTCGTTTTCTACCACGGGGTGGCTCTCCCGTCTTTTGATTTGTTCCTCATCCCTGATGTGACCTTCTTCAGCCTCCAACTACCGCTTCCTTTTCAATAATAAGCCCGACAGTACGGATGGCTGTCTTCGGTATAGTGCCAGACGTTGTTTTTAACTCTTCTGACCAGGAGTGCGGACTGCATCTCGCTACCAAGTCACCACTTACTCCGTAGACTGTCAAACCTTGATATCTCCACATCTATGCTTCACTGACATGATCAAGTAGAAAAGTTTCGGGCTTTTCAGCATCATTCCTTTTCACGACGCCAGAAGTATACCTGAACCCCTCATTTCTACAACATGTCCGCTTCAGCCTTGGCTTTTGATAAAGTTGGTAGCACACCGACTGAGAATCTGCATTTCCACCACTTCGACCCTCCCGATCTCCAACACAATGAAGTCCTTATCGAGATGATTGCAGCACCCGTCAATCCCCAAGACATCATGGTACTGCTCGGTCGATACCCAGTCTCGCCTTCATTTAAGATCTACGAGGAATCGATCCCTGGATATGACGGCGTGGCGCGGGTCGCATCTGTCCATCCCTCTGTGCTCACGAATGGAACTCTCAAACCGGGCGACTTGGTAATTCCTACCCGTCATGGTGTAGGAACCTGGCGCACTCACGCTGTCCTTCCGGCCAACCTGTTGCTCAAAATCTCGCCCGAAGTTGACTGCCGGATTGCCGCAGTGTTGCGTATGGGAGTCACGCCTGCATATCTGCTACTCGAAGACATGGCAGTGCTCCGGCCGGGAGACTGGATCATCCAGAATGCTGCGTCGGGGGTCATTGCGCAGTTTGTGACCCAGTTCGCACAAATTCGTGGTCTTCATACAATCAGCGTTGTGCGTGATAGGGAAGATATTGAACAGCTTCGTGCCGAACTTCAATCGAGAGGGGCAGACATTGTAATTACGCAGTCGGAGCTTGAAGCCAAAGGCGCCGCCTCATTTGAGAAAGAAGGGAAGCGGATCATGCTTGCACTGGATGCCGTCTTTGGGCATTCCGGCTCTGCACTGGCAACACAGCTCTCTCCTGATGCAACTTATATAAACTATGGCTCTTTGGGCGACCCTCAAGGCACCGTGGGCATTCAAATCACCCAGCAGCAATTGTTCTGGAAGCAAATCACCTTCAAGAATTTTCGGCTGACACAGTGTCTCGGGATGCGCTCCCAGGCGCAAATTAACGATATGATGACTTGGTTTGGAGAGCTTGCGGTCAAAGGTTTTCTACAAATACCACGAGTTGAAACGGTTCAGTGGAGTGAGAGTGTGATAGACCTGATTAGACTACAGTCGGAAGGTCACAAGCTGGAAAGGAAGGGGAAATATCTGATTCTCTTTCCCGGAAACTCTGTTTAATCTGCACCAAACCGTAGTTGTTCCGTTTAAAGCTGTGGTAGCAATACTCGGGTTCCAAAGACCTAAGCTAGATAACAAAATTGCTATACTATCGAGAATCCACAAAGATCAGCGAACCGAATAAGCCTCAAGGCATCAAAATGCCAGTCTAGTTTTTTTAGTACTCTCAAATCTATAACTGGAGCCTAACCTTCTAATCGGGAGCTCCAGAACATTTCCAGCTCAAATGACACAATGTAAGAAATTACGGCCCTGAATCCATCCCACAACGCGCGTCAGCATCAACGCAGCTAATCCTAACACACACCGAAACAACCATTAAGAAATGTATATTCTGATGAGGTACAGGGATATATGTATGCTGGGGAAAGAATCATGCCGCCTTACGGGGGTCCTAATCCGTCCGGAACTGGGTGGAGATGGGAATGAAGGGAGACAGACGGCAGACAGCCAAGATTCCTCACGGGAGAACTCGTACTTGACCAATCTACCTACATAGTAAGGATTTACTTCTTTCATACCTAAGGTATTTGTTAGCCGCAGTGAAGGATCATACCTACTCAACTCCTGCCCCTCGATGTCGTGATGACTGGCCAGGTGCCTACGCCTCCTCCGGTCAGCTCTTGGTGTCGTATTATATCGCTCACAAGGGTTCCGGCAATCCGGGATGACGTTTTCGACTACTACTACTGGTTGTCATTGAACCTTGCTTGAAGGAACGTCTGTAGCAGGGACGAGGCTCGGGAGTCAGGTTTCGGTAGGTTTGTAGGTTGGGGCCCATGGGCCGTGGGGGAGGGGCCGAGAGGGAAATCTTTGCTTGGGATCTTACCTATACTTGCCTGGGATGTATATCCATCGGCTATAAAAAGGCAGAAAACTTACCTTGTCCATACCTCCTAGTTCATCAATTTTGACTGGTATAGTCAGATCAGTAGAGTTCCTTCTCCGCTCTACACCAGATAGATATCCTCCGTGGTTCAAAGTTCACTTCAAAAATCATGGCGTCCTGGGACAATCGCGAAGTCACGAACCGCCATCTTCTCCCCTATGTCGATGCTGAAAGCGCGCCTCCTGAAGTGGCGGCCGCACTCAACACGCTTCCGTTCCAACGCAACATCTTCAAGCTTCTCGCCAACGCCCAAGTCAACTTCCCGCCGTTTATGAAGCTTCTCGCCACCTGCTGGAACCCCGACCTCTCTTTGCGCTCCTCAGAGTACCAAGTGACGGTTCTGCGTACGGCGTCCTTGCTAGACGCCCCCTATGAGTGGGATGTAAATGAACCCGTGGCGCGTGTTCTCGGGTTCGATACCGACGAGAAGTTGCACCTCATTCGTATCGGCGATCTCTCTAATACACAATTCTTCACACCCCGCCACCGATTGATTAGCCAGATGGTTTTCCAACTGGTGCACGACAATGTTGTTAGCGAGGCAACGATGCGCCAGGCCATTGAGTTGCTGGGGAATGCTGCCACGATGGAGGTCATGATGATTCATGGTGTTTACTCTATGTTGGCACGGATCATGAACAGCGTAAGGATTGATTTTGATCCTCCTATTCCCGGTTTGGAGGACAAGCTGCGCAAGTACAACGCTGTTGCCATTCAGAAGGAAAAGGAAGCGGCCGCGCAGGATTGATTGGTGTGTGTATGCTTCAGGCAAATATCCCGAGTACTTTTGTAGACAGTCGAATAGAATGTTTGTTCCATTTCTTGATATGGCAGCTCCTTGTGACTTCGCTATTAAGTAGAGGTCTATGAGTATCTACGGGATGTATTGCAATGTGATTTTGCGTCGATGGACTACCAACGCTGTTAGCCTTTGGGCAGCAGTCAATACTCATAACGTTATCCTTTCTCCTCCACTCCGTGAGCTGGTCAGAAAGCCTGCCTAGGAATCTAGGATCAGCGGAGGATGACTCCTACATTATGCCGTTCCGCCTCCGCTGACTTGGAGGCTGGCTAAATCATCTTAGCACAACTTTAGATCTCAACCCGTGCTTCCATACCGATGGACGAGATACATACCAACCTAATGCAAAAACGGCAACATCTGTAACATTCAGCGAATACGGGTCAGCATGGGCCGAGGCCGTCACGGCATGTGCTGAAGCCGTTACGTGGAGAAAAACTAAATGATGATATGAACCTTGTGCCTTGCGTGGCGTGTAGCGTTTCATGACATCCATACAATGCAAGAACGGAAACTTAGGCACCTTGGTGGCACCGTGGCTCTGCACGATGAGATTCTCAGCCTGTCATTTCATCACGGAAGAGTCAAGGTTCTCGAATTGGACCATTGTGGCCTTCGTTGATCTCATCGACGGCAAAATCAGCTCAGGTGGATAGCCGCCCAAGAACAATGGGATATTTGACATCACGAAGTGGATCGACCTATTCCAATATAAAGGGGTCAATGAGTTCTCAATGTTCATAACCAAAGATAAAAGAAAATCATCATTTGGAACTGGCCTATTTGAATATCATACTTGCCCACCATTCGCCTTCCTCACAATGACTACTACTGCTATAACAACGGAGGGAAAGCTTTTCCCTACACTCATCTCACTGGACCAAGAGACTGTCTCGGCACAGCTTTTCACGTCCGCTCCTGAATTCAACGATCCGGAAGTCGAATACCAACACCCTGCTCTACACTCTCAAAAGAGCATTGCCGCCTGCGACTCGCCATGGGTATCAATGACTATCAGCCTTCCTGGCAACGTTCCTTTCTCCTTGGATCGGCTCAATTGGACCTGGCAGGCACTTGCAAGCCATAATCCATGCTTGCGAACCCATCTATGGGTACGACCTTATGATGGTAAAGTCTTTCACCGCGTACTACGCCGTGTCACTTCGCCGCTGCCGCTCAGTAACTTGCTACCGTTGCAAGCAGCAAGGATGAAGACTGCTTTCCTCATATATCGTCCCGATAGCATCGGACAGAAAGCGGCACCTTCAGTAACAATGTGCATCCCTCACATGTTAGTTGACCCAACCTCGCTGGGTATGTTGAAAGTGGATTTGGGGATGTTCTACTGCGGTCTTCCACTGAAAGAACATTCCTTATTCCGCTCGTACATCGAACATGTTCAAACCAAGGATGATGAAAGGAGCCATCGCTTTTGGCGGGAGACATTAGCCGACATTGATGCTGCGCCTCTGCTCTTACTTGGTCAGCTTAAGTCCACATCGAACGCCACGAGACGACAGATTGTATTCCATGCCGATGAAAAGATCCAGTATCAGCTTTCCAGATTCAAGGTAACGTCGGGATATGAATGGCGACTGCTTTTCGAAGCCATTTGGTCTATCGTATTGAGCCGCCATGGGGACAGCGGCAGAGTCGTCTTCGCTACTTCAGGCCGTGACAACAGTTTTGAGGGCAAAGGGACCTGTATCGGCTTGCTGGATAACGTATATCCTGTCAAAATTGAGCTCGAGGAATCCATGAGAATCGACAAGGTATTAGATGGCCTCCAGAGATATCACCGAGCAGCTTCGGTCCACAGTCACATAGGCTTCGAGAGAATTATGAATGAGTCAAGCTTGAAGATCCAGTCCTATATTGGATTTACAAGTTCCTTAGACTTCCCTCTCACGAGCTCTCTGCCTTCGAGCTGTCCGTTGCAGCTTCTCATCAATGGTGCAGACAAGCTACGTTTCACGCTGCGATTTGATGATGCTGTCGGAGATGAACACGCGGAGGTTTTGTTGAATCATTTTACGGAGCTTGTTATGAATACTCTCAGTCGCTTCGAGTCAAGCCCAATCCGGATCGATGAGCTTGAGATGGCCTCTGCATCAGAGGCATCAAAGTCGCTGTCATTAGGAAGTTCTCTGGTGCAGCAGAGGGATGGAAACTTGGTAGACATGTTTTGTCAGCAAGTCGCGCTGCATTCCGAAGACCCTGCTGTCCAATTTGAGGATGAGCGGAGCATCACATTTGGAGAGCTAAACCGCTATGCTAACGCCATCGCGCAAACTATAGCGATCCGTAAGGGGACTATCATTCCCATCTGTATGGATCGTTCGCCAGCATTGATCGCGTGCATCTGGGCCATCCTGAAATCCGGAGCAGCATATGTTATCCTCGACCCTGATGGAGCAGTCGAACGGAACGCTTTCATTGTGAGAGAGGTAGAAGCAGAAATTGTTCTCGTTGACCACAACAATGCCCGAACTTTTACAAATGGTGTGGTTGTCGACAACCTTCTCGAACGGAACGATCTCCCTTCATTGGAGGAGAATACAGTGCACGAAATCGATTCTTCGAGTCCAGCTTACATCGTGTACACATCTGGATCCACCGGAAAACCCAAAGGCGTTGTCCTGTCACACGTGGCGGCTGCGAACGGTATCCTGAACAACTCACTAAGCCGTGGGACAAGACTTTTGTTGTTCTATAGTCCAATCTTTTCCGCGGCACAGCGAGCGATTCTAGGAACTCTCCTTAACGGTGGCTGCCTTTGTCTCGCCAGGAAGGAGAGGTTACTCACATCCCTTGATGAGGTCCTCAACAAAATGAAGATTGAGGCAGTGGGCTTGACACCGTCATCCTTGTCTTTGCTTCGGAATGTGGAGACACCATATCTCAAACAGATCGCAATGACTGGTGAGGCCGTTGATGCAGATATCGTCGAGACATGGGCTGCTCGAGTGGACCTGCGTAACTCTTATGGTCTCAGTGAGTGCACACAGCTAAATTTCGGACGATCTTTGACGCCATCCAGCAACCCAAGGGTAGTGGGGAGACCTAAAGATACTACAAGCGTTTTTGTTCTGTCTCCAGGCACTGATCGTTTGGCGCCGTTTGGTATTCCCGGTGAGATATGTCTAGCTGGACCACAGCTTGGATCTGGATATATAAAGCGGCATGAGCATACTGCCAAATCCTTTGTTCAAAACCCATTTGGGGAAGGCAAGCTTTATAGGACAGGAGATATTGGCCTGCAGCATCCAAATGGCGATATTGAAATACTTGGCCGGAAAGACTTCCAAGTCAAGATTGCAGGACAACGCGTCGAGCTCAAGGAGATTGGGGCCGTACTGAATGATCATCCCCACGTGTCTGCCGTCGCTGTCATCGCTGCCGAGATTGACGGCATCAAATCCCTAGTTGCTGCCATAGTTCCCAGCAGAGATATCGAGTGGTCACTTCTCTTGGCCGAATTGCGTCGGAAGTTGAAGACGAGCCTTCCAGCATACATGCATCCGAGTTATTGGCTGCCCTACGAAAATATGCCGCAAAACCAGAATGACAAGACCGATGTTAGATCGATTCAACGAAGGGCCCAGGAGCAAGGGCGAGCCGGCCTTTTGAAGCTGATGCGCGGTTTCCAAGAACCACTAACACAGGCTCCAATGACCAGCACCGAGCTCATCCTACGGAACACCTGGGCACAAATTCTTAACATTGAACCAGAATCCATCCAGAGGCAAGACACGTTCGCGAACCTTGGTGGAAACTCGATGCAAGCAATTCGAGTCGTCGTGGAAATCCGAAAGGCTGGCTTGCTCCTGGAGCTTAGTGATATATTCAGCGGTCAATGCATCTCTGAACTCGCCCTTCATGTTGTTATTTCACTTCAGCCGACCGAAGACCTGAAGCCTTATGGGCTTTTGGACGAACCGTTTCGGTCTTCTTTAATCCGAGACGGAGGCGTTGATGATGCGTACCCACTGACTCCACTCCAAGAAAGCCTGGTTGCTGCAACACTGACCGGTAACACGAATTATATCTATCAAAGGGTTTTCAATGTAGGCCACCTGGAACTCCACCGTCTCAAAGCAGCGTTCGCAACTGTCTTTCATAAGAGAGATATATATCGCACGACTTTTCAAGAAATCGTAGGTCATTTAGTTCAGATCGTTCAAAATGATATGGAGCTGCCGTGGAGTGAGACGAATCAGGGGCTTGAGGACTACAAGCGAGAGGATCTTGTTCGAGGAGTCGCTCTAGGTTCATCGTTCTTCCGCGTGGCTGTCCTCCAACAAAGCTATTTGGTCGTAACAATGCATCATGCCCTGTTCGACTTTTGGTCACACAAATTTCTCTATCAGGACGTCTCCGCCTTGTATCAATCTGAGAAGCTGCCTGAGCGACCATTGTTCCGAAATTTTGTCGGACTTCTACAGAGATTAGACCAGAGCAAGCAGCAAGGTTTCTGGTCAGAATATCTTTCGGCGGCTGAGAAAACAACGCTGAATCACGCTCCAACTGGCAGAAGAATAGCCATTACCAAGCAAGTTCCGATTAGCCTTTCAAGGGACTGTGCAAAGCTTGGCTTGACAGCAGGAGCGGTGGTCTATGCCGCGTGGGCAATTCTGCTGGCCCGTCACACTGGTGGCACAGATGTCTGTTTCGCGACGACCTTCTTCGGGAGAGAGGTTTCAGTTGATAACGTTGCTGAGATGGATGGACCGACCTTGACAACTGTCCCTCAACGTATATTCGTAGATCCCGAGTCTCACCTCATAGACATCGCGACAAAAGCTCGCGACAACCTGTGGCCAGTCATCAGGAATTCTCAGTTCGGCATGCGGCGCGCCCTTTCTGCAGCGGGGCATGACCGAAATCTTTGCGATACCCTTGTCAACTTCTTGGTTGAAGATCCTGAAGCTCAAAGGGACCACACACAGATATTCCGGCCTCACGGCCCGAAGCCTATCTGGCAATCTGATTATACTACTCTAGAATTGCAAGAGAAGGCCGACTCACTTGTCGTCTCCCTTTCCTCGGACATGGAAGAATCCAGAGCTTCTTTTGTGCTGGAACAGTTTTTCACTATCTTGCATTATTTCTTCGAAAATCCTTCCAGCAAGACTGCAGCAATAGATATTCTGAGCCCTACGGAGCACGCTGCACTCCAGGACCTTGCCAAGTTTTCGAGTCCTAAACCCATGATGTTGCATGAACGATTTGAAAGAATAGCTGAAGAATCTCCTGATCTCACCGCCTTGGAATGGTCAAACCAGAACAGCTTGACATACAAGCAGCTACACGAACGTTCCAATCAGCTTGCCCATTACTTGGTTGAGCGGGGTGTTTCACGCGGTCAGCTCGTTCCCTTGTATTTGGAGAAATCGTTTGACGCTATTGTCGCTATGCTTGCGGTGCTCAAAGCCGGTGCTGCTTACGTGCCCCTCAGTCCCAGCAACCCTGTCGAGCGCAATTCCTATATTTTGGTCGAGACTGAAGCACAACTGATGATATCAGTGAAGGGCCTCCTCCCAGGGCAGACTTTCGCAGTCGAGATAGTGTTTCTGGATGAAATCGATTTTGCTCTTTACCCCAAAACCTCACATCGTAGCAACGCCACAACCACGGACCTTGCGTACATTATATATACCTCTGGCAGCACAGGACTACCGAAAGGTGTCAAGGTCCCCCATCATGCCGGCGCAGCAGCCGTTGGGAGCATGCTTGATGCAGAAGGGCGAGACAGGTCGACTTGGAGAACTATCCAGTTCGCGAATTATGTCTTCGATGCTTCTGTGCAAGACATATTTAATACGCTGAGTTCGGGCGGAACATTGTGTATGGCGGACTCGGACGAAATGCTGTCGAATCTTGCCGGAGTCATAAATAAGATGGACGTGAGACAGGCAATCCTGACGCCAACAGTGGCTCGCATGATTTCCCCAGAAGACGTCCCAGGGTTTGAAACACTTATCTTAGGCGGAGAGCCGATGACGCGGGACATTATTCAAGCCTGGCGACCAAGATGTCGCCTACTCAATGTATATGGTCCCACTGAGACTTCGATGGTCGTCACAACGAAAGAGATGGCCGTTGATTCGGCTCCAGGAAATATTGGCAAGCCTTTTCCAACAGTCTCGACCATGGTGTTAGAGCCCAATTCTTCTAGATTTGTCCCATATGGAGCAATCGGCGAGCTGTGCATCGCGGGACCTCAAGTTGCAGATGGATATCTCAAGAAAGACGATCTCACGGCGCTCAACTTTATCATCAGAGATCAGGGCCAAACCTATTACCGGACAGGTGACTTGGTGCGGTGGCTTCCAGGCGGCGAGCTTGAGTGTTTAGGCCGCAAAGATAATCAGGTAAAGATTGCTGGTCACCGTATAGAGCTCGGTGAGATTGAGCAAGCCATGCTCAGCAGCGCCGTCGTTGAAGACTGTGCGGCGCTCGTTATCCAAAGTAATGGCAAGCCGCATCTGGCAGCATTCGTGGTCTATGAACATGGCCAAGAATCTTTACTTTGCGACACTGATGATTGTTCTAAGCGCCTAGAACAGTTAAAAGGTAGCTTCAGAGGCCTCGCACATTATATGGTACCGAAGTATGTATTCCCATTTGGGGTTTTTCCTTTATTGCCGTCCCGGAAGACGGACAGACGGCAACTGCGTCGCATCGCCGAAAGCATTGATCCTGCATCATTGCCTCAATATTCCATTGACCGACTGAACACCGACCGTCCCACGTGGCAGCCAACGGTGACCGAAGAAGAGAGCTTTTTAGAGGCCGCATGGGGAAAACTTTTCAATGTTGACAGGTCCCAGCTCGGAGCAAAGGCAGACTTCTTTGCCCTCGGCGGCGATTCAATCTCAGCAATAAACTTGGTCAGTCTCTGTCGATCAAGCGGTTATGTTATCCAGGTTAGTGAAGTTATGAACGGAGGCATCTTGGACGAGATGGCACGTTGTTTGAGAAAGGTAGATGACCTTGGCACCACCACGTCCCTAAAGACGTATATGCCCCCTCCTTCCCTCCGGGAAGAGGTGGAGACTGTGGGTCTATCAATGGACGATATAGAGACTGTCTTTCCATGCCCTCCTGGTCAGGTCGAGTTTCTCAACCAAGGTCGACGGCCTGATCAACTATGGGTACTCATGACAACGAGAGCAGTATCCCCATCACTTGATGTCCAAGAGTGGATAGCTTGTATAACCGAGTTGACAAGAGTCAATAACATCCTACGATCAACGTTTGTCCATCTTGAAGGCCATGGATGGCTATCTGTCGTCCTCAAAAGCGATGATCTGGATCTCTCTATCCACAAATGCGCAGCAAAAGACAAAGATGATATTATCGAGCGAGAGCTGTGGCAGTACCGATTCGAATTTGGAAGACCGTTTATTCGGTATCTTATTCTCGAACTTGAAGGTGGAGTACGAGAAATTGCTATCAAGATGGACCACGCACTCTACGATGGAACTCTTCTGCGGATTTTCGCCGAACATCTCTCAGCCATCCAGCAGCACCAGGAGATTCTGAAGCACATCGAGTTCTCCGAGTTTGCACTTTATCACTGGAGGGCCGATAAGGCTAAGGGCTTAGAATTCTGGAAGAGTTTCCTGGACCGTTATTCATTCCAGTATCCAAACAAACGCGAGCCGCGAATCACCTCATTCATAACTCATCCCATCGATATCAAAATTGATAGGTTTATCAATGCTTGCAAGATCACCGCTCCAATTCTTTTCCAATCGGCTTTTCAGCTCTGGGTAGCCAAGGCTAGCGGTTCTCTCGATGTTGGGTTCGATTACCTCCTTACTGGTCGCAACGTTGAGCTGGAGGATCCTCAGGCCATCAATGGCAACTGCGCGCAGTTTTTGCCTTTCCGGTCACGCATCGATCCCAGAGAGACGCTGCAATCATACGCTGTAAATTCGCAAGCAGACTTTTGGAAAGTGACTGAGCATAGCAGCCACGATCTGGACACGATCTTCGCCGCCGCTGGCCACAGCAGCGTCGAATTCCGCAACCGCTCGTTGTTTCTTTTCCAGCCTTTCGAGCCTTCTTCCGGGGCCGCGCCGGAGGATGCGGTGCAATGGGTCGTGATGAAAGGCTCAAAAGTGCGCATGTACCAGCCTTATGCATTGGTAATGGAGATCAGCAAGACCATGAGGGGCTATCTGATGAAGGTGATGTTTGACGAAAGCGCAATGTCAGAAACGGACGCTGCTAGTATCGGGCGTGAGATGGAACGGATTGTCCAGCAGATTGTCAGAGCAGACGGTACTGCACAGGTTGACTCCATTCTATATGGCAGTGGTCCAGTGGTGGTGGAGTGAGGTTGTGCACTGATGTCTGAATTATCATGTCGGGAAACACGCTAGTACTAGTCTGGAACAGAACCGAAGCCACACCAGTGATAATCAAGCAATCTTAATGTACTCTTACACCCAATTAGAAAACACTGCTTCACATATTAATACTGAGTCCCCTGATGGGGAAACATTACTACATGCTTACCGCGATATAATATACACAGGATCCCTGAGAACTAATACATCAACACCTTATACGAAAACGAGTAAATAGATCTCTAAAATGGCGATGCCTTCTTGTCGCATATAGAACAGGCCTAATAGGGACCTATATTTTGAGCAATTGCCACCCGGCAAAAGGGTCCTATTACCGAGATCCGTTGTGCCGATTTTTGCCACATCTTCATGTATATATAGAGTCTCTAGACCCTTACTTTACTCTTTAATCGAGTCCGTTTCTCCCGTTTTGACAGTTATGAGCCCGGGTTGCTTCCGTATAAGCTTCCTTATAGCTGTAGGCTCGATTCCTTTACTCTTAAGAGAGAAGAGTATCGTACTTTAATTCCGAACGTTCTTAACGATACCGACAAAACAACAAAGCCGATACCGATCATAGTCAAGCCCTATCTAAAGGCCGGGAGCCACATCCTCGAGAGTAAGGCTAGGAGCCATAGTCTCGAGAGCCGGTACGGAGAGCTAGGCGTAGAGGCAGATTTCGTGAGGATTGTTGTGACGGGCGAAATGTGGCAAATTCAGAACGACGATAATTCGAATGACGACAACTTGAACGACAGACAACTTGAACGAGGACAACTTGAACGATAACAACACCGACAATATCAAGGCTTATAGATCTCGCGACAGATCTATAGCATGACCGACAACAATACCGACAACATTACCGATGCCTATGTAGGCCGAAGCCGACAACGATATGACAACCGAAGCCTATACAGGCCGCCGATATATGGACTATTTAAAGGGCCGTTAGAGGAGCTATATAGGGATGTCTGATTAGGGTCAAAATACAGCTCCCTAGGGGGGTGTGTCGCATATAGAACAGGCCTAATAGGGACCTATATTTTGAGCAATTGCCACCCGGCAAAAGGGTCCTATTACCGAGATCCGTTGTGCCGATTTTTGCCACATCTTCATGTATATATAGAGTCTCTAGACCCTTACTTTACTCTTCAATCGAGTCCGTTTCTCCCGTTTTGACACTTCTACTTAATGTATTCACCTAATAACAATAAGTACAAGTATCTATTTAAATCTTGACTCAATTCTGACTAAGTTTATGAATAGCACGGACCGGAACACCTCTATCACTTTGTCCTCAGTTGTTTCAGTTCGAGATATCTACATACAAGTTACCACTCGAACGTCTCTTCAAAGTATGCGACTCCCTGTTTTCCATTCTTTAATACTTGGTGGACAGCTGCTCTAGACTCATCCGCCATAGCAGCTGGACCGCATACCAGGACTGCAATTCGGCCACCCACCGAACTCGCATTTACTTCATCAACAAAGTCCAGAATGGCAGCTTTGATATTTGGTCTACCAGGGCAAATCTCCATATCATCCAAACTAGAACCGAGCGATGGTTCGTCGTCGCGCCTCCGAATTGCCGCTGCTGATTCCTGACCTGATGTGGCATAGAATGTAGCATGCACGTCGCTACGGTCTAGGATTGGCTTGAGCTCACTAATTGCGATACTGCGGATCATGGCAGTTTGCTTAGCTGCGAATATCAGGTTGATATTCCGTGTGCGTGTTGAGGAAGAGGCGGACTTGACAATGTGATCCCGAAGATACGGTATTGCACAAGCGACACCGGTCCCGCCTGTGATGAAGATAACGTTCTCATAGTGATGCAACGGTTCCGGTTTGCCGTAAGGTCCTTCGATCATGATATTCGCATTTATAGCCTTGTCTGGGTGCCTCATGCATCTATCACGAAGGTGTTTTGTCCATCCATCAAAAGGACGGATATAAAACACCAATTTGTAAGTTCCGCTATGGTCATATAGAAGTTCAGGATTTGAAGACCAAGAACGGGATCCTCTGTTGGAGGATAGGCCGTGCGGACTTGTTGTAACAACTTCAGCGTCTGTACCAAGTTTGGCAGATGACAAGAGTGGTCTTCGATCGTCGTCCATATTCGAGTTGCCAGCTGGGGCCCAATTAGCGAGAGTAAAGGGGTGGTTCTCCCATCCTTTCCATCTCAATGGCTGGTATAGGAAGTAATATTGACTTGGTTTTGGTTGGGGAGTCTTAGATGGGGTCGTAACTTCCAATCTAATGACATCGGCTTCCTCGTCGTATATCGCCGTACTTGATGTACGCTGCACGCTTCCTGATAACTTGACGTGGAGATTGCAATAGACGAGGCGAACGATTCGAATGGAACGATCAAAAAGCCAGAGCACAACTAATGGCCACAAATAGCCATTGTAAGATCCGAGAAAAATTGCGGTATGACTTTATGAATGTTAGCCTTTGCCACGATACATCATTCAGGAAGCCATACCAAAACAAGCCCACTATTGTCAAAATGGAGAACATGATGTGAAGTATTAAGAAGGCCTCGTAGCATCTCTGACGTACAAGTACAGAGGAGAATATCAGCAATAAAGCCATTGATATAGTAGCCTGTATATGTTAGCTGGAAACTACAAGAGAAAAATTGGAAATTTAAGGAGTACCAGAACGCCCATATACCAATAATTGAGGCTCCAGGATGCTGCGTAGATGCCAGCTTTGCAATAAATGTCAGTCAGTTATATAAATGACGTCCCACAGAAACCAAGATGCTCACAATCCCCTTTGATTACGGACCAGCCAACAGAATGAACAACCGCCTGCAGAGTAGCGACAAGAGCGATGTTCAGGTGAAAGGTGTTGAAGGTGGAAAAGCTCCACCCTGTTGCCCAGATGAAAACATTATTTCTCCCAGAGAACATCCATAGCATTGGTAGATTTGCGTAGCATATAATTCCTGTCCGATCTGAAACATAACGCCAGATCTGAATCGTGCGTGTGAAGCTATAAAGGTTGTCACAATTGATGAGTCTCACGGTCTTGAACACGTGGATACCTACTAAAGATTTGGGTAAAATATTTCGTAAGAGGCGCTACATAAGAAAAGGTTTAGAATCCAGTAAGCCAGCACGATAATGACTTTCAGGCGCGTTTGAACGGAACGATCCCATAGTAGTTTCTGAGAACGAGAACCAAATGCAGCAGGGATGACTATGGTGGTCCTGATATGATGGTATGCTGCATATAATATTGCGAGAAATCCAGATGAAGGAGATTGAGCTAGACTTGATGGTATCGTTCTCTCAATGTCGCTGATATTGCTCTCAAGCCGTGAATGGAACAATGAGTTCACGAAGCGGGCCACGATACCCAGGAGAAGTAAACAGCCCCAGAAGCCATATATTGCCCATCTGAAAGTTCGTCAATCTTCCAAGGGTGTTCTTCATGATTCTGGGAAGAAATCCAAACCCAAGTCTTGTATGTGATGCTTTTTCTTCATTGAAGACATGCTGCATTTCAATCAATATTGAGATGAGAATCAGGAACAGAACGGTTTCCATCACTTACGATTGTCCTCTGTCCAATCTCATGGAGCGACTTGGAAATGAGGATACTGCTGTTCCAAAGCTTGGTCTTATCAATGTCTTCAAATTCGACCACCGGTAAGCTCTTGATGTAGGCATCCGTAAGTTCCGGTTCGACTTCGATGTACGGAACCAATCTAATATTCCTATATCTTTCACAATACCCTTGGTATTCTGCAGACCAAACTGCAATCTCCTCTGGCTTACAATAAAGTTTGGCCGCAGTCCACATAGAATAGACGGACAGATGATACGTGCAGAGGGTATTATAATAATCGGGGTCTGCTCCAGCAAAGGTAAAATGGGTAACAGCAGTCACAATCCCGTCAAGGCATTCTGTGGAAAAACTAACACCATTGAGACCTAATGCTGGACGGAATAGAAGGAGAGAAACCACAATGGGTCCCCATAACATGTTGACAGGTAGAGGTGGGATTGTGGTATTCTGGTACTGACAGAAGTGGAGGGACAGAAAATGCAAACAATTCCTTGTAAAACACGCACAATGTTGGAAAGCTTCCCGACCGCCCTTTTTAAAAATAAACCCCTGTAGATTTCCTTCTTGGTATACTCCACCTACTGAAAAAGAAGGGCCCTGATAGGCTGAGCATTCCTGCAGCGAAGTCAGACTAGGGGAAAAGCACCATAGGTATCTCGCACCCCCAGCAGTGTTGTCACTTGCCTCTGGCCGTGTAAAGCATGGAGAACAATACGAGGACCATTCTAGCTTCAATTTGCATCTTAGATGTAGGTATTCTGGCTTGGCCAAGGCTTTCCTTACGTAAGTCCCTTTATAGGCACACTTCTCCTCTGGTCTAGCATCGAAGAAAGAAAGCATGAATGAGAAATGTTCTAGTACCATAACTGGCTAGATATTGTTTATTAATGATATATGAGCCTGGCTATCTATACAAAAAGGGGTTGGACTCATCACTGATACCTTGAAGAACCTTGATCTAGTGAAACCTTTGAGCTATCGGGAGTTTGGTCTGGACATATCAAAGGGGGGTGTCCATCTAATCTGATAAGATTGCTGACAGGGTTTAAATTTCTCGCACTAAGACAATCTGATTAGATTTTTCGGAGCCTAAGCCTAGTCTGGCTAGTGCCATCAGATAACGAATTCCCTTTAAACCGGAAGCCTTGGCCTCCAGAAAATTCGTCCGATACCTGTCAAGAGAAGCTCCGAGCGCCGTTTACCGCCGACAGTAATGCGACAGTTGAATATCATACGTTGTACGGAATAAAAGAGGGTCAGAGGGCCCACGGTTACCTAGATATTTACTGTAACCTACAAATTGTCCAAATTCTTACTTGTGCCACGCCTCTCTCTGCTATGCTGCCGTTGATTATGAAAGCAAATAGGTAAAATGAAGCTTTATCTGTGTAGTTGGTTGAGTAGCATCACGCAGTTGGCTTCATTTCTTCGAGTTTGTTCGACCATTTTCCTAACCTAGAGGCTAGAGCCGCAATATTCATATATCGTTCAAGCTTCACAACTAGTTTCTCAGAATCTGTTCACACCCCCTTTCCTGGCAGTTCGAAAGCTCATTTGTAGCAGAATCATCTATTCAGTAGTGAAAGGTGGGTAAAAGGACGTACTTTCAATGGTAATTGAACAGAATTTAGATTGAATTAAAGGGAATCGAATTGAACTTGGATTGAGCCCCCGAAAGCAGAAGGACTTCAGCCGTTCTAGATACCCGTCAAGGCCCATTTCGCACCCTAGCGTCAAGTTTTAAATATCTCAGATTACACTAGCACCTACCTTTTACATTGTGCTGTCAATGTTGCCAGCAATCTGGACTAAATCACTTCTTACTCAACTTGATGACAAGTACCTGTCTGTTGCCTGTGACCGCTGACTTGCGCATTTCATCTTTAATATGACATTAATCTAAGGCTTCAAAACAGACTACCCAGCCCGATTTTGAGTCAAGAGGTACTAGAGTAAAAGAATAGTTGGACCCAAAAATAGAGATCAGGCTTTCTTATCTTAGCTCGACCATTCTTAGTTTTAGATTGTAAGACAATGCATTGTGTTAGTACCCTGTTCTATTGTACGACACCGAGAAAGCTCTATCAAGGATCCTAAGTATTAGCCCAGGACTTTAATCGATCTCAGACCCCACCCCCGCACCCGACAGGACCGGTGATTAATGACTATCTTTAGTTCCCGGATTTCTGGGAGGCGATCGTTAATAGTTGATTTGATGAATATGGGAGTCGTAAAACATGACTTTTTATCTGCATCAGTATTGACTGTTCGATGTTCAGTCATACTGACAGGTAAGTGTGTTTTAGGAAACCGCAAATGTTGGGTTCTATGATCTATCCGGGATTCCGGGCTACTCAAGGAAGATCTCTGGATATATTCTAGGAAGAAAAGGTACAGTTTAACTGTTCATGTAGGAGAACAGTCTGAGGGAAAAGAGACGCAAAGTAAATCCTGACAGGGAGACTGGTATAGACAAAAGACTGGGGGAACAGTCGACAACAAGATGCAGGCAGAAGACGGCCGGCAGTTGGTTGACATCTTCAGGTGTAAAATCGCTCTATTTTAGCTAACCTTATCCAAATTCTCCTACAACACCTTCTAATATAATACAAAAGCAGCTCAAGACTCCATTCCCTTCTATATGCGGCCCACGAAACAGAGTTGCAGAAATGATTCTTCACGCGCTTTGATTTTCCGAAGACATCGCCACTTGTCGCAAGTTTGCAAGAACTCCTTGGTCACGACTCTTCCCATCCCATCCTACTGTCGGCCATCCTTGAGGCAGTGTCGAATAAGGTGGGAATGGCCAACGTTCCCCACACTTATCCTCTCCATCGCAGTCTAAGTTACATAGACCAAAAGTGTTGCAATAACACTGCTTTGCATTCGGGCAATAGACATGGGGCTTGCCAAATATAATATGCCACGAATATTCTAATATCCGGCCACTAATATCGTCATCGAGTGGCGTGTCTAACAGCCACTGTCTGTAGCGTTTGTAGTCTTCAATGGGCCTCTCGAGGATCTTGTCTCTTGTCACTGCAAACTGTGCGCAACAAGCGACACCGACAACATCAGGAACCTGTTCTCCAGGGAAAAGCTCTCTGAAAGCTTGAGGATAGGTAGACTGGGTACTCTGCTCGGCTTCAGGATCACTGTTGCCTTGTTGATCGAGCTTCAGCTCAGATGGACACCCTAGGGTCCAAACGCAGCGGAGATTTGCATATCCCTGAGAGATGATATACGGTAGCTGCAGGTTTTGCAGCAATGGAACGCCGTCTGAAGTCATGTCAGCAATCTCGTCCAGGGAAAATTGGAGTGCTATTTTACCGTAGAGCGGATCGTCATTGTGCCACTGATACCTGCTGCTGTGCATGAATACAGTGACATCAGGGAGCTTGTCGTAGGCGTCAATGATATATCTGATCGAACACGTTTCAGTCAAACGTACAACCGGTATCTGGGCACGAGACTCACGTCAAATACACCATGGCCTCGCGACCTTTGTTCTCTGGCACCGTGTATTGGGCAAAGGAAGAGTCTACAATAAATCGTTTGACGTCCCATCCCGAGAGATGCTTCCGCACCCATGAGATGTCATCTTTTGCTCTGCTGGCAACAACAAATGCTTTTGAAATGCTGGTCGGCCGAGGATTCTGGGGGACGCCAATGGCAGCTGGAGAGACGCTACGGAATGAGGCTCTCCAGAGCATGCAGATGGCCACGGCCCCGATAAAGGCGACTAGGATGCCGCGAAAGTTTCGACGCTGCGACAGTGGAAAGGGAAGCATATGGGCGTTCATGTGAAGGAGACATCGTTTCGAAACAAACAATCGAAACGACAATAATAACGGACACGAATATGGCTGTGTCTCGTATCCACATATTTCTTTCTAGTACGGAGGTGAGTGGGCAGGATCGTCGACTTTTGGCCAATCCGAAAACGGCGCGCGTGGCTTGAACCATGGCCGCGGTGGGCTTTTGTGGAGCGCCGACCGGGCTAATGTTTCAGATCCGGCCGTTTGACTTGTTGGGAAAGGAGCGGCCCGGTCGGCCCGGACAGGGGTCCCGCGTTGGGATCGGGATCGGGATTGGGATCTCGGAGGCCGGGGAATTTGGATCTCGGGTAGATGTTCTTTTCTTTTCTTCTTCCTCCGTGCTCACATACTAGGTAAGATAAATACCTTATTCTTGGTACATGTTTTATACCTACACTTTCCCCTTCGCTTAGGCCTGTGCTTCTACCGCATGGCCATTCCCATTGGCTGCCTCTTTCTCCACCGGTTCTGCAACGTACGGCGGTTCTTCCTGGTAGACATCATACTTATATTTGCTGCCTGTATGATCGCTTCTCAGACGTGCCTGCCCCGGCCCATAAACCTTCTCTCGGGCCGTCAGCCCCTCCTGCGTCTTCTGTGGGTAGATTCCACGTCTGCGCAGCTCCGGAACCAGCAAATCCACCACGTCCTCGAATGTCCCTGGCGTCGTCACATAACCGAGATTGAAGCCGTCGACGTCGGCCTCGGCGACCCAACGCTCGAGCTCGTCGGCCACGGTTGAGGGCGATCCAACAGACACGGGGCCTAGGCCCCCTATCGATGCTACCTCTGCTACAACTTCGGGAGTCCATTTTGGTACATTCTTGCTGGTCGTCGTGAACGCGTTCAGCGTAGAGGTCACTTTATGGGCTTCTAGCGAATCGTCCTTTGTGATCTCCTTGCCCAGTGGCAATTTTGAGATATCGATTCCGGTCCAGCCACTGAAGAGGACGAGACCCCCGATGGTCGATGCATATTTCTTTACCTCTGCCAGTTTCTCCTGAGCTTCCTCGTCGGTACGGCCGAGGATGGGAGTAAAGGTGCAGAAGAACTTGAGGGAGGCAGGATCACGACCTTCTTCCTTGGCGAGACGGCGGATGTTAGCTATTTTGGGGGCGAGGACCGAGGGAGCATGCCCGGTGACGAAGATTGCTTCAGCATGCTTGGATGCAAAGGCAGATCCGGCCCTGAATTGGTCTTAATGACTTGCTGGATAGTGGATATGCGAGAGACTTACGGTGAGGTGCCAGCTTGGAAGAGGAAGGGGGTCCGTTGTGGGGACGGGTCAACAATGTGTCTCGATTCTAAGTTGAAATATTTGCCGTGGTGGTTAATCTGTCGCACTTTATCAGGGTCGATATAAGCATCGTTTGCAACGTCCTTGATTATTGCATCGTCGCTCCACGAGCCTTCCCACAGCTTGTAGAGGACACGTAGGTACTCATCCGCCTGTTTGTATCTCTCGTCATGCTCTATAGGAGTATCGATTCCGATGGCCTTGAACGCTGTTTTCTTCCATGAAGTGACAATGTTCCTGTCCGGGAATTAGCTTTGGGCTTAACTTACGGAGTAAGAGCAGCATTTGGGAATCATAGGTCACGCGAACTGTATGGCTTAACATACCATCCAATTCGCCCCCCGGTGAGATGATCTAGAGTAGAGAAACGTTTCGCCAGCAGGAATGGCGGCTCGAAGGTTGTGCTGGCTGTAATGCCGAAGGAGAGGTTTTTTGTCACTACTGACATCAGTTGATGAATACAGAATTATATACGAGAGGCATTACCGGCGGCCATTGCACTAATTGGCTTCACAGGCATGTCAATACTCCGTAATTATTCTATCAAGTGTTTGAGCGTCTATCAAAACTCACAATGGTAGGGTCTGTCACTGGCCATTGCGCCGCCCTCCGGATGCAATTGTCCAGGCTCCCCTCGTATGTATCATACCCGCCATATGTGTCTGCGAGGAAGAGTGTGTTGATGTCCCCTCGTTCCAGGATCTTTGCAAGGTCGATCCAATACTGCAGATCCCGCTTGTAGGCCGAGCGGTCCTTTGGATTCTGTCGGGAACATCAGCCTTTCGTATCTCTAGAGCTGGACTGCGTCGCGCAGCAATACCTTCCATTGCCCGGGGCTCAAATGGCCTACGGTAGACATGTCGAAAGCATTCAACAGAATCTGCTTTTTCGCATGGCCATTCTGTGCCGCAGCCGCATTGGGTGCTTTTTGGTCGGCCGTGCCATTGCTGGAGCTTCGCAGACGCTTCGCTGGCGACGAGCGCGCATCCTCGGTGCTGGAGCTGTTTCTTTTGCTGGTTCGAGGCATTGGTACGGTAATAAATGCTTAATGACTGGAGGTTGAGAATTGAGGATAGGAAGGGGACAGCTTCAATTTCAGTGCTCTCCATGAGTCCCTCGCGGGATTCTGGACCCCTCAGTCGCACGCCATCAACCCCCCCATGGCAACATTCCGCTCAGCAGCGCCATGCCGCAATTCCTGGGGTTCTAGAAACGGATCTCATTCTCCCCTGTCGCTGCCTCCGGATAAGCATCGTGCACTAGGAGTAAGGTTAGATATCTGTGGATAGCAGGCGTGTTTGACCGCGGCGTTTCCTTTCTCCGTTTCCCGCTTCGCGGTTGTCTTGTTTTTGGCCATTTTATCTCCGGTTGACTTCCCTCGCTTGCCTTTGACTTCATGTGTTTTATTTTATTTATTTATTTGTCTATACTAGGTCCCCTTCTCGCATCTGTACTGTACTCTATATTTCATTTTCGTTTTCCTTTTCCCTTATCTTTGCCCGTGTCTCACCCCAACTTTGCGAGTGCTAGGGTCAGTCGTCCGCCATTGCGTGCTTACCACGGGGTTATTACGCACAGCCAAGGGAACATGGCATCATACGGAGCTTTGCACAATTCCCCCATACCGGTCGTAGCAGCGTCGGCTATGCGAGAATATGGCCACCAGTAAGTTATGGGGAGAAAATCTTTTCCCAAGCCAATCCTTCAATCTTCATGATGGCGCCCCATTTTTGCTTTCAAGGTAAGTACTTGGCTTGCTCTGGGCTTCCCCTCCGCGGGCTGTTGCCGCGTGGTCGTGGATTTGACAGGTGTGGATCGTCGAGTCCATTTTCCATATAAGTTCCAAGTACATCCAAGCTTGCGGACGGTGGTGCTCGAATCGACATTGATGTTCACAAAATGAAATTCTTCTCCCGTTCACCTTCAGCCTCGCCCGAGACTGTGGCGGTAGAGCCTGGAAAAGCCGATGAAATACCTGCAAAGGTCCAGGGAGTGGATTCTGTGGCTACACCAGACAGCTTGCACAGCGATGCGGCAGCTGACCGTGTAGCCTTTCTCTCCTCCTTCAGCCCAGAAGAGGACAAGGCTATCATGCGGAAAGTTGACAGGAGATTTCTGTGGCTTATCGGGATGATGTACATCATTAAGAACGTAAGCAGTCAAGGCACTGCGGTTTCTATGTGCAGAGATGCTAATAATCAAGTAGATCGACTATTCAAATGCAGCCAGCGTCAAAGTCCTACAATTGGGCAAGCCTTCGAATATCTTGGTCCAGCTTAATATGACAGCTGATCAGTACAACTGGGTCCAGTCAATCTACTTTGTTCGTATAATTGATATCCCCCTCTTGTCTCTTGACCTCTCGCTCACACCCTTCAGATTAGCTACATCGTTTTCGAAGTTCCCAGCAACCTCTTGCTAAAGAAGGTCTCACCGCGAAACTGGCAATTCCGCATCATTTTCTCCTGGGGGGCAGTCCTAGCCTGTCATGCAGCAGTCAAGAACAGGCAAGGTCTATATGCCGCCCGATTCTTCCTTGGGTTGATGGAGGCAGGGATGTTCCCCGGAATAGCGGCTCAGCTGTGCAGTTGGTACCGCAGTGACGAGATGGGCAAGCCAATCATGTGGATGTTCGGCTTCCAGAACTGTTCCGGGATTGTGGGTTCCCTTCTCGCATATGGCATCTCCTACATGGACGGGATGCGCGGCATGAGTGCTTGGCAATGGGTGTATCTCCTGGAGGGCGTTGCCACCATGGTATTCTCCATCGTCGTATTCTTCGTGCTTCCTGATTACCCAAAATCACCACGTTCAAACTCATGGCTCACGCCGAGAGAGCAAGAGTATCTGGAGGCAAGACTTTCAGAGAATGCACCGAGGACTGAGGATGCAGCATTTAGTAAGAGCGAGATCATTGCCTCCCTACGCAATCCACGGACCTATTCTTTCATGCTGTCGCAACTTCTCCTCAACCTCGGTGGATATGGTTTGAGTTGGCAATTACCTACCGTGACGACCAGTCTCGGATTCGCGGGCCTTCCAAGGAACCAGCTGCTCAACATCCCCCCTTCTGCAGCATCTGTGCTTGCAATTATCTTCGCGGGATGGTTCTTGGACCGCGCATACATGACACGCCCTGCGTTCATCATGTGGATCTGCGCCGGCGCTTTGGCTTTCTTTATTGTCCTTGCTGCTACGACGGAGAAGTATGCTGTGTACGTAGCTTGCGTTCTGGGCACCATGTTCTACTCCGTCTACTTTATCCCTTTCTGGGCCTGTAAGTCTTTCCCCGATAGCGACTCCTTCCTTACCTTAGTTGGAACAACAAGACTAACACGGCAACGCAGGGCGTTCCTCATCACTTACGGGCACCACGGGCACAGCATTCACACTAGCCTTCCAATCCTGTGTTGGACAGGTCGGTGGTGCCGTTGGACCACAGATGTTCAAATCGCGTTACGCCTACAACGGGTACAAACTACCTTTTGGTATTTGTGCAGGTGCCATTGGGTTTGGCTGGCTTGCTAACGTTTGGACATGGTGGCTTACGCGCAACATCGAATATGATGTAATGAGGATCAGGAGACTTAGGATCAAGGCCGAGAAAAATGGAAGACTGTTTGCGGAGGATGATGTCAAAGTATTTGAGGAAAGGGAATTCTACGGGAAGGGTTTAGTCAAGAAATCAGATATAGAAACAGCGGTGTAGGGCCGTAGTGTCTGGGGTGGTAAATAGAACAAAAGCATGTAATACACTGTCTAATATATTATAGAGATATGCACCTGCTGTGGTGCTACCTATCTTGAATGCTCTAATACTTTACACCAAATAATAGTAAGGAATGTAGAGGATTCGGGCAAGACAATAGAATGTAGCAAGTCTTCTTCAGCACTGGATGGCGATGGCGATGGTCACTGCACTGCTCTGTCACAAAAGTTCCAAATATAGGATAGATGCAAATGCTCTGATTGCAAAGCATCTACTCTCAGTCACCTATATTCTCATATTTGAATCATGTACCTTCTCCCCCCTCCCAATACAAGTTCTCCTGTACGAAACGACATCATTTAACCACCTGCGTAGTAACCGTAACACCCTTATTAGTCACATCGTTCTCGTCACTCACTTCCTCCTCAGACCCAGCCACTTCCTCCTGGCTCCGTTGGCCAGACTCGAACTTCCTCTCCAGCGCGCGAGCGTACGGCCTCACAACCAGGTACGTAACCAACACCAACACGAAGGAATTCACCGCACAGAATGTATAGCCTTTGAGGAAGCGGGGGCCCTCAACCGTAGGGAACACCAGCACGCTCGTCCATGCCGTCGTACTCTGGGCTATCAAATTCATGATCACGAGGATGATGGAGCGCTCCGCCGTGTTGTGCCGCAGCATGTCGTTGGTCCAGCCGTAGAGAACGCTGCTCTGGGCCACCGGCGTATAGGAACTGTTGAATGCGAACCATTTGGCGGCTTCGGGAACGTTCCACACAGCGAGGATAACCATGGCGATGAAATTCCACGTGTTGGCGAAGGCAATGGCCCCGCTGGGACCCCAGAGGAGGTCGGAGCTGAAGTTGACAAAGAGGACATAGAATATACCAAGCGCCGGGGCGGTGGTCCCCAGCTGGTTTATTCTAGGGGCTGAGAAGCGCTTGAGGCTTTTGAGCCAGAGGAGGTAGGCGCCAGAAGATGAGGATGAGGCGTTCCAGAATAGTATATCCCAAAATGTCAGTATGTATATTCGCCAATCGGTTGCTATGTTTCGCAAGAGTCGCCATTTGCTTTGTCTCACTTCGTTTTTGGTGTCTGCTTTCGTCTCTTCGAGACGTTTGACAGCTAGAGCCAAGTCCTTATCCGAAAGGAAGAGCTTGTTTGGTTTTGCTGGTGTTCCTGGCCAGACGAATACCCCAGCAATGGCAACTGGAATTGTAATCAGGGCATTGATAATGAATGTCCATCTACAAGGGTTTTAGAAAACACGCGTATCATTGACTGGGTTTGCTTACCTCCAACCTGCCAAGCCCCTTACACCATCAAGATGGGCGGAGGCTCCGCTTTGAACCAGACCCGCTGTCAGAGTTCCTAGCATTTGACCGACGTAGAATATACCACCCCGGCGGCCAATCTCATCGCCTCTATACCAAGCACCCAATACGAAATGCACTCCTGGGAAGAATGCAGCCTGGGGGATCGGTGAGCAAGGACGAAATCAGGCCTTGACTGTATCACCTACCTCGAAAATGCCAACAAAAAAACGATAAGCCATAAGCTCCCCATAACCCTGGGCGCGATATTGCAAAAGCGTAAAGAGACCCCATCCAGCCTCAAGAGCAGGAATGGTATAGTTCATTGGGAACATTGGGAAGAGGAATGTAAAGGGAAGCTGACCGATAACAGCCCCTGCCGTGTACATGGCGTTAAGGTTGACAAGTTGGTTTGAATTGAAGCCCAAATTTTCTTTGAGACCAGATACATAGGCATTGTCTATGAGTGTGTAAGACCAATGAAGTTACATGGAGCGTTGGGGTTTCTGGGAACAGATGGCATAGCATAAACAAGCACTTACTCAGATTTGACTGGTCGATGTACTTTATCCAGTAAGCAACGACAGCATATGGGACAATAAGAAGATCGAGTTTAATAATGAGCTTCCGCTCCTCGGGGGTATCATCTTTGGCATACCAGTGCCAAGGGGCCCGTCCTTGACGTTTGGCGTGCATGGTGAAAGAGTTTGAGGTACAAGGACCAGATGCCACAAAAACAATACACAATGGGAGAGAATGAAATATATACTTAAGTCCTGAGAAGACCCCGCTCCCCCAAGATAGGCGTTCCTGATGCGCGTGGGATTACGGCCGCGCCAGGAAATCTCCCAACTTCCAAGGCCCAAGAGTCCAAGACAAAAGCAACATGGGTCAAAACGTGCCGCGGAGCTACCACGACAACTACCCGTAGAGCCACCTGCATATTGACCTGGTAAGCATATGAAGGAAAGCAAATCTGCCAGCATGCCCAGTAGTAGTGAGGAGGCTACGCATGGACATGGAAGGCCAGCACGTGACCCACAGCCTTGGCGCACATCGGACGTCCTCATTGAGCCCTGCACTGACACCATCGCGCGGGACGCATCGGGGGCCCACCGTATCCATCATACCATAGCGATAGGATGGGGTAGCACTGCAGAGGACAGGCCCAAGCTGGGCCTATCCCAGTTGGACGACTTTGGGACATTTCCGGAGATGACACAATCCAAGCGAGTTTGACGTTTGTGCTGGAGGACCCCCGCCGCCCATTTACTACGGCGCTGTCAGATTATTAATGGTCCGCATTCTAGACAATAAAAGCACCGTGGTGATAACGTCTGAGATACCGGGAATAATAAGAACAAGAGGGGTCGGTGGCCTGGCCAGCTTCGGAGACGCCTTGTTGCTTTCGCATCCGTTGACCTCGAAAAATTAAAATCTTAGAAATAATGGCTGACGAAAAGGCAAGGGCGAGGCTGGAAAGCCTGTCACAACACCTGACAAGCAATGGTGGGGAAAAGACTGCGAGGCCAAAGTTCGAGCTCGAGGATCATCCTGTTGACTCTGTCCGGACATTGCGGGTATGGAGATCCGCTTCGTCCTGCCAGAGAGCGTGTCCTCCAACTGATCTTGAGTCTTGCAGGTAGCAGTGATTGGAGCTGGTATTTCTGGCATCACGGCTGGCATCCTTCTACCGGCCAAGGTACCCGGAATAGAGTTGACAATCTACGAGAAGAACAGTGATGTTGTACGTCTTCATCACCAACATAATCCAAGAGAATATCCCTGATACTTGAATAGGGCGGAACGTGGCTTGAGAATATATGTAAGCATGTCCTGCCTCTTTAACACAGGGGAGTCTGACCGGAAATAGATCCCGGTGTACGATGCGATGTCCCAGCAAACGTGTACCAGAGCACTTTCGCTCCCGAAACGCAATGGACAGAGGAATTTGCCCAAGGTCATGAGATCCGGGCATATTGGCAGAAGGTAGCAGCGAAGTACGATGTGTACCGTTATATAAAGTTCAGCAATAAGATCCAACATGCCCAGTGGCACCCGGGAGATGCCCAATGGGTGCTGCAGGTCACAGACCTGACTAGCCAGGAAACTGTGGTGGAGAAGTTCGACATCCTGATCACAGCAATCGGACGCTTCAATGCCTGGAAGCTGCCCGATTATCCGGGGATTGATGAGTATCAAGGCCACCTAAGGCATTCCTCGAACTGGGATCCAAATTTCGACCCCAGGGGCAAAACTGTTGCAGTTATTGGCAATGGCGCGAGCGGCATTCAAGTCGTCCCTGAGCTTCAGAAAGTTGTCAAGCACCTCGACCATTACGCTCGCTCAAAGACGTGGATTGCCGGCTCAGTTGGTGGGCACGACAGGAAAGCAGAGCCGATGTACTTCAGTCCAGAGCAACTGAAGGAGTTTAGAGATCCAGAGAAGTATTTGAAGTACCGCAAAACACTCGAGGAAACTTACTGGAGGCGCTTTGCAGCTTTGTTCAAGAATTCGAAGGAGAATTTGGCCGCGCGGGAGGAATTTAAGACAATAATGGCAAAGCGGTTGACAGATAAGCCTGAGCTGCTTGATAGCCTCGTTCCGGACTTTTCACCGCACTGCCGCAGGTTGACACCTGGCCCCGGGTATCTCGAAGCTTTGAGCAAAGAGAACGTCAGCTTCATCCAGACTCCCATCAAGCGATTTACCAAAGATGGGATTGAGACTGTAGATGGGGTCCACCGTCCCGTGGACGCCGTGATCTGTTCAACTGGCGCCAACGTTGACTATGCTGTCCCTTTCCCCATCGTCTCTGGGGACGTGAATCTTGCTTTGGCATGGAAACCAGACGGCAAGTTTGGCTTTCCTTATTCATACCTTGGAATTGCGACGCCTGGATTTCCAAACCTACTTTTCATACACGGGCCTAACGCCTCTGGCCATTCTGGGACTCTTCCGCATAGCGTGGAGAACCAGGTCACATATATAGCGCGTGTATTGCGGAAGGTTAGCGGCGAAGGGTATGTCCCATTTCATATCCCGTTGAAAAGGCGTACTAAATCTTTGATTTTAGGATCCGGACGATTGTGCCTTCGAAGGAGGCGGCAGATGACTTTGTTGAGTACTGTGATGCATTCTTTCCCAAGACAGTGCTTAGTGAAGGGTGTAGCTCTTGGACCAATGGTATGTTATCCAGCAGTTTGACTCAACTGATTGTAGGCTAACATCCTGTTTCTTTAAGGAGGTCGACCAGGAGGACGGATCAACGGCCACTGGCCTGGAAGTGCGGCGCACGTCAATTTCATACGCCGCTCTCCGCGCTGGGAAGATTTCGAGTACGAGCTGCGGCCAGAAAATACAAGTAAAAATCGGTTTGCGTACTGGGGGAACGGCTGGACGAAGAAGGAGCTTGACCCTGACTCGGATCTGACTCCATATTTGAAAGCTCCAGAGAGGGTGGACTTGAGGGATTGGCATGAAAGTTGGTGGGATCTATAGATAATAGACTATCTATCCTAGCTCGATGAGAAGGATAGGCATCACGAATTTCTGGATTTGATAGCACAATCTAGGCGGTGGGTGGAGATCGTGATACCCAATTTCGCTGGTGTCCGTTCGAGACAGTCCACGTTTGTTTCTGAGACCATTAGCACCAGTCGTTTCATATCTTTCGCGGCTACTATAATCAGTGGGCCTGACGCCAGAATGTACTCACCATGTTTATTGTCCAGCATTGTCCAGTCCGTCAAACGGTTTGGGTTGAGGTAGATGTCAGAAGAAACAGAAGAGACTACATTATGGTCGATAAGTTTGGGCTCTAGCTAAATGTCCGCTGGTTGAGGTAGTACCTAAATGCCTGCTACTGGGAAGGGGCCGATGTATAAGGTATGGTACCTTAGCTACAGCCTACATGTACCTTAGCCACCTACCAACCTACCCTACCCCGCTAACAGCCCTACGTATAGACACTAGAGAAGCCATCCCCTCCTAAAGGATATATCATTCTTTTCTCTACCTAACCATATAGTCCCGCTTCCAATTTGTCGTAAGTCTAGTTCTTTCGATACCATCCATCCCCCATACTTCAAGATTCACCTCAATGTGCTCGAGAAGCGGCAATCTCTCTGAAGAGGCATCAAAAACTTCATACATTTTCAGGAGATGTGTAGTCATGTCCATTTCGGTTTGCGTTTGCAGCGTTTTGTTCTGCCAGAAGCTCATTGACACGTGCAATTTCTGATCCCTCCCGGTCGTCACGTAGATAATAGCGGGGTCTCCTTCGGAATCGAGATTTAGAGTAGCCTCACTGTTATATAGATTCTGCCAGAAGCTCTCTGATACGTCTAGTTTCTGATCCCTCGTCACGTAGATAATAGCAGGGTCTGCTTTAAGATCGTGATTCAAAGTAGCCTCGCTGTTATGCAGATTAGCATAGAAAGCTACTGTAATGTATCCTTAGAACAGTGAAATCAAACTACTCACATACTTATAGGTGCTGCACCAGGATCAGACCAGTATGCATGCTTTACAGGTTTGTTATCATGAACACATAGGTCCATGACTAGGCGCTGAATCCTGTTGCCAAAGAACCGAAACACTATTCCGACGAGGTGCTCTGCCGATCTAAACAGCCCGGCATTAACAGTTAATGTTGTCGGCTGAGCAAATACACGCTCAAGGGTCTCTGCGCCAGGTAGCCAGTGTGAACTCCTTAGCACGACAGGCTCGGCACCTTTCTCAGGCGGTTTGAGTGACCACAGAGTGCTTGTATCGTACTCGAATCGCACATGTGGCGCTAGTAGCCGGCAGAACTCGGCGACGTTCATACGCGTCTCGTGGCAGACAGAGGAGATAGGAAAGCAGTCGACAAGGGATTCGAATTCGTCCTCCTCGAAACGCAGTTTTAGTCCGTTGTAGGGGTCCCGGAGGTAGACATACAAAGCTAAAGGTAGTCTGTCTTTTCCTGGTAGGCAACTAACAATTGCCTGGCGCCGCCGTTCGGCCCAAGAACTAATAAACCAACGCGGGAGTCGATCCGCGACATCCTGGATATAGGACGTGATGGCAATCTTCCAGATTCTGTTCCTTAGCTCAGGGGCGAGCTCTGGAAATTGATGAAATGCGGTTAGCGACATGGTTACCTAGATGGAGTCTGTGAAGTGCGAAAGATGAGAGTTCGGAGACCGAGGTTCTGTGACTAGGTATACGATGCTGTAGGGTTGATGAATAAGATGGCGGCCTGCCGCATAGGATACGCTGTGGAGGCGACGATGAACAGTTCAGTTGCGCGGGGTAATGGTGTGGTGGGGGATATGATTAGTGTTGAGTTAGCAGAGAGTGGCTTCTTTGCTAGAATTAAAAGATCGTAGTGGTGGTTCAAATATACCTTAGGTAATCATCAATCTCGCTTAAGTAGTGTCGACTTATCGTCTTAAGCAAGGAGGATTACAACCGATCACTCTAATCAGAACCACACCCCCACACTACCTAGGTAGGATAGATACAAATGCTCTGATTACAAAGTATCTACTCTTAGTCACCTATATTCTTATATTTAAATTATGTACCTTCTTACCCTCTTAATACAAGTTTCCCTATATAATACAGAATTATATCTAACTACTTGTATAACACCCTTATTAGTTACGTCGTTTACGTTACTTACTAACTCCTTAGACCTAGTTACTTTCTCCTTACTTTAGTGTCTATTCGAGACAGTCTACGTCTGTTTCTAAGACTATTAGTACTAGTCGTTTTATATCTTTCGCGGCTACTATAATCAGTAGGCCTACTGCCAGATTGTAGACCTAAAGGTGAGAAATGCTTGCTTTCTTATTTGAAACCGTTGTATTTATGATCAGCTATTTTGGCGAATTAGTGTACGCCACGCCGGTTATAAAAGACAGCAAACATTAAACCACTGCAGAAAAGCTACGGCGACCAGAAGATGTTGATTGTCGGTGGGTAGGGAGGGTAGCAAATCTTTTCTCAGTATTTAGAAGGCCGCAAATATTATGGTCCAAAGTGCATTTGTCGTAGAGAAAAGTAGGCAGCACAAATCCTCCCTTTAAGCCCACCAGTTTAGAAAACGTCTTTCCGCCTGCAATAGTTGTTGTTTCCCCTGCTGAAAGCCATGTTTGAAAGTTTTGAAATACTAGGGCTTTAACAGTCTTGTCTGTCGGCTTGCCCAAACATACGACACTACCTGAGTGTCCAGTAACACTGCGGTCGTAGTTGTCCAGGTCCTGTTTTAAGGATTTTGTCGTGGCAGCGGCAACGGTTTTCGGATCTGGGACAACGCGCCAAAGCAGTGCAACGGATTGGCTTAAAGTGTCTCGGTCCCAAGAGTACTGGGTACCTTCGGCCGCTACCTCTTTCGTATGATTCTGAAGCAGATTCCTTGTTCCCTCATCTAGGACCTCCCCGTGAATCGTGTCGCGTTCTGAGTAGGCCACAGTGGAGGTAATAAACAAGGGCTTGCCCTCCAAAGCTTCGGTAACCCTAGCCCACCCATCGACTTTGGGCAGCCCGGCTGGGGAGTCGACCCTGGGCAGCTGGTCCTCTTTGCGGTCTGAAGCCGCAGAGATAAACGACAGGTCATGAGAATAGCCAGCCGGGTACGGATTGCAATTGCTGGGCGAATCGAACGTGGCGGATATCGTTCCTAGAAGCTTGGCATTGCCACAAAGCCACACCTTCTTCCCCAGTGAAGTGTTTGATGTTGGCGTTTGCTGGGGGCCCACGTACGGTAGAGAAAATCTGGTGCGCGATACCGTTTGAAATCTCGTCAGTGCATCTTTGATCGTCCACAGGTAGTCCACAGTGCGTCCGACAAAACCGGCAACACCTGGGCAGCGAACAAATCCGTGCGTTACCGTCGTAATAGCAGGGCTGTTATCAGGCAAAATGACTCTTAATCCTATGCAGGATGTTGATTTCGGCGAAATTGGATCTGCTATGATAGACTGGCCAACCTCGATACTTGTCTGGGAAGGCTGGCAGTCCATGATGTCGAAGTAAACTTGTATCCCCGCGGCCTTATAGGAGACGTATTCTTTCAAGTCCGAATTCATGGCTTGTCTTGTAGGGTAGAGAACTTGAATGACACCGCTTAGGAGGACTCTTGCGCCGCATGCCCGAGGATACATCAAGCGAAACCGATCCAGGTCTTCGTTGCTGAGAAGGCGACGTGGATTGATGGAGTGGTGAAACAGGTCGCGACGCGCCCATCCTCCGGGGATCAGGACCCCGATGGGATAGTTTTCAAAGGTTGGCATGGAATGAATGGGGAGACCTCCAACACGTGTGTACGGAATGGGTTCCGTGGCATCAAAAACAACCCATGCGCGCGAATCGTCAGGCCGGCACAGAAGTTTCACCAAGTCTCCTTCACTGCTAGAAAATGCAGGGTGGAAGGTGCGCAGAAGATCGATATTTGTCTCTGTCACCTCAGTCTCGACCAGGGCTCTCACAGCAGCAGCATGTGGTGACCCCCATTCTGTTGATTCCGTGCCTGTCCATCACCGTATTAGTATTGAAGACCATCTTGAGTGGAAGATTAGTGGATGATTGGGGACAAACACCTACGGCGGACATTCCATAGCTTCCCAGCACGGCAAAGTTCCCATCGGCTGTGATCAACTTGGTGGTCGTGGATGTCGAGGGGCTGGTACTCGGAGCTCTTTGAAAATCGCATCCGCTTCGCCATGTTGTTGGGACGCAGGGAAAAAAGGAGGCTTTCTTAGGAGACAAGCACGCTGTTGAAATGCTGGATGATTTGGATGATGGTTCGATGGAAGAGAGTTAAGGAATAGGTAGGTACGTAGGTTGGGCTCAGGATTGTCTGACGCGATCTCTGGATTGGCTGATGTAGAAGCAGATTCCTCTCTGATACGGATCCCTGTATCTCTCTTTTGTGATCGCCGCCTTTTTCTTCTTTGCTGGCATCTAGCTACGCCGGGAGACGGCTTGTGCGCTCGGAAAGGTCGCACTATTAGCCGGCGTCTTTGATGCTTCGCCCGAATACTAAAGGTGAGGTCGATCTGCAGATTGTTGGTGGATGTGGGGGGGTGACGGTGTTCGTATAGGCTTGTGGAATACCGGGCTCGAGTTGATTTGGAGATCTTGTTGAGTCGAACGATATTACTACCATGTCACGGTCATCACAGCTCACGTATCCTGCATGCAGTATATATACGCTTGGATGTGAATTGTCGTCTGAAGAGAGAAGATCTAGCTAGGTGGGGGTGGGGGCATTGAGGTAGCTACAGGGTGCGGTCGCTTAGGTAGGTCACCTGACATTAGGCGACCGCCGTAGATTTACCTTGTAAGGTAGGGCCTAAGCAAGAGCGGTGACGTGAAGAAGGCTCAGATAAGAGAGGAGAGCTTATATTAGGCGAAGGGTCACGGGATGGTGTACCTTTTTCTTCCAAAACGATCTGTCCCCGCGCCTCGCGCCGCCCCGCCGCCATAGGGTAGAAGAACAAAAGTGAGGTGTTCAGAGTCGCCAGCCTCGCCAGCCTCGCCAGCTCCCTAATGTGGAGGTGGAAAGTTGTTATGTGATTGGGCCATTACATACCTGAGAGGGCTCGGTTAGCTAAGGTACCTTCACCCCCCACACTACGCTACTACCTCGACTAGGTAATTTCTGCAGATCTCCCCTCTTCCAACATATGCAGGCCCAAAGTTTAACATACACCTTACGTACCGCTGTTTTAATTCAACTAATAAGAGTGTGAGGATTTAGGGTGTTACTGTCGCTGTCACTCTGCAGGGTGTTACTGTCGCTGTCACTCTGCAATCCTGCCGTCTTCATCCTCGAGAGCCATCATGATGCTCGCAGCCTTCAAGAAAGCTTGCGTCTACTTTTCGCAAGAGCTTGCCGAGTCTTGCGACCCTGATGTAAACATGATTGACGACCTTGGAGACTACCTCGCGGATAAAGTGATCTCTTTCCTTGATTTTCGTCAGCAATGTAAGTTTTATAGATAGTGTCAAATAATTAAGGTTATATCACAGTATAAAGGGAGGGATATAACAGGCAAATTCAAGTGTTTTTTAGTAGCGTAACAAGTAGATTAAATTAAACTAAATTAAATAGAATAGAGAGTAGTCCCTTACTCTATATACTTAAAAAAGGAGGTTACTATTTATATATATAGGCGCTATATCCGCTATAAACAGGGTATATAGGTACTTAAGTACCTAAATCCTAATAACACTATAAACTATTAAAAACAGGGTATAAGGGATCGATCCTTATATATTAATTAAGGATTAGTTAGTAATTAGGGGAACGTGTTCTATAACCCGGTAATTAATCCTACTGTTTAATATACCCCCTTAGGGATCAAGCTAATTCTAGACTTAACTAGAGAGCTAAGTACTAGTACGGCTCTCTCTTTAGCTCTCTTTCCTAATTAGGTAATAATAAAGCTATTCTTATACCTAAAGGTATACTAGTACTTACTAGTACGGCTCTCTCTATAAGTAAAAGGTTAAAGAATTAAGGAAAGTACGTAATAGTAGGTACTTAATTAAGAAGGGCTTAACGTTTAAGTCCTAAAGCTCCTTAAAGAAGAACCTTAAGGACTCTTAGTACTCTAAGTAGTAAGACATATTAAGTAATAGGGTCGAGTAAGTAGTAGAAATAAATAGAACTAAAGAATATAACTATAGAAACAGTTAAATCTTTAAGAATAAGGAGTAGACTTCTTAAATAAGAAATATAGTATAAAAAGTAGACTTCTTAAATAAGAAATCAAGCTTAAGATAAGAACTAGATCCTAGAACAGGTCTTACTTAATCGTTTAAGTAAGAATTACCTTTAGACTAGTGTAAAAGCTAGTCTTAAGTGTTTAGTAGTTATACAAAAGGGTTTCTTACTAAAATAGAGAGTGTTTAACTACCCTAATCTGTAGGCTAGCTATCGTTTAGGTTTAGGGTCTTAATATCTACTAGATTAAGTAATTTAATAAATTCGATATGTTTTTAGCGTAGTAAGGCCTTAGTTAACCTATCTACTAGTATGTTATAGGTTAACAGCTACTATAGACTAAGTCTTTCTTTAGTTACTTCTTAGTATAGCTAGTATTAATAGATATCTACATATTTAAGCTTAGTAACTAGGCGTAGAGTTCTTAATTATATAAGGTAGATAGTTTAGGCGTTATCTACATTAATAGTAAACTCTTTATATAATTTTAATAAGATCTTAGTAAAGAGGCGTCTTTACTAGTAAAGATCCTTAGTAGTATAAGACAGGGCTAAAAGCTTAGCCTCTATACTTAATATAGTAACTGTCTTTTGTTTAGAGGATTTCTAATTAATAAGGCCTCTAAATAAGTAAAACACATATCCTTTAGTACTCTTTTTAGTTTTTAAGTCGTTAGTATACGCTATATTACTAGTATAAGAGAACGCTTGTTCTAATCTATTACTACCTCTAAATTAGATCCTAAGAAACCAGGTTCTATAAAGGTATTAAATAACTCTTTTTATAGTACGTAGATAATTAAGAGAAGGGTTTAAAAGAAACTTAGAGAGCTTATTAGCTACTCTAATAGCGTTAGGTCTAGTAATAATAGTTATATAGAGAATTAAGCCTACTTTCCTCTAGTAGCTATAGATCTCTTAAGAAGAGGCCTAGCTAGGGTTTAGAACTAACTCTATAGTTAACATAAGTATTAAAGGAACGTTCTTCTCTTCTACTCTTAAGTAAAAGGTTAAAGTAATTAACTTAATATAAGAGTCTTGACTTAACTATATCTATCTAGTAGTTCTGTCTCTAGTTACTTAGATACTTAAGAACTACTTTAATTCTCTTATATTACGTATCTTATAAGTACTAAACAGGCTCTATTTAAAGGTTTAAAGGTATTATTAATATTCCTTTCTTACTAGAATAGTAATATTATCTATATAAAAAAAGATAATAAGGTATTTATTTATATAAAGACACTTAGCCTTTAGAACTAGATATAGGCTAAGCTTAGCTAGTGTTTTAGTAAAGTAGGTATACTATAAGAAAAGGAAATAGCGTAGCTTATAAAGAGCTTTAAGAAAGAGGAGAATATACTCTAGGTTATTAAAACCCTTAGGATATTTAATATAAATAGTCTTATCTATATTACTATTAGTAAAGGCATTTATAGCGTTAAGCTAGTAGATCTCTAGATTAAAGTAACAGGCTATTACTATTAAGTCTCTAAAAACCTATAACGCTAGAGTAGTAGCGTAGTTATCTTAGCTAGTAAGATATTAGAGATTACTCTTAACTATAAGTCTAGCCTTAAATTTATTAAAGAAGCTGTTTATATTAAATTTATATATAAATACTTACTAGACAAGGATTATATTTACTTTAGATATACTCTTAAGTATAGTCTTAAAGATCTTACGTCTTTTAAGATCCTTATACTCCTTTAACGCCGCTACTATAAACTTATCTTAATATAGATAAGTTTAAACCTCTTTCTAGTATTTAAGAGTAGGTAGAAGTTTAGTCTTATAGATCCTCTTTTTAGCGTATTCTGTTCTTACTTAAAAGGTAGTATAGAACCTACTATAGGCTTTAATTTACCTTATTTAGACAGTATAGGCTTTATGCCTGTCTTATTAATTCTGTGTTCTTATTAAAAAGATATTTACTAGATTTAAGCTAGTAGAATTAGAGCTACGCCTATAGTATTAGTTCCTTAGTTTAGGTCCTTATATTTTATTCTCTAGCTCTACCTTATTAGTAACAGTTATCTCTTAGTCTACTCTAGTTATAGCCTTATTTATATCTTTATTTATAACCTTATTAATATCTCTAGTTATAGTTTTAGATAAGTCGACGTTTAGAGAAAGATTTGTATGTATAAAAAGAGTAGTTAGAACAGGTAACGCTCTTAGTATTAAGAGAAGATTAGTAACAGGATTGTTAACAAGATTATTAGTAGAATCTACTAATAGATTAATAGTAGTTTTAGTAATAGTATTAGTTGTTATTAAAGGAGTTGTTATTGTTATTATTTAGACAGGATTTATTAAATATGTTAGTTCTATAGCTAGTAGGTTAGGTAACGTTTCTTTTATAATAGGATTAAAAGGATTGTCTTCTTCTTTAATTTACTAGTTGTATTTACTAATTACTAGTATTTTAATAGCTTTAATTACTTCTTTAGTAGTGTCTTATTTATCTTAAGGCTAATACCTTTAGGATTTATTAAATGTAACATCTCTAGCTAATATTACTTTATTTCTAGCTAGAATCTAGACCCTAAATATATTAGTAGAGTTATATCTTACTAGGTATCTAATAAAAGCTCTTAGTTCTAGCTTATTTAGGCGTACTATGTTTTTAATTAAGGCGTAGGCTTTATAGCTAAAGGCATAGAGGTAAGAGAGGTTTAGTTTAGAGTAGTAAAGATACTTATATAGTGTTTTCTAGCCTAAAGAAGTAATAAGAGATCTGTTTACTAGGTATCTAGCTGTTTTTATTAGTTTAGGCTATAGCTTTAATAGTAAGTTAGATCCTATTTTTAGTACTCTTACTCTACTAAGGAGTACTTCCTTAGATCTTTTAATTAGCCTATTTTAGGCTACTATACGTAGTACTAATTATTTAATAATAAAGCCTTTTACCTTTACCTAATTATTAAAATCCCTCTTAAGAGACGTTTCTTTATTAAGCTTAATCTAGCGGACTTTAGTATTAAAGTGTCTTTTAATTAAGGAAACAAAGTATTATATAGTAGCTAGAGAGCCTTGTTTAGTTATAAGGATATATATAAAGCTTATTCTAGTAAGATCGTTAAGAAAGTAAAGGATATATACTTCTTTAGAGTCTATTAAGTATATTTAAATAAGATCTAGGTAGATCCTTATAAATAGTTTATTTACTTACCTAATAAGAGCTCTAGATATAATCTGTTTAGTGTTTACTAGATAGTAAACCTTATATAGTAGGATTAGGTACTAATCCTTAGGTACTAACTTAACTCTTTTAGTACTAGTAGCTAGGCGTTAGATTACCTCTATATATAGGTGCCCTATCTATTTGTACTAGAGTTTAACTAACGCTTTTAATAGTGCTCTTAGTAGGTGTAAGTTAGCCGGGAAGGCCGCTAAAACAGCTGTTAATTTAATAGTTAATATAACTGTTGCTACTAGTTGTAGCTTATATTTAATTAGTTTAGGTATAAAAACAAATATAAGGACAACAGGTATAAGAACAATAATAGTAGAAATAGTTAAACTAGAAGCACTCTTAATAAAAGAAGGTTCTTAAATAGTTAGGAAGGCAGATCTAGTAGTAGTACTATTATATTCTAATACCTATTAGTTAAACCTAACTAGAGTATAACAAAAGGTATTGTTTTAATAGGTAAAGTAGTTTTCTTTTATATCCTAGTAGACTCCTTTCTTAATTATCTTACGTAAGGATACTACACTAGTATAGAAGAAGGGGACTAGGGCTATACTCCTAAGATCTATACTAAACTAGCCTTTTAGGCCTTATAGTTAGATCCTAACATCTCTAAAAGCCTTAATTTAGATATAGTCTTTACTAGTAATAAGTACGCTCTTTAGTAATATAGGCTAGATATTATAGAACCTTACTCGCTTATTATAAACATAAACTATTACTCTTAAGTCTAAGATAAAGCTATTCTTAAGGGGATAAGTAGGCCTAAAAGAGAGTAATTAGACTAAGTAGGCTACTAGAATTACTAGAGTTAATACTAAAATAAAGTAGCTAAAGTTAGCTTAAAAAGCTTTAGATATAGATATAGAGAAGTCTATAGTAAAAGCCTTAAAGACCTCTTCTTTCTTATCCTCTATAATTCCTTTATAGCTACTACCTTACTTCTTGCCTTTACTACCTTCTTTCTGCCTCTTAATTAACTTAATAGTAGCTTTAAGTTTACTATTAGCGTTTAATTAGTCGTTAATCTTCTTTTAGACATCTTTTCTTAGTTTCTACTAATTAAGACGTTAGGTTAGTATTAAGTAATAGTAGTTATAATAGTTATAGTAGCTACTATAGACATACTTTAGCTTGTTATTATTACTATTACTACTACTACTACCTCTTTTACTAAGTGTAGTGTCTATAGTTAAGAAGGCGCTATAGTGTCTAGATCTAGAAACTCTAATATCTCTTTAGCTCTTAAGGTTAAGTTTAAACTTATCTAATACTTCTTTAAACGTTATTACCTCTTTCTTAAGTAACTTATAGCGTACTATCTTAATAAAGTATAGATTAACTTCTTTTAAGCCGTTAATAAAGGCCTTAATTAGTCTATTACTAGATACCTCTAGTATCTTATTAACTAAATAAGCTAGGTAAGTAGACTTAAAGCGTTTTATCTAGGCTATAACTAACTGTCCCCTTTTTAGTAAGATACTAGCGTTAGTTAGATCTTATAAGAAGAGATCTTGTTTAACTTTATTAGAAGGTATAACCTTTTACTAAAGATCTACTAGGATCTTATATACTATATCCTTAGTATTAACGTATTTAACATATTCTCTCTTTACTAATCTAGTAATTAGAGAGCGTATGTCTCTAACTAATTAAGCTAGGTACTTATACTCTCTTTAGTGTTTAGAGTAATACTTTTAGTAGATACGATATTATTCTTTCTTATTGTTTATTAGTATAGTGTAAGTAACTCTTAAGCTATCTTTAGGGACTCCTTTAATATCTAAAGGATCTAAGAAGCTTAGCTCTACTAGAATAAAGAGTTTTGCTTTTATAGTGTCTAGGTTAATATATATCTAAACTCTAGTACCTAGCGCTTTAGATTTAATAACTTTTATCTAGTAATCTTATTCTTTAGATCTATTTAGAACTAGTATATTACTAGGTATATTACTAGTATTAGTTAGTAGAAGTATGTGTTAAAAGAAGAGGTAAAAAGAGAAGGTAAAGGCGACTCTTGTTACTAAAGAGTAAAGGGGTAGTTAATATACTTTTACTAGGTAGTAAGTACTACTAAAACAGTCGAAATTAGGTGTGATTCTACTATTAGTAGTAGTTTTAAACAGCTATTAGTAGAGTTTAGAACTAAGTAGTTAAAGAGATACGATAAGGAGTTAAAATAATCCTTTTTAATACTATTTAAGAGGCTCTATAATCTAAGCGCTCTAATTAGCTAAAAAGTCGTTTTATATTAGACAGGCTTAGTAATCTAAGCGCTAATTAGTCGATAAGTTAATTTATATCTAAATAACCGAATAGCTATTAAAGTAACCTAGGCTTATAACTGTTAAATAATTAAGGTTATATTATAGTATAAAGAGAGGGATATAATAAGCGAATTTAAGTGTTTTTTAGTAGCGTAACAAGTAGATTAAATTAAACTAAATTAAATAGAACAGAGAGTAGTCCCTTACTCTATATACTTAAAAAGGGAGGTTACTATTTATATATATAGGCGCCGTATCTACTATAAACAGGGTATATAGGTACCTAAGTGCCTAAATCCTAACAACACTATAAACTATTAAAAACAGGGTGTAAGGGATCGATCCTTATATATTGATCAAGGATCAGTTAGTAATTAGGGGAACGTGTTCCGTAACCCGGTAATTGATCCTGCTGTTTGACAGATGGGTCGCTTTACTCTTTGTTACATCAAGCTGACTTCTACAGTCACCACTCAAATATTTCCTACTTCCGTGGATGATTTTATACGAACAGTCTCTCCGGCATTCGATCACAAATACCTAATGGGATTTGAGGCCCGCTGTTATCATTTTGATCATATCGTCGGCAGCCTGGCCCCTCCTAGCTCCACATCGTCGTCGACCCCACGCCATGATCCAGCCCCAAACCTCTCAGATACCTTCATATGTTGCTTGGATTTCGAGTCGTGGGTTGCTGACATTTGCCAGGCCATTGCTCTCTACTGCTTTGAGACTATTACTCCAGGTAGAAAGCATACTCATAGGGCAATACCTCAGTACGATGGGCCATCAGACATGGAGCCTCTGCCCCAAGCTGGTGTTGTTGATGATGGTGGGCCTTTTAAGCAGGTGACACTAGTAGGCCCAAATCTCTCTGAAGCCTGGAATCGGCTATCGTTCACTCGAGACCTGGAGAACATGTCTCATCAATCCTCGACCTGGACTCCATCTCAGCCGGGAGGCCTCTATGTCTACCATGGGACTGCAGAGCATATTTCGACTCCAGGTTTCATATTATCTCTCGCCCATCGCCCATTTGATGGTTTGAGAGGCAAGGGCCAGCGGAACCAGATTGCTCCAGCACTCGGTCGAGGAGTCGGCAACATTCCTGTGGTCTGGACAGCGTTTAGTCCTCTCCAAGCCTTTCTTTGGGCAGTTTTCAGAGGCCAGGTTGTTGGCCATATCCCGGCCCGGATGATGCAATTCAACTCAAACAAGCCATGGCATTATGGAAACAAAACTTATGAAGGCGTCCTTGTTCTCCAATTTTCCCCGTCCCAACCAAGCCCACCTGGTTGTAGTTCATACACCATTCCTACTGGCAAAGAGGATCAGTGGACAGATATTGCAATGAGTTCTAATAATGTTGTGGCGACTATTGAATCGACCAAGATTCTCTGGGCACGGTTTACAACTATTCACAAACAGGCCAAAGGATCGGAGTGGCCAGGCTTAGTCCATGGATTTGAGCTACGAGCTTCTAGACAAAGCCTTCAACACTTCACGAAGCAACTATGGCGCACTGTCTGGTCTGGCCAAGGAATTCAGTCTTTGAATTCTTGCCATACACAATCTCTAGCTATTCGCTATATCCTTCAGCCAGACTCTCCCCCACCGCCTCTAAATGATCGAGAATCATCACGAAAAGCAAAGATCCTCACCCTGGCAAGATGGATAGGCTCTTGTCGTAGGGTTTTGATGAACACTATTACATGGCTGGTGAAAGCTTTTACAGGATAGCTATAATAATAACAGATGTCATTTCATAGGCACTTAATTCTAACTAATATATGTATAATTCGCCTCAGAAGGATCTAAACCATGCCGAGCGCTTGTATCTCGATAATGATGATGATGATGATGATATTATTAATTTACGTCCGGGGGGCGCTAGCGAAGCTAGACGCCCGTGACCTCCCGAAGGGTATAGAGACGTGCTAAGCTATAGACACATTTTATATACAGAGTACAACCTTAGAAAGCATTTTATGCGGTGATTCGCGTGTAGCTAAAGGGCTATGTAACTGTGACCTTCCCTAACAGGCGGGATAGACTACTAGAATGTTTAGAGAGGGGTGTTCCCTATAGTTACTCTTACTAAGCGTGTAGGTCGTCGGCTAGGGGCCAGATTTTAGTGCTCCTAGAAAGAGAGAAGTGTTAAGGCTAGAAGCTAACAAAAGAAAAGAAGATAGCGTGTATTACGTAATGTATAAGTAAAGAAAGATAAGGTAGGTAAAGAAAGCCAAGTGTAATGCCGCTAGGGCTATTGTTAAAAGAAACGCGTAAGACTAGAGCCTTATGCTAAAAAGAACATCCTCCGGGACTACCTTACGCTATCCTAGTAGATAGAGAAGTAAACGAGTGTAAGGCAGAGCCCGCCGCCCTATACGCCGCCCGTCTACCGGGTACAGATCCTAGAGTAGAACCCCGTGACCTCGAGGTATTTCGCGAAGTGCTTCGGAGCGCGCATCAGGCGCGCGAGGTAGCCTTTGCTCTTAGTTGAGCTTGTGGGTATTGTCGGGGGCCTGTCGGGCCATTGTCGTATCTCGATGAGCTCCACGAGAAGACCTGGAAGCACTAACCACCGCTGAGGATCCACGTCACGGCATTGCCTTGTTACATTGTATTGACGTGCCATCACGGAGTTCAGGGCTGTATCTCAGCACGCACCGCCGTGCTCTACAGTATACACTGTCCGAGTTACCTATCTAGGTACTTTTCTAGGTCACCGAGATTACGAAGGCCGGTTGAGAGACATAATGCAAATCTGAGTATTGCAAAGCTAGCGAGACCATCCCGCCTCTTCTGTCTCGTGTGGAGTGTCAGTCAATCAATCATATATGCAGTTGATGGCAGTAGACCGCAGCCGGAATAGTTAAATCCCTACCATCACCAAGGCACTCCGGTAGCATAAGCTGATGTAGCTTCGGCTTTTGTGCATTGAAGACCAGAATTGTCCCGCTCTACGTCCTGGGATAATTTTTGTTTGTCGTTACAAATGCGGCAGACTAGGCTCCTCATCCATATATAATCGGCAGTGCCACTCTTCCCCATCAACTTATGCTCCCTGGCCCGAGCGCAACGGCAAAATATGCTCGGTAGTATCAGTTATAGACACCTTCTATTCAGTTGACCAGAATGCATTTCATCGATACTAAATGGAGGCTGGAGTTTATACCTCATTTTCAATATCAGCTACTCTTGGGACCTTATGCAACCTGATCCCAGCAAATTTAGCAACCAACTCAACCTATACGAACTGTTAGCTAGGCTACGAGTTAGACAGGCAAGGATAACTTACGCATTGCTGTACCAACTCTACGTCCTCCGCACTAACACCTACCCTCCTAGTACCACGTAAGTGCCAGGCAGTTTCCGACGGCAGGTTTTGTATCATTATCCCTGATAAAACAAGCAATTCCGTCGCAAGGGGTTCAAGGATGCGGTGATCTGACAGGTACAGCCCATATGTGATCTCCCTGCTGATCCAATCGAAGTCTTTATGTGCTGCAAAGTGGTCGACGGTGGTTGACAGATTTTTTTGGTATATCGTGTTCAGCCAGGCTTCTCCTCTGGCACGGTTTTCTGGCCCAGCCTGCCATCCTTCCCTGATTCAAATCAGCCTCCCTTCTTCAATTATGGATGAATGCCCAACCTCGAGCAAGAAAGGTCCCGATCTTCCGGTCGCTCGACTTTTCCAATAGCAATGACCGCCTCAATAGGTTTGCACACGCCTTGAATTGATATGTTCTTCACCAGAGCTTCGCGTAGACGGCGTACAAGTGCTTGTCGGGACTCGGATGTCGCAAATTCGGGTTTATTGATGAGATAGGTGTACAGTGTTCCGACATGCAGTGGTTCGACTCCAACGAGCGCTGATAGCTTTGAAGATTAACGTTGGATCTAGAGATAAACTCATGGCATACGCACAGCCACAATGTACCATTTGTCCTCCCCGAGTGTCTTGTGAGGGAATTTCTTCTCGATGGCTTCGAAGAGAGCTACCGCCTCTTCTGCCGTTGGTTCGTGGATAGTAGACATTCTTCTGGCTTGTGAACTGGAACTGGGGTAGGAAGGGCGGATCTGGAGGGGCTGTCGAGGTGTGGCTGATCTATAACATCTGGTTTGTATATGACTACCGAGGGCAGCTGGAGAAGAGCGGTGAATTAGGGTTATGCTTCTGAGATGCAGGTTCTAATTGGGTCCGCGATTTGCTGAGTCGCGACTCGTTTTACTCACAGCTGGCACGGCTTTGTGCAGTCAATTGGGCCCTTCGCTGGATGGTCTTCACAACTGGCTTGTTTGAGCGGCAGGAGGGGCTGCAAAAGGTGCGTGGGATGGGCTTGGAGATCCTCCACATACTGACGGGGCTGAGGACAAAAGCGACGGATAGAAGGCGGCTTGAGATACTTACTAAGCAGCAGAGCAACCACGGCTTCAGGTCCCTTTCCAGCGCCCAGAGGCACCATGCATTATATGTGTTCCCGGGCTTTGTAAGAGCATGGACGGAGTATTTTTGCCGGGCGGGCTTTGGATAGATGATGGATGTTGATCGTTCCGTGTCTTATCTTGTTGATTATGGTGACAGAAGCCTTACGCTTTGAATGGAAATATAAACATATAGAAAACCAACCTATGGGGACGCTCGGGAGTCGGGAAAGACCCATATCGCCTATCGGACCCGCAGCCTCGCGCTAGCCGGCGGTCAACGGCTACCGTCGGCTCTGTCCCTCCATCGTCAGCCGCGGGCCCCGCGTCAACCATTCACGATTCACGATTCACGATTATCCATCCGCCATCCCGCCATCCACCATCCACAAACACCACAAGCATCACGACAATCTCCAGACTCCACCAGGGGACAGAAGCATGGCCTCCGAGGACGCAATCCACGCCATCACGGCCAGTCTGCCGCCCGCCTCGGACTACATTACATACCTGACCATCCTTGAATCCCGACTCTCTCCCGATCTCCTGCCGACCCTCAATACCCTCCTCCAAGATGCCGAGTTGACCCAAAACATTGGCTGGGACCTGATCCATATTCTCCTACCCATGCCAGGTGCAGAGCTATGCTTGAACACCATTGCACGTCTGGGCAACCCTCGAGAGGTCATCCTAAAGGTCACGGAGGCATTGCAGCTATTAGATCTAGATTCAACAGAGGTGGAGGACGCGGACGAGGCTTCTTCAGAGACCCCTCGCTCCTCAACACCGAACGAGATTGACAAGTTCTGTCTCTTGGTTAACCTCCTCTCCATACTGCATCCGCGAATCAAAACAAAATATCCCTCCCGATTCCTCTCGACTTCCCTCATAGCAATCCTGTCTGCTTTCCGTCCTTCGAACCAAGCAACTCTTGCAATTATCTCATTTGTTCGCGCAGTATCTGGGAAGAAGCGGCCACCCCTCCCGGGTCGCGAATCCAGCCTTAAGATTCCGACAGCATCCCCTAGCGCTCAATCAGACCCTTCAGCCCCAGATCCAGAAGCGCAAGATGAGGAACCCGAAGAGGCCGCAATCCAAAACAAGCTCCTACAGTCATTCTTGACACATATACTGGAAGATTATGTGAACGCTAATCCGTTAGAATGGGCAGCGAGACTGCAGGAATCATTTGAACCTTCCAAGGTTGTGGTCGGTAGGAAGAGCTTAGGTGAAGCCTTCAAGGAGCAGCCTGTTCTCGCAACAAGAGACACTATCACTGGACAGCTTGTGGTAAGTAGCAACACTGTTTGTTCTTTTCTAGTTTCTGACGATTCCTAGGCCCTGTTGCGAGACCTGGGTCTCTCCGATTACAAAGTGCTTTTCGAAAGTATTTACAAGACCGACTCCAATCCTTCTGAGAGTGATGACGAAGACAACTACCCTTCTTCCCCGGGAGCAGTCCCTCTTTCTAAAGCTGGGTCTCTATTCCTGGTAACTTCTTTGCTCTTCTCCTCGGTCCTATTTGGCTCGAAAACTCCACAACCGAGCATCACCATCTTTCCTGACCATACAAGGTTGTTTAAGACTTTCATTCATATATACGAGCCCGAGACCATCGGTAGCGGACCTACAGGAGTCATTGATGCTTTATTGGCCATCGGCCTGTGGTTGGAGCACACAAATAAATTCGTGTCTGGAGCTCTTGAAGATGAAGATTTCCTCCAACACCTCCAATCACTCTCTCTTCTATCTGCCACCAACGCATCGCCAAGCTTGCGCTACGCATCTCACGTTCTCACATCATCGCTTCTTCATGCACACCCCGTTGATCGCCTTCGTTTAACTTTTATCTCTGACACTTTAGAGGAATGCCCGTACGAAGCTCTGAAAGCATCTGCCGTATCATGGCTTAAAGAAGAAATCATTACAGCTCAAGAACGCAAATCGCAAAATGTGTTTGCGTCAACTGCGGCTCTCACTGCCACGCAACCATATCTTTTTCCTGACATGTCTTCACTCGGCGAAGTCGCTGATAAAGAATTGATTCAAGAGTTAGCCCAGGCCTTCTCTTTCCACATGGCAGTTGTAAACTTCCTTTACTTTATTGGCGGAAAGCAGTATACGCATATTGTTCCACCGGGAATGATGTCTATTGTAGAGGAAATCTATTTAGGGCCTTTGAGGCTTGCCCAGAAAAAGGCCTTGACTGCTCTGGACTCTGGCGTTGTGAAAATCGGACCCGAGGAGGATATTCAAAGCATGAAGCTTGAGTTGCAACTTCTCGGGGAGAGAATTTCCACATGCTCTACACAGATAGAACCATAGATAGTTCATGGATATGTATGAGCAATGCTCTTGTGCTTCATTCATTGTCTATTAAAGTGAACAACATAGGTAGGGTAGGGTGATGATTCATAAAGTGCTGCTTGGACTGAATCATCGCGCCTCGTGTGGTGAGTAGTATCTTGTCCCTCCTCTTTCCTGTCCCTTCGATCCTCCCTAGATTTACCAACGTTTGGTTGCTCCTTCGTACATCAATATTTTTCAATAGAATTTACACGATTGCCTACTACCTAAGCCATTTACAAGAGACCGAGATGCCAGCAATTAAGCACGACCAGGGCGGCGCTGAAATGTCCGGCGGAAGAAGCCGACCATCCTCTGGCATACCGCAATCAAGACCTCTCTCTCGAGCAGCCGCCCCTCAGAAAGCAGCTGGTCCAGGAACCAAACCAGCATCGCCTCGCAACCCACAACCCACACGACGACATGCCCCAAAGCAAGACACCTCCACCCTTCCAGCACCCCGCGGGTCTAGGACAGAGCCGCCAGTGCGCCCATCCTCTTTGAGACCCGCAGAGCCAGTCATCTCGTCATCCCACCCCCCAGCCGAAGAGTTCAATAATCTGTACGTGAAAGTATGCCGGGAGGTGCATCTGACCAGCCTAGGGCGCATGTTTGAGGATGTGTGCCGAGCCGATCGGCAGGGCAATATCGACGAGGAGGAATACAGGCACTTGCTGGATTTCTTCTACTGTTTTGTACCGATGCTGGTCGTGGCTCCGAAGGATGATCCCATCATTGTTCGCCCGTACGAGCTTCGAAATCACTGGCGCCTCCTCCGCACCCGCTGGGCGGACAGGGGTAGTGGTTCGGGCCCAAATAATCCGCATCGCTGGTTTTCTCGGCCGAGGAATAGCTTTTCTAGAACTGTGAAGGAGATTATGTGAGCCGGTATTGAGGATGGCGTTGGCAAGTACTAACGAGTACAGGCGGCGATCACTCTAAACTTGACAGGAGACCCCGAGGGTATCATTTCGAAAAAACAATCGGTGGCAGGATCTTGAGGATGGAGACATATTACAATTCATTAATGGCGTTGAACCTTCTGAACGTGAATGCACAGTCTCTACCTTCTTTAATAGACCAATACTAAACATGAGTTGGGCTACTGGATCTAACAACGGAGGTTCTTTCAGAGGTCAGTTTTTCAGCATTTCTGTCCCACGCAAATCTTTGGAGAATCTCAGGTAGGATTATTGAAATGTAACTAGCTGGATACTTCTTCAGCAGTATAGTCTAAAAAGGATGAGAATTGCCAAGCAATGGGCAATCCCTCATAAAGCATGTCGAGTTGGAGCTCTAATTTCTTAAATACAGCTCAGAATATTCGCCAGAAGAAGCATTGAAAGCGGAAATTGAGCCAGAAAATCCATCGTAGCAATTAGTGCCTCTGAAATTGGGAATAGAACAGGTAAGGCAAGGAATATAAAACATTGCTTGTTCAAATTCTTGCCGCTTGCATACTGATACCTCTCCGACAAGCCAAGAAGCATAAGCAATCAGGAGGAGAAGTGGGCTACTTGGAGAGGCCACTTCACCAGGTAGGTTCGTGCGATTTCCAGAAGTCCTCTTGGCGTTGTGCTTTGGCCTCGTGAATAGCTGCATTCGCGTTGATGACTCTCTGGGCGGCAGCGTTTACTTGTTTTTTGGCCTCGTCAGTGATGACGTATCGAACCGTGTCGTCTGCATGTCGACCATCGATCCCAGCAGTGCTTGCAGTAAAATCTTCAACATATGTCCCGTATTCAACTAGCTCGCGAATTTTGCAGCGGATACCTTGTGCCTCAGCATCTGAACGAATCCAATTTAGCCAAAGGGACAAACAGGAAATGAGGGGAGAATCGAATTACGTACGTTGTGTCAATGCAGTTGCGCTGTGATAATAACGGAAACAATTTGGGCATTGAAGTTTCTGGGCTTCTGCAACATGTACAGCTGATGTCAGATGTTGAACAAAACCGTTGGCGCTCCCGAAGCTCTTTCTGGGTTCCCGTTAGTGTCATTTCATTGGGAAAGGAGAGGTGACTTGCGAGCATCCGCTGTGAGGACATTTGAACTTTTTTGTGAAGGTGTTCAAGTAGTCTGATGCACAAAACCCCGGTGCTTTCGGATGATGAGGTGGGAACTTTTTGCTTTCTGGATCAACCGCATTCTCGGCTCCTTTCCCTGGCGGACCAGTCTTGATGCTTTCAATCAGGGACACAGGAGGTGCAACCGCAGGAGGAGCCTTCGGAAATAGATTCTTCGGCAAAGACCAGGCAGAACCCTGACGGCCAAGATGAAGAAGTTCCTGCTTGATGGTGCCTAGATCGGGTGTTCGCTTCTTGCCAAGGATATCTTTTTGAAGATCAACCAAAGGATGGGCAGATGATGCGGTATCCGACTGCTTTTTTGCAACCCAGGGGTTTTTGTCAATTATAAAGTAATCGTCGGAGGTTTTCATCTCCTGCTTTAAGGTAGCACCGAGAGCTGGAAAGTCCTCCGTGTTCTTGTAGTTGATAGTTGGGGCATGGATAGATGTGTTCAGCTCGGAATGGCTGCTCGTCGTAACAGCTAGTTTACCCGGGATGGCGGCAATCTCCAGATCAATAAGATCTTCCTCATCCTCAACCAAGGAGCTCTTGTCATCTGCGAGAAACTTAGTAAGAACTTAAAAAACGGAACCAATGTGAACAACTAACGAGCTTTAGCATTGACCGTATTATCAACTGATGTAGAGAGATCAATTAGAAAGGTATTGCTTGCTTGGCTATCGACTCCGGACAGTTGGACTCGTGGCATCTGAGGCGACATCGAATATAGTGCCTCAACCTGAGTAGTAGTGCTAAGGCCATCGCTTTGATCTTGGGTGTCTAGGGTCGGCTCAACAGGAAGGGTACGCATATGGGCGTTCTCGGGGTGCGTCCAGGACTCTGCGTGAGCTTGGATTCGGGCGAGTCCACCAGTCTTCTCCGATTTATCCGCTTTGCGGTCTTTATATTTGTCCAAAGCCAAACACTCCGTCAACTCGATGTGGTCTGGAAGATTTGATGATCAGCAACATGCACCTTGGAAGACCGAACGTGAAGCTGCTCGAACATCAACAAGAGGGGCTTACTCATGAGACCCCCAATACGTGTGAATACCCTATTGCAGCCAGGGCATGGAAGATGTTGCTCGGCCGAATGTTCCTGTCCGCAATTAGATCGAACAGCGAATCGGTAGTAGGTGGTCGTATGCTACCTGGTCATGGTGTCTCTTATATGCGTCAGTTGACTTGAAATCATGGCTGCAGATGACACAGTAGATGTGGTGACGAGAGACAGTCTTGTGTATATGATAGTCGTTCCAGGTACTGAACGTCAAGTTGCAACGTCTGCAGTGCGTGGGGGGCGCCATGGGGGCTGATGTCGTGGTTCTCGAGAGCTTCAAAGAAGGACGGGAGGGAAAGACAATCGCTTCTGGCTGCACAGGCGCATAGGTGGGCGTTGTGGTAGACAGTTTAGAGAGACTGAGGAGTTGTTGTTTTTGTCGTGTTGCACCTTGGCTAAAAAGTTGGGGTGCTCTGGTGCTGTACGGACGAGCAAAGAAAGTGGAAGCAGAGGTAGAGCCATCCTCAGCAATCTCATTTTTTCTACTTTTCCACTTTTTCTCCGAGAAAGCAGCAGCTACATTACGTCTAAGGAAACAATACATTGTATTATATGTTACTTAACAGACAGATGCGATGAAAGATAATCTGGGTGCTTTCTCCTGAGACTGCTCCAGGGATGCCGAAGAGGGGAGAGCCTTTTTTATATCTCCTAGAAGGCGAAGTACGCAAACCCCACTGCAATTACATTCCATGGCAAACGTATCAGAATATTCAAAAAGAATAGACAGCTACAAAGGACTCTAAAGGACTGAGGAGTCGAGAAACCGGACGAGGAGAATCTACAGTACCTGCCCTACCTTGGTCTGGCCAACAGGTTTAAACATTTCCCAAATCCTCCGTCTCCTGCCTGTCCCGTTGACTGATGTGATGACACTGCGCATTATATACACCCTGGATAGACGTGATTCTGATGTTCGCGTATGTGATCTCGAATATAGAAGTTGATTCTGTAAGGTACCCCAGGTTAGGTAGGTAGATGTCGGAAAACCTAGGATCCCGTGACTGCACTGAGGTGTATGTTTAGCTGTGAATGGTGTATTTATATCTCCACCCAATTTGCCTATTGCGGCAACTTCCGACCTCCCGAACCTTCTGTTTCGTCAGCTGTGGCATCCGTCTAAGCCCCCCTAATCGACAACTCCAATATCTTCACTACTTGGCTTTGGTACACAGGCCCCTCAACATGCCTCGTGTCCCTCCTCGATGGTAATGGCTACTCTCTCGCCGCCAGGTCAATCTATGTCCCCAACCAGAATGCCTCGGAAATGGGCTAGGAAATGCGAGCGGTATTGCTGCTTGGGAGCTACTTACTTTCCCCTACTTTTCGTCTACAGCATCACGACTTGGGCCGTTTGGGTAGAATCGACGATTGGGTTCTTGCCCGCGAGTGCGCAAAGTTCCTGGATAGGTATGTTAGTATACACCACTATTGCCTACAAAACTCACATGTTCTGCAGGGAATGGGACCTCATTCCTTGGTATCGCCATATATCTCCTCCTCGTCTGGTCTTACACAACCGCTGTATTCACGAGCCCCGGGACGACCACACCTAAAAACAATGGCTACAGCTCTCTTCCCATGCACGCAACCCCTGTGGCAACGAATTTCACTGTGAAAGCGAATGGCGAACTACGATACTGCAAGAAGTGCCAGGCGAGGAAGCCGGACCGCGCGCATCATTGCTCGACATGCCGGGCATGTGTGTTGAAGATGGACCATCATTGTCCTTGGCTCGCAACCTGTGTTGGATTGAGAAACTACAAGGCCTTTCTCCTGTTCCTCATATACACGACATTATTCTGCTTTCTCTGCTTTTGCGTTTCGGCAACTTGGGTCTGGCAGGAGCTGTTAAATGAAGGAGAATCTTCAGAGAGCCTGATGCCGATCAACTACGTTATGCTAGCAGTTATCTCAGGAATAATCGGTTTGGTCTTAGCGGGGTTCACGGGCTGGCACATCCTGCTTGCTTCGCGGGGACAAACAACGATCGAGTGTTTAGAAAAGACAAGATACCTATCGCCATTGCGGAAAACCCTACAGTATGAACACATACCGCAAAATCAAGGATATGAGGCTCCCAGCTATGGACAGCGGCTACGAAATGACGAAGATGCGACTAGGGAACCACGACAGCAGGAGGTAGACCATATGGAGAATGGCGAGCAGAGACAAGTATCTTATGATGCGGCGGAGCGAAGCCGAGCACGGGCAAGATATGAGGAATACCTCGATCAACAAGACTCGGAGAAATTGCCGAGTGCTTTTGATCTTGGCTGGAAGAGAAACCTCCTGCATTTGTTTGGTCCGAGAAAAGCTTTGTGGGCTTTCCCCATCTGCAATACTACTGGGGATGGATGGAGTTGGGAGCCGAGCGAGAAATGGTTGGAAGCAAGGAAACGAATAGCAAGCGAAAGGGAAGCACAGAAACTACGAGAACAGAATGCTGGGTGGGGAGAGCCATCACTGGCGTTCCCCCCTCAGCAAGAGGGTGCCGGAAGACACTATGTAACATTTCCCCGGTCTCCATCAAAAGCTGACCGTGTCTTGGGGCGGAGTCCAAATGACTACCTTGACGAATCATACCCAAGAGAGTCAAACTCAGTCTCAATGCGAAACCTGCAACCTCGAGCTGGGGACTTGGACGATGATCAGTATGATATCAGCAGTGATGAGGACGAAGCAGAGCAACGGGCTTTGGATCGTAAAGCAACCGACGGATGGCCGCGGAGAGTTGGCGTGGTCACGAATACGCTATTGGGAAACAGGCTAGCAAGACAGAAAGATAATGAAAGGGGGCGGGATGGTTGGGATGGTCAGGATGAAGGGGTAGATTGAGAGTTTGCTCGTCGGGATCCTGGCGTTGTGATTTTGCATTGCTGATGTACGCGATGTGCCGAGATATATCCAATGAGCGCTGCTATCCCAAATATCAAGTGAAATATTCTCGTAGCCCATTCAATTTCTGGCCGGAAATATCTCTCCAAGTCAATTGTATATTTAGTACTGAAAAGCAAGGAGGTAAGGGGTCTCCACCACGTGATCTCTGGCCACGTTATCACAAGCCGCGGTACAGTAACAGCTGGTAGCCGAAGCTCTCCTTGCGTCTCTATCTTGACGTCAGAGATATAGTTTTGCGCCCAAAACCACTGTTTTCTCCTATGTATTAGAGATACGAAGGTACGACGACGGCAAATACGTATACCTTGGTGGATCCCTTTTACACGATATGTCTTCTACGAAGTTTAACTCCAAATCCCCTACTGTAAAACGAATCTGTCCGTGTCCCTATTCGCGTCCCTTCGCGCTGCTCCCAGCAAAGCCTTTCAGACCAATGTGCTAACATGAAGTTTACTCAGTGCGTGAAGCATCAGAATTATCACTTTCCCCTTCCCCAGACTATCACGCCAGCCCAGCATCAGACTCCAACCTCTTCGAATGGCACTTCACCCTTCGCGGTCCGCCCTCCTCACCCTTTGCTTCGGGGATCTACCACGGCCGAATAGTACTGCCACCCACATATCCTCTCCGTCCGCCGTCCTTTAGATTCCTTACTCCGTCTGGCCGCTTCGAGACGAATCGCGAGATATGTCTCAGTATTTCCGGACATCATGAGGAGACGTGGCAGCCGGCATGGGGCATCAGGACCGCGTTGGTGGCATTGAGAGCGTTTATGGAGACGGATGCAAAAGGACAACTCGGAGGTCTAGACACGAGCGAAGCCGAACGGAGACGGTGCGCAGAAGGGAGCGGATCTTGGAAATGCGCCACCTGTGGAAAGAGCAACGCGGAAATACTTCAGGAATGCGCCGAAGCAGCGCGCGAGAAAGAGGGGGAGAATGGAGAGGGGAGCAGCAGGCCCGATGAGGTCGTTCCTAAGGAACTGTCCATTGGTTTTGAAGGCGATATTCAGCGCGATAACGGGGAAGGAAAGGCCGAATCCGAATCCCCTACCAAGGAGCAGGAGACCTCGGGAACAGCTCCCGCAACGACGACACAAACGGACGTCTACCCTCCTGCGAGGCCTGCACAGAGCGTCCCTCAGCCTACCGGAGCTGTGCCGCCAGACAGCTCCACGACCTCTCGAGCAGAACCAGCACGGGACCTTCGACTACGTAACCCAACAGCTAGCACAGGAACCACGACGAATACGACCCCACAAATCAGACTACAGCAAGTACCGACACCAAGAGACGAGGTGACTGTCTGGATCGATCGAGCCATAGCCGGGGTTCTAGTATGCTTGGCATTTATGGTCACGAAGGTGCTGCTTGCCGTTTGATTTTTGGGTTTCTGCAAAGGAAAGCAGATATATATATATATATACATACATTGGGATAGGACTGGCTTCAGTGAAGGGGCGTTTGGATGGGGAATTTCGGCGCTATATAGTCTGATAGATACCAATAGATTTCCTGTAAGATACCTGTGCTGTGGCATTTTGTGATGTATAGGAAAACAAGACCATAGAGGCTGTGCTGGATGCAGAAAGGGATGAAATAAATTTTGTGTGAACATAAGTTCTTGACTTATGAAGTATGTACTGTCCGAGTCTTATCTTAGTCACGGATCTGTTGCATTCAACGCCAGGCTCTAACCATCCCCTTTAGGAGGGCGTTGACCTTCTGGCATTGGGGAAATGCCGGGGAAGGAGACTTTGACAACGACCAACAGTACCTAGAAACAACTTCTTCTACTGCACTCAATGAAAAGTAAAGGGGGCATATCAGGCCAGCTTTTAAATTTTTGGCGTAGTGTAATACTGTATTTGGAAATTATCTATGTGTATGAGCACTATTTCACAGAATACAGTCCTTTCTATAGTACAAAGCTCGTTCTGTATACCGAGCTATAACGTCCGAGTTTTGGATTTTGTACAAGCCCCAGCCCCTCTATCATCGAAAACGCCGAAGTCGTGTAGAATCCGTTTCCCCAAACTCCATTTAGATGCTGCTCGATCGTGACGTTCATTCATAGCTCACCAGAGCAATACCGCCCGACGATCAACCACCACCATTCCCCTGTAGTCCACCCTCCAATGACCTCATGCAGCCTCTCAAACAGGCCTACTTCAACGCCCCATTCTAGCAATCGCCAGATCTCCCATTCTTCTAGTGTCGGGTGGAATGTTTTCTTCAGTGACTCGATCGAGCTACCAGCGCGGAGCGCAATGATTCCCGAGAAAGCAACCAGCACTTTCTTCCAAAGTTCCTCAATCAATTCATCGCCAATTCCATACCAGATTGGAAGCTCGCCTAACTTACTACCACGAGGAGGCTCGATGTTTCCAAGTCGCTGAAGGACCTCATTATCGGAGTCGTAGACGTAGTTTGAAGTGGGGTAGATATCCATATCGAATCTGAACTTTTCCTTCGGAATCTTACGAGTTTCATAACCGCCATCCATGAAACCAAATTTGTTCATTGGGACTCCCACGCCCTTTAGACGGATCCTGCCATGAGCCTGCAGATTCGTCACACACATCAATGTGCCCTCATTCGCCATATAATCTGATCGGATGCACGTCTTTCCACTGGAAAATTCTTGGTCCAGGAAGCGCTTGAAAGCGACCGCGTCAAGGAATTGCTGTGCCGTAACATGTTTGCGTAAGCTGCTGAAGAAGACATCCGTAGGCTCGTAGCTGCGGTCTGGAGTCGCCCGGCCCTTATTCTTTTGCATGAGGACCTTGTCGTTCTTGAGAATCTCAACAGCTTCATTGACAAGAATTGCTACGTTGGGGTCATTTCCATGTTTATCTTCGAGCAGCGGGTCACCCAATGATCTGAACTTTGCCTTTGCGACACGGTGATCCCAAGCCTCGTCAGGTGTTAGTGCCGCAGCTCTGGCCCATGACTTTACAAGAGTGATCTTATCGATCTTGATATCGTCGGCACATTTAGCTTTTGGTGGTGTAATCGCGGGGATAGCATTGGCGACCGAGGAGGCAAGCTCCATCCGTTTGTATACAGGGTTGTGAAGGGAGTAGTAGCCCTCTTGGCGATTACCTGCTTCAATTTCCTGTTCTTTAAGATGATAAAGCCTGTCGAGTCGATCTCGAGTGTCCGGTAAATCAACGGCTTTGATCTCGACTGTCATATCAACTTTCTTCATAGCCCAATCAACTAGCCAACCCCAGTCATACTCCACAAGTTTGTCATAATTAATCGGAGGGATCTCGCCTTTCTGATATGCAACCAAGAAGGCGTCTTGGAAGTCACCGATAAGCTTCTCGATCATGGCCCGCTTCTTCTGTAGTAAACTAGCCCAGCGTTTGGTCAAGAAGTTCATAGAGTAATTGCCGAAGAGCGTGGCTACTAAAACCCAATCGATGTTTTGATCGAGACCGCCAGTTACTGTGCGCAGTACGCATACCGCTACAATCAATCGAGTTTCTTCTTTGGTTGACATGTTTGAATCCCGATTACGGGTTCGATGTATTGATTCGGGCGTGGTAAATTGTGTCCCAAGCTCCTTAGCAACCTGTTCTGTATCATCCCCAAGGCCTGCCAGATCAGTGGAAAGCGCGGTAAGACGACGGGTAGTCCATTCTTTCTGAAGCTCGCGGAGATCTCTAGCATTCTGACTTGCCGGTGTTAACGAACTCCTTGGCATCTTGTATTGTGGTTTTGAGGATACATCGGTGAATACAATATCGTCTGAATCATCCAGCTCTGCATAGGGTATTGTCTCCATATCGAAGGCTGTATCGGCATTCCAACTGATCTTGACATGTTTAAGATCCACAGCGCCATCAAGAGACGTAATTGTGTGGTTCACCCAGCGGTAGTCTGGGAGTAAGGTTCCACTGCGAAGTAACTGAGATGCAGCATCTTGCTCCCACTTTGAAACTGCATCGATTTCCATATAAATGCGATCTTGCGATGACTGGGTTTCTGGTGGGGATGGCACGTTGGCGAGAATATCATGCAGTGAAAAAGAAGGGGGAAGCTTGTCACGAAGGCGCTTATTACTCTCGGTATCCACGAAGCTCGGCTCATCTTGGATGCTCTGAAGGTCTCTAGATTGCCGGGACCCGAGACCGAAGCTAGCAGGCAGTGATTCAAGTCCCACGTTACGCTGTCCTCCCTTGCCTGGGACAATTTTCTTGGGCTCGAAAGAATTCAGTAAGTGGATCTCGTCTAATCTCTTGGATTGCCTCGTCTGCCGACGCGAATTGCCGTTCAGCTTCGAAGAATTAACCTCATCAACCGGCCGTCTGTTGTAGGGACGTTTTCGTCTAGTAGCCTTGGGAATGTTGCTTTCCTGTTCTTGATCCGAGCCTTCTGAATATTCTGACCCCGATTCTGAATCTCTGCTACGCTCTGAGCGCTTACGCTTGCCAGTAACCTTGGGACTTTCGGCCGTGAGATCAGCCTCTACTGGGGCCTGAGCACCATGCGCAGCTGGGTCCTTCAGTAGACTCTTTGTAGGCACCGCTGGGAGGAATATCCTGTTTTTGGTAGGAATTAACACTGGCCGGAATCCACTTTCTATCCTCTCCAGATACCGTGGTAGGTGAGGGTTTCCGTCCGCTCTACGAGCAGGTCTTGCATATATAGGTTTAACCCCGTGGCCAAAAGGTCTGAGAGACCAGGCACCATCTTCAGCCTGCATGAAAGTGATAGGCTCAGGTAGTTCTGCCCGACGTACTGGCTTACGAGGGGACCTCCTAACGCGTGTCGGTGTCTGATCCCAAGCACCAGTTTCAGGATTTGGAAGAAGTGATGGAGCCGTCGCCCAACATTGCATTTTAAGAGCGGCTTTAATAGCACGCCTTTCCTTTTCCTGTTCCGAAAGTGGTATCCTCACTCTCTTTGGTGAGCTAGATGGTAGCGTTTGCTTCTTGTCTGGGGCGTATTCTGCGGGATAAGCCAGCATGTCTCCGCCAGCGGCCTTTACTGTGGCCGACCTTTTGCGCATCGTTCGTTTCCGCCTCTCGATCAATGTCTCATCTCGGTCTTCATACAGGTCGTCACTCTCACTTTCTTCCTCGTCGTCGACAATGAGTCTGGGCTCCTCTTCATCGCTTTCCTCTTCGCCTGGGTATGAAGGGGCCGGTGTCTGCCCCGAACCATCTGACAAGTTTGATATTCCCTTCCTGGCAGGCAGGGTAGAGCTACGTCTGCGGCTAGACTTGTTCCATGACTGTGGACGCGAGGCTTGCTCTGCCCACTCAAGGACGGATCCAAGAGAATCGGTACTGCTCGTATCAGATTGGTCATTGTCTGGCACATCTTTGCTCAAATCATGTCCTCCATTCCCCCTTTCTCCGTTCTCGACTGGTCCATCTCTCTTGCGACGTGGACTATCTCTCTCCTGTGGTGACTCGGCAACCACAGCCTTCTTCTTCACTCTTGTCGGCTTCGGAGGCCGGACTGACGAAGGGTCGAATGACGGGTTGCAAGTTGATTTTGATCTGGTTCGATGGTATAGTATTCCTTCCTTATTCTTGAACCGCTTTCCGCACTTTTCGCAGAGGAACGGTTTCACGACTTCAATCTGAGGTACATCGAGCTGATTGTGGGGTTCATAGGGTACTCCAGCAGTAACCTGAGCATTGATCTTTGCTAAGACCAGCTTAGACCTCAAGATCTCAGCAGCTCTGTGTGCTGGCTTCGTCAGACCAATATTGAAGCGGTGAGTGATATCCACATTGTTGGCGTCTTTAGATTTGACACGCAACTCCATTGGCTTCGAGCCCACCATAGACATGATTGGGTTATCGATTATTGCAGAGACCTCCAGGTTCAATATAGGATTTTGAGGTGGATGTTGATCAGCCCCATAAAAGTAGACGATGGATTGGTCCTTGGAGAGAATCAGGTTGCCAACCGACCCCTGATATGCAGCAGCAATCCGAGCCAAAGAATCCGGAGCATCAATTTCTTCTGCAGCCGACAAGGCATCCTGCAGCTCGTTCTCCCTCTGGATTTCCCTTTCTTTCTCTTCCTCCTGCTTCTTCACCAACTCTGCCAAGGATTCCGGTGATGTGGCTGTTGGGATAGGAGGTTGCATGGCAGAGTGCTCTGTTTCTGGCAACGAAGATCTTTGCCCTGACGAAACCGAAATTGCTTGGTGACGCTTTGCAGCCGCGTCAGCACCGGTTACAGAGGACTCTCTCTTTCGCTTTCCTCTTCCGCCGGTATAGGGTTTGGCTCCCAGAGTAGAGGGTACTTCTGGTTGATCTCCGCCTTCATGTATGGATTGTGCGTCGAAGGTGGAGGATGGGTCTCGGAAAGAATCATGGGATGTGGAACCTGGTGGCGGGACAGGGTAATGAAGATGCTCAGATTGTTCATGGTTTTGGGTGGATGGCATGTCCCCGACATGGTATGGCGAATTATAAGATGGTGCAATCGCTGGCATTTCCTGATTCTGGGTCAACGGGTTCCGTACTGGATTATGACCAGTAGATGACTGGGCTGGAGCATTATATGATAGGGTGTGCGAGTTAGATGCCGTAGCTGTCGATGTCGAGGAAACGCCGTAAGGCGAGTTGTATGCAGGTTGCTGGTCCATCTCACTTCCAACACCAGTACTTGGAACCGATTGGCCATTGATTTGAAGAGGTGCGTTTAGGCGACTGCTTTGTTGGGCGCCTGCTGCCACCCGCGGAAGAGCATCTTGGTCTGGCATAGAGACCAGATCACTTGGGACATCGTGATGTGGCTTCCGCTTCCGCTGACCAGGTAGATTCACAGTTGAAGGGGTTTCTTCTTCATTCATGCCAGTCGAGATATCATGGCCAGTCTTGTTTGCAAAAGCGTCTTTCCATGTCCCTTTTCGAGCGGCTAACCACTGTGGAAGTTTGAGCTTCACAGACTTGAAGACGGCAACCATCTGTCTCTTTGTCTTCCTACCCTCTAATTCCGCTGTTCTCTGTGCTACAGTCGGATTGATATAAACTCCAGGGATCCCGGCCTCGATCTTGGCGTCATCTTCCTGGCGTTGGACTTCCTCATGCGGTGTAAATATAGCTTTGCGGATATAAGCTCCGGTGGACAAGCGACTTGTCCTCGTAGCTGGGCTCGAATCTGAAGGTGGAGATAACCTTGAAGGAGTAGTTCTTGATGGAGGCGTAGGTTGCGATGCGTCAAAGATGACTCTCGGGGCATGTCGAGGGGGTAATTCGGGTGCTGGGTTCTGTGCGGCGAACTTCTTTAGAGATTTTCCAGGTGGCCGACCCCTTTTGCGCCGGGGTGGAGGCTCTGGAGCCTCAGATGGCTGATTGGCTGGTGCGGGCGAGGTTCCATCTGGAACAGCTACTCCAACTGATTGTTGAATGATTTCCGTCTCCAGAGTCGGGGTGTTTCGTGTAGCTTCCTGCTCTGTTTCCGCATCTACTCGGAGCTTAATCTTCCGCTCTCCCAGTCCAAGATCCAGAATATCCTCAAGGGATAGTTTCTTCAAGGCAAGTGCCGACTTTGCATCACCTAGGTGGACGAGCTCACGGGCAACAAGAGCTTCCCACAGCTGGTTCTTGGCACTACCATCGAGCGGCTGTCCGTCGGGAGCGAGGGACGACTGCTTGTCAAGCCTTTGAAAGAGGACTGAGATCGAGATGCCTATCATCAAAGCTATTAGCTTGCCTCTTCTGGAACATCGGCCTCAGAGGAGCAACCCCTCCTCACGTGACGCAAACTCGACTTCCACGAACGCGGGACAGGCAAAAGCGAAGAGCGAATGGCAAAGGGCGAAAGCAGTCGATCAATCGAGCTAGGATTGAGCCGCGAGCACAACCACTGCGCCATATCGCTATGTGCAGAACACCATGAGATGCCACGGCCATGGGAACGTCCCTTGAAAGACTCGTGTCCCCTTTGCGGCTCTCTGAGTTGATTGGCATTGCTATGCCTCGCTTGAAGAACACGGCAGCCCGGACTCAAAATCGCGAATCAGAAGTGCGAGATCTACTCACCATCGTCATCGGGCAAAAGGCGCAGCTCGCTCAGAACCCCCTCAATCATTTGATCGAGACTCGGAGACATGGCGAAAACTGGACCTCGTTCATTCTCGAAAGAGGTCTATTTGAGGGAATTCACATCCGGTATGTTTCGCGAAGTTGATGTTGTCGCGTTTTGGTAGTTGGGAAGATGTTAGTTTGATGTGTGATTTTTTGGAGGCGGAAGAAGTGGGAAGATTTGGCGGGGTCACGATTCAGTAGTAATGTGGATACCTCAGGCATCCAGAGCGGGCGCAAGGCAACGAGAAGAAGGCTCGCCCCCTCCTGGGCGATTTCTGGTCTAACGTGACAGAGACGGGGAGAAGGGTAAGTAGGTAGGTATAGCGGAAGATTGGGAAATCTTTTCTTTGGCAGAGATTACAGAAATCGCGTGATTCCATTGAGATGAAGTGAGCCTGCGAATTAGTCTATTAGTCGGAACCAGCACCTAGCTACGGTGATAGTTGGACAGCCGTCACCCATCTCTCTACTCGGCAAGCCCCTGGTTCTTCTTCATCATAGCCCTATACCCCTCGACTACACTTCTCCTCACCTCACCCAACTCTTCTCTCCTCCTGAGACTGCCGCTAGCCTTCGGGACATCCTCGATGTCGACCCTAGCCCCCCGAACCTTGAACTTCTCCTTCGGAAGCCTCGAGAAGGTTGGCGGGGCTTGTGCAACATCGTTCAAGCTAATTGGAGCCTCAGCTCTGTTCTTCTTGATCTGCTCCCAAGGATCGTCCTCCCCATCATCCACTTCCCCTCTTACTTTCTTCTTCCCCTTGCCCTTCTTCCCCTTCTTCTTCCCATTCCCTGCCACGATATCCACCTTCCATTTCACCTGCCCATCTTCATCCATCGCCTCCTCTTCGGCAAGCTCAAGAGCCTCTTCCCGCTTCTCCCTTATCTTCCTGTCCTGCTCCCGCCATTCATCGTACATCCGATGCATCCTCTTCTCCGTCTTGGTGCGTCTCACCTTCAAACCCAAAGGGTCTTTCCCTCCCCGGGCAGTTTTGTTGATCAGCCCACTAACCGGTAAGGCGGCGTCGACACGAACTGCAAAGTCTGACATGCTCTCGCCTACTCTTATGGTAGGCATCTGCTGTGCAGGCGTCTCAGTCGGTGCCTGTGCCTCGCCGTCCTTCTCTGCGGCCAGCTTACGCTTCTTCTGGGCTTTCGATTCCCGGACCCCATCGTCCAATCCCTTAGGAAGCTTCTTGCCGGCTTGAAATGCCATCAGGCGAGCGAATGCTTTGGGGGTATCATCATTAGGATCCTTGTTCCGCTTGCGTTTCTTGCTATCTCTCCTCGTATTCGAGAGTTCAGTGGTGAATATGCCATTGGCATTGGCGGATTTGGAGACGGGCAGAGGTTTTGCGATTACAGTGGGTGGAAGGTCGACGCTGCAAGTAATCAGGGCTCAGTCACAAGAAGAGATCTGGCGATTGAGCGAACGTACGTGGATTTGTCTTCCCCTTTCCGGGTATGTTTATGCGGCATTGCTGCTGCTTTTGTGTTTCAGGGAGGTGTGCTTATGGTTCTTGTGTGTGCAGCACTCCTGCAACTGCAGGTGGTGTCAATGGGTGGGGAAGGGAAGTGGGACTGATGAGGCTCTCGAGTCGAGATATTTTTTGCTCCCGCAGGTCAGAATAATCCTTCGTGGCTTGCCTGGTGTGGCGCTGTGGCTTGGCTCGGCTTAGGCTTGGCGCAGCAGACTACCTTAAGGTACTCCGTACAGTACCTATACTACTGGGAGGATCTGTGTTTGATACCGTATATAGAGATTACGATTACGGGGGATAGGTTATTGTTGGCTGGAGCATGGCTGATCTCACCGCCATTACAAGGCAAGTCATTTCGTCCCTATTCCAGGTTTCGTGGACTTGGCATTTGCATTTGCCGTCTTCCTTCCACCGTTGGGCAGGGCACGGGTAGCTTACATAATCCGGGGATACCTTCCAGGGGACCCCCCCACGTGGTGTGAACCGCCATGATCATTGCAACATCCAACATCCAACATCCAACATCTTCATCCTTTTCCCTTTCCCTTTCCCTTATCTTCTTTCTTTTCTTTGCTTTTCCCTTCGTGTGATTTTTCCTCTCTCTCTCCTCCCTCTTTTCTTCGCCGGTATCTAAGGTATATCTCCCCTCGCAAGTCTTCCGTTCGCTCTCCCCTGCCCAGACTCCGAAGCGTTCGGGCCCCATTATTCTTCTGTCGGCAGCTCTCTTGTCCTCGTCAGCTCGTCGAGTAGTCCAACTACTACACGCACCACTCCTCACTGTACTGCGAGTCGACTACTGTCGCAGTGCGTACGGTGTACGTCGACTCTCCGGTTTTATGGTGATTTCTCGGATAAACGACCAGAGACAAGAGACAAGAGGCCAATCGGCACCCGCCAAAGTCATCGAGGTACAGTAATCCCGAATTCCTAATCCCCAGTTTGGCCCGCTGTCTTGCCAATTGCGAACTAAAAAAGCGCTCCGTAGGGTCGACAGTATATTTCCCCACGAGCTCCCCTGTTCTTTTCACCACCCGTCTCTCACGACTTCGACGACCTGCCCTGCTATATCCTGTATATGGCGATCGCGAGAACCTGGCCCTGAACCCCCCGTCTCCCGCCCGCCAGGCCTTTTTCGCGACGGCTGTGCCAAGAACCCCAAAATGCACCGTCTCCCCTTGACCCGGCCCCACATCCGTGCCAGGTCTCCAATCGCAGCGATCTCTGCAACTGATGACGACGATGCGATGTCGGATTGCAGTTGCAGCGAGGAATCGGGCTCAGTACGGAAACCGCTGCATACATTTGAAATCAGCTCCCCTATTTCCCTTTCAATTGAAGATGATTCTTCCTCTTGCCCAGGAAAAGCATCGAGAAAACGTTGGTGGGATCCAATGGTACTGCGATCGCGACGGGCACCAGGCGTGGACGAGTTGGTGGAAGAGAGTGATGGCCTGTTGACAGGCGTATATACGAGGAAGCGGGCCAATCCAAGGAGGTCGTGTTACAACTATTGTATATTCGGGGGAATCAGCGGTTTGACTGTGTTGTAGGTCTCTCGTCGAAACATTAAGGATCTTGTACTGACGAGCGATGCTGCAGAGCCTTCCTGCTCCTCATCAACCTGGCACTCGGTGTCGCGACCCTCATATGGTCCTCCGACACCGATACAGTTTTCAAGAATTGGGGCAAGCCAGGAACAGGAACTGAAGGACTCGCCTGGTACCCAACAGACTTCCTGAGAGACGTAACGCCTATACCCTGCCACTCGCATAACGATTATTGGCGTCGAGTGCCTCTCTTCGATGCATTGCGAGCAGGGTGTACTGGCATTGAAGCAGACGTCTGGTTATTCGACGATGATCTATACGTGGGTCATAATACTGCGAGCCTGACCAGAAATCGGACATTCACTTCCCTCTACATCGACCCTCTCGTCAAGATCCTCGAACACCAAAACCCCGACACGGAATTCTACAATGGAACGGACCACGGCGTGTTCGATACTGATTCCGGAAAATCTGTGACTTTGCTCGTCGATCTAAAAACTGAAGGTGCGGCGACATGGCCGTTCGTCCTAAAACAATTGGAACCTCTCCGTGAGCGAGGCTGGCTCTCATACGTCGAGAATAACACTCTCCATAGCAGACCCATCACCGTGGTCGGAACAGGGAATACACCGTTCAATCTATTAACACAGAACCAGACATATCGCGATGCGTTCTTCGATGCGCCTCTCGACACAATGTGGGAAGCTCGGAATATAACACCAGAAATGTCAACATGGCCCCCTTTCGATGATTCTCTCCCCGGGGAAAGATTGGACGAGGATGAAGGCAGTGCCGAAGAAAACATGTCCACCCCTACCTTGAATTCCACCGCGGACGCGGGCCAAGGAATGTCCGGCGTACTCCCCACCGACGAATTCAACCAGCTCAATTCGTATTATGCCTCCGTCTCCTTCGGCAAAGCAGTGGGACGAATGTGGCGCGGGCGCCTCTCACCTCGACAGATGAAGATAATACGAGGTCAGATTCGCGGTGCACATAGAAGAGGTTTGAAGGCTAGATATTGGGATTTACCGTCGTGGCCGATAGGATTGAGAAATCACGTCTGGGATGTTCTCGTCCGGGAGGGGGTGGATATGTTGAATGTTGATGATTTAAGAGGAGCCTCACAACAGGTTTGGTAGCCATGAGAGATTTATACCTGGCGGAGTTTACAGGTGCATTAAAGGCGTTTAGACATACCATTGTATAGTGGATATTATGGAAACGGAACCCTCAATTTCTAAGTTGTATCCTCAGCCGTCGTCTCTTTCTTTTAAGTCATGCGTATATTGAAGTCATTTATGGGGTCAAATGTTATAGTCGACCTGTTCTCCAATCCTTGCACTTCCTTTCTCTTCTTCCTCTATTCCCCTCTCCCGCTTTCAAAGGACTGAAGGGATGATGAAGGTACACTATAAGCGAGCCAGGGGCCTGAATCTCGGTGTGGCACAGCGACTCAGTACGTCCCCATCACATCTGTTCTGAGAACCTTCCTCCTCTCATGCTACAAGTTCTCAAACTGCGTCGCCATGCGATTAAACAGCTCGAACTCCATCCTTTCCGCAGGCTTCGGGCCCTTAAGTATACTCCCCACCATATCCGAGCCCGGTGGGAAATCATGTTCTAAGACCGGCTCGCCGGTGCCTCTTACATTCACAAGAACGGCCTGTCTGAAATGCCAACGTAGGAGCTGGTCGACGGGTCTTCGAGGATCCTCGAGAAATCTGGAATCGAGATGTTGACCCGCAAACTCGACGCTGTTAACGTCGAAGCCGAGATTGAGGTCAAAGCCTACGATCTTATAATTGTCCTAGGAGGATAGATTTAATGAGCTCTCTTGCACGTCTACCTTACGGAGGGTAGGTAGAATGGAATCCCCGCATACATACATCAGGGTTGATGGAGAAGTCATAAGCGTCAAATAGCTGATGGATATCAGTGCGCAGCAGCAAGCCATTCTGGACTGAATTAATAGGTCCCCCGACCTCTGGGACCATCGAGATCCAGCGGCCGTAGTCGTGCTCAGTCCAGAACCGCTCGTAGGCGAGCGGGAATATGTGTGCTGTCTCGAAGCCGCGCCAGACGTCCCGCGCTGCTCGAACCTTCTGTCCCGTTATCACGCATCGTTGATCTCGCGCCCGCACGGCGTCGCGGAAACCTTGGACGCGGGTCCCGGTCTCTAGAGATGATGTGCGGAGTAACGCTATCTCGGGGTTGATATCAAAGGGTGCTGCTTATACCTTAGCCATGCCTTTTTTTGATGTCTAAAATAGGTATGTTATATGAGGTATATATCCTACTAGCAGAACAGATATAATAGCTTCCGGGCTGAAGAAGATTGCCATCTCTCGTTATTATAATATTGTCTTTACTCCGTAACGTAAATGGACTGGTAACAATAACTATAATCTCTACCATGGAATATAGGTTTGCGTTCGTAAGCCCGTTGGTAAGAACTAAACCGCCAACAGGAGTCGTGTTTTCACTGGAGTTGAAGATATGGACATTTCGCCCTTGTGAGCGATCAATGACTGGCGGGGGTGAGATTTCGTACTCTTCCATGGTGTTTTCGGGTTGTAGAAGATTGAAGGAGGAGAGGCTGGAGCGGGTAGGAGGGGTTGACATTGTGGAGATTTGAAGAGCGCGGGACATATAGCAAGGCAAAAGTTAGATACCAGCTGCGGTTAAAATAAACCTGAAAGATTCCAAGAGCTTTAAATTTGAGTTCGAGAATCGAGTCTGAGTTTGTGTACGGATTTGATGACGCACGCTATGGACGGGTTAGCAAGGCTGGTGTATCTGTATATCTACCTAGGTAGAGACTTGGACATTATATGAGGATAGTACATCAATTTAAAGATCGCCCTGGATCCTTTAAAGATATCACTCCACAGAATATTTACGTTGGAAGTCGTTTAAACTATATATGGAAATACATAGCGTCATAGACAAGTCAATATGTTGGTCCTTCGGCGAATGGAAGAGACGAGATTTGACTCTTTCAGGTATATTTCTGGAAGTAAACTGAAATCTTTCGATAAGAAGGTAATTATTCTATTCACCATGTTCAATATCAATCTTCCCCGTAGAAATCTCCGAATACTTCTTGTGCACAGAAAGACAGCGTCTCACGCTCCACCACAGTAACGCCAGTCCGCTCACAACCACAAGCGCAAGCAAGGCCAGGTGGTCCCCAATCCATAAAAAGAACGCGTTATCCCAGTTCTTCCAGGTACCTCCACGTTCCTGCGTGAAGTATATCCACGGCTGAGTTCCCGGCCTGTCATCCATCATGATTCGGTGCAGTCTTTCTTCTGGGTGCTGCGAGTGGTACTTCTGCCAAATGGCTGTTTCAAACCATTGACCACTGGCGTAACTGATTGTTACATAGGGAAAGAAGTAATTGTAGTTATAAGGGATTAGAGAATCAGTGAGCAATTTCCAGAACGGGTGGTTTGGGACGGAGGCCAAGATGTTATTGCTCAGTGCTCCACGCCCACCGTCGGTGGTCCATGTTGGGTAGTATAGGAGGGGAGTGAGGTTTTCGAGGCAGCCCTATCATGTTGTCAGTCAGAGTATGGAAAGGGGGTATAAATATAGGACGCACATTATCCAGATCGATGTAAATGCCTCCGTAGTGTAACATCAGAAAGTAGCGCACCGAGTCTACTCTCTGAATGGGAAGCTTGTAATTATCATAGGTAGACAAAAACCAGGGATAATAGCGCTGTATAAACTCTCGAGATGTGCTCGCCGTCCATAACTGAAATAAGTCAGTTGACGCAGTTCTTTCTTCAGGTCCTTGCATGCAAGTAAGACATATACATACCATGTAGGTCCAGTCCTCATTCTTATCGATACACGTGTGCCGCACTTCATCCCAGTCTGTTGGCATAGTCTCATTGCCTCCATTTTGCTCGGCATTCCAATCATGGTACACTTGGTGGATGATTTTGGGGATCAGCTGCGGCCGAGCATCGGTAGCTGTATGTGCAGAGGCGATCTCATCTTGGGTGATGGCTACGCCAGAATGGTCGAAGAAGAGCTGGACAAAGAATACTAGGTGAGTGACCAAGTAGCCCAGAGCCAGAAGGCCTAGGAGAGCGGAAACAGTGATGCGGGCCCGCATCTTGCCTCTTCCCTCTTCCCTCTACCCTCTCCTCGTCTATAAGTTATAGCATAATCTACAGTACCAAGTCGCAGAAAGTAGTGAGTGGACGTCTTCGAGACTGGCTGCCCAGCAGCGTCTGGTGATCATTATAAGAAGCATGTTGGTTTAGTCAATCGACGAAAGGAGAAAAGAGCCTGAAAGACACAGAGCAGTAGAAGGGGTGTCGATCCTCCATGGTTGTTGCGCGGCCAGTCATCGATGAGGACGCGGACACGGTGCTGAAATGTCACTCAATGTCACTCGACGTCAATAATAAGGTTGCTGCAATCCCCTGCCGCGCTACTGCGGGGCGCCCTTGTCCCTGGAGCCGCCTCTACAGGGTCTCTAACGGTCTCTTAAGGGTTTCTGAGTCTCTATCAAGGTGTCGAGCACTATAAAACAAGACTTCACTAAGTAAGATAGTATACAGTACTAAAACAATGGTACAGTAGCGGTCAGAACTAACGCGGGCAACATGGTCCCCGCCAATGCGCCATAGCGAAGGGCTGCGCTAATCCTTCCAGTACGAGGGCCGCATCTGATATCTCCCCCCCAAACTCTGCCAACAACCCGTCAATCTCAACCATCAATACCACCTAAGTCGCAAGGCCACGGGTCGACTCTTCAATTCTCCTCCCTTGACGAATAGGCCTGGGAGACGAAATGGCACCCTTCGGCTCTGGCCCCGCCCTGATGGGCACTGTTGATTTCCACAATTTGCTAGCCTTTCTCGCAAGTTCGCAACGCATCTACTGTCCTGTATCAGCCAGTTCGAGGCGCAGTGCCACCGAAATACGTCCTTCCCATGATCAGCCCCGTCGATATGCCTCTTCCCTGTGCTAGTAGCTGATCTCCCAATCAAATGTGACTCGTGGAAGGCATTCGAATGCCAAACGGTCCAAGCGGTCCAACCCTCCTCCTTTGGCCAACATGGTGAGAGATATAAGTACCAGCGGACTTTCTGTCCCCGCCCCTTTTCTTCCCCTGCTGATCTTAGTCTTTATGGTTGGGCGAACGCCACTCTTTCTGTGTTGCTCAATCTTCCTTCAATCTTCGTGTTTTGCTCAGCCAGATGTTCGTCTTCTCTTGGTGCTCGCGGCGCGTGGGGGGTCTGTCAGTTTTGTTTCTTGTTTTTGTATGCGCTTTGGTCTTATCAGATGAAGCCATACATAGAAGGAGTAGGGCAGATGTATCGAAAGAGGCAAAGTTTCATCTGTTTTCAGATATTGGAGGAAAGTTCTCCCTTGGAGATTCTCTAACTTTGCTCTTCGCATACTACTCACTGTTCATCCATGTGTTGGTCACAGCTTTCCCCTTCAGAGCATGTTTTGCTATCTGGGATATCACACGCAGCTTGCGGAGAATCAGTCGTATCAAGAAGAGGAATACTTCAAAGTATTACCAGAAAGTCTCGTCAAACTCCCTCTCATCCACCGAAACTCTCGTGGCCTCTCTGACCTCCCTTTCTGGTTCTAGCGGCGCCGAAGACATCGACCTTGGATACAACGCCGACATCGAGCTTGAACTGCCAAAGATCATTCACACGATCTTACTTCCCAACTATAAAGAGGATATTGATGTTTTGAGAGAAACTTTAAATGTCCTGGCTTGTCATCCACAAGCCCGTTCTCAATACGAGGTAAGTCACTTGGAGCATAGAATTGATATAAATCACTAAGACCTTTTCCTTCCAGGTTATCTTAGCAATGGAGGCGCGTGAATTGGACTGTGCTTCTAAGGCTACAAATCTCATTGTGGAGTTTAAGAAGGCTTTCAGAGACGTTGACTTTACTGTCCACCCGGACGATATTGAGAACGAAGCACCTGGGAAGAGTAGTAATATTTCATGGGCTGCTCGGAAAGCCAGTGAAAAGTATTCTTCCAAAATTAGGGATTGTGTTATTGTTACTGTTATCGATGGTATGGTTAATATCTTGTGATAAAAGAGCTATACTGATCAAGTTACAGCTGACAGCCATCTCTCCTCAAACTATTTCTCCCAGCTTACGGACCTACATTGCGCGCATACCGAGACAGCCCCTACTACACTCTACTCCGCTCCTATCATATTTGACAGAAATGCCCATCTCGTCCCAACACTCGTGCGAGTAGCTGACGTTCTCTGGGCCGCGGCTGGGATTTCCGGGTTATATTGCAGCTCCACTATCGGCCCCCCAACGTCCGTGTATTCCCTTCCTCTCGGACTCGCAGATAAGGTTGGAGGCTGGGACACGGGAAGTGAGGCAATCGGAGAAGATCTGCACATGTACCTGAAGTGCTTCCTCATACTGAGGGGAAACCTGACGACGAGAACTATCTTGGCGCCTGTCAGCCAGACCAATGTGTCAAGTGGCCTCAAGGGCCATAGAGGACTCATCCTAGATTTCGGGGCCCGGTACAAACAAGCTCTTCGACACATGTGGGGTGCTTTGGACAGCGGATTTGCACTACGGCAATTAGCTTCTGTGTGGAGGGAGAGAAAGACAACTGGGCGGACTTTCAAGCCTCTTCATGCGAGCCGGTACGTTTACGCTGTATGGTTAGATGGATGGCCCTAATGAATTACAGCAATGACAGTTCCTACATCCCCGAAGAAGATTTAGAAAACCTTCTTGCGCACCAGCCATCGCCGAATGGGGCGTTCTCAGATGTCATGCACCACGAACTCCCATCGCCGAACTGGGCGCGCATCCTCTGCCTATTCCACCGTCTCTTCGAAGCGCATTTCCTCCCTGTCCATATGATGATTCTTGTCATCTCATCCTCGCTCTACGTTGTCATCTCACCCGACGCACAAGACGACCTGAACGTGCGATGGATTTTCCAAACGACGGCCATTCTACGAGTCGTCGGCTTCCTAGCTGTCGGTTTCTACATGGCGCTGTACGAAAGCTATCACAGCATCTGCATCCATAGCCGCAAATCAGAGATGAAGGCCGCCGGGCTCTATGAGAGCATGGCTGGCGCATTCTCACACAGATCATGGAGGACGAACTTCTGTGACTACGTGGCAATACCCCTGGTAGCGCCGCTCTTTGGAAGTATACCGGCGGTCCAGGCGCAGATGTGCCATTTCTGGACCCTAGACCTGGTGTATGCAGTTAGCAGGAAGCCGCAGCCTCAAAGCCGGGTGAGAGAGAAAGAAGGGGGGGCCATCGCTTAGGAATTCAGGGGTAAATTATTTCATATCTCGCGGTTTTTTTGGTTATATAAGCAGTCATAGGGGGAAATCAACATATGAACTTACAGATAATCAATTAAAGCAGGATTTTATATGGCCGCGCTTGTTAACTAGATAGATAACAAGAGCGATATACGCGGTAGACTCAGCTTTCGCTTGTGGATAGGGGGAGAGCGCTTGCGCCTGGTGGGGGAGTGAGCGCCGAGGTCCCCGGGAACTTGGAACGGTAAATAATGATGGATGATTGTTTGCTTTTGGGGTTTGAAGTTTGAAGCGTTTTTGGGGTGATCTTGGGAGGGTTTGGTGAGGTTGGAGGTTGAGATCTGGGGAAGAGTTGGGGGGGGGGGGGGTTTGGTGATTGTTTGCAAGATTTGAATGTTGAGGGGAAGACAAAAGTGTTTTCTTCCGAGGAGATCTGAGAAAGGTCTTCTATACTTATTGCCTAATTGGCGGGGTTGAGCAGCGCGGACGAGACTCGGACAAATCCCGGGAAGCAGCTCGACATCATGACGTTGTCCCCCCCCCTCTCCATCAATGATCAAACACCGCATTTCTGATGCTAGCTGCATGTGGGTAGCATACCTAGCTCAACTGGTCGTACATATATGTCCAGGACTTGCTCTTAACTCACGATCCTTTTTTTTAAAAGAAAAGAAGAAGAAGATTCACCAAGATATTATTGAGAGGAATTGAATTTGCTTGGGATTCATTCAATTGTATTCAAAATGGCACAGAACAACATTGCCGTGCTTGACGTATGCTTGATTTCCCCCTCCTCAACCCCTCCCTCCCATTTACCCCGCTCATCCACAACATCACCACCACCACAACACCACAGACTGAACCGAACTGACAAAACGCCAGACATCCATCGCGGACCGTCTGCCCGCATCATCCAAAACCCTCTTCGACGCCAAAGCCAGCAAAGGTCTAACATTCGAAGCCATCGCCCAAGCACTAGGGCGCAGCGAAGTCGCCGTCGCCGCGCTCTTCTACGGCCAAGCCGCCGCGTCTCCGGAGGACGTGACCAAGCTCTCCGCTTTGCTCGGCGTTCCCGAGGCCACGCTGCGCTCCCAGCTCCTGGGATTTCCGGACCGCGGACGTGCGGGTCCCATGCCGCCTGTTGAACCGCTCATTTATCGCTTGTATGAGATTGTGCAGAATTATGGGTATGCGTATAAGGCGGTTCTGAATGAGAAGTTGGGCGATGGGATTATGAGCGCGATTAGCTTTAGTACGAAGGTGGAGAAGGAGACGGATGCGCAGGGGAATAATTGGGCTGTTATTACGTTGAGGGGGAAGTGGTGAGTTTTGTTTCTTTCTTTCTTTTTGACTCCCTCCCGTTGTTTTCGAGAGAGATGATCCCGAGGTTAAGGGTATACATGCTAATCGATGTGCTTCAATAGGCTTCCTTTCTCAAGATTCTAGATATGCTTGTTGCTGCTCGGCTGCCCATAAAATGTCAGGTGTATTTTTGATGAACCCTTTGTCTCTATATGCATGCATGCATGAAACTTCGATGCGAAGCTTTCCCTACCTTACCCCCACCTTGCGCTTGAAATAAAAATGATTACTCCGTTCAGAACCCCCCAGAACTGCGCCGACCCCCCCATATTCCCGCGTCAAACCTCCAGGGCAGGCGTCAAAAGGCTTTGAAAGAAGACAAAAGTATGTACAACCATATTCCGTACACTTTTTCCAGCATACATCGGATCTCTGTCCTATTTTTTCCCCCATATACCTAGATCCTGCTCCTTCGCTATGCCCATAGTATTAGAATGCATTAGATTTGGTCCCGTCTCTTTTTGATCCCGTGACCCATCTCTCTTTTTTCTTTTTTATTCCTTCATGTGAGCCATTTCATAAGCGTCACCAGAAGATGTGCGTCTCTCTCGCCCGAGGATCTGCATCATTCTCCCTCGCTCCCCGAGTCTCACATCGGAGCGTCGCCTCCCTCTTCTGCAGATCGAACAAGATCTCCTTGACCATGACCCTCTTGTCTTCGGCCACTGTTTCACTCGTAGAGATGGGGTCCCGGATTTCAAACCGGCTCATACCCTCTTCTTCGACCTCCATGATCCACTGTGCGACCCTCCCACAGAGGAGACTATCCCACATTCCTTCACGTCGTGGAGTTGATATCAGAAGACTAATGGCATCACGACGTAGTCTACGATCGCGACATTTGGTTGCGGCGACGAAGAGAGGCGGGATGATGCCGAGGTCCAGGGCGAACGAAGCTTTGATGTGGGAGTAGGCATCCCTCTCCCTATATCCATATGTAGTAGCCATCCCCGGAAAGTGCATCTGGCTAGCTCCGTGGGAAGGATCTCTATGTCGGCAGTTATTCAAATCGCCGCATCTGGCCTGGGCGAGGGCCAATTCTTCCTCGACAACGACTTCTTTTGCGAGCTCGACAATCTCCCGGAATTGGAGCATGAACCCGTCAAAATCCATCTCCGAGGTGCTGAACCCCATGAGGAAGAGGATTGATGTCATAGCATGTATCATCTTCAGGACGTCGATGCCGGCGCGCTCGGTATTGCTGATGCCGGGCCGGCGGCGGCCTTGCAGCAGTTGGTCGAAAGCCACGCCCCACTGTTGTAGCTGGGTTCTGAACCCGAGACCATAGCTCTTGATGGAAGAGGGGAGTATGTTATTTGGACCAGCGTAAAACGAAGACAGCGTCTCGTTGAAGCGCATGATTCGCTCACATAACGAATCAAGTGATGACCGGGCTTCCTTGGGGGTTGTGAAGTAATCTGGTATCGGGGGGGATTCGAGAGAGGTGGTAGAAGCGGCATCGGATGGGGAGGACGGCGAATTGGCCGCAGACGATCTGGGTTTGGGAGAGAGTTGGATGACATAGGGGGGTGGAAAGTGGAAGGCCATGTCGTAAGATTTGGCCTGAATCGCAAGGCGGGTGAACATCTGAACGAGCTCATCCTCCACCACGTCCTCGCGACGTTTGCTCGGCGGTTTCTTGGCCTCATGCCGCCACTCGTCCAGGAGACGAAGTCCCGACTGTATTTGAGATATGGCTGCCCTATGGTCCCCGGTAAAAGATTGGAAACAGGTGAAGAGAACAATAGATATCAGGATGGTCCGTTGCGATCGCGTCTCATTGTTCTGTAGGGATTCCCGTAACCGCGTGATGGCCTTGCCGTATTGTACCAGTGCGAAGTTATAATGGTTCGGAGCAGTATCGATGCTGTAATTGGATTCGGGTGACCCAGGCGGTGATTCTGAAGCCTTTTCCAACGTCTTGTATAAAGCTCCCAACGCGACTACTGCATGCCTTATGGAAGCTTCTGAATGGCTCTCTTGGAGGACGCTGCGTGTCCAGAATTCGGAGTCGAAGAACCCGGAAAGCTCGCTGGCCGTATGTGTACGAAAGATTTGGAAGTACTGGCCCTCCCTTTCACCGAATGCATACCCTCCAGGTCTATATGATGTGGGAGAGAGGTACGCGGGCTGGGAAGGTTTGGGAATGACGTGTGTAGAAGCGATGGGTCGAGCTCGTTGGAAGGCGCGCACGACGTCCCCGTCGGTGGTGGATGGAGGTGATGATGAGGCTATGGATGATGGAGCTGTCGACGATGAGGCGATTGATGGCGGCGTTCTCGATGGTGGTGAAGCCCGCGACGATTGGGAAGACAAGGAGATTGAACTGCTGCTATGCTCTCGAGGTCGCGGAGCGATAGGGATAGCAGCCTCACCCGTTCTCCTGTACGCAGGATACCCCTCGCATTGCCTGCCCGACCTGACGCATTTTGTACAAAACGGTCTCTTCTCGTCGCATTTCACTCTTCGGTTCCTGCGGATTGCCTGATCAGCACACGCGCGCAACGACGGTCGAGAGAAGACAATCGATCTCCTTACTTGCAGTTGTTGCATCCCGTCTTCACCTTCGGTTTGCTTGCTCTCCTGGCTCGCGGCGCTGCACTCGCGGACACCATCGTGGAGGCTGATGGCGACGCTTATGCATTCATTGGCCGAGTTGCACTGCGCTCCGCCCCGACCACGACTCGGACTCGCGCTGTCGTTTGTGCTTGCAGGCGGGCGTTTGGGGGTTGCGATTAGCTATCAAGCTGTGAGCTGCTGGTTCAGAGGAAGCCGGATGTTGCAGCGAGCGCGGATCATCATTGGCCAGCCTTACAGATGGCGAGAAGAGCGGGAGGAGAAGCGGGAAGAGAGACGGGGGAGGAGGAGGGGGGAGAAAGATGGAGAAAGAGGAGGAGAATGGACGGGATGGTGGAGTGTACCGCACTGCTCGAATGTTGTCGCACAGCAGCGCACACAATTGGCGGTCGAAGGTCTGCCTATGTAGAAGGATACGAAGGCGATCGCAGGTACACAAGAGGCCTTGACGGTACCGTAGGAATTGGGGGGGGGTGGAAGATGATCTTCATTCGCCGGGGACATGCGAGGCTCGAGGCAACGGAAAACGGGGGAACGGGGGGGCGGCGACCTGTGTGCCGCTCTGCGACTGGGGAGGGGACAGAGGAGGGCCCAGATCAAATCAAGGGCAAGGGGGGAAGAAGACCAAGGCTAAAGTGAAGGGGAAGAGACTTACTTAGATAAATCCTCTGTACAATAATGGATATATCTCTACTCGTGCTCTTGACTCTCTTTCTCTCTCTCTCGTCTCAGTTTTCTCTCTGGCAATTGGGCAAGTCTCGCTCCTCTTCTCTGCCCGTGACAGTAGATACCTTAGACGGCCCTCCCGCCCCGACGTCTGTCCTTGATATGCGCAGATCCAGGCGCAGGGTCGAAGCGTGGCGATGCGTGCGGATCCCGACGAACGCTGGGTATAATCTGATACTGCTCTGTTTTGATTGGGTTATTCAAAGGCAATAATACCAATATAAATAATAATGAAGTATTTGAGTTGTTGGCCGGGATGTTCCTGTCGCTTACCACCTTGGTATTATCTATACATTGCAATGCTGGTTGGGGGCCCAAAATTATTAATGTCTTTCTCTTATGAAGAAGAAGCAAAAGGAAAAAACAAAACTCTGCAGCCAGACTCCAGTATTCATCCTGCTTCCATCTTGCGTCAGGAACCCCAGACCCCGAAAACCAAAAACCTAAACGCTTTCTTCCGCTCTACGGCTCAGCGGCCTCCTTACTTAGCCCGTAGCAGTGCCATGGTACCGCAGTGGCAAAAGCGCAAGAAACCCCTCTTCTTACTCCTCCTCTTGTTCCTCCTCGCACAAAGAAATCGTTGCACGGAAAGTTAGGATACCTCAAGACCCTCTGTCCTACAGTATATACCGCCCGCCATACGTTGTCCCGACCTCCCCGTGACATCCTTTCCGGAGTCGTACCTAAATCCGTGTATCCCGCCAGGAAAAGGGGGGGAGATAAAGCGGTTTTACGGAACGTATAAATGTTCACGTCGATAGCAAACGATGATTATGATGATATGATGATATGATGATATGATGATATGATGATATGGATGATATGCCGAAGTTTAACCTCGGGAAACCCCTATCGGCCCCTTCTTTTCCTGATGACTGCATCTTTAATTCCCAGCTGCCGTACGGCGCAGGACCCTTGTGGCGCCTGTGGCTGGGTAGCTGCCTGTGGCTGCGTGCCTGCGCCTGCATGCGGCTGCGTGCCCATATACGACGGATAAGGGAGGTGTACAATTGCTTCTACAGAGTTGGGGGAAGAAGCTCAAGGTAGCCATCTAAGGTAGGCAGAAGCAGAATCACTGAGGCTTGACCGACGGATACCGACGCATCTCTTCTTCCTTTCATAATATTCCAACTCATTATACACCGTAATCATACACCGTGCCAAGTCTCCATTCAAGATTCGCACGAGAGTAACCTAGGGATAATTCCAAGACTGAAGCCTCCTTCGTAACACACACGTTGGTGTTTCGTTCCATCCCTCGAGTCTGTCGTGGGTAGAGATCAAACCAAGCAATGCCGATTATGACGGGACTCTCGCATATCGTATCATATGAGTGTTCCCACAACCCAAACCCATCTCTTCCTTACGCCCAAAACGCCAAGAGAGCAGTCCACCTCTCCATGCATACATTACAGATCGCAAGATCACCACGCAGCCGCATCCCTATCAAACCTCACCAGCTCCTTCCCGGCATCTTCCACATCCTTCTTCGCCTTCATGCGCATGTAGAAGATGGGGCAGTCCTTGCTGCTGCAGATAACCTCGCAATGCATACTGCCCTGACACCTTTGGCACTGTGTCCACAGTCTACCGAACCTGACTTCCAACTCGCTGACTTTGTTGAGCGTTTTCTGGTAGAGCTCGCCAATTCGCGGTGCGCAGTTTGAGCATACAGCCCCACCACTCTCCTCCTTGCCTACAAGAGGTTTCTTGCACCCCATACACGTATATGTCTTCTTGGCGAATTTCATCAGCCCTCCAATGGACGGGGCAGCGACGGATACAGTGCGTGTATGATCACCCGAGAGCAGCGAGTTAGCCTTGGTTTCGCCAAGGATAGGCTCGAAGATTCTACTGAGGGGTTTGGCAAGCTGGTTGTCTAGGTAGTATTTGGTGTCAATGGGGATGTTGTTTTCGAGCACGAAGATGGGATCTTCAGATCGCTCAAAGTTCCTCGACCCTGCTGCGCCCTTAATGATGACATAGGCGACACGATCTCCGAGTGTTGGGGCAGAGCCTGCGTCTCTTTTCTTCATGCGCTTGGCGAGTTCCACGTGAGCTTGCGTCGCGGTGTATTCCTCCTTCGCCAGAGCCTTTGTGATAACGAGCTTCGACATATCGATCTTATTTTGAAGGAGATCTGAGATGGTATCCTTGACGTAGCTGTACAGGGTTAGCGATTGCTTGCAGAGGCGGTGGGACAACTCACTCTTGGGCGCCTTGTACGTCTCGGTCAATCAAGATCATCCTTAGCACCGTCTCGATGACAGTCTGAACCAACCGACAGTTATCTCTCCGGACGGTTTCAATACCTTTGGTATCCATCTTGTCATACTTGTCCGGGTTGGTCCAGTAGAGCCCAGCATATCGCTTTTTGTTGATCAGCAGATAGGGGAAATAAACCTTTTCGAACTCCAGCTTAATGGGTTTGAGAAATTTAGAAGACACATATTGTGCTGCTTCCTCGCCCAGCTTCATTGCATCCGCTAACTCTGTCACACCAAACTTAACCATGACTGAATCGGTATCACCATAGATGACTTGAGCATCGTGGGAGTAGCCATTGGCAATTGTGTACTTCGCTTCCACTTCTGCCTTTGTCTTCTCGATCATCTGACGTCCGTAACTAGTAGTACTACTTGCGATTTCAAGACATGGCAGTTTGCCAACGGTTGCACCCGTGAGACCGTAAACACTGTTGGCGCTGACCTTCAAAGCCAGCTGTCGACCGTTCAGCACTGCTTTCTTGAAAGGGTCGGTCTCAATTGCAAGTTCTCGTTTCGCTTGTTTCCTGGCAGTTAACAATTCCTCGAGAATTTGAGTAAGGAGACCCTTCCGGCGTTTTGTCGTGACGAACGTATCACCATTTGGGGTTACGATATAATCTTCGTCTTTCTTTAAGCCCAGCTTCTCAATAGCTGCCTTTTTCACCAGGGTTGTGTAGCAGAGATTGTGGGCCTGAATAATACTAGGGTATAGAGAGGCAAAATCAAGAGTCGCGATCGGGACGTCATAATAACCTCTGGTTGGCTCAATAACTGTGGCGCCTTCATACTGTTCATCTGAGTTTCCTTCTGACCTCAGATTAGGTATGACCAACTTTTGTTCCAACGCTTTTCTGAACAGCTGACTGACGAATTTGACCTGTTGACCCCGGGCCAGGAGGAAGTTGAAGGGTACACCCGTGACCCTAGCCATTTCCGTGTAGTTCTCCAGGCACGAAAGCTTGTCCATCAAGCGTTGAGGTAAATAGGCATCTTTGAGACAGTAAACCGCCAGCCTTCGGCGTGATTCTGGTGTTCCGTTGAACAACTCGGTGATCATGGTGTGGTGCACATCTTCCTTTTGTTCACCAAGAAAATGCGCGCAGACAGAATTGAGGGTGTAACTTCGCAGTTGATGATCTCGTTGGACCAGCTGTAAGAGGTCCAGTTGCAGTCGGCCATTCGTATTGGTGGCTTTGGTATCACGGTTGCCCATCTGCTTGCTGGAGAAATTCGTCTCCTTTGCCACAGACCTCACACTCTTCAATCGAGTCCAGTGATCGAAATCTGCGACCTTCAGATGCTTCGCTCGGTCGAGAAGATACGGGAAATCGAAATTGCAAATATTGTAGCCGATGATGAGATCAGGATCCACTTCTTCGAGGAAATCGCGCCACTTGCTTAACATCTGCTCTTCACGTTCGAATTCGAATATTTGAGTATTGACAATCGTACTCGTCTTATCAAGACAGAATACATTCCGCACAAATGGTTTCTTCTCCCCATAACGAGTAACGATATTTGCGATCTGAATCACGGGATCTTGATTTGCTTCTGGGAAGACGCCCTTGCGGCCGGCGCACTCAATATCGAAGGAGAGAATCCGTAGAGGCGCCATCTTTGCCCATTCTCCCTTTGGTTCGTGTGCTATCAGATCTCGATATGTGACTTCCGCTTCTATCTGGCAGTTTGAGTGTCGCATGTGTCCCGCGATGAGTTTGTATGATTTTGCTGGTACTTCCACCCAAGACATGCCGAAGACCTAGATCCAGTTAGCCCTTCCCCAAGCATCCGGATGGTTGAACTAATCTGACCTTGCAATCCACCATAAATCTCAAGACGTATTGGATCGAGTCAAATGTCAAGATCCCATCGGCCCCTTTCCACATCCCCTTCCAGTTGGCCTCACCATTTTCGATCTTTGAGCGGACCTTACTGATGTATTTGGGGTCGGTCACTGTGATCTTTAGATATGGGTTCTGCTGATTGCCTTGAAAGCCATATAAGTTCTCCCGCATGACCATCTGTACCATATGTATTGTCGGTTGGTATTGTCCTAATTGGGCTTCGAGGTAGGTCTTGAACCCCTCACAATCGTGGGGGGTGAACGAAACAGGCGCAGCAACATATAAATAATGGAGAAAATCAGTGACATGAAGCATCACAGAGTGCCCGGTCTGCAAGAGGTTAGTTAGGGTGATAGTATTGGAGACTGGACGGACTGGCCTCCGTGACACCAAAAAGCTTCACTGTAGCTTTTCCATTGAGAGTGCCCTCTTCGGCTTCAATCTGTTGAAATACAAGGCCATCTGTCTCAGGATTAAAGTCTCCCAAGCTCGGCCGTGCCCACTGCTGGTCCTTCTCCGAATTATTCTCCTTCAAACCCTCCATATCTTGGGTCATCTTCTCCAGCACCTCTGATTCGAAGTGACTGGGCTGACTCGGTACCAGCCTTCCGTCTGGTCCATTCTGAGAGCTCTTGAATCTGGGCGCTTGGGACGAAGTCAAGGGTTCGAGCTTGCGTTTTTTGGCGGATGCGGGACTAGAGGGGATGTTGCGGCGGGTGTTTGTCGATTCCCCGAGGATCCGTTTCTGTGGAAGCCGTGCAGTGGCCATGATGAACAATACGGGGGAGATATCACAGGCCACGCGGCTGGGTTCATGGAGAGGAGGTGGAAGTTGAACAGTCAAGGCTTCATGAGAGGGGGAGACTTAATGGATTCGCGTCACGTAGATAGGTAGGTTCGCGTACGCGACGTGATGATGCGTGGCGAAGAGACAGGGAAGGAAATCATGTGATATTATGTAAGCAAGTAACTGGGAAGTGATCTTTATAGAGTTTTCAGCCGCATCTTTTCTCACCAGCAGATCACAGACGCTGTTATTCTCCTACCTACTTTGCCTAGGTATCGACTGTATTTGTTGTTTCCATATACTTACTTACCTGTACAAAGGTACCTAAAAGACATGATTCTTGACGCCTTGATGCCTGATATTATATGCTCTGCCTCCGCATAGCTCTGTCATGCTGCCTCGGGCAATCAAGTGCATGCGGCATATTAATGTCTGAGGCATGAAACATTTGTACGGATCTTCGACTCGCTCACCATCTGCCTGTATGATTGATGAAGTACATAGCAACGTACTTACATTTATCGCATGCGATCGCTCCATCTTCCCGTCTCCATGAGCTCAACTCCAAAAGCACACGCACCCGGATGCAACCGTCAATGATCTCATAGAGGGTCAGATGATCTGATGGTTTAGTGATCCGAATCCGATTGATCCAGCGTCCAGCGCCCAAGTCCAGAACGCCAAAGGGCCATGAGACAAAGCCGGAGATAGCTCCGTGGCGACTCCACCTGACGTCCAGCAGCGCAGCAGCGGTCACGACTTTGAAGGCGACGGTTCTTGCGGTCTTGGCCCTAATAGTAATCCGGTAATAATATACTGCAGCATTAAATTACCCACGGCGAATTTTGACCAGCGCGGGTCGAGGCCGATTCCGAGCTTTCCGTTCCAAGCCTCGCAAGGGAACGCGCCCATGAATATTGTTTCCACCACGCGACGCGCCAAGGCTGGTCACGGATCCGCCTGCTGCCCAGAGAGGCTTAGGCGGGCAGCGTCGGGTGGTAAATCATGAGCAAATCACTGCGAGAGCCTCAGACCCAGGCACTGCCAACCCAGGGTCACTCTTGGGTAATTCATGGGTATGGGGCTCTGGTCACGTAGGTGCCGCCGCCGCCGACGACCATCGACAGCTTCTGCCGGGCTTATGCTTTTTGAGTCTAGGGACAAGCTTCAGGAGGGCCAGGAGGGTCGGGAAGGCCAGCAAAACCCCAAGGCCAAAGGCCCAAAATCCAATGAGATGCCAGGGAGAACGGGCACACTACCATGGACAAGCTTTTATGGAGGGCGGAATCACACATTATGGTATGGTCACGGCGTCACCCTGCTCCTACGAGACCAAGTTAACCTCTTCCAGCAATTGGCTTCTTGCGCTTTCCGTGTTTCCCTTCTGCAGGCTCATCATTGATTGTATTACATCAGCGAAAAGAGCTCTTTGGTCCCTCGTCGAACCTTCTAAGTCTTCTAACTTCTAAGTCTTCCAAGTCTTCTGCTCCGTAAGTCCTCTCGGCCAGATCCTTATGTCTGCGTGCTTTTCCACGTCCATCTCTGTCTCCAATTCCACTCCCGATCACATCCCGTCGGTCTCCTTTTCCTCAGCCATATAAGGATCCCGCGCGCTCTTATTCTCCCCCTTTTCTCACGCGCGCCGTCTCTCTCCGCAAGCCAAGCCGAAGAACCTCTTCGCGTTCCCCCAGTCCCAGGTCCGTGTGTGTGCAGCCGCAACCATGTCCTACATCGATCCATCTGTCAGTCGGCGCGGGAAGCCCTCACTGCTGTCGAGAACTGTCACCTACATCCAGCTGATGTACTACCGTTACGAGGTCACCTTCTCGCCATATGTCATGTCGCACGGGGAGAAGATTGTCATGAACACCATTGTGGTCACCCTGCTGTCGCTCCTCCTGCTCGGCATTGTGTCCTATCTGCCCCAGCTGTTGACGAGAGCTTCTCTGAGGCTCTTCTGGCTTTACACGGGTGCCGACGATCAGCTGCTGGTGGGCAGTATCCCCTCGACGGGGAGAGAGATGGGGCCGGAGTTTGGTCATTGACGGTAATTATTCTTGTTCTTTCTCTCGTTCCAGCCCCCTAACTCGCTCAACTTGACGATCGCCTCGAAAGCTCCGACCCCATGAAAATAATAACTCGGCATTCACACCCACGCCTAACATCACCTCCCGGGACCTCGATCGCTCACTGTCGCGGTCCTCGAGAGCAAAGTTCATTTCTGCCATGGTCGCCGAACTCGAGCTGATGTTATTTCCAGTAGTACTCCGCTGCCTTGTATGCCTCTACGATCCCGAGCTGTCCCAAGAAACCAATCCTCAATCCGATCGACAATCTCTTCGCCTTTGTTACCATCCGAATCACACCGTATCTCTTCCAGGCCGTTATCAGCCTGCTATGGCGGGTCCTAGGAGTTTGTATTGGATTTTTCTGGATGAAAATCCGGTCGCAGGATCAGACCGTTGTGGTTTACTACCGGGTGAGAGGATGCTGGGCCAGGCCTCTCTCAACAGAGGCAAGATGAGATACATTCAATACTGGGAAAGCCCCAGCCGCTGGTTCGAGGCACATTATCAAATATTTTTCTTATCTCGCATTCTCGGATTGATGGCATACTGAGCGCAGGGCAGCTGGATGAGATGTCGGAATTGATGGGCTGGCTTCAGTCCGCGTGGGGGGCTGTGCATTCATGATTCATGATCATGGTATATGATAAATGGGTTTTCATTGTGTAGGTTTACGTATTCGTGGCGTTACTGAAGGGCAGGATACGGCTGGTTGCATAGGTGCATGTGGAAATTGGGGGAGTAATAGTACTGGTTAATAGTAATGGAGGAATGAATACACTTTGAAACTACAATTCGAAGCTCTCTTCTCGCAGTTACCTCGCCACGCGGGATCTCGAAGACTTGAAGCCACATCGTGAAGAAGATGCCTCGCGAATCAATCATGCCAGTCGCTGGGCATGGATATACGTGATAGGGCGTCGTAAGAACATACGCAACCATAACCGTCAACTCACTCATGACAGGCTGTGTACAGTAGTCATGTGGTCAGTGGTCCTGTAGCAAGCCGCAATAAATATCTACTCAGCCTTCGATAATTACGTTATCCTCTCCCTTCCAATAATTTATCGACTCTTCAAAGCTTCGAATCGTACCGGCGATCTTTGTCTCTCTACTTTTCTTCTTTTCTTTTTTCTTTCCCCCACCTTACTAAGGTACCTATGTATCGAATACTTCTTGACGCGGGAGCATCCAGATCTCCATGACCATAAATAGACAACTTCTCCAGCAAATCCAGGAACAGACGCGGCTCGCGTTGCTAGCGCCCCCCTGAAACTGCGGTCCAAGGCGCTGGTGACTGGGCACTGGGCAGACGTGCATCTTCAACCGAGGCCGCCAGCAAACGGGGCAGTGCTTATAGAACTTCACGCTTCACGCTTCACGCTTCATGCACCACGCTTCGCTCATTATCACGATACTCACCATAACGACGCCTTCATCTCGAGGGCATTCACGATCATTCCTCTCCAGGCGTTGCCATCCATATCAATAGCGATTCGAACGTCCATCCCAGTTGGTCCCTCTCCTGTTTCAAACCGGCAGCGTTGCATCCCGCAAAACCTGCCCCGGAACACGCCTTGAGCGTGGACAACAGCATATCAACATGTCTGCGAACGACTACTATAATCCCTCGGCGCAGTATCATGAACCCCAACCATATTACCCAGACTACAACCAACAACACCCGCCCCTCACATCCCTCCCTTCCTACCACTCACAAGCCCCCTCTATCAGACCACCCGGCGCACCCTCGCCGGTCTCTCCCCTCGATGCGGCGGCCGACAACTATGTCTATCCTATGCGCGGCGGGAGTGGGTATAGGATGGATAGCCAGACTACTCTGGGAGCGGATTCGAGATACTATGGACAGGGGGGCGGTGGCCGAGCACAAGACTCCCAGAGTTCTTTCCGAGACGATATCCCGTTGCGAGACCATCCGGGGATGCCAACGAAGGATGACGACCCGACTGATCATGTCTACGATGCCCCGGCTAATATGATGATGCAAGGAGAGAGGCCGAACCGTGGGGGTAGGACTGGGTTCTTCAAGAAGCCGCTGCGCAAGATTCCATGGGTTGTCTATACATTAACGCTCATTCAAGTTGCTGTGTTCATCGCAGAGATTGTAAAGAATGGTATGTGTGGAGGTAAGTAAGTCTGGAGGGATCATGCTAACTTGAACAGGTGTCCTGACAAAATCTCCCATTGAAATCCATCCCTCCTTCAACCCCATGATCGGCCCTTCACCATGGGTTCTCATAAACATGGGAGCTCGATACGTCCCCTGTATGCGCAATGTCAATGGGATTCAAAGTAGCACCGAAGTGATTGAATGGGGTTGCCCCAACACAACCAGCCTCACCACTCAAGTCTGTTCACTGGGCGAGCTCTGCGGGTTCAGCAGCTTCCAGAAACCCTTCCCAGAACCTTTATACAACGGGGATATCAATCAGAAACCAGAACCAAACCAGTGGTTCCGTTTCATCGTCCCCATGTTTCTCCACGCCGGAATAATTCACATCGGCTTCAACATGCTTCTCCAACTGACCATGGCCCGCGAGATGGAAATCTCCATCGGGCCTATCCGTTTTTTCCTCGTTTACATATGCAGTGGCATCTTCGGCTTTGTCTTGGGTGGGAATTTTGCAGCTTCAGGTATCGCCTCCACTGGTGCTTCCGGTTCGCTCTTCGGAATCATCGCTCTTACTTTGCTCGACCTGCTTTATACCTGGTCCGAGCGCCGTAATCCGTGGAGGGAGTTGGCGTTCATCGTTCTTGATGTTGTGATCTCCTTTGTCCTGGGCCTATTGCCTGGTCTGGACAATTTCTCCCACATAGGCGGTTTCCTAATGGGTATTGTACTCGGAACCTGCATCCTACATTCACCCAATGCCCTCCGAAGGCGGACCAATCAGGATGAGCCGCCTTATACGCCAGTATCAAGCTTCGGCGCCCGATCAAATGAGGGCATAGCAGGCTTCGTCAAAGCTCCTCTGGGGTTCTTCCAGGGGCGAAAACCACTATGGTGGGCGTGGTGGCTTGTTCGGGCGGCGGCTCTCGTGGCGGTGTTGGTCGTTTTCATTCTGTTGTTAAAAAACTTCTATACCTACAGGAAGACCTGTAGTTGGTGCAAATATCTGAGTTGCATTGTGAGTACTGCCCTCCCTTGATTTCCTCTGGATAATAGCAGATCTAATTTTCGGGACTAGAATGTCAACAATTGGTGCGATATTGGAAATATCCAACTCACAAGCACTAATACGACGAATAAGAGAAGTGTCCTTGATAGCTGGGATGCGATGGCCAAGCTGTTGGAGAGTTGATTTCGATGTGTCGGCGGCTGGGCGGATGGATTAGAGAGAAATGGGTTAGGAAAATCACTTGATTGGCATGGATCGGAGGCTGGTTACGGCCGACAAAAACTGGCTGCTTGATTTGGGAGGGCATTTGCATAGCGACGGCGTTGAATCAATATACCTGAATGATTATCTTGCGGTAGATGGACTCGAAAAGAGAGCCAGGCAAGAAGAAAAATAAGAAAGAGAGGCATAGGTCCAGGAAAATCTCGATAGACGATAGTTCGATAATGTAATATTATTGCGCGATCGACCTAGATGCTTAATGAACTTGATGGTGCTCAGATGCGTATGGGAATTATATCGATAGGACTTGAAATTTCTCAAGCCTTCGCATCTATCAACACTACAGAAACTGAAACATAGATTCATGATTATCAAAGCTCTGCATCGTGTGGATATCCTATTTCGTCTCTTCGAGTTCCTACCTCGAAGTTCTTAAAATGGATGCTTTTATAACCCCACGACTCTTGGCGCCCCTCAACCCCTTTCCGGATCGCGCAGCCTTGCCGACAGCCTCGCGCTAATAATGAATTTCAATTTCTCGAACCTCACTCCTCACCAACAACAAGAAGTCGAATTGCTCGGCCGCGCTCCCAGCAGGAAGATCATACGCAGAGAGATATAAAGTCTGGACATGGGTCGGAAGTCAGGTGGGAAAGAGAAGAGGAAGAAGGGGGAGGGGGAGGAGGAGGATGAGTTTGTGTTTGAGGATGTGAAATTCCAGATGCTGTTTAAGAAGCATTTACAGCTGCTGGAGGCGCATGTTGAGATGTACGTCCCGTCCTCCAATTTTTTTTTTCTTTTGTTTTGATTTTTGTTCGAAGGGGAGATTGAGAAAGTAACTGACGTGCTGGAGGAGCATAGCTTGGACCGCATGATGCAGGCCATGGCCAATGAAATGAATAAAATGGACTCCTCGGCCAGGAAACAACTCGAGTTGAACCCGACTGGCAGATGGCGCGTCCTCTGCGGGATGCGGGAGCGCGCCCGCGACACGCTGGGGTCGGCGCGGTGGGCGAATGAGGGGATCATGAAGAGAGTGCGCAAGGAGGGGAGCAAGAGTGATGGTGATAGTGATGATGCATCTGGAGAAGAGGAGACGACCAACAAGGACCCGGTATCCAAGCGGCCAAACTGTGCGAGACATAAGGATAAGGCTACAGATGGCAAGAGCAAGAAGTCTAGGAGGGAATCCGAAACCCATGTGCTGGAAGTGAAACCCCCGACAACAGTGGATTTCGCAGCCATGCAAGCACAACTACACGCCGAGGTCGAGGCCGCGCTAAGAGCCAAAGAGGAGCAGCAGAAAAGCCTGGGTGGGAATGGCGAGAACACTCAGTTGGTGAGGAAGGAAAAGAAGAGGAAGAGGAATAGGAATAGTGATGGGACTCAGACGGTCATCATGTCTCCTAAGAAGCAGAAGATGCTGGAGGCGAAGCCTGCTGAAAGTGATGTTGCTGGGGGCAAGAAGGATAGGAAGAGGAAGGCGGATGAGCTTCTTGATAGGGGGAAGACTAAGAAGCTGAAGGCTGGAGCTTAGGCTTCAGGTTTGCTCTTGCAATGGTGTGTATATGTATGCGTGCAGCATCTACATCGTAGGTGTGTATTATAATGGTTAGATTGGAATGGCCGGTGTTCAAAATGAGATTCTAGAGGTGGGAATGGTTATGTTAACAAAAGTTGAAACTTTGCATTACCCATATGAGCGAGCATGCATGCCCTCTCCGCTTCAATTAATTGATCGCGATGCGATCAAATACTGCGCATGGTGAATGCGATGTGCAACTGATATGTACTTGCTGTATGTCTCGAGGACGAGAAAAGGGGCCGCCTAGCCACCCAACTAACTTACCTTAGGTAAAGGTATTATACATGAGCAACAGGTCTCTGGACGGCCACATTTGTGATATATTCGAGTGGAATAGGAGTATGAAGATGAGTGTTTTCCTCTGTCCAATTTCTTTAGACGACCCAGATATCCTATTACCCAGACCATTCTATCGTACATACTATAGGCTTTTGTTCATGTGTTTTTGTACAAGGCCCCTGATACCCTTAGAACTCCTAAATATGCGTACAGCTCTACCCACCAGATTGCCGTGCCTTGGTTCCATGCCACGGATCACCTGGGTCCGCGAAGAGCCAATCGATCCCCGCAAGGATTCCCCTTATATATGTATATTCCCAGATCTCCCCCTCCCTCATTATCATATCCTCCAGCTACGCCCGCCACTATTTGCTCCCCTGCTCCTTTCTCGATTGATCCTCGCTATCCGCAGCCTGGTCCGTCTTCTTCCCGCCCCAATTCCACACCTCCCAAATCTGCTCCATGATCAAGTCACCATACCCCTTCCCCTCCTCCAACGCCTCCTTCTCCCTCTGATCCCTCTTCTGCTTCCAGTCGTCTCCCTCCTGGCCATACCAAACCCTCTCCAAAATCCCTCTCTCCTTCTTCCCCTTTCCCTCTCCCTCCCTCCTCCTCTCCACCTCCTCCAAGATCTTCGACCCCGCCTCCACCTCTTGGGCCCTCACCGACACCCCCAGCCGCGCAGCATCCCGCACCTCCCGCTCGCGCCGCAGGCGCTCCTGCATCTCCTGTGCTTTGGGCGGGAGCTCCGTGCTCGAGAAGGCCGCCAGGCGCTCGCCCCATCGTGTCGCGAAGCTGCGCCCCGAGTACTCGTACGTGAGCTGGTTGGCGCTGACGAGCGTCCCCGTCAGCAGCGCGATCGTGTAGATATCGAACTTGCGCGGCGGGATCAGGATCAGGATCGGGCAGGCGATGAGGGCGGCGACGGACATGTTGTGGATGAGCTTGGCTTGGTCGATGGAGGAGGAGTTGGTGGTGGTCGTGGAGGGTGAGGGAGCTTGGGGCGTGCTGGTCGACATTTTTGATGTGTGGTAGTTGTTGGATGGGTGATGGGGATAGATGGTAAGGTAGGTAATTATTAATTGATTGCTGGATAGGAGATGAGAGTCTACCAGCAACTCATAGGATGTTGTATAATGCGATAAAGGATGTCAATTATTCGTTACCCGTTAAACCCATCCGTCGTCGTTACATGCTCGACTCCCTAGAAAAAAATATCGCGGATGTCTAAAACTCCGCTCCGCTCCGAGGTTGTACCCCCGGCGCCCATTTTCCCTTACCCCTCTTAAGTAGCGAGATAAGCACATTTTTCTCAACATCAACAGCCGCGTCGAGTTGCCAGAGTGGTTAATGGGTATGACTCGAACTTCCCAGCTTCTGGGATTATTAGACATCATATGACTTCGGTCGCGTAGGTTCAAATCCTGCACTCGACGATCAGATCTTCATTTTTGTTTTATTTTTTTGTTTTTGTTGTTCCTGTGAAGAGTTGCGGTCAAACTTTTGCGGTCGGCAGGTACAGAATTTTGGGGTTACGGGGGTTGAGCGAAGAGGGGGTCTAGTTTGAATTTCTATTTTCATCTCCAGACTCCATCTCAAAAGACAAACATATTGTTACAACTTCAAAGCCCTGCAGCTTCCATTCAATTTATTTCGTTTCGTTTCTTTTCTTTTTGATACATGGTTCTTAAGGGAACCAGGCGTGAGTACGCTTGGACACGAGTACGATAGCAAGGTCAGTTCGGGCTTATACACATGAACGGCGTTGAATATTGAGAACGACTTATCCTCTCTGAAATTCTTCAAGTCTAGGACAGAAATGCATATTACAGTAAAAAAGGAGTCGCATCAGATGGGATGACCGGCTTTCTGATGAGACCAAGAAGAGTGGTTCAGATAGTGTCTGCCACTGCTTCAATTGTCTGCGTGGGTACTGGTTGGGTCTGTGAAAATTGCCTAGGCAGTGCTTAATTATTCTCTAATGGAAGAAGGAGTAGGAAAGGTGGTGACTTCGGCCTCTCCTATCATCCATGAAATACCCAACTCCACAGTTCGAATCTCTCAACTATACAATGTGCAAGTTCCTCGAAGAATCAAAAGATATCTCCCCACTTCCCAATTGCAGTCGAGTTTATCCACAGAATTTATTCAACTCCTTCTCAGTCCATTCCCATAACTCTACCGCCAGATCCCTATCCATCGAAGCTTTAGGCCCCTTCCCCGCAACTCCAATCGGATCATAGTATATTCCACTCAACACCTCCTTTCTCGGTGCCGTAGCAGCCCACATGGAATTTCTAGCCCCTTCCTCCGGAGTCAGCAATTCGTGTCCCAATTTTCGGTACACTGCCCTGGAGATGGAATTTGTCAGGCGCATGATCGTATCAGACCTCAAGTACTTCTTCTGTAAGCGGCACATGATGTCCGTGTCCACAATCCCCGGATGCAGAGGAATTATCTTGATGGTCCGGTATCTCCTGGCCAGCTCTCTGGCATATAGAATATTTGCCAACTTGCTTTGACCGTAGCGCTCTTTAGAGGTGAGTTGAGGTTGCGTGGTTTGGAGGTCGTCGATAATGATTCCACCCTCGGGCGCCCAATTCCACCTGCACGTGCTGAGGACCATGATCCGAACATCGTGTGGCCACTTTGGGACCGTTTTGAGAAGGGTGGGCATGAGAAGCTTGATCAAGAGGGCGTGGCCGAGATGGTTGATGCCGAAGTGGATTTCGTAGCCGTCCTGGGTCAAGCCTTGGGGAACTAAGCAGACCGCGGCATTGCAAAATAGGAGATCAAGACGCGGAGAGATGAGGTTGAATGTGTTTGCTGCTCTTTGGATCGAAGCGAAAGAGGAGAGATCGCACGATATGAAGGTGATCTGGGGGTTTGGTGTTTTGCTTCTGATGTCCTCCATTGCAGCCATCCCCGAGTTCTCATTGCGAGAGAGTATGAAGATGTGTTTTGCATTGCTCTTCGCAAGAGCGTGACAAGTTGCCTTTCCAATACCGCTGGCCCCTAGATCTTGTTAGAGCATACAGCGTGGAATAGGTGGTGAATACAAACCTCCGGTTACAATGGCGACCCTTCCCGACAAATCAGGAATTTCACTATCATTGCTGAATGAGTCTGACTGGCTAGTCGCCATGCTCATGTTGATATCACAAAGTGAAGTCGAATATCAAGAGAGGATGCTCAATAAAAGTACAAATCACAAAGAGTAATGGGGGGGTACGAGGTTGCGTTTCATATGACAAACGCAAGTTGGCAAGAGAAGGAGCGAGTAAAGGGTTGTCACATGAACCCTATTTCAAAACAAAGGTTATCATAACATTTGATTAGTCGTCAAGTTTCGAGAATACTTTGTTGGTGACAGCTCTTCGCCTACAGACGTGCAATTATCGATTGCATCCCACTTCGTTACATTTCTCGTACGAAAACCCATATAAACTGCCCCTGAAACTCAAGGTACCTTGATTATCGGAGGTTATAATGGAATCTTCAAGTTGCAAGTCTTTAAGAATCTGGATATAACGTACATATAAACACAAGACGAACAAGCTCGACAAGTAGCAACCACACGTAAGGGATCGTCCAGGTGTAGCTAGCAACAACCACTCCATTCTCCATCATCCTAGTCGATCCTTTATTTCTTGTCACGTACAACTTCCATTATGCGGAGCTGGTCATATTGGACACCTCCCTACATAGTAATTGGGCTAGAAAAATTCCAGCTGTTTTTAACATCCTTCATGATAAATCTCTCACCCTCAAGGAGCGCTCAAAGAAAACAGGATTGCAAATTATGAGATATTGAGAATGAAGACCTTTTTTAAAAGAAAAAAAGAAAAGGAAAAAGAAAAATCCATCAGCACTTCTTATATAAAGAAGGAACGCTTGCGTTGAAGAGTGAGAGGAGGTTTCTGTCAGGTGGGGGGTTCTGTTTAAGCCACCAATAATCCTGAGAACCTGAAAGGTTGAGGATCATTCTACCATTACATTTCGTAAGGGACTCCGTATCAAGAACTCAAGATTATCTACGTGCGACCTTAGACTTTATAAATGGTGCCGAAGTAAACCTTCTCTCATAATTCTCCTAGAATAAGACTATACTGGCCCTGTGAATCATCTCCTCAAGGACCAATTGTCGAAATCAAAATATAATAAGAATCATGAAGAGGCAGGTATTAGAACCGAGATATTTCATGCAGAACCCAGATTGACCATTCATTATTCCATTATTGCAAGGCATACGAGCATGCAATGCTCATCATAACGATTCCGCCAGCTGATATCATCAAACCCCTCAAAAAAGCCCCCCCTATCCTTGAATGCAAACACACAAATGCCCGCAACTATCTAAAGCTGAAGCTGCGGCAAGCCAAGTCCCAGCAGCTTGCCGGCATCATATTCCTACAAAGGCAAACCGACCCCATCATAATACGTATCGATCAATCACCCATGATATCCTCTTCCTCCTCGGCAGCTTCACCCTCGTCATCCTCAACGCTGACGGGTGGATCATCATCCAACAGCTCCCTCCTCCTGAGATCCTCAGCTGTCCCCTCCCCAGGTTCATCCGCAGCAAATGGATCTTCTTCTTCTTCTTCCTCTTCTTCTTCTGACTCTTCCACGTGCTCCTTGCTCTTCGCTTCTTTCTTCGCTGCCGAGGCCGCTTGTTCCGCTTTGCTCCTATGGCTCTTCTTTCCCTTCGCCTTACCCTCATCAAGATATGCAACAACCTCTTTGAAATTTGGGCCGAGTCTTGTGCGATTTCGTTCGATACGTGAGCGGAGCTTGCCTTTGGAGGGCCCAGACGCATCGATAACTTTGGCGAGGATAGCGAGGACGAGTTTGCCTGTCAGTTCGCAAAGCTGTTGTTCAGCTCTCAGGGTTTCAGCTTGACGTTCGCTGGCGGTGGCATCTTCTTCCTCATCGTCCTCAGATTCGGAGTCGAGATCCTGGGGGGCTTCGTCTTCTCCTGGCTCCGCGAGCTTCTTTTTCGATCTCTTGGCGAATTGCTTCTCTGCCAGGTCGAAGATGGACGTGAGCTCGTTTTGCACATCCGGAGGTATTTCTTTGATGAGCGTTTCAAGGTATTCGTTCTCGTCCGAGGCTTCCTTTGCTGATCCACCGTTCTTGGATTTGGGTTTCTTGGCAGGTCGCAAGGTTGCAAACAGCACGTGCAGGTCGAGGAGGGTGCCAGTGGCTAAGACACGAACTTGATCGAGCGTGGAGCGAGATGAGAGGGAAGCAACGAGGTTGGTTCTGAAAGTGTCCTGCCAGTCCCGCAGTTTATCGATATCAATATCTGGGATTTCAGTGCCGGAAGATATCGCCTCCGTCAATGATCGAACCTTCCACATGAAGTAAAACATAGACGAGCGGATTGCGGACAAGACAACCTCGTCCTCTAGATCAGTGCGCTCAGGGTCTTCTTCTTGGAACACCCCTCGAGCAACTATGTCGAGAAGAATGTCAATAGGCAAAGGATCATTCGTACCAGAGCCTGCCTCCAGAGGCTCTACACAGTTAGAGATGCTAGCCAGCTTGTCGAGTCTCGCGAGATTGTGAGATAAATCAGTGAGGACGGACACACTGAAAGTGCCACGAACTGAAATTTCGCCAGCTTTATTGATTCGCCGCAGGGTGTCTGTTGCATCTTCCCACAATGACTGCATCTTGTTTTCGGTAACCTCCTCAAGTTCCTCGTATTCTCGTGCATGTAATAAGGCAGCCCCGGCTTCGCTGAGCACAGCCCTATCTGCGTGACGTTTGAATTGTGCACTTATCTCATCAAGGAGCTGAGCATAACCGGTAGAGTCTTGTCGTAATTCCTCAAAGACCCCAAGATTGAGAACGTGCTCCAGCCGGAGCACAGCTGTTGCAGTTTTCGGGTTCGCTCCAAATTTCTTGAGTAGCTTTGGAAAGATGTCAGATAGACGGCGTGCAGTAGTTTCCTTCGCCTGCAGAAATTCAGCATTGAGTTGTTTCTGTTTACTTCTGTCCTTGCTTTTCTCGGAGCCATCAGCCTTAGTGAGGCTCGATTTGACCACAGCATGGAGAACCTCCAATAGAAGAACTTCCTCCTGTTCTGTGGGCTTGAAAGATTCCTTTAGCGCACGGTCAGTCTTACTGCCTTTGGTATTTGCAGAGTGATCAAACAGTAAGTAAGCCGCAAGCATCTCCCAATCTTTGAGCTCTGGCATCTTTTCGTAGAGAGCTTGCGCGGCGAGGGAGAATCTGGACTCAATGCCAGAGACGTCCAGAAAATTGTGATCGCCTGAAAAGTTGATCTGGCTGGGCATTTCGTCTTGATCCTCAGCATCATAGCTCGACAGAATCTCTGCAAGGGATTTGAGGACAATCCACCCTGCGCGGGGAGAATCCAAATCTTCATCATCATCCACTGTCAGCATCTCTCCGACCTCCTCTTTGCCGCCCAGCTCCTCCACCTTGCTATCATAAAGTTCGTAGACGCCCTCAACAAAGAATCCGACGACCGCTTTGCGAACTCTGGGCTCGGAATCGTAAATGAGTCTACCGATCATATCGATCTCATCGGGTTCAATCATGCCGGCTCCTCGAATCAAACCGACCAGCTCCACAGCAGAAGCGCGCACTCCGGGTTCAGAATCCCGGCATGCTATTTCCACCACCCGGGATCGGAATCGTTCAATGAAGTGATTCATTGAACCATGACTATCTTTGTTCTTCATGATCCTGATTAGCTGCTTCAGATCCTCTTGCCTCATAGGCGCATATGTATCGGAAAGCATCCATCCCATGTAACGCAGATATTGCCCATCGAGGAAAAGACTTGACATGGTCACCATCCAGTTTCCAAGCGCTTCCACGCATTCGATTCTGATCTTAGGGTCCACATCACGATATCTATGAACGTAGACGGTATCGAAGAAGTCCTTGATCTTTTCCTGAAGGAGGTCGGTCTTCTTTTCAGAGGCCGTAATCTTATTCTGGAAATCTGCTAGTCGGGCCTTGTTTTGTCGCTTGCTCTTCTTTTCGCTATTAAGCTGGCGTAGAATGGCTGCAGCGACATTGATTTCTTTCTGTGCCACTGCACACATCGAGGTCATGATCGTTAAAGCTATGAGAGTTGATGTATGTCGGAACGGCCGCGAAGTGGACGAGGTCATGGTAGCCACCCACAGATGGATGTTCTCTATCAGCGCCACGTCCTCATACATGACCCCTGATTCGGCCATTGCTTTGATCAGGGCCTCGAAGAAATCGACCAAGGCCTCCCGAAACGCATGGCTACTCTTTGCTTTGTGGATGAGAGGGTAGTCCGAGATATTTTGCTGCATGATATGATTAGCTCCGAATTTTATTTCGAGATTTCATTATGAGACTTACTGCTTGATACTCATCTTGTAAATCTCCCAGTTTACCTTCCACGTTATCCATATCATTGATGTCGTCTTCTGTAATTGGAATGTCGCAGCCCGCACTCTTCACCACTAAGCCAACCAATTCAGCCAATGCTGCTGCATTGTTATCCCCGTACTTCGTAAGCCACTGTGACGCGACATCCTCCGATGTTCCCCCACCCATAAACACCTCAGCTGTTGCAGAAATCAGCAATGTCCTTGAACTCCTAATCTAACGCGCTTACCGTAGAGACCCTCCGCGTCCTTGTCCGCGATTGCAACCTTCTTTGCTTTCTTTGGCCGGTTTGGCAGCCTAATAGCTGGAGCTGTCTCGTTCAGCCCATTTCCATTAACTTTCGCCTTCTTCACAGCAGGTTTCTTCGTCGGCTTCTTCGCCCTCTTGCGAGCTTCCTTTAATTCCTCCTCTGCGGCACTCTCAACAGAGCTTTCCTCACTAGACTCATCTTCTTCGACATCTGACGCGTCATTTTCGACATCTTCATCCCCTCTCTTCCGCTTCGAACTCGCGAGGCTGTGCTGTGAGGATGGCGCATCCGGGACGAACTTTTCAGGGACCTTCACGGCGCGTCCAGACCTGCGCCGACCGGCCGGCGCGACGGGAGAGCTTGTCGCGTCGTTGTTGGAGATATCCATGAGTGGCATTCTTCGAGAAGTCATTGATGCATTTGGTGCGACTCGGATTTCGATGTTAGTTCTGGAGTTCGATGTTCCAGTCGCGTTGTGACTGTCGTGTCGTGGTGGTAGTTGAGCGCGAATAATATAAGTGGAGTAGTGTCGCGACACTGGGGGTTGTCGAGTTAGGCTTAGTGGGGTGATTAGCGATAGAGCCCACAGCCTTGCCCAAGGTCATCGCCCTTGACCTTGAACATTTCTCTACAAACTTATGTCTTATTACTCTTCTCCCACTTCGCCTCTACATTACGTTAATCTGTAGCTGTCAATAATAATTCATTTGCAATATGGCCACTTCATTTCTGGAAACCCCATTCAGAGCTTCAGCTATTCCAACTAGCAAGGGATCAACTGCAGAAAGAAGGCCATTTACTTCTAGAAGATGTGCCTGAACATGTTGCGCTGCCATTAATCGAGGATTCGAATCTGATCCGGACATTGCTCTAGTAGGCAAATATGGGGATGGAATGTCCTAAGTAGACCACCATCATTGCCAATATTGGACAGGTCATACAGATGCAACTAGGAGGAAGGAACACTCATTGCCTTTGTGCCAAGATACCTATATCCTCGGTATTTCGATCTTGCGCCGACGTGCTGCCGAAGAGGTACAGGAAATGGATTTGTTACCTGTTTGACCGGTTCTCATGCGAGTATCAGCAAGTGTTGCGCTACCTGCCATCAAACGAGCGGTCCTGAGAGCTGTGAATGGTACATTGGTACTCAGAAAGAGAACATTTACCTGGAAAGAACAGGCCTGAAACCCTTCGCTTTGACACAGGAAGCAAATTGCAAGATAGCGGAGCAAACACCATCCTGAAGGTAGTTCCCAAAATATCAGAGGAGCCTCTAGGCTCTGCTGTCTATTCGTCCATTAATAGTAAGCGTGGGACTTTCTAGTTACTGACTCCAAACGTCCGCCGACATGGATTCCAGATACCTCGGTTTCAATCCCTTGATTCATCCTCTTGTCATCCTCACACCCTATTTGTCACTCGCCTTTGACACCCAATTGTCCAGAACAGAGGGGCTTTCTAGAGAGAATGCACGACTTCCAAGTTTGCAGATTCGAAATCCAAACTTTGAAATGGGAACAAATAAAACACGAGTCTGAAACGTGTGCGAAGACCTCGACTTGAAGATCAATTTCTCATGATGAGATCCTGTAATAGACCCCAGATTGTGTTTGTCTGGCTGGCACTGGTATGGCTATCTCAGGGAAGGCCATTCATTACTTTTGAGAGTGAGAAGAATGGGGTATTGCTTGTCGCTTCATCATACCCCGATCAGATACCTCTTTCTTGGATGACTAATGTTATGAGAACAGGGTCCTATTCAAACATCAGCCTCATCTTTCAAACCCACTTCGAACAATAGTAAATCCCGCAGCTGGTGAGATGAGTACAGAATAGCTCGGCTTAGACTGGCAGGAAAACATCGACAAGGTCAAAGCGTCAAAGCCGAAGCACCTCCCAAGCCCAAAACCGGAGAAGATAGAAGTTGTCGCATATCAACTACAGTATGTGAGAGTGGCCTCGGAACTTGGCTGGGTCTAACGGTCCGAAGATCGGGGTCTGTACTTGGTGTCGATACATGACAAATATCGTGACGAAACGTACCACTGTACTCCTACGATTGGTGACAGTAATCAAAAGGTTTTTGAACAGTAATGTACCTTTGTAAAAGTAAAGTTCAACAAAACGTACTTTCATCTCTAATGTCAGCCTTACTCAGAACTTCATGACTACCTAATATGCAACCCCGATAACTGTGAGTACCGGTAAGTCTGGACGTTGAATCCGGTAAGCCTCAGGCATCAATCCCTCCCTGCCCCTATGATGAAACTCCTGCAACAAAGTCTGCTACAAACCACCACCACCTGACCACCCCAACACCCACCCCTCACCCACGCTCCGCAAGCCGTACAACTTCAAGAATATCCTATCCGTATCTCTCCTCCTACCATACACCAATCTTACTCCTAGGACCGCGTACAGATGTCCATATTCTTTTCTTTTCTTTTCTCTCTGAACTGATCTGCGGCGGCTGTTGGCAAAGTCGGGAATGCAGAGCCGGACTGGACTGGTTCTTTTTTGATGGATGGATGGATGGATATTCTGAGATGAAACGGAAACAGAAACGGAAACAGAGGTGGGTAAGCGCTTAAGGAATGATTCAGGTTTTTTTGAGGGCAGAGAGGCGCCATTTATGGAGGTAGGAAGCTGTATTGGTAGGTAGGTAATGATATTATTGTATCTATCTATTCTGTTTGTATTGCTTTCAAGTCCTTATATTCTCTTGTAATGTAAGTGATGCCATGTTGAAGTTTGACTCCTCCCTCCCTTTCACCATTGCAATATGAATCGAGAACTCTCACGAGCCGGCAAGGCTAGGTTTGAAACATCGACAGCTTGGTAATGGCCCAGTGGCCTGCACCATAGCCCATTCTAAACGAAGCCTGGACTTGAATTCCTTGGCTAGGTACCTAGGTACGGAGTCATCGAAGTTCGTATCCCTTAGTTCTCGTTTGGGAACGAGCATGGCCAAAAACGTGACCTGTTTGACCTTGTGGTCCACCAACCACAATGCACGGGAGCATACCTTGCAGACTCGGTCGGTTCCAAATCCCATGTCCTGTTGGCCTTGATTGATCCTTCTTTGCGCTCATCCATGGATTACCCTCAAGCATAGCTATAATCCTTGACACGCCTCACTCAAATCTTTCTCCGCATTTGACATGGACGGGACTACTTCTCTCGGAACGAATTTCCTTCCGCATGCTCTCAAACAGTCCTGTCCAGTACAGCCTGTCAGCTGTAAGCATGATGGCGGCCGTCAGGAATTCCGTTCTGACAATTAACCGATCTGTTCGAGACAACACCATACCAAGTCCCGAATCCAATCAGACCATGTACCGGAGCAAATGTCTGCTTTCTCTTGAGGCCCGTTGCACTGCCTTGAGCGGCACTCCTTACTCCAGAGGGCCCCTGACATGTCCCAAGCCTCGATGCAATGCCGATGGTTTCTTGCCGACCATCCGTCTCGACGAGTACTCCCAAGCTCATGTATTAAAGCTCTCCAAAGTCCCGCTCTTTCTGCATCATCAGCGATCAACAGTTCCCACTTGACTACTTCCCTCCTATCATCTTCCTTTCCGGTTCTACAGCCGCCTGCGATTGATTCGTAGCCGCTTACCTTCTTTCTAATCCAATTCAAACCTCCGTTTCGACACAATCCCTACAAGCACCGATATGTTTGCCAAGATCTTCCTCTACGCTCTTGCCGCCTCCCCTCTGGTTGCCGCCCATGGCAAGATTGCTGTCATGGTATGTCTCTCCATCTTATCATTGCGAATCCTGCTAAGTCTCCCACAGACTGGCGATGCAGGTGGGAACACTACTGCTCTCGGCATCCTGGGCGGCGTCGTCCCTGGAGCCGGAAGCAATTCGAAGACAGAGGTCGACACCACGGTCTTCAACCAGAAGGCCGCAATGACCGATGGTCTGGGAAAGACGAAGGCTGGAGGAGCTAACACGCTCGCTGGCATGTCTGCTGTCATTGCCCAATCCGGCTCCACCTTACCTCAGGTCTCTCAAGGGGGATCCATTTCCGGGACCGTGCACATTGTCACCACTGATGGTGCCGGGTAAGTTTCCACCACCGTTCCAAGATGAGAAAGCAAGACGTTGATGATCTCTAGCCCATACACCGCCATCGTCGACCCCACGGGAACAGGCGCTTTCTCCCAAGGCACGCAAGCCACGGTCACGACGCAGGTCCCCGGGAAGAACGGGAACATCGCGGCACCGCAGCAACGCCGCTTCATCCCGCGCATGCTGGTCAAGGCGGGCATCATGAAGCGCGCGGCCAACGTCAACGAGGACCACCCGTTCGCGGCGACGATCCCGGCGGGGACGACCTGCACCGGGACCGTGGCCGGCCAGTCCAACGTCTGCCTCGTCAAGATCGTCAACCCGTCGGGCGCGGGGCCGTTTGGCGGCGTGATTGCTATCCAGATGGCGGGTGCTTCGGCGGGTGCTTCGAACGCCACGACATCTGCGGCGGCGGCGCCCGCGAAGGCAGCGACCAAGGCCGGCAAGGCGTCCAAGCCGGTGGGCGTCAGGTTCCGTGCTTGAGCCGGAAGGGGGGGGGATGAAGGGTCGGAGAACAGGGGAAGGAAGATGGCGAGAGGGTCTTGGTTCGGGCGGAGGAGGACAGGGCTGGATCCTGTGGGAACGGACTTTATTTCTTAGTCGCTTGATCGCCGGGGGAGGCCTGTATGTATAGTGCATGATTCGATGCGGAGCATTCCTTCTCCTCTGGGGTCCCGGCTGCAGGCCAGGTGGGGGATCCCCGTGTAGACTCGGCAGCTTCTGTCCAGATGCTGCAACACATGAAGCTTTGATGCATAGCATGTCTAGAAAAGAAAAAACACGCCGGGTTTGTTATTTCTTGGTAGACAGACCTACTTCTTGATTTGATCTACGTATAGAAAAAGAAAAGTAAGAAAAGCAGAGGGCCCTTACTGGAGTACTTGATGTCTACGCACAGGAGTAGATGGATATCAAACGTTGTCGGGACGTTCCTCATCACATGATCGCGTAAACGTCGCGACCGGCGGACCCATGCACGGCCATCCGGGTCGTCACCAATGACACGGCTCGGCGATGGCGCGAGACAGGAACGCGCAGAAGAAGCGCTGGGGGCAACGTCATAATGACGAGAAAGCAGTTGCAGGGCAGGGTACCTTACATATGTCATGTCATGTCTCATGTATGGGCGCAGGTTGCCGGTAGGGCTGGGAAAGGCTTGTCTGGGGAAACCTGGTTCGAACGAGGCTGTGGGTGCTGGTAGGAGGGAACACGAGGCTGACTGATGAGGCGGATGGATGAGTGAGGGATGGAGGGTTGATGGTTGATGAAGTAAGCAAGTGGATATCAGAGGAGAGAGGAGAAAAGAAAAAGAAAAAAGAAAAGAAAAGAAAAGAAAAGAAAAAAGGGGGGTGGGGATATAAAAAAAGAGAAATTCTTTGCCTGTGTTTGGGTATGCGACACTTGGGACCGAAGGTAGGAACCACGACCACAGTTCATGTAAGGGAGGGAAGGAACGAAGGTAAAAGGAAGGAACGACACAAGAGACGGGCGCCTTCCTTGGGAACTCGACCCCGATCGGGCAAGGCGGGCCACGCGACGGACTCTGGGCCCTTCCCTTCTCGGTTATCGGTCTTTTCCAGTTTGCACTGACAACACTCGGGGACTCACACTTCTCGCCCTGGACCCAAATCACGAAATCGGGAGCGGGATGGCAACATCTTCCCCTCCCCACCGGCAAATCTTTCTCTTTCTCTCTCTTTTCTTTTCCTCTTTTTCCCGTTTCCCCCCTCCAATCGCATCTTCCGTCGTCTTCCGTCCTTTTCTGCCCCTCCCCTCCCGAGCTCACCGCCAATCGAGTCTTCTTTGGTGCAGTCTTTCCGTATCTTTTTTTACAGATCCTCTCCTCTCTCTCCTCCATCTCTTCTTCTCTCTTTCGCCTCTTCATCTCCATCTTCTTCTCCTTCATCTTCTCTCTCTCTCTGTCCTCATATCATCGTCTCTCTTCATCTCTTCATCTCCCAATCTCTCTCTCTCTCCCCCTTCTGTGATACTCATCTTCTTCCTTGACCACTCCCCACACTCATCAGGGCGAAGTCGTCCCTCTTTTCGCTGCTCACTCTCCGAAACACCACCACCACCACCATCATGGCTCCCGATCTGAATGCCCTCCCCCGTTCTTCGCGGGATGCCGTCTCTGCCCCCTCGGCCCCCTCTGCCACCTCCTCCACCCCCCGCAAGCCAAACATCCTCTACATCATGGCCGACCAGCTCGCCGCGCCCCTCCTCAAGATGCACAATCCCGCCTCCCAGATCAAAACCCCCAACCTCGACGCCCTCGCTGCCGATGCCGTCGTCTTCGATCAGGCCTACTGCCCCTCGCCCCTCTGCGCCCCCTCGCGCATGTCCATGGTGACGGGCCAGCTCCCCACCAAGATCGGCTCCTACGACAACGCCTGCAGCATCGACCCCAGCACCCCGACCTATGCCCACTACCTGCGCGCCGCCGGCTACGAGACCACCCTGGCCGGCAAGATGCACTTCATCGGCGAGCAGCTGCATGGCTACGAGAGCCGCCTGACCAGCGACATCTACCCGGGCGACTACGGCTGGGCCGTGAACTGGGAGGAGCCCGACAAGCGCTTGGAGTGGTACCACAACGCGAGCAGTATCGAGCAGGCCGGCCCCTGTGTGCGGAGCAACCAGCTGGACTACGATGAGGAGGTCATGTATAAGTATGCACCCTCTTACCCCCCCACCCGATCCGAGAGAGCGCGCGACTGACATGGGAGCAGGAGCAAGCAATTCCTCTACGACCACGTGCGGAAGGGTCCCAACGCTCGCCCCTTCTGCATGACCGTTTCCCTCACCCACCCCCACGACCCCTATACCATTGAGAAGAAGTACTGGGACATGTACGAGGACGTCGACATTGCCCTTCCCGAAGTCACCATCCCCAAGGAGGAGCAGGATGCGCACTCCAAGCGCCTGCTGAAGGTCTGTGATCTCTGGGACAAGGACTTCACCCCGGAGCAGATCAAGCGTGCGCGCCGTGCGTACTACGGGGCCGTCTCGTATGTGGACGACTGCATCGGCAAGCTCCTCCAGACCCTGAAAGATTGCCGGCTGGACAAGGATACGATCATCGTGTTCAGCGGGGACCACGGCGATATGCTGGGCGAGAGGGGTTTGTGGTACAAGATGTCATACTTCGAGGCCTCGGTGCGCGTGCCGCTGCTGGTCCACCACCCAGCGACCTTCAGACCGCACCGTGTCTCGGCGAACGTGTCGACCCTCGACATCCTGCCCACCCTTGTGGACCTGGTGCACGAGAAGCTCTGGCCGACCCTCCCCATGGATGGCAAGTCCCTCCTCCCCCACCTCGAGGAGCGGGAGGGCGGTTCGGATACCGTGTTCGCCGAGTACTGCGGGGAGGGCACCATCGCCCCTATGATGATGATCAAGCGGGGGCCGTGGAAGTACATCACGTGCCCTGCCGACCCCCCTCAACTCTACAACCTGGCCACCGACCCGCAAGAACGGGTCAACCTGGCCGCCCTCCCCGCGAAGCATCCCCTCTTCACGCCGGAGGTCAGCGAGACCCTCAAAGCCTTCACCGCGGAAGCAGAGCTGAAGTGGGACATGCAAGCCATCACCGACCAGGTCCTCCTCTCGCAACGCTCTCGCAGACTGGTCTGGGCTGCGCTCAAGAAGGGCAAGTTCACCAGCTGGGACTACAACCCGGACAATGACGGCCGGGAGAAGTACATCCGCTCCCACATCCCACTCGACGACCTTGAGCTGCGCGCTCGTTTCCCGCCGGTGGATGCCAAGGGCCGCGACCTGTTCCAGGGGCAGGGCGGGGCCGGCGCGGGCGGGATGGGAGGAGTGGTGGTGGAGCAGGCGGGGGCACATGGGCAGTAGGGTGCTTTCGTTCTCTGCTCCTGACGTCGCCTTTCGCTTCGAACACCCTCCCGTGACTATAAATTGACGCCCGATACGACTTTCCTTGGTGCGCCTCTTACGAGATTGATTTAGCGGGCGTTCACATTCGCTTTTCCGTGGCGTTTTGTCTGCGCTCCTGCGGTTATACCAGTCCGATGCGTTATCTTGTTTTCTGATTTTGGTTCTAAAGATGTAGGGTTGCCAAGAGATTGATGTGTCGGTCTAGAGCATGAGGTTTTCCTTGGGTTACATGATGAGACGAGTGAGATGAGATGAGCTCTTGCGAGACATGAGAAGAGTTAAAGCTGAAGATTGAAGACGGAAGGATCAGGATAATGGGATGGTCATGGTACATGTACATATGTATACATGTATATACTTGGATTAGAAAAAGCCAAAAACAATAGAAAACGATCTAAAACTACGTCGAGAGCTGCTTTGAAATGTGTCGTCGTAACCGTCATCTCACTTGGGGTAACATATATGTATGTGATTGTAGCCAGACCAGCTCGTTTAGACCAGCTCGTTTTCTCTATCCCATATCTTCTCATCTCTCCCCTCACATCCATCCCCTCGTACTATCTACTAGACTCCCCTTCCCTCCCTTATAAGCAGCTATAGCTTGAAGCGATGAATTATGAATTAGCTCTAGGCCGTGTAGATAGATGTGAGGGGACCATACATAGGAGAAGTGGGATTTCATTGATTTATTTCATTTATTGATTTATTTTCATTGAATTCTTTCATTCCAGTAACGACCGAAAACCCCTCCCTTCCCCCCTCCTCGCCCACTCCCCTCGCCCTCTCCCCCTTTTCTTTCCCCCTTCCAAACCCACCCCCTCCCCTTCAAAAATCCCTCATCCCCCCAAACCTCCCATTCCAATTTCCCTTCTCCCCACCCATACCCATACCTATCCCTCTCATCCCCCCAGCCCACGGGAAACCCCTCGACGCGCCCATCTCCGGGGCGAATTTCTGTTGCATGGGCGACGCAGGCGGGGATTCAGCGCGTGCCAGGCGGCGCGTGCGGCGTAGGTGGCGGATGGTTAGGTAGATGGGGAGGGCTAGGAGGAGGGTGGCTCCTAGTGGGAGGAGGGGTGGTTAGTGGTTAGTTGAGTGAGTGGGGTTTGGGGTTTTGGGAAAGGGGAAAAGGGGGGAAGGGGGAGAGGGGGGGACGAACCGAGAGTGATGGAGATTATTATTAGGATTGTGGTGGTGTGGGATTGAGGGGTGGGGGGTGGGGAGGTGAGATGCGTGGTGGAAGTGGATGTGGAACCGGAAGTGGAGGAGGGGGAGGAAGGGGCGAGGGCGAGGGCGCTGGCGGTGGTGATGGCTGTGCTGGCTGTGCTGCTGCTGCTTGGAGGTAGGGAGGCAAGGGCGGCGAGAGCGGCTTCGGTGGAGGCGGGGGGGAGGATGCTAGTGCTTGGATCTGCTGTGGTTGCTGAAATGCTGGTTTGGAGGGTTGTCGGGGCTGAAGGGAGGGGTGTCGTGATGGGTAGTGCGGAGGAGGTGGAAGTTGAGGTGGAGGAGGCGGATGAAGAAGTGGGATTTGGGAAAACGGAGCTACTGCTGCTTGTTGTGGCGGGGAGAGCGGGGAGAGCGGTGAGAGATGAGCTGGATGTGGAATGGGTGGTTGAGATAGTTGAGAAGGAGAGGGAGGAAGAGGAAATGGACGTCGCTGCTAGGAGAGTGGATGAGAGGGAGGAGGTAGATATTGCTTTGATCGACGCCACGGAGGTCGAGGTGGAGACTCGAATACTGGAGACTTGTGAACTGGTGAAGACACCAGCTGCCGATTGTGAGGATTCAGTAGTATGGACCTGGGTTTCCGTCGTAGGGGCAGAGGTAACACTAGAAGTAACCCCTGTAGACGATGTTGCTGATGGCTGTTTTCGTCAGAACCTGGCGCTCAAATTCCTTGGGTAACTCACCAAGATCGTGTTGAGATGTAAAAGAATATCAGATGTCCCGCTGGTCTCCGCTGTAGAGACAGCTGAGGGCAGCAAGATGGAATTCGTAGCAGATGTAACTCCAGCATCTGGCTTCGCTCCGTCGTCTGCGCTTCGTAGATCCCGTAAATTTATATCCGAACCTGATCCAGCCCTCTCAACCATCTCTGCACTGGCAGAGGCCAAAACATCCCTCCGGAAACGCATCTTGATTAAAAGTAGTAAAGTAATTATAAAGAGATGAGCCAGCTCAATCGAAGAACGAAGAAAACATTAAGCAAGAGACAGGAGACCGAACAGAATGAAGAGCAAACCCACGCAAGAGGACGAACCTACCGTCCATAAGAATCATGGCCGAAGGAGCCAACCCACGAAGCTAATGTAGCCACTTCATAGCATGAACCACGAGTCTGTTCCCGCCGCCCCCTCAGGGCGCTCCCCGGCCCTCGAGCATCCCGAGTGAGCGCCTAAGAAACAAATCCTCCCCCTTGAAGCAGTTCAAGTTCAGTGCGCTTACCTGCTTGTACTTGAGCAGCGTCTCACACATCAAACGGGTGAAACCGATAGTCATGTTGGAGTTGCTGTGCGCGCAGAAGCCCGGCGGAGGGAGATGTGACGTTGGAGAGGTTAGCGAGGATTTCTGCGACAGCAGTCGGTGCACTGTTTCGAAAGCCGTAACACGTCGCGAGTTCTCCAACGTGAGGGTGAAGAAATAGAAAATTCGTGTCGAGGGCTGATTGGAACTTGAGCTTGATGGGCGCTTAAGAGCGTTGGTGATGGAAGAGAACCTTCTGTCCTCCAACTTCAGTCTTGGGTGTATTCACGTGAAAGAGCCGCATAGGTGCATCTTATCTGTGCATGTCCCGCTGCCGCCCTGCGGTCTCATACAACCCAGAGTGCTGTGTACCGGAACGCTATGTCTTGTTGATGCCTTCTAAGACGAACCTTTGAACCTTGAGGCGAGATCCTGATGGGCGAGGCCGGAGGGAGGTCGGTGAGCCCGTTCACGAAAACTGCACGCTCATACTCTACCTACTAAAGCATCTCACGACTTAGCAATATCTTTGTCTTGCATACTGTTGTACCACTTGGTCTATGATATCCACTTCCTTGCCTGGAATAATTTCTCTCACCTTCTTCTTATTCGGCTGAGAGCAGAGGCTCAGACATGAGTCTTGGAGACAGAATCTTGCACAACCAAGAGCATCTTATACAGTATCAACTCTTTATAAACTCACCAATTCACATGCAATTTCTGCCAAACCGGGCGATAAAAGAGAAAGCCCAACGGACTCCGAGACATGACCCAGCGGACATCCGGGACCACGTGACGGAGGGTTGTTCCTGCCTTAAGACACAAGTCCGCCGGTCAAGCTTCCGTTATTTTTCTCGATTCGTGGGAGTTTTGTTTACTGTTCACAAGTTCGTGGCTCGTTTCATTGCAGCATTGTTCTGAGAATTCGGTATTAGAGAGTGAAGAGAGAGGTTTCAAGTGAGATATATCGGCAATGCGTTTCCTCTGCCTTCATGGGAAGGGCACCAGTGCGCGGATCTTCCAATCACAGACCGGTATTTGACCTCCATCCCGTCCCGCATCTCGATGTAAGGGGAGGGTGTGAAGATTAACAGACTTACAGCGGCATTTCGAAAACTTCTCCCAGAGACGTTTGAATTCGATTTCATCGATGGCCCCTTTCCAGACTCGGCCGCGGCGGGGATCGACCTCTTCTATCCGCCGCCGTATTATAAGTTGTATGAGCATTTCACGCTGGAGTCTATAAAGAAGGGTCATCAATGGCTTCTTGATTATGTCAAAGGTATGTATTTGTCTGTGTCTGTTCCTCAACAGGGGAAATGAGAATACGGGGGAGGAGGCTCCTGATCCTTTTCCCTGGGAAAACCCCTCTATTTCAACTCATTCATATCACTCATCCACCTTCTCATTCAAACACCCCCTTTTCCCAAGCAACCAGAAAAAGCCCGCTAACACGTCTCATCCAGAACACGGCCCCTACGACGGCGTCATGAACTTCTCCCAGGGCTGTAGTCTAGTCTCCTCACTCCTGCTGTACCAGCAAGCCCAGCAGCCGTCCCAGCCCCCACTGTTCAAAGTCGCCATCTTCATTTGTGGCGGTGTACCCCTCGACGTCGTCGAAGAGCTTGGCGTGAACGTCACGCAGGAGGCGCGCGACTGGGACTCGAGCTCGAAAGCGCAGCTAGAAGCGCGTGCCTCCTCGGCCGCGATCCTCAGAGAAGGCAGGGAGCGGTGGGGCGCCGGTTTCGACTCCCTCGACTCAGTTCCCTCCTCCTCATCCTCCGAAGCACCCACCACAGCTCCCACCAACATCTTCGGCATCGACTTTTCCCTCGTCAAGCCCGAGCTCCGCATCCGCATCCCGACGGTTCACGTCTACGGCGCGCGCGACCCGCGGTTCCCAGCCAGCGTGACACTAGCGCACTTTTGCGACTCGAGCATGCGTCGTACCTTCGACCACGGCGCCGGACACGAGATCCCGCGCGCGCGCCCCGTCTCCGAGCGCCTTGCAGAGTTGCTCGAGTGGGCGGCCATGATGGCTGATCGGTGGTGAACCAGGTTGGTCCGGAGAGGAGTGATATGGGGAATAGAATGGGGGTTTTCGTTTGGGAGGACAGGATGAATAGATCGCTGGGCCGGCGTCGTTCAATTATGATATTAATAATTATGCATTGGGAATGCGTGGATGGGCTGGCTTGGCGTTTAGCTCGGCGGGCTGCTGGTATGCAACGATCGCACACATCGTATAAGGACCGTCGATCGAGCGTTGTCTTCTCCTTTCAAGAAGTATATATATCCGACAAGGAAAGAGGTAGATATTAAAGAATGGATCAAGGATCAAAAGCTCGCAGCAAAACAAACATTGTAGATGATGATGACGAAGAATTAAGTATATCGTTATGTTGTCGTTTCCTTACCCCTCAGGAGGGAACCAGGATTGGTATGTAGGTAGGTAGGTAATAGTGATAGGTAGAGAAGAGGCCCATTTTTTCAATATGCCGCTCAGATATATCTTCTCTTTCCCTATCTCTTCTTTTCTTTTCTTTTCTTTTCTTCTCTTTCTTCTTTCTTCTCTCTTCTTTTCTCTTCTCTCTCTCTTTTGGAAGAAAACATCTATAAACAAAAAAGAAAGCCGTTTCTAAACGTGTACACATAACATACATGCGTGCAAGCATGGCATTAAGGGGCGCTCTCGGATATGGGGCCCGGCCTCCTCCAACCCCTCCATTGCACTGCGGCTTTGCCCTTGGCATTAATTATTCTATCCGGGTGTTGTTGTTGTTGTTGTTGTTGTTGTTCTTGTTCTCGTTGTCGTTTTTGCTCTTCTTCTAATTCCGTCGTCTCCTCCTCTATCGTGTTCTCGATGTAACTATGATTGCTATACACTCTCGTCCCCACTGATCCTCCCTCACCCAGGACCACGTCGCCCTCCTCCTCGCCGTCGAAGCGGAAGACCTCGTAATCTTGCTCCAGCTGGCGGCGGTCATCCACTGAGCTGCGGCCGCCGAAGACGCGCTTGAGCTCGGCGCATGCTTCGGCGTAGCACTGGTCCGCCGCCTTGGGGAAGGAGATCGGGTTCGGCTTCTTGTCGAAGGCGTGCTGCACGCCACGGATTAGGCCGCCGTGAACGGTCTTCCCAATGGCGGGGCTGCTGAGGCGCTCGCCAAAGGCGACACCCTCCGCGTTCAGCATGTCGTATTCGCATGTGTAGAGGACGATGTCTTCGGGGTAGGCGTCTCGGAGGAAGTCGTCGGAGGCAGCAGCTGGTGAGAGGTAGGGGTCGGAGAGGTCGCAGCCGGAAGGGGTGAGGTAAGATTGGTCGAAGAGGTTGGTGAGGGAGGGGGAGAGGTTCGTGGTTGGCATTGGGTTGGTGGCACGCTTCTCTGCGCGGCTGCGGCGGAAATCTACGGCGGGATAGAATGAGACAATGCAGAGGATGGTCAGGTCAGGGAGTTGGTTGGCCATCTCCAGCACGGTAGGTTCCAGGTCCGTGAGCTTGACGACCGAGCCCTTAGAACTAATGTTGCGGGAGGCGTAAGGGCGTGGGAGGGAGAGGGTCGAGCTGGACTGGAATTGGGTGGTTGGTAAATGGGATGTTGGGGCCTTGCGGAGGGTCATGGAGGAGGGGGGATGGCGGAGCGTCTTGGAAGAGGGGGGACGACGGAGGGACCAGGAAGAGGGCGCGTCGTGGATGGTCAGAGGCTGATTGAGCGTGCGTCTGCCTGCGCCGTTCCGCAGATCGTGAAGCATGAGGGGGACGGTGAAGGCGAAGTTACCGCCTGCTGAGAAGCCTGAGAGGGCCATCCGGTGTGGATCGAGCCGCAACTCTTCAGCATGCGCCGCGAGGTAGATGAGGGCGTCTGTGCCGTCTTCGACGCCGACGCTGAAGGGGTATTCGGGGGCCAGACGGTATTCGACGCTCACGAAGACGGCATCGGTGGCCTGGACAACGGAAGCGGCCCATCGAGCATCATCAGTGCCAGTGCCCAGGGTGAAGCCGCCGCCGTGGAAGTTGACGACGACGGGGAAGCGCGTGTCATCCTCGTCGGAGAAGTACGCGGCAGGGACGTAGAAGACGAGTCTGAAAGTGCCGCCGCGGGGAGAGAGGCGCGAAGGGATGACGATCTTGAAGTCGGGGGAGGGCGGCCTGGGGTCAGCGAAGTGGTGGAACTTCATGCCCACGGCCATCAGGGCCCGCCATATTGGTGCTTTCATGAAAAGGCACCTGTGAGTATCAGGGATACTCATGCGTTGAAGGTCATGAGGAGCGAGGCATGAGGAGAGGACCTGGGAGAGGCGAGGGTAGATGGATGAGAAGAGGGAGAGGAGGGAGGGAAGAGGGGAGAGAGGTCAAGAGAAGGGAGAGAAGGGAGGAGAGAAAGAAGAGGTGGGGGGTGAGGTTGGCAGATAGATAAAGCAAAAGGAGATGGATGGTTTAAGGATCACGATATGCTCCGGGGGGGGCATACGCAAGCCGGGGGGGGTGAATTGCTTGGCGTGCGCGGCCTGGGTGGCTCAGGGTCTCAACACGGGCGACGGAGACATCTGCGAATTGGTGTTGGGCGATTGGATCGTGAGGGGCCTAACGAGAGGAGAGGGCTCTTGGAGGGGATGTCGCGAGGTCTTGGAAGTTCTTGGGGGAGTCTTGGACAAAGTGGGAGGAGGGAGGTGTCTTGGGGAGATGCCCCTTTGCGACAGGGCGGGCATTGGCGACGGTCATTGGCTGTGTGTGGTTGGGTGAGACGATGGGCACGGAGGGCAAAGGCCGAAGGGGCCAAACTTCAAAGGGGCCAAAGGGGCTTTGACACCGTGACGGGAGAGGGCCGTCCGTGGCCGGCGCTGCGACGGGGGATTGGAAGTGCGAGGCTGTGTGTGCGTCATTTCGAGTAGCGTGTCGGGCTGGTGGGAGGGGACAGGTGCGCAGTTTCATCGGAGGAGTTCGATGCCTGGCTTATGCCTTGGATCCAAGGTTATCATTTCATTTCGGTTCATGCCTTGAATATAAGGTCATTCATTATCTTTTGTTCATGCCTTAAATCCAAGGACACCATCTAGGTCGTTGCCCTGGACCGTGGTGCCGTCGGTTGCCCCCCGCACGAGTCGCGTCAGGTGATCTCAGCCGTCGGCACCTAGCCCGCTATTCCTCTCTCAGCCTAGGGCCACTGGCTACCGAAGGCCAGGCTGGCCAGGCCATCTCCTTTGCCGTATGACGTCCGGCGCCGGTACTTGCTCTAAGGTACCTTTTTCTGATTTTATCCCTTTATGGCCCCGTTCATTATGAGGCATAAGACATTGGCCCTGAGTACCCCCTGGCCCCGGCGTCCTCCATTGCCAATAGAGAGCTTAATGACACGGCCCGCGGTACTTGCTCTCAATGTACCGCGTCGACTTATACAACTTTATACATCCCTTATCCCTACGTAACTGGCCTTATCTCCTGCTAGCACTCCAATAATGCAGCAAACCACTCCTTGTCTTAATCCCCGTATCGTAATGCGACGTCGATCCATCTCGTTGGTTCGTCGTGAATCACTCGTGATTACCGGGCGTGGGAGGGTGGACTCGGGAGGGCGGGACAAGAAGATTTGGGGCCGATGGTTCCAGGGCAGAGGGCCAGGAAAAAGAGGAAAAAAAAAAAAAGAGGGCAAAAAAGAGCGGGAGACAAGGCAAAATGGCAAAGGAACAGGAAACAAATGAAACGGCATCACCCAGGAAATGATGTCAACCCCGTCTCTCCCCTTTCCTCCATCTCTCCATCCATCCATCTCATCCTCTCTTTCTCTCCTTCGCATCTCCTTCTCTCTCGTTGTTCACCCATCCCCATATCAAACCCCCCCGGGCTCCCCGTCCTGCTTCCGCCCGTTCCGCCAGCAATATACCTTACTCTGCGCCGCCAGCCCCCCCGCCATCGTCGCTGAACGGGATAGGCCTCGGCAGCTGATATTACTTAAGTAGTCGCGCTGTTTTGTTTACTTCTCCGTACTACTCGCCGCTGTCCGTATACAACAACCCGCTGTTCAGCCGCTTACATCGTCCAAAGGCGCTCCATCGCCACTCCACCACCCCCCAGATAGATACCACTTAACCTCCCCACCCCCTCCCCATTGCTCCCTCTCTCCTCCATCCCTCCCTCCTCCGTCACCGAAATGTCGTTCCTCAAAAAGCCCTTCCGGAAGTTGCGGGATTTCAGCAACAACTCGGCCAGCAATTCAAGCGATACCCTCCCCGGCAAAGAAGACGCAAGCAATGGCTCTCCCATTCGTTCCACCGAGAAGGTCCCAAATGGCAGCGGGCCCGCCAGCGGCACCAGCACACCCGACCCACGGCGACGGAGTCGCGACCTGATCCAGGAGGAGAGGTATAGGCGCAGTATGGACAAGGAGCGGATAAAGCTCGAGCAGAAGAGGCGACAGCAGCTGGCCAGGATTGAATCAGAGAACTTCTTGAAGGAAGGGCCCGAGGACATTACGAAGCTGTACCGGCCCTTCAGTATGAATATGAGCAAGTACCGGAACCATGAGAAGAGGACGCTCTTCAAGGAGTTGGACTTCGCAAGTCAGTAGCCGCCGCGCAGAAACCCCTCCTTTTCAAACGGGTCCGAACGTATGCTGATGTGATCTGCAGAAGCGGAGGGCCAGGTTATTACCTTCCGTGCGCGTATCCACACTCTTCGGCGCATGAGCGCGAAGCTCGTCTTCATCGTGTTCCGACAACAGACCATAACCGTGCAGGGAGTCTTGCAAAGCTTCCAGCCCCACACTGACGGTGGAGGTATGTTGCGCATCAGAATATCCACAGCGCATTGCTAACCAAGGTCCCAGGCGAAGGGCCGAACGGTACCATCTCAGAACAAATGATTCGAAGCGTGGAGCGCTATCCCAGTGAAACCATCGTCATCGTGCACGCAAAGATTCGGAAGTCCCCAAAGCGAGTCAAGAATGCGACTATCCATACCCACGAGTTCGAAGTCTATGAAATCCACAAGGTTGCTGACCTGGCGGAGAACGTTCCCTTCTCAGTCTACGATGCCGAGAATATCAACCGGGATAAAGAGGAGGTCGACGAGGAGGGCGACGAGGCCGAGGAAGAGTCCACCTTGTCCCCACGTGCATCGGAAGATATATCGCGGCGTTCCCAGGATCTCTTAAGTCGTAGTGAGTGTGCTGGCCGGTCGAACCCCTTTCCCTCAGCTAATAATCCAACAGGTAGCGTAGACATCTTGAGAAAACCCCGATCGCTGCCTCAGAGAGTACGACTGAACAATCGAATCGTCGATCTTCGAACCGCGCCTTCTCAAGCTATCTTCCGCATCCAATCCGGCATCTGCAACCTCTTCCGTTCGTATCTCGATACCCAAGGCTTCATCGAAATCCATACCCCCAAGCTTCAAGGCGGCGCAACAGAATCAGGCGCCAGTGTCTTCGAAGTCAACTACTTTGGTCGTCAAGCATTCCTCGCTCAATCCCCTCAGCTTGCGAAACAGATGTGTATAGCTGCCGATTTCGAAAGGGTCTACGAGGTGGGACCCGTCTTCCGCGCCGAGGACAGCAATACGCCCCGACACTTGACAGAATATACTGGGCTGGATCTCGAGATGGCCTTGGAAGAACACTACCATGAAGCGTTGGATCTTATCGATAACATGTTCAAGCACTTGTGGAAAGGGATTTACGAGCGCTATCAGAAAGAGATCGATCTTCTGTCACATTTCTATCCCCACGAGAAGGTGCTGTGGTTGGAGGAGACACCCCGCATCCCCTTCAAGGAGGGTGTCCAGATGCTGATCGATGATGGTTGGGTGGACGAGGATGGAAAGCCTCCATCCCCTCTGGAGGATCTGGCAACTCGGGCCGAAATCCGTCTTGGTGCACTCGTGAGAGAGAAGTACAAGACCGACTACTACATACTTGACAAATTCCCTGCCTCTGCACGACCTTTCTACACAATGCCAGACCCCAACGATGATCGATATACCAACTCGTTTGATATCTTCATGCGGGGACAAGAGATCCTGAGCGGTGGGCAACGTATTCACGAGTCGAAATTCCTGGAGAAGAAGATCAAGGCGCAAGGTATCAATCCCGATAGTATGGCTGAATACCTGGAAGGATTCCGCTGGGGAGCGCCCCCGCACGCAGGTTGCGGTATTGGACTGGAGCGTCTCACCTATCTCTTCCTCAACCTGGGTAACATCCGATTGGCCTCTCTCTACCCTCGCGATCCCAAGTCTCTCCCCGCTAAACCACCCGTTGCCAAGCTCCGACACGAAGATGCATCCACGACCAACCCGCCCTGGGAAAACCAAGAATACCTCTCGCGACAAGACGAAGAATCCGCAAACGGGGACCACAAGGGCCAGCTTCAACCTCTCGAGAAACTCATCGCCAACTATGGTGATGCAGCCAACACCTCATGGCTCGACCAACGATACAATGTCTGGCGCCACCCATCCACTGGCGCTGCGCAGGGCTATGTCATTCACGGCAGCTACCTCATTTCAGTCGGCACTCCTTTGTGTGCTAAGAGTCAACTCCCACAGGTCGTATCTGCGTATCTCAGCTACCTGAAATCGGAGCACAAAGACAAGAAGCCTATCTGGATGATTGTTGGAAAGGACGTCGAAGAATACCTCGGCGAGAAATTCCAGTGGCGAACCATCGGATGTATCGCGGAAGAGCGCGCGGATCCGCGGAACAACCCGGCCCTGAAAGATAACGATCTTGCGCGAAAGGTCAGGCACGCTGAGAAGGAGGGCGTCAAGAACATGGAGATCCCAGCAAACCAACCAATTCCTGATGACTTCAAGGAGAAGGTTGACGCACGGGTCAAGGATTGGCACGCTGGCCGCAAGGGGACCCAGGTCCACCTGACGCAGATCAGACCTTGGGTTGATAGGGAACATCGTCGGTACTACTACGCCCAAGGGCCTGACGGTACCATCCACGCCATCTGTGTTCTCCACCAGCTGAGTCCACAGAATGGGTACCAAGTGAAGTTCTCCCTTGAGTTCCCCAATGCCCCATCCGGAACAATCGAGAGTTTGATCCTGTACGCCATGAAGCAGATCAGCATCTCGGACCCGGAGACCAAGCAGGTCACCTTCGGCACGGGTGCACTGCCAACACTGGAGGGTGGCCGAAACCTCGGGAAGCAGAAGGTCAAGATGTTGAAGAAAGCTTACGAGACGATCAACAAGCAATTCAAGCTCACCAACAAGTCGGAGTTCAGAGAGAAAATGGGCACATTTGATGAGCCTGTCTACGTCTGCTATCCGCACGGCGGCCTGGGACCAGGAGGCATCAAGGCCATCATGGGCTTCCTTGAAGAGGACCGGTAGATGATGATAGACGCAGACGAATAATCCACGAAGTCTAAGATGAGTAGCGGAAGTAAAGCCCGACTTAATGTGGAAGGAGAGCCGATCGGGCCAGCTATATCATTGTAAGAATCTTCGAGAGCGACGAAGTTTTCATCAGAGGATGGGGAGAGTTTTCACCATATTCGGGTTGTTTTTATTATTCCCCCCCTCCCTGCTATTTTCCTTTTTTCTTTTGCCCTGTCCTCGTGTGTGCCTTCCAGAAACACGCACCGAAAGCTCCGTCCGTCTGTTTATATATACATATATAATCCTAGAAACTAGATACCTCTCCCTCTGTTGTTTGGGGGTCAATTGAAAGTTTTTCATCTATTCGTTTTTCGTCGTCGTTATCTCTTCCCTGGTAGGTAGGTATTCTCTGCATCCATCCATCCATCCTCCTATGAAGGAAAAGAAAGCACCAGGACAATCAATCAAACCTCGGGCGAGAACCCGTTTCAATAACCCACCAGAATCTAAATTCCCGCCGTGAGGCAGGCAGGCACTCAAGTCAGCCATAGTCATGCTATCTATCTATCTCACGCCCTCCACTACCCACCCAATATTGGATCAATACCCCCCCTCTCCTGAATTTAGCGCACGAGTCGCTTGTCGGCAGGCCATCATCACATCAGCTGGAATAAATAATTCTTCTGGAAGCGCGGTAGGCATTTCGCGTTGTATCTCAGCTAGCAAAACCTATCTATTTATCTATCTCTCTCTCTCTCTCAGAATACCTAGTCAGTCCGACTGCTCACTCACGACTAAGATATGAGGTACTGTACTATATATAAGCTATATACCTATCTATATAGCACATCATCAGAACTCCCTCCGTGAGGTAACATGTGGTAGGCCTGTATCTGCAGTAAACGAATCGAATCAGAATGTTCGAAGGAGAGAAGAAGATTCACGGGGTATGATGATGCGGGTGGTTTGAACCAGGGATTTTGGAAGAAGGGTTTGAAGGCCTGGCCTGGACTGGACTATTTATTCTTCGTACGAGCCTTCTGTTCTCTGCATACTTGTATGTTTGTTTGTTTATATAGATCTTTATCTACATACATATCTGTTTGTTTGTTTTTTGTTTGTCAGTCTTGAGAGGGAAGACGAGGGAAGAGGAGGGGAGGGAAGAGAAAGTTGGCGGGGGTGGGGGGGGGTGAACATCTCGATTTATACGGGTTGGATTCTAGATTCTAAATATATATACACTCTTTCGTTCCCCATGCATGTACAGAATAAATAATAATACAAATAGATAGATAGATACATAAATAGTAGTTCCTTCTCACCTTCTTTACCCTGCCTTACCCTACCTGATCCCAAATCTCGAAATCCCGAGATGAGAACAGCACGCTGTGATAGAAATTAACGAGATAGATAATCTTCCTATTGTTTTCACTGGCTCTATCCGTTTTACTGGCTTTGAAAGAGGGAAGGGGGGGTGTGCTATAATGACAATGATAATGAATGAATATAAATTATATGATATACCTTTGTTGAGATGTAGAGGTTGGCGGATATGCGGATATGGATACGAGCTGTGTGTAGGTTTGGAGATGCGAGCGGGGAGTTGGAACGTTAAGAGTAAGGGACAACTATCCCTCCACTTCATGAGAAGATATCAGATTCGCATGGAGACTGACTTTAGACGACCTCTGACGTGCCTCCATGATAACATTTCACATGAAACATAAACACATTACTCATTGGGACTTTCTTTCATTCATTACGAGAAGCTCTATTCACAGGGTTCACGACCATGTGCCAAGTTTCCGCATCTGCATCCGAGTAGGAGCTTTCAAGCGACCATACTCACCAAAATCACTATCCACAACGGTTGGATATCTCAGCATCCCCTCTAGAGATCAGGAGCTTTCAAGCTACCATGTCTCGCCATAAAAAAAAAAGAACCATAAAAAAAACCATAAAATTCATGAAAACACTAAACGCCGAATGTGATGTCGCAGGGTACTTCCTTTGCGAACAACCACATACGTCCTTCTAATTGCAGTTGTCAATTCACATTGTCGAATCGGTCACGACCTCCCCTACGCACTCAGCCCCCCCCCCCCCCCCCCTTTCCCCCCCACCCGCCGCGAAAATATGCTTTAGCTTTTAACGGATGTGACCAAGATAGCGAAAGATTCACCGTCATGTATTCCCCCTTGTTTTCTCACCACACCTGTCGAAGCAGGATGGAGGATATGATAGCGGCGGGCTGCAGGTTTACATATCCATCGAGTCGCCACCGTTAGCACTGGCAAAGTTGAAGCCAGCTTGTTGACCGTTGGTACCGAATCCGAAGGCTTGGCCGGTGCCGGTTGGGGCAACAGTCTCATCTGCCTCGTCCTCGTCCGAGAAGTACTTCTCGATCATGTTGTATGCCTTCATGTAAATCTCCTCGTTGGCATTGGTCTGGCAATCATGGATCTTCTCCATGCCTTGGCATTCCTCAATGAACAGGGCGTAGCGGTTGATGGCTTCCTCGCCCGCGCCAGCAGCGTCCTTGTCCATCTCTCCGACCTTCAGAATATTCTCAAGGCCATCGAGGGCGACCTGGATGATCTTGTTGTCGGGGCAAGAGAGCAGGTCACACAGAGGCTTGATGCAACCCTGGTTGACCAGGTAGCGGATCTGCTCTGGCTTTTGTAGTCCACCAGAGGTAGCGTTCGAGATGGCCCAACAAGCCTCCTTGCGGGTCTTCAAGTCGCCATTGGAGAGGAGATGAATAAGCGGTGGGATAATGTTGGCATCGATAACAGCCTGGATCTGTGTGGAGTTCCCGGCCGTGACGTTGGAGATGGTCCAGCAAGCCTCCTTACGGATTCCATCCTTTCCAGAACTCAAGAGAGATAGCAGTGCAGGCAAGGCACCACAGTTAATAATGACTTGAGTTTGGACATCATCACCGGTGACAATGTTACCGACGGATCGGAGGGCAGGGGTTTGGACCGAGGTAGACGCATGCATGAGCAACTCTACAAGGCGACGAGGGATACCAGCTTCAATAACAGCTTGGATCTTGTCATTAGCGCCATCCGAAAGATATGAGATGGCCCAGCAGGCATCGATCAAGACCTCGTCATCCAGGGAGTAAACGAGCTTAGCCAGGACTGGCAGAGCGGGGAAGATCTGCTGAATATGTGAGCTTGTCATCACATCTATAGATTGGCGGGTCTCTCACGGTGTTCCAGTCAGGCTGCGGGGTCTTCCCACGGCAGAAATTGCTGAGAGTCCAGGTGGCATTGCGGAGCATACTCAGCTTGCGGCTATCACCCAAGAGGGCCAGGAGGGGCTTGAGAGCACCACAGCTCAAAACATAATCACGGCAATGTGGGCTATCACCAGCAATATTTCCTAAAGCCCAGACAGCCTGCTCTCTGACATCTGGCTCGTGACTACCTAACAGTTCAACGAAGATGGGGACAGCACCGGCCTCAATAACGACCTGTGTTTGTTGGGCTGAACCTGAGGCGATGTTTGTGAGAGCCCACGCCGCCTCGAATTGCACAAGGGTGTGAGGTGATCTGAGAAATTGGACGAAGCGGCTGACTACTCCGGTCTTGATGACCTCTTCGATTGGTGGGTTGCGTTCCTTTGAAAGCAGCTTTCGGAACTTGGTGGTTGCTTGGATTTGAAGATCAATCTGGTCAGAGAAGACACCTTCCACCATTTGGGGGAGGTCTTCGTTCAACTAATTTACAAAAAGTCAGCATTGTAAGTAACAAGGCGAAGTATTGCAAACAAAATTCGGAGCGCCTGTGCCGCGATAAACACGAGGGGCATGGAAGTTGCTGGTGGCGTCCAAAATGACAGAGCGAAAAAGTTGTTCGCTAGACAGCGCCCCACCAGATAAAAGTAAACAGAGGGGAAAACAGAGATAATACAGAGGGGATACAGAATGAAGAACAGCGACCTCATCGTGCTTCTAGACCAATCTTCAACAAGTGAAGGTGTCCTTCTAGAAGGGAGTAGTCGAGTAACAAATATGTGTGATCGACTTACCTGGCTCTCTGTGGGTACGGTGTCATCGTCACTGTCTGCCTCTGCGCCGAGCGACGCGCCAAGTCGAGCAGATCCGTCGCCGCCTGTGATACCTCTTCTCTTCGCAAGGTTCTCCTCACGTTTGGCTTTTCTGATCTCTACCTGTTGCTCTTCACGACGGCGTCTCAACTCTTCGGGCTTGAAGGTGTTCTTCGCCTTGAATTGAGTACGGCGATGCTCGGGGATGTAACGTTCTGCCATCGTTGCTGATTCTGATGCGTGTTTAGTATGGTGTGATATATTCCCGTAGGGCGAGAGATGAGGGTTGAACGGTCCTCAAGCTGAGAGGGGTGGGGTTGAGGGTAGGAAGAAGGTAGGTGGAGGATGATGAAGTGGGATCGATTGAACTTTGACGAAAGATCAAAGAGCGGCGTCTTATCGGGCATAGCGGGAAAGGGTGCACTAAGCGAAAATGACTAAGCCGCGTCTAACGCTCTAGCGCCTACGCGTCTCCCGAGAGAAAGCAACGCGTTAGTCTCAGGGTCCTGAGCATGAGAGAAGGTAGAGCCAAGTCAGACTGCTGCTGCAAATATCCAAACTTCTAGATTTGAGCTGTTTAACACTACCCACATATAGTTTGGCCTGCTCAAGCTTCTTACAGTGTGCGTCTCGGCACCATCCGAGAAGATGAGCGCTCAAGGCTCCCCGGAGCCTTCCAGCTCGGCCCCATCTCTACCCCCAGGATTTCAAACAGTTGCAGCAATTCTGGACACTCCTAATGACAAGCTCAAGGCGGGAACTATGACGTTTAACGTCATCGGATTTATCAAAGATTATCGGCCACCCTATAAAACAAGAGGCACCGGTACGTGGTTTTCCCAAACTCTCACGGAGTATACTAAAGGGTTGTAAGACTTCAAATGTACCATTGAGATCAAGGATTATTCGACTCATGGGTCAGAGGGCCTTAAAGTCATAATGTTTTGGCCAGAGGATAGAATGCCTAAGATACAGGGTGTATCTGATGTTGTACTCATCCGGAATGCAAGGGTAGGTCAAATAAAGCTCTCTGTAAGTGCCTGTCTCACAACTACAAGGCTCAGATGTATAGTGGCGAAGTATCCCTCCTAGCGAGCTATGCCACGGAAGTCCATGTAATGCCGGCATCGAAGATACCACCAACACTACCTAGAGACTCTCGCGCTCCATGGCAATCAACTCCCCAACTCACTTGCCGCCATCCTACGCCCGTCGAAACGAGCTATGTGGTTTGGGCTAATAGCCAGGTCAGTGAGCTTAATTTGCCTTCGAATGAAGAATTTGAAATGAAGTCCATGCAAGCCATGAACGTGAAGGACAAATACAGTCTCCTGAAAGATGTTAAGCCTGAATGTTTTTACGATATCCTAGGCGAAGTCATTAGAAAATATGATGGCTCATCAGGGTCGACGCTCTATATCTCAGATTATACTGCGCATAGTCGCTTTTACAACTATGAATGGGGTGGCGGAGAGACCGTCGAGCCTCGTGACGGGGATGAATTTGGATACATCAGAACCAGGCCGAAAAAGAACAACGACTGGCCCGGCCCTTATGGAAAGATGTCTATTCAGCTTACCTTGTTTGATGCCCATGCCGAGTTTGTACGTGAAAATGTGGAGGCCGGGCAATGGGTACTATTGAAGAACGTTTATATCAACTTCGGCAAGATGGGAGACTGTTTGGAGGGCTTTTTGCGAGGAGACCCTAACTCTTCAGAGAAGGTTCGGGTTCGGGTTCTGAAACGATCGGAAGACAAAGACGACATACGTTGGAAGGAGGCACTTACCCGCAAACTCCAGTGGAACCAAAAGTTCGAGAAGCAGAAACAGGATATTCTTGACAAAGCTGCAGGATTAGAAGGTAAAAGAAAGCTGGATGACATGGAACACTCGAAGAAGAACAGCAAGCTACGTCGTCAAGCACGTCGAGCTGCAGCGGAAGGGAAAGCTGCAACTTTTGAAGCCAAAGTAGCCAAGAAGTTTGATCTCAATGAAAACAGTAAGTTGACCGAACCAAGGAAAAGGCAGGATCAATACTAAAACTATGCACAGTACGATGCAGCTACCCTGACCAGCCAATTCTCCCACTTCACGTTATTCTCAGAAGGCCCACCATCCTTCTGGGGACTGAAGCTCCCCGAGAAGCTGTTTCGCCTTTCGACGTTGGCAAATACAGAGCAAACGTCCGAGTGGTCGGATATTTTCCGGACAAGGTCGAAGACTTTTCCGTTGGACGTCGAATTAGCGATTACGATATCCTCTCGGATTACAGTGGTGGCGAAGACACGGATGTGGAAGAAGACAGGCGTGTCTTCAAAAGCGGGAATGGGTTCGCGAAAAAATGGGAATGGAGATTCGCCTTGGAAGTGGAGGATGCCGATCCAAAATCTCCGAAAGAGCGAATGTGGTTGCTGGTTGATAACCATAACGCGCAAGGGTTGTTGGGTATAGACGCCACGAAGTAAGACCTTGAACGGTTGCTTTCACTTACTGTTTCAAACTAACACGTGCCAGTCTTCGAGGAGATAGAACTGCGCTTCGTCAAGTCAAGGAACAGTTGTGCATCTTGTGGGGTGACCTCGAGGAGCAAAAGTCAGCTTTCTTGCGGCAACAAGGCGCAGATGATACGAAATCCTTACCACCATCTTCTCTGGACCCAGATTCCTCAGCGCCTGAGCCACGGCGGAAGGTTGGTGACCAGCCAAATCTAGACAGTGACGACGAAAACGAGGTACCGCATCAGAGGTCCCCAGACAGAGACCCCAGCGCCAAGCAAGAACAGGAGTCCACCAGCTCCACGACCAAGGCAGGATTACCGGCCTCAATTCCGGCTGTCAAGAACAAACCTTTCACTTGTTGTATCAGACAATACGGGATTAAAGTTGACGAGGAAGATCCATCCAAGGCCAATGCAGGTGATGGCAAAAGATGGAAGAGAATGTTCGGATTGTTTGGCACAAGGATAGTGTGATACGCGGGATATGGGGTTGATAAATGCTTTGAGTACGGCTTATGAATGAATGATACCCCCAGTTGATGATTCTACCAATAAAGCTTTCATGAAATGATAATTCTCTAGATCCTCTGCTGATCTACCTGCAACCGTCTCCTATCTCTACCCCGGGATAAATAACTAGACCCGAACCGTCTGGACAATTCGTTGAGAGGTGACGTGAATATAAGATTTTGTTTATTTTGGTTAAGTTGTCGAAGATCAGGGTTCAGGTTTCAGTTGGGATCGGGATAGGTCTAGCTTCGATGTGGGATAAGCGCCTCCCTCCATTGTATGAGGGGCGATAGCCGCGATGCTTGTACGTATTATCCGCGAGCTGAGGCACGCAACACATTGAGGCTCGTAATCAGCGTGCTGAAAGCTTTACATATTAAAATTCTGCTTCAAGAGCGCGTCACTCACATCGCAGGCTCTTCTGTCTCAATTCCCATGTACCTACGAAGAAGAAGGGAAGACATCATTTCTAGAGGCAAGATGTAATCGACCCCGCGGACTCGGGCCGCTAGCTCCAAACGAGCCGAGGCTCCCATCCCCGAACCTCAATGACGACTTACTCGACTCGCAAAAGAGCAGAACCACCACCACCACAACACCATGTCCATTAACATCCTAATCGTCGGCGCCGGCGCCGTCGGAGCCTTCTACGCCTCGCGCCTCGCCGTCGTCCCCTCCATCAACGTCTCCGTCATCTGCCGCTCCAACTACAAAGCGGTAGCTAGCCACGGGTTCCGCATCACATCCCCCAAATACGGCTCCTACACCTTCACACCGCAGCACACATTCGCCAGTCCGCAAGCTGCGCGCGACGCCCGCATAGCATGGGATTACATCGTAGTCAGCACGAAAGCGCTGCCTGACGAGAGCGACGACTCCGCGATCCTAGAGGGCTTGGTGACTGAGGGCCGTACCGCCATCGTTCTGGTGCAGAATGGCCTCGGCGTTGAGGATCCCTACGTGAAGCGCTTTCCTGGGGCCACTGTGCTGAGCGCAGTTACCGTTGTGAGCGCAGCGCAGACAGCGCCGGGGATCATCGCGCATAATCGATGGACGCGGATCAGCATCGGGCCGTATCTGAGCGAGACGGGGGAGGAGAAGACGACGGCGGCGGCGATCGAGAAGAATCGGGAGTTTGTGAAGCTGCTGCGTGCAGGAGGGGTGGCGGATGCGGAGGAGTATTCGCATGCGAAGTTGCAGATGGTGAGGTGGCATAAGATCGCGATTAATGCGTCGATGAATCCGTCGGCGGTGCTGTCGGGCGGATCGACGAATAATGCGATGGCGATGGATCCCGAACTGTATAGGCATTTGAAGGGCATCATGGAGGAGGTGCTGTCGACGGCGCCGAAGGTGTTGGGTACGCCGTTGCCGGAGGAGTTCGCGAGCCCGGAGGCGATATTGAAGAGTACGCAGAAGAATACGAGTGGGAGTAAACCCAGTATGCTTCTGGATTGGGAACAGGGGAAGAGGATGGAGCTGGAGGTAATTCTGGGCAATCCGATTCGGATAGCTAGGGAAAAGGGGCTGGAAATGCCGAGGGTTCAGAGTTTGTATGCTCTCCTAAGGATGGCGCAGGAGAATAGGGATAGGGAACGGAACAGGCATAGTAAGTTATAGAAGATAGATTAAATCAAATTGTATATATAGTCATGAGGTCGAGAATTGGGGATATGGTTATATGTCTATTACCATCCTACATTATCCTCCCTTCGCAAACCCCAGACCAAACCCCAGACCAAACCCGCAAAATCACAAATAAAACTTTCCCCTCCCCATAACCACCACCTCTGCCAGCTCCAATCTCCAGATCCTCCTATTCGCCTCAATGACCAATGTATTTCCCGCCAACGCAAAACTCGCAATCGGCGTTCAGGAGCCACCATCAATTAACAACGTCTCACTCTTCAAAAGACCCAACACAGCGCCATCTCTATCGACTTTGATACCGTCAGGGACGCCTGTAGGCGGAAGGCGGGAGGCGGCAGATAAGAGAAGGATCTATTGAGACGATACCCTTAGGTGAAGCTATAACAAAGCCTATGACTGCTAAAGCAGGGAGAGCGATTGATTTCAAGTTCACGATGATAGATGAAAACTCGTAATTAAAGGAAGTAAAAGTGAACTTCCATGCTGAGTTAAGGCCGTGAACTTATACCAATCTATAGAACTAATCTCAAATACAGTGCAAACACTTAACTTTGAAGAAGCTCGTACCCAAAATTTTGAAGCTGCGAGGAGAGTTCTCAATGCGGCTAGCGAAGTCCTAATCTGAATGTCGTTTCGCTGCAGGTACAAGCACCTTGCCGCAACTCTTTTTTGACTCGTTATCAAAGAGAGTAATGTCAGCAGTAATGAAGTCAGCACTGCTTATGCTCCCGGAGGACTACACCATACCGGCAAGCCCGCACTTCGGGGGAATATGAGGGGCTTCACATAGATTGATCACCTGGAGCTGTCGCTGATGATGCCGGGTTGACGACATTTATTTTATTTTTTGAGGGTTTTGGTAATCAATTGGCCCTCATTTGTCTCAGAGTTTCTCTTCTCCGGGAATGCATGTTCATGGAACGATCCACAATATCCTCCACGCAGAGCTCAATCAAGCCCTCCATAAACATACCGGCTGGTATGATAACCCATACCTATCCGAGATACTGGCTCTCAAAAATAGCTGCCGCCCAACCCTCCCCTCACGCTCATCTTCTCTTGGAAAGGTAGGCCTTTGCCCCATCCCAAGCCTCCTTGTCTCCTTCGGGAATCTCATTGCCCAACGTCTTCACACCCTCGTACAATGCCTCAAAGAAATCAAACGCTACATCCAGGTCTTCTGCGATGTTCACGCTGTTTGGGAGGAACTTGTCTGCGTAAGAGCGCTTTAATTCTGATCGTTGCTCCGGAGTGGTATCGAGCTTGAGATAATCATCGAGATAAGTCTTGACCGCAATACCAAGCCCGACATTGATATCCGTAGCCAATGGTAGACTATTAACATGGTCAGCCGAGCTACAAAAATTCAAACAGGAACACTTGCCTTCGACCGAGATCATCAAAATCGTGATTGCGACTTGCTTGGTTGCTCAAAAACATTGATGCCATGATAGCTTCTAGCATGTCCCTATCCGCCTCACGCACAGACTTAATTAAGGAGTAGAATGAGAGGAAATTTTGGCTGAGGGGTCCAGTATAGCCAATATTCTTGTGGCGAAGTTTGAGAAGACAAGCAGTCCGGCCGATGAGGATACAATTCGCTTTGTCCTCGTCGGAGCCACGCAAAGGACCCCCAATGAGTTCTGGGTGACGGTTTCGCGAATTTAGATTGTCAAAGCGTATCAATTCAAAAGCAAGAAATGCTGCCTCTTCAAGATGGTGAATATCGTTATACGCCTTGACTACGGGTCTGATTTTTTTGAGGGTGGTTGCAAGGGCTTTGCCCCAACCTGTCAACTCATGCTCATCGTTGATATAGCCTCTGAGGTGGAGTAGTCGCCAGATTGCATTTGACGACAGTTCGGCTTTTGTTGCCAACCCAGAGACGGTCTTTGAGATTGTCTTACCCGGGAAGTCTTTCTCTTGCAATGATGAGACGGCGAACGAAAATGTTCCCGGAGATGTCGAGGTGGCGGTCTGCTGAGTCTTGAGCTCATCGTCACGGACACCCCACCTGTCAGCCTTCTGATTCGTTGGTGCAACGACCGTGCGATGGACCAGTTCTTGTTTGAGATTGGGATCGAACCAAAACTTCATGTTGATGTTCTTATATTGAAATCCTCGGTGTATTCGAGATGAGATTAGGGCCGCCGTTGTTTCTTTCAAAGGCAGCAATGAATTTGTGACTAGGTGTCGATACTCCTCAGAGAGAACACCGTCAAGCGTAGGAAAGACTATTGATTCGAGAGAGCCAAAGCAATTCATTAGTCTCGGACCAATCAAGGCCTTCGACAGGTAGTGGTAGAGCTCGGGCGGCAGTTGCAAGCCAAGATATTCGACATTATCTGAGGTGAGACTGTCGTATTCTCGGATTTGGACTGACCCATCTACATGCACCTTCACACAATGCTTGACACCCATCTTTGCCTTTCGGAATTTGTCAAGCCACTTGGGGTCTCGAAGTTGCAAAATATCGCTGAATGCAGCGCACATGTTGGTGATGGATTTTTCCGAAGTTCTAAGCAGGTTCACCGCATCTAGAATAGAGAAGGGTTGCCGAGTGATAATACTGTCGTCTTGAAGAGGAGGGAAAGGGGGCAGGAATGATGTGCCGACCATCAGGAGTGCGTCAGCGAACATGTCGGGAGTAATGTTGAGTTTCTTGATCAGGTCAGATCTGAAGACGCCGGTGAAGGCCTTCTTCTCCCAATCGGAGGCAGATGGTGGAGAGATGACTGCGTCGTTGATATCATAGAGGAGAAGCTCTTGAGAACCCATAATGCCATCGATGTATGCTTCATCGAGGCCTTCGAGGTATGCGAGCTACTAAACATCAGTAGAGGATCCGGGAGAAGGAAAGCAAGGACATCACCTGCGCGCAAGCACTAAATGGGGCGACGATGAAGTATAGATTTCGCTCAGCGAGGACTTCTTGCAGAAGTGGATATAGATCTCGAGCTCGGACAGCGTCTGGCCACGGTTAGTGCTCTGCTTTGCCCCAGGAAGGAGGGTCATACTTGAGGATCCAAAGGTCTTCACAGCATCACTAGGTTGATTTTCGGCATAAAGCTCCCACGCAGTCTGGGTCTTGGTCAATGCAGCCCTTGCGTTGCGCAGGGCGATCTCTTCCTTGCCAACGGTGGATTGACCCTCGAAGACAAATAGTGGAGTCATCTGATGCTCCTTCCACCTATCTAATTCTTCTTCGATGTGTTGTCTCAAAGCGATGGGGGATCCTCCGAGAGCTGCAAGGAGAGGTTCGTGAGCAGGCGGTTCATCGATCATGCGCTGGAGATAGTGTGTAGCCTCGACGCCTATCTTTGCATTCTTCATCTCGGCGAGCGGCATGGAGCTGTTGGAGAGAATGTTAGCAATGGATGTTGGACCGGCAGAGAAGGGGAAGCTTACTTGATCTCCGAGCCGATGAAGTAATCGTGGTCGAACGCTGGAGTATTGTTAGCATTCCAGCCATAGTCTTGCCTCTGCTCTCCGCCGAGCTGTGGAGTCCCAACACCGGGCGATCCAAGACTGCTAAAAAGGTCCTGGGCATCCATCCAGTTGTAGATGCGCACGGTGGGATCGATGGGCTCCCAGGGATAATTGAGCCGCAGCAGGTCCTCGATGGTGGCATAGTGTAGTTCATTCGTCTGCGGATCGTACATGGGCGCGCGCACAGCAGTGAGGGGGATGCCATAGAAGCCATTGAGGTAGTAGGAAGAGTACTCGTCCATTGTGATGTGCAATGGGAGCTGGTGTTTGTGTTTGGGGAATCTAGGAATGGGGAGATCTGGGGTTTGGGGGGAGGTGGAGATGGGAGAGAAGAGAGTAGGGGAGGGGGGAGGAGAGATGACAGAGGACAGATGACAGATGGGACTTACAAGGCATGTTGACGGAGAGCGTTCCTTCCCAGTATGCTTCGCTGTCTAATGATCGTGGACGTCAAAGGTTCGTTCTTTCGAAAGGGAGTTGCGGGTTCGATCTAGTTTAACCTGTCCAAATGGCAGGGGTGTTCGAGGCAGATTCGACGACGGCAGTAGACAGTGACGCTGATGGTGACTGTAGGCAGTAACTGTGGGCAATGACGAAGACAAGCCCTAAAGCTCGACGGGACGCGGGGTTCGTGGGACCCAAGGAGGAGGAGCTTTCGCGCGGCGGGAAGACACAACTAGGGGGGCAGTTGTGCGAGAAAAGGGAGGCCGACAGATGGGAGGGGGGGGGAGATGGCAGACGGCGTGCAGATGAGACGGAAGCGATGGTCGAAGGTAGACTGCCGGTCGACGGGCGGGGAGAGGTGAGCTGGAGAGAATGCGGAGGAGAGGAGGAGCTTCGAGATGAGGTTCACCGAAGAGCAGAGCCTCGTCGCATTCCTCTTTTGGGTAGCTCCAGCCACAGTCCCATAGGGCTTAGCGCCGCTGCAGGGAGGGTTCGGTTAGTCATGTGATGTCTTCACGTGATGCTAATCTTGGTGCCGTTCAGACCAACGTTGAAGATTGCGATGTGCAACAAAATTCCTGTAAAATATCACGTGATAGCTCGCTCATGGTGTGGGTGGAAGGGGGAGCAGCTCTTTTGCTGCACATCGCACCTGTGATAGGCCTGGCAGTGTTGAACGTTGGTTTCAACGGCGGTGGGACTGGCATCACGTGATGGTTCGCGACCTCTTATCAATGGAAGCCACTTATCGGGCCCCTCCGCCCTCCGCCCCCCTATCCCGCATCCCGCATCCCGCATTCCACCCATTCTTGCCCCTTATCTATTATTTCCATGTACATATCTTGGACGACGCTCCGGTTGAACAGCCAATTCTAGTACTCTACTTGTCACCCATCCTGCACAGCTCTCTAATTGAACCCCAAAGAGTACTACATAACTGCAATGGCGTCCTCAACCGGCCATCCAAGCCAAGTCCCCGTGATCGACATATCCGGGACCCTACCAGAACTCGAAGTCGGCCGGGCCTTAGTAGACGCCGCGGCGACATACGGCTTCGTGTATATCAAGAATGAGGGGAAGGACATCCCCGTCGAGGCAATCGACCGCATGTTCGAGCTCGTAAGATACCACCCCGAACTCCCTCGTTTTTGAAAAGAACGCCAACTAATCTATCTCTCCTCGCAGTCCAAGCAGTTCTTCTCCTCGCCCGTTGAGGAGAAGGAGAAGTGCAGGATTACGGAGACGGTAGGGATAGATCCCTGAACCTACCTAGACAAGGAGGAAGCAGCTGACGGATGTCCAGAATCGCGGCTGGGGAGGCATGCAGACGGAGACGTTAGACGTCAAGAACCAAAGGGCAGGCACTCACTAGTCCCCCCTTTCCACTCCCCAGCACTCCCAAGCTAACACCATGGATATCCAGGTTGGCGATTTCAAGGAGTAAGCCATCCCAAAACCCCCATGGCAAGACAGCACCCGGCTCATAAACATCACAGAGCCATGAATATAGGAGGCTTCGTGGATGGGAAAGCCCAGCAGCCGCTGCCTGCTTCCCTCGTCGATCACGAAGCCGAGATCGACCAGTTCCAGAAGTATTGCCATGAGCTAGTCCTGAAAGTCCTAACACTCTTCGGCCTGGGTCTCGAGGTACTTCCTCTCCCCCCTTTTTCTCCTCCTCCCCCAAACTAATCCCTCAAAAGATCGACCCTCTTGCCGGCGGTTCTTCCTGGTTCGCGACACGGCACCGCGATGGCGCCAACCCCAGCATCCTCCGCCTTCTCTACTACCCGCACCTCAGCCGCAGCGACTACCAACCGGGGATCGACATCCGCGCCGGCGCCCACTCAGACTACGGCTCCCTAACGCTCCTTTTCCAACGGCCCGGGCAACCGGGTCTCGAGATCCGGCCGCCAGGTTCCGACGGCTGGACGCCCATCCCCGTGCAGCCACCCACGACAGAGCACGATCCCAGCCCGCCGATCCTAGTCAACACGGGAGATCTCCTGGCGTCGTGGACAGACAATTTGCTGCGGAGCACGGTGCATCGCGTGGTGTTCCCCGTTGAGGACGTCGCGGATCGGTATAGTATTGCATATTTTGCGCATCCGGTGGGCACGACCGTGTTGGAGGCGGTGCCGAGTGCGAAGGTGAGGGAGAAGGCGAAGGAGAAGGAGGCCGAGGGGGAGAGTGTGCAGGAGAGGGAGGCGAGGAGGGCCATGACGGCGGATGAGTATCTGTTTAGTCGGTTGAAGGCGACGTATCTGGGGCTGTATGGGAATGGGAAGACGGAGGGGAAGGCCGTGACGGCTTAAGTTTAGATTGTACCTGCTACTATCGACTTATAAATCATCTTTGATACATGCCCTGAAGCCTTCTCCCATCTCTATCCCTTTTGTGCTTCTTCTTCATCTTCTTAGCAGTGTTAGATCCTACCAAGTTCAGCATATATTAGAAGGGGCTCAGGGGAGAGGACCCCCTATCAAGAAAGAAGGCTACAACTCTACCGAGACCCCGACTTACCCCACATATACACACACCTGTGGAGTATACACACAGAAAGAGAGAATCACGTGTCAGGGGAAAGTTCATTTGCATTCATTCATTCAATCGAATCCAACTCAACGCTTTGTATCCATGCATGCACGTGTCGTGCCTATCCTATCACTAATGGCTTCATCCAAGCCGCTGCTACTTCCTCCGCTCCTCTCTCCCTCATGCCTAGCCATATGTCCATAGATGATGTTTATATACATCGACCTTGGCATCTTGACTCGTGCATCTTCCACACGCTCCTCGGATGACCAGAGAATAAAAATAAAAGAGGAAGGAAAGAAAAGCCAGGGTCTCCGCCGAAAGTGCAACCCGCAAGCCATGGTATAGAAGCCAGGCTGCTCCATTCCTATTGAGCCAAGCAATGATCCAAGCAACACTAGAATATAACCAAGAAACTCAACTCGTAAGTGCTTGTGCTCGCGGTTCCATGCTGTCGTGGTGAGTCGCTCATACTTTCGTTCGTAATCTTGTCGCTAACAAAAGAAAAGCGCTGCGGCAAAGGTATCGGGATAGTTGCTTCGTAACGCCCGCCGGTATGCAGATGTGAATTGTAATTGCAATGAGAATTTCGATGGTGGGTAGAGGAGTTCGCCCTCTACTGTGATGTTTGCGCTGTGCATTGGGGTGGTGTCGACATTATAATTAAGAAAATCGTGCCTTGCTGGGCGGATGGCGCTGAGCTCTGCTTGCGCCGGGTATCGGTTCTCCTAGCTCATCTCTTCTGTTCCTTGACCCTCTTTCCATCCCCACGAGCTGGATTGTATGCGCTCTATTGTGAGGCAGCTACACACCAATGTCGGTGGAATACCCAGGCACTCTTCTGGCATTCCTTGCTGCAGTACTTGGTCCTCCGACACCGTCGGCACTTGGCAAATTGCCTTGTGAATTCCTCCCACTTCCCACACTGGTAGTATGCACACTGCCTAATCCCGCCTCTGGAGTCATCCTTGCGGCATAGGTTTCGCATAACGACACCAGCCCAGTATTGCATATCCTGGCTGTGATGGCGGACAGTGAACTTCTCGACCAAGGGGAAGATGTTAAAGTCGTCAGGCAGGAGATACTCCTCCTCTTCCGAGTCACATGCCGATGCATGAGAAGTGGAGGAGGCGGGAGCGGATGATGGGTCATCTAGATCGAGGAGATGAAGTTCCGGACCAATCTTGAGCTTCGGGACGAGGTGGGAGCGTTGAAAGTATGAGCGTAAATTGCAGTATTTGGAAACATATGCGAGAAGTTGGAGTGACTGGAGGACGTCCTCGTCCCGTGGCATGGCCGCAAGGACTTGACCGTTGGTAGGGGTTGGTCTATCAAGGAGGTACCGGGGGATGGTAGCATTCGGCAGTGTGGGTGGAGTGTTTGTAGCAGGAGTAGGAGATAGCCCGATAGGGGGGGCTGTAGGAGTTGTAGCGTCGTTCATCATGCTTCCATCCATCACAGAGCGATGGCTGATGTTAAACGTCCCTGCATCCTGAGCTTCGGAACCCGTGGGAGTCGTTAGGCCAAGCGGAGTCTCGACAGCCGTGAGCATGCTATCATCCCCTTCATCCATACTGATATCTTGGATGTTGACGCTCGATTGGATGTCTGCCGTGCTCATCCCGGAAATATCAGGCTCTCCAGATTCATCGGATGCCATGCTGTCAGTACTGGGATCTTCCTGTTCCCCCACCAAGGATGTCTGGTGTCGAATCGATGGTCTTCTGCGCGATCGGACATTCGGAGTCGATTGGGATGCAGGTCGAACGGCAGGTGATCGCAATTGTGCAGGGAGAGGGGTGCTGGGAGACTCGGGCTGAGACGTAACGCCGCCATGGAATCCGGGCACCATGGATGGTAGGCGGTCCACGTCGCGCACGGGCCTGAGGTTGAACCCATCTGCAGCATCCATAGAGGGGATTGCGGTGGCGAGAGGCTGGATACTGTGGCGCGACGGAGGCAAGAAGTGTTGTCGAGCATCTTGGCCCCGGTGATGATGATGATGGTGATGGTGGTGGTGGTGCCTGTGTCCTGAGAAGGTGGTTCGCTCGGGTGGAGATGTGACCGCAAATTGCGGCCCTGTAGGAGTGGCGTCCATGGCGTCTGAAGGGCCAGCCAATGGGGAATTACCCAAGGTGGCAGAGATGTCAATCAAAGGGGGAGGAGGCTGTCGTCTCGATACCCGGAATTCCGATTCGAATCGGGACGTACGATTGCCAAATGAAGCAGCTCCCTTGGGGGAGCCTCTGGCGTCGGTTGTATGTGTGCCGTGGTTCAGACGCTGCTCTTCGAGAGCCTTGGCCTTGGCCTCGGCCTTCTCACGGCATCTGTCCACCACCTTGATGTAATTGTCGAGTATGGTCGCGATGACGGGAACCATGTCGGCCTCTACCACTCGAGTCCGGACATTCTCTGAGCCGCGGACGCCGATATTGACGACACACTGGAAAGCCAGGTTCCACTTGAAGATGTCCATCATATCCTTATGCCGGCCTGCCTTGAGAATGCAGACCAACCTTTCGATGCCGCCATCGACCGTCAAGATATCACGTATACGAGCCGAAGAGGTCGTGAGATAGGCGAGGTGGTTGAGCGAATTGATGAGCGGCAGGGTCGAAGTGCAATCGAGAGCTCGACGGTCATACAAGGCGGTCGTGATGCCCACGGATGCCTTGTTGACGTTTGGGATACTGAAATTGACTTCCCTCATGATGAGAATCAGTCCGCAGGGTGGCGGCGGGTAGAGAGGTAGTTTTGTTCGACCAGGTGTTTCTCCGGATCTAGCAGCACGGGGGGATATATAATTATGAAAACGCAAGCAGATGCAGCTTGCACGAACGGTCTCGATGTATCTCCGGATGGGCCAGTGCGTCTGGCAGACAGATGGTTGATGGCTTTGACGCGGACAGGCTTGGGGCTGAAGGCGATCGGATGTCGCGAGCCTTCAGGGTCAGGGTTTTGGGCATGCACAGTGAGAATGACGACGGGGAAAGGAACAATGGGCGGGCCGTCGGGGGTATCAAGAACGAGTCATGTGCCGTGGAGATGCGGATGCGAAGGATGCAGCAGGATTAGGAGGGAGGAGAAGAAAGTTGAGCTGGATGGAAGAAGAAGAATCGCCTCCGAGGGACGTCGGGCTGAAAAAGCGTGTCGCAGGTTGGCAGACTTCCTTCGACCCAAGCGACGGCTTCAGCCGAGTCGTGCACCGCAAGCGTCGGTTGGTCAGTCGGTCGGGGGGGGGGNGGG